CTTTTACGTTCTCTCCCTCCTCATCGCAGCACAGCACGTATGTATGTACATATAATTTCTTATATGAAAGTCCCATCACGTTTTATGGACTGCACCACAGCATTTATAAATATCCTGCGAAAATTGAAGTAGAAGATAGAGCGCATAAAATTTATGAAAGTTCCTCTTTCTTCCTCAGGAGCTCGCAAAAGCTCATCCCAGTTGAAGTTTCAGCGTGAAACTTGAGAAAAATTAAGCTAGTTTCACCTCCCATAATTGAAAGTTAATAATACATCCCGACGGCGGTTATTCTCCCGGTCAATAATGCTCGCAATTTCAAGATGCTCTGCACCATTCAGCCCTCAACCCTTTGTCGTGCCACACATGAGCGCGCATCAGGTTTTATTTCACTCAATACAATTAAACATTCCCATTGAATGACCTCCTTTGTGTCCTGAGACAATGCTGATCACATTTGTGCTTGAAGACAAAGCCTCGGCAAATTTTGTTGGTAATCAAAACAATCTCATAAAGATTATATCATGTGATACCCCGACTGCTCCTGACATTTCGAGATGAATAGAAACTTGAACTGTTATTTATTCATTCGGGTGACACCTCTTAGGACCCATCTTGAGACTGCACTGCAGGAAATTACAATTTTCCCCTGAATTATTTGAGAGTCTTCAAGTTTTCATATCAACTTTACTCGACTGTGAACCAGGACAAGCAAATTGAATTGAAGTCATTTCTGGGTTTTCGGTTATCTTTTCGTCAAGACTTTGTTGGGTAACCTTTCGAGGACATTACATAAATTGCATGAGTTTAAGACAATAAATATATGAAACATGTTTCAGTTATCTTGCAGGAAATGTGACGGTGAAACCAAAATTGTATTACATTACCACAAAAGTGCGCTTTCGACAGAACGTTTAGCCGTTCATCTTCATGTCAATCTGCAAGGCAGATATTGCTGGCGGAAGACTTTTAGTTTCACCTTTGAGAAATACAATGTCAGAGATCTTAAGTAATTTCCCAGAAATCTGTATTTGACTGAAATGCAATCAAAGGTTCCTGAGAATGAGCAGAAAATGATAAAGTTCAACTGATTTGCGTGCTCTTCCTTTTGCGCATTGCTTCTTCTTATTATCCGGACCATGAATCTGCGGATTTATTGTAAGTTTGCAAGATGAATATTGATTTCACTGGGGAAAAGTTTCGAATTTCCACGATTCTTCCTCAAACTACACAATCTTACCATTTATTGAATTTCCATCTGTTAATACTTTATTATAACAACCAGGAAGGCATTAATAAAATTGTTTGACTTGCTGTGTCGCGAGAGGTGACAAAGAGTTCACGACTTTCCAGCGCTTACACTTAATGACTTCTTATCAAAGTTTATGCATATTTCATTCGCCCACCGTGTCATGTTGTAAAGTTCAAAGAGATATTTTTACATATTTATGATTCAGATAATTCCCTTATGTCATTCTTTATCAAATATGTGCTCTTGCGTAATATTTTTCCATGGAAGTAATTTCCCCGCCCACACATTGTCGTCACGTCCCGCAGGCGAAATCCTTTCTTCAGCAAAGATTACACCGTGAAACTTTTCAGTGTGAATTTAATGCAGTGGGAATAAAAATTTGACGTGAATATTTGTCTATTGAAAGTAAATCCCAAGTAGAATGACTTTCTTATATTTTCTTGTCGATTTAAAACTTTCTCGCAATTCCTCAATGAGCTAGAAGTTTGCCCAAGAGCCTCACAAGTGGAAAGATGAAATTTCACCATTGGAGCGAATGTGGCGATGTCGCGCGGGGCGGAAAAAAGCCACCAACTCTGTGAGACGCTCATCTCTCTATTTCTTCATGACACTGGTAGACAAGTTTCAAAATAAACTTTCTTCTTCAGTAGAGGTCTCTTGTTACAATCGAACAAGTTCTCAAGGATAAACACGCCACGGTGAGAGTCATATCACACAGCGCCACACATTCTGGGGAGCTTTCACATATGTATTCACTATTTGTTCGCCGTTTTATCAATTCATCGTGAATCACCAAAATCCACGGGCTGAAAGCATCAGAAGTTGCTGGAACATTTGAACAGCGAAAGAAGTTGGATGTCAAAATGATTGAAGCCAGTAATTGAAAAGTCAGGCGGGGGAGATTCGCTCGCAGGTTAAGTAAGACGTTCCCGAAATCTCATGTGCCACAGCATATCTGTCTCTGCAGCTATGTGTTTCTATTATTTCAGTAATAAATGACGCCATGCGATGTTCGAATGACAGGGAGAATATGATCACGGCTGAAAGGATGATAATTGTGAAATATAAACTATTTAGAAGAATACCAAGAGAAAGTCTTGAATGTGTAAAACTTTCCCGCTCTCTGGCTGTATTCTCGCATTTGTCTGCTCCTTGAGAATATTGCTGCAAGTTTGTAAATTCCGAGCCAATTATTGTGGATCTTGATTGAAAATTGTGCAACGCGGAGGGAATTTTCGCTCATAGTTCTCAAGTAGTTCTGTGGCATCGAACATATCGAGTTATTTCTAATTTCAAAATTAAGACCATCGTTAGCGAGCACGCTTCCATTGCTAATAATTCTGACCAATGTGGGAAGGAGAGTCTTCAGCGCAAATTGGCTGGCAAAGTTGCACGAGAGCTCTTGTTCTGCCTAATGAAATTACGCTGTGGCGAAGAGTGCAAAATCTACTTCTTCCAATATTTCAATACGGGCGATGCTCGAGGACTTGGACTAATTGTATCTCAGCTGAGAAGACGAGGAGCTTCGCAATGATTATACGTGTATTATCGGGTGATAATGCATGGAAAGAGGAAGTGCCGATGGTGTGGAGTAAGCGGTCTTCCATTACAGCGATTACAGTACGAAAACGATATCGATTCACACTTCACTGGATTGTTGTTATAACTCTTGTGCGGTATGGTAAACCATACTCACATGAATATTGTATTCGCATCCTTCTGCAAAACCAGGATGAGTCGCTTTGGCTCCACAAAGTATCTAAACAAATTAATTCAGTACAGTATTTTTACAAGACATTGCCGAACGTATTTTATTATTTAGAGTGATATTTTCAGCGTGCGGCTGCGAAAACATGGTGAGATCAAGCATTAACCATGCGAATGCTTCTCATGTGTGATATTGACTTATGCCTGGCACGGGATCGATGGAAATTTTCATCTCCTCCCGGGTGGTTTTTATTACTATTCAACCATGGGGACGAGATGTGAATAAAAATTGATAAGATCACGTTACTCACGGAGTCGAACCCAAAGCTCGGGAAAACGTTTACATTACCTAAAGTGTAATGCGTGAAATTATAATAAAACAGAGTTTTGAATACATAAATGGTAGCATAATGGTTCTATTCACTGTGTAACACGCCTGAGCACAAAAAGCTTTCCCATTTATGTCCTTTTGAGTACCAATACCTCCGCTCAACATTCAACACAATATACACGCATAATTCTATGCTATATTATTAGTATATAAAAGGGAAGAAAAGTCGTATGAGTGGGAAAGAATGAGTACAAAACCGTCATTTATCGCTCTTTAACATGACGCTTTCTCTCTTTTTTCGCCTCTCAGCCATTATCTTCCATCAATATTGATTGAGAAGCATTGAAATTTGGATAAGTGTGAGATATTGCTGTACAATGGGTGAAAATGTGTGACTATTCGAAAAGGGAGAATTGTTGGTATTGCACACAGTCTGCATACTAGTTAGCCCATCAATGTCCATTGCTGTGCGTATGAAACAAGGCTCATAAAGCGGAATGACTTTGGGATATCAACCATAGCGCATGAGGCGCTTCAACTTGGAATTTGTGGGAGAAAAACTTGCTTTCAATTGAGGGATAAGCACGTCGGGATTCTCGCCTCATAGATTTTCATACAATAATAAAGTTATGACTATATTTTAAGCCATGGTGAGAGGATATGGGAAATTCTCTAGTGTTTTCTAGTGGGGCGAACTAAATATTTACGACACAACAGAGAGACACCCCACATGCGGGGGTGGCGCAAAGTTGTATAGCATATCTAACTTTTCTCTCTGTCTATCTCCCACCCAAAGAACACAATGTTCCCGGCAACCCTATCGGGTGTATCTCGCCCCGTTCCACCACACCTGAAGACACCAGCGCCCGCAGAGTTGGGGGCGACAGAGAGCGGGAGAGAGAGAGAGCAAAATAAAATATTGCGGTTCCAAAACTTACCCTAATAAAGTAGGCCCTCAGCGCTTCACTAAACAACTTAGACTTGGTGCTTATTATTGCTGGTGTATGCCAAGATCGTGAATCTATCACGGGCTGCAGGCGTGGAAGTTCCGCAAGTATGCCGCCCTGGGACACAAGCATGTGGCAAAAGATAAATAATGCTGGAGTGTAAAAAATCTAATAAACGTCTAATTATCACGATATGCTATAAAAGCTAATAAATAGCGCGTGTTTCACATAAAGAAAGGGAAAATTTTATTATCTACGGCACAGACTGTATTTTCGCTACACTCTCTCGACGTCATCCCCATGCGAAGGGCGGTTTATTGTCGTTGCCCATGTATGAAGTCCTCATCCGCAATCTCACCATCTCGTGGCTCAGTCGCGTGTGCATCACTCGCAAATCCTTCCGAAAGCGCTCTCAGAAGAAAATATGTCAAGTTCTCTAAATGCTCTCAATCCAGCTTGACCTTAACGTCCAATCTGATATGTGAAATATGAATATGCTTCTTCTGGGCAACTATTTACCAAAAAATGTGGCTAAAGCATTCGCTCTGCGTCGCTTGAGAGCAGTTGAGCTTCCTGAGGGCACCTCGGAATGTGTCTGGCCACAAAATTCCTTAACCCTTTAGCGGTGATGTGGTTTTCTAACAACGTGATCATCTGTATTTGTGACAAATGCAATACAATTGCTTAAGGGGAGATAAGGCTTGGAAAATCTCTTTGAAGCATCCTTCCGGAGGAATGAGATGTAATCCCACTCTTGAGAACTCACCTTGGATGCCGCAAATGTCAGAAATCCGTGCATGTGTGTCACTTTGTTTGGCTTGCGTTGAAAATGTAGCTGTCATTTGACCGAATCAATCCGAAAGGAGCGGAGGAATTCTTCTTTGACAATTAAAACTGAGTTTTTCTTATTATTCAGTCTCAGAGAGCGAAGAATTTTTTAAATGGCTTTATGAGAAATGTATGTGAAACGTGAGACATTAACAAAAGATTTTGCATGTGTCTTCTCTGATCTCTACGAGGATTTATGCTTTGTGACATTCATCTAAGGATGATGGAGTAATTACTGAATAGAAAGTATTCTCACGTCAGCAGAGACGATATTCAGAAACTTTCCACCTTAATTTTCGCCTCTTCACTCATTTCAGTGTGATTGTTTGAAAATTTTCACATGAACAGCAAGATTCTCGACACAAGAAATGATAAATGATTGTGCAAGTTTCCTAAACAAATCTCAAGCATGGAAAATTAGAACATCTCCCATCCCGAGTATAGTAAACATCTCAATATATATTCTTCCCTTCTGCGTGTTTATAAAACAGAGCTTTGTCCTTTTCATAATCAACGCTCTCCGCCATGTGAATTTCCCATCTGAAAGCACTCTTTTTTCTGACCGTCTTCAGTCTGAGAGATGGATAGGAAAAGAGGCGCGCTAAGAGTGTCTCTCAGATTTGATATAGTGATGGCAAGACAGAGGGATTCACAATTCTACATTCGTGAAGGGCAATTTGGCTATCACATAAATCTGGGGTCGTTGCAAAGGTCCTTGAGCATTATTAGATGATATATTCAGAGCACAAACAATTATTCTTTCTAATTTATCTCAGGGATGCTGACAACCCACACGGAATGCGGCACAGAGTTTGAGCAGAAGACAAGCGAATTGGGTGAAATTTGATTATCGATTGAGAGCGCGGATTGAGAACTCCCACACGGCGTGTGGGGAAAAGGCATGGAATTGATGTGAATTGAAAGGCTAAAAAATCACTTGAAGCATCTGCATGCGCACCAGAGTGAGTGGAGTATTTAGATTTTGTGGAAACACATCAGCATTTCTTGGCACTTCCATCAACTCTCATACATAATGAAATTTACATCTTTAATCCACAAATCTCTTAGTAATGGCCTTTCCAGTTTGAAATGGGCTAAACCCCAGACCACGGCTTTCTTTTTGTTTTCCCTCCTATGTACATTTGCTTGCATATACTTAAAATTTTCCCTTCCTCTACGGCAAGACTATATACAATTTTGTCCTTTTTCCACTCTCCCACCCTCAGAAACATCTCACTGGGAGTATTTTTGAGGAAAAATATTCAAATTGTCTTCTCTTCCTCCATTCACTGTCTTCCCTTTTTTCTGTGTCCGGGCCGACAGTATATTTCAGGGCTGGCAAAATGGAAAATACGCTCGACAGTGTGGCGATTGCAAAGTGTTGATAAGAAATAATGCATATAATTAGGAGTGGTAGAAAAATACATTCATACTGGCTGTGGAAATAATTTAATCCGCCGAGCATAAAAGGCAACCTTTTCCCACAATGCGGCGCGGAAGTGCGAGGAGGAGCCAGTTGAGGACTCTCGAAAATAACGCAATCATCTTAATCTCAATGTAAGGCTCTCGTATGTATGTCTTGTTCAACAATTTTAACAATTCTCTCTCTTCCTTTGCGAGAGGGGAAATTGCTTCAATTGTATTTCTTCCTTGTTTTTTCTTCTCTCACACTCTCAATTTCATTAGGACGCCATGCCGACAGATTCCGTCTTATTTAAACAGATGATCAATTTTGCAAATTGCTCAGAGGAAAAGTCCCAATTTGCAATTCACCCAACACCGAGTCATCGGGAATTGGAAATGAATGGCCACGAGGGAGTGTCGCCCGCACCTTCAGATGGGGAATATCAAATGGGTTGATAAATTGTCTTGAATGTTTTGTGTAACATAAACTTGAGAATCCACAGGAACGGATGTGGCAATTATCTTGCGGAAATTCGTGTATTGGAAATCCCTTTGATTTGTTATGCTGCAGTGTGTGTATCCTTGGCTATTTAAGCATTGTAAAATCACTTGGGAGTTTGCAGTGCTCCTCATGGTTTGAATATTAAAGCATCGATTGACCCACTTTATTTATCTAACGCTTCGGTGATACTTCATCCATACACAGAATTGTTTGATGCTTTTAAAAGGCAATCTATGCCATCCATTAAGAGCATTTTAGTATTTTCGACAAATTTCAATTCTCTATCTAGTGGCAAAATGGCCTTTTTCAGCCAGGCTCTCCTTGATAATAACCATCGGCACAACAAGAGGCTTGGCGGGAATATTGTAATTACCCCATAATGTGTGCTCCAACCGCGCAATTATTATTGTAATGTATCTGCTGATGCTTGTGTAATATTATTTGTACATTGTTTCATTATATTGCTTAAGTGGGTGCTCAGCACACAAAATCGCAAACAAGCACTTTGATTATAAGACACATCAATTTGATGAAATGATGAAAAAGCATCGCTTGGGCGTGTGAAATAAAGTGCATTACGTAATATTTCTCTCTAGCAATCCCATTTGTTACTTTATGGAAGGTATCTTCACGTCATTGACTTTATATTGAAAACACTCCCTCTCATGGAGCTTCCATCGCCGGAGTGGAGAAACCTTTCGGTTTTCTTTTTTGTGCGACAGAAAAAGGGGTTTCTTCCCTCCTTCATTCGCTTTATTGTATAAAAAGCCATTGCCGACGCTTAAATTGGGGGATTTTTCTTTTTGATTCGTCAGAAATAAGACACTAAATTGGATAGCCTGGAAAATTCAATACTTTCGCACCTGTGCCGGGGAAATAAGGTGAGGGTCTGCCTTGAGCGGTTGGGTGGGAAATAAAACGGGTTGGAAAATACAAGGAAAAGTCAAATATCGCACTGTCAAAAACTATATAGTTGGAGCTGTAAAATAAGGGCGACTTTTCATTGACATCATTTCTTATTACCACTTTATTCTGGCCGTGATGGTTGGGCTGTAGATTTATTTTAGTGCGAAACGATCACATCATAGTGATGTAACATTAAGGAAAAAGGGGCGCTCTTATGGAGTTTCATCTCCCCCACTGGGTTCCGCATACCTTCTCCACCCTCCGCACCAAGAGTGTCTTTTGGCGTACTTGAGCTTTTTTCCACTCTTCCCGTCCTTCGGCCTGTGTGTGTGCTTTTCCTCCGCACACTTTTTCGTCTGCAAAAAGCTCAAAGGGCACCCACTCGATGTATGGATTATTTACAGGAGGAGAAAAAAAGGCGAAACAAAACTGGGTTAGTAACGACGCTCAGGCTCAACATGGGTCGCACACACGCTCAGGGCTTTTCTCTCTCTCTCTGTCTATATATGTCGGGGGTGAAAAATAAGAGGCAAAAGAAGGAGAAATAAATTTTATACAAGAAATGTATTCAAACACATACAATTTACAAATCGATCTGAGTCATTTGTAACAGATGCCGATTCCAAAGTACCCTTTTTTCGCTGTTCCGCCGAGGAAATTTCACCGCTAAGCTCTCCCACCCACCATCATAGGTCCCCACTAAGCACCCTGACAGACCCAACATTCACGCCAGGGTCTGCATTCGCTACACACCAGGATTCCGGCTGAATAATTTATGCGTTAGAACGGACCTACTGCATATTTTATTTTACTTCATTGGTATCAACTTGTCGATGGTATCCACAAATTCTCCTGCTGTTTACTTCATCTTCCCACTTACTTTCATCTCGCCCGATAGTCAAAGGACGGCTGCGGAAAAATTTGGCCAGAGGCCGGAGGAAATTTCCTCTCATTCGTTAATATGGAAGTGTCATTTGCCCCAAACTTCGCCGAGCGCCTGCTCGGGCTCGCGCAGATAGTTTGAGAGGCAATATTATAATCCGTGGGTATTTTTTGCCAACACTGCGCGCAGATAAATTGGTCAATCTAGAGAACGTCTCAAGTTTAAATAATCGTTTCATTACCATGACATTCTCTCGCTCTCGTGAACCGCGCTGAACTAGCGGAAAGTGAGGCAATTATGGTCAAATTTCACTTAAAATCATTTAAATTGAAAGCTTTGTGTTTTATTGTCTCTCTCATCAAATGAAATGATTGAAATCATGAATCTCTGACATATCATAATTCCACTTATTCCATTCAATTTCCGCTGAAAATTCACTTTTGAACATCGATAAATTACAAAATCAAACAGTGAAAACTATATTGGACTAGCATCTAACTGTAATATGTGGCAAGTCTAAAATTATAAATGGTGACAACAGAATCAAGAGTCGGTAAATAAAATTGAATTAGCAACACTATTGAATGTAATTAATAACACGATTATTAACTGATCAATTTCAAAATGCATTGCTTTAAATGCTTCAAAATAATTGAAATTTAGCACTAAATCGGAACAACCACACTTGATTTTGATTCAATATGTCTTATTTCCTGACGCTCTGTCTTCCACTCTTTGCTAAGTAAAACGCATTTTTCTAGGAATTCCTGGCAAGCTTTCGAGGGAGTGTTTTGAAGTCAAACCCTTGGCCCGCCCTCCCCTATTCAATCACGCTCGAGAGCAGCCCGCGAAGAGCTCTAGACCTCTCGCAGTTGCTTTTTTATATGTGTAAATGTATATCTGTGGAAGAAGTAGGGTTCCTTTGGCAAGAATGTCGAAATTGTGGAGTAGAGATATATTTCTTGTAGTCGCTCCCTTTTCGGTGGTGGAACCAAATAAAGGAGAATCGTTGGTGCCTGACAAATGTCGAGAAGAATGCTCGTTTCCTTCAGACATCCATCAAAGAGTCGGGAAACCATAAATATCCATAAGGGGATAGATGCCGTCCGTGATGAAGAGGAGGTGAGGTTTGAGCGAAGCACTTCATATCACACATTTCTTTTATTCACTGTCTCTGCACGTGCAAAGGTGCTTTATCTGTTTCATGTGCCCAAGCCATGTATTTGCCTGCGACCGTAGCGCGTGGACGTGATAATACAAGGGGCGGATTTTCGGAAAAAGGCGCAAATTATCAAAATTAAAATACGCCCTGCGAATTTGGGGCAGCGCTGCGAGTGTGCAGACAACGAGACGTGCTCTCGACGGGCTGAAAATTGTATTAAATTGTATTACGGATGGCGGACGGGTGAGAAAAGCTTGAGTTTGTCATTCAGCACGAATAACTTTTAAAGGTCAGTGAGGGATTAACTCACCTTGTGCGGCCAGCAATCCCCATAAGGTTCAACCTCCTTCGGTGTCCTGGTATCATAACTTCTCCGCCCGGATCCCGTCAGCCCTCCGCATAAGCTTCAACAAAGAGTCGATGTGAAACAGTGCTGGTGAGAGACATGAGAAGGAAAGAAAACAAAACACCCACGTCAAAACACCACGTTTCACACGTAAATCTTTTATACCTGCCTCTCTAAACTCCAACCACAAACATCTATACAGCTTATACGTTTCCCTTCGACGGCGCGAAAGTTTTCCTCATTCGTAATCCACTTTCGTTGGAGGTGCCAAGTCAGGAATCCATATGTGGACGGGTGTGAAATATTCTGGGCGTGCACGGAAAATATCTGAGTCGTGGGAATTTTTTCAAGATCAAATTACGCTTGTTGTTTGCGCCACAACTCGGCCGCTCTCAATTCAATCATCCACTATGAGTCCATTGCAAACTTAATCAACCATTAATGAAGAAAGTCCCTCGTGGCGGCGAAACCCAATCCTCTGCATATATGCAAACTTTTGCTCTATATTGCCAAAACTTTTCATCAACAATATGAAACAATAGATCAGTTGGGGAAATTGTAGAATGCACGATAAGGCGAATGTGTGTTTGCTAATATGTATTTCGGAATTAAAAGTTCATTCTGCGAAATGGCAACATGAAATGATAACATGCAACTCGTACCAACTTAGTCAATTTACTGCAAAATCTTAATCACATAAAACTTTCGCCCAACTGCAATTTGGTAATCAACATGGCTGGATTGTCATTTTCAGTTTATCACACATTTTGAAATTGATTAAGCCCAGCGGCAAGCGGGCAAAAAACGCATGGTAATGGACAAAAAACGCTATATTGTTTTTATTAAAAGTAAATTGCGAGATGGGAAATGAAATTCAAATGTGTTGCCCACATTTTTCATGTCGACCATCAAACAGTGCGCATGCCAAGTGAATTTTATTAAGAGCTGAAATTGCACATCACAGCTACTCTCTGGTCGGTGGAGAACACCAAGAAATTCTTGATGTGATTAGATAATACAGAAAGAATTCATCCGCAAAGCATGCGAGCGAAAAGGCTGTCAATTATCCAACACAGAACGTAATGAGAGGATAAATGAACAAGAAAAACAATAAATGCTTTTCTCACTTATCGACGCAATTCTCAGAAGATAATATTACTCATTCATCTGGAAATTATACAATGTCGGGCAAAGAGAAGTGCCTCAACTTTGTTCCTGATATCCAATTAGTTTCCTCAACCGTTCACCTCAAATTATATCATTTCCTAAGAGTATTCCGCAAACAAACTTACCTCAGTCTTGTAGAAAATTTAATGCACCACAAAATTCGTAAATTATTGTCCTGTACTGGCTGTGAAAAATTCATTCACTTCCAATTCACCTAAATGAGCATTTTTGCAACAAATTGTCATTTTCCGCTCATCCTGATTACGAAACTAATGAAATTTGTCTGTCGCTGGAGTTGTACTGAGGTTTCTGAAGTATTTTCCAGCTAAAGAGATGCTGTTAATTGTCTGAAAGCAGAAGAGAGACTCAGTTGCCTGCATGTTGTGCCACTTTTCCAAGAGATTTGAGAAAATAACTATCTAGACAAACACACGAAATACTGCATTTCCACCGAAGAGGGGAATTAGAGAAATTTTGTCGTTCAGCCAAATCCTTATTTAAAGTTTACCCATTCACATATTGGATTTATTCATTCCGAGAGGGAAACAGAAGCACACTAAGCCGTGGCAATGCGATAAATTATCCCAAAACAATCACCAATACAGTGTGCATTTTAGAGAGAGGAGGGAACGGGAAGATTTTCAATTACTTAAAGTATACACAACATTGAGCTACACGTTCGATATGATGGCCCGATTGAAGAGGTGTATATTTAATCAATCATTTTTCCTAAGTAAAAATAGTACTGACAACCGGTGAAAGCACTCTGTGAAGGCAAAATTCAATGTGCCAAGATTTCATATAACACCGAAATTGATGTATTTTCCATCGATGATGAATATTTTCTCATCCACAATCATTTTAATACACTCCGCGCGTCTGATATTCCATCGCGAAAATGTCTGTGTCATGCCTTTTCATTGGAGGAAAGCAGAAAAAAGGACGCCGCGAAGGATAGAGGATGTGCCTAAAAAGCAATTAAATGTAGCATGTTGAATTTAAATATGTATACATAGGATCTGGTGAGAGCAAAAAATTAGATGTAAAATTCCTTCACGGGACAACGGCAACTTCTGGTGTCGATGGTGCTCCTTATATTGCCTTGAGAAAATATTTGCCGTTGGAAAATGAAAATGCCAAGTTTTTCAGGGTATTCAAGAGAACATGTTTACACGCCACAGTCTGTTTTAAAGAGGTGTAGCGTGGATTTTAATTAAGACAGTTGGATTACCATGAATATCACAAGGTGTCCCGAAGGTCTCGGAGAAGAATAATGCATAATTTTGTTGATACAGGAAAATCAATACACAAGTGGTGGTAATTTTCAATAGATATTTATTTAATTTAGTTTTTCCCTTATTACACATTTACATATGAATACCTTCATTTGTTGTTTAAGGACTGTTTTTACAGAAGTAAAATTATACAGATGCGGATTTTTTTTCACATTTACACTAATATTACTTACTTGTTTATTTGTATTTTAATTCTTCTCACTTCTTACTTTAGACACATGAACTTTTCTCTTGTCTTATTTAGGGCATTTTCCTTGTCAAATACTGTTATGTCTGATGGTATGGTATTTTGGATTTCCATTTTACTTTATTACTTTGAATTTTTTTTGGTGATTATTACTATGTTTAACTGCTGTCAGTTGATAAAAATTAGATAAACAGTTTCTCAAATTCATCTCTACTATGCTTGTCAAACTTCATCGCCTTTAAAGTGAGTAAAATCAGTTCTGTGTTACACGAAGGAGTTTGTCAGGTAAAATTTTCTCTTTTTTATAAGAAACGAGCATTTTCCCATTTGTTGGAGAGTATAATTTAATGGGGTAGTTACACTGTTAGTGTTGTTATTACCTCTTATGTATTCCTCATATACTTGCCATGCGTAGAACATATTTATTTTTATGTCTTTCCGATTTTCTTTTCAATTTCCGCTATCTTTGATTGTGTTTTGTTGTATTTGATGCCTTGTTAGTTTTTATTGTTGTTGGCTCAGGAGATTGATATCTTTATTTGTTTTCTGCGTGTTTTCACGAGTGACTATCAAATAGGAGAGAAAATAATATCCAACGTGAAAACGGGAGAAATGCCTAATGGGCGCCTGTATTAAAAAATACCCCCAAATTAAGGCTTGATAGCAAAGACATTCCCGATTTAATCGGGCTTTATGCGTATTTAGTGTTGAGCACTTTCATGAAATTTCAGTTCAATCGAATTTTGTGAATATTTTCAATCTTTCATCTTGTTACTTCATAAAATAGAGAAGGAACCATCGGTTAAAGGATTTTCATCCATTTGGAGGATTTTCTGGAGAAGCTGCAGCTTCAGAAGGCAGTGGAAATCAATGGAAGAACTGCCACGAGTTTAGCCACTTGAAGACACGATGTCAGGGAGTGGTACCGTGCGAATAATGCGCGGAAGACCATTATGCTGAATCTTGCATGAGAAACTTTGAGGAATTTCTAGGTTCAGAGGATATAATTGACGTTCAGGATCAATCCGTCCTCAATTTCGAGCAAGTTTATGCTAATGAGCGCTCAAAACATCATTTTGGTTAGCATATTGCAATGAAAGTGTCGTTTTCGAAGACTGGAAATTTCATGAAATTGCTGAAAGTTAAATAGCCCAAGTCTACGCATATTGTTCTGTCTATGGGGATGCTGGATACACGGTGTGTGAGCCTTCTTGCATTCCATGGCGAAAAACTTTCTTATTCTATTTCGATGACGGTCTCCCTTTATTACTTTAGCAGAAGAAGAGCGCTGTTTTTGTGTGTGTGTGCAAAAATACGTTCCCTCTTTATCTTGTTCTCTGTTCGCTGCAAAAGACTAGGCCGCTTAAGAAACATTTAACCAAATTGTATTACCTCCTCATTCAACTTTCGTCCCTCCTTTTGTGTTTCTATTTCTTACACATGAACCACTCTTTTATAATTTAATGAACCTTTTTTTGCTTGAATACTGATTTAAGATATGTAGGTGGAATTCATGGGGAAAATTGAGCGAGCCATCCGTGGCAGCTTTTTTTCACAACTCTCACCAGTGCGCGATTCGAACAAATAAAGTGAAAATGCTCCGGTCATCAATCAGAAAATCAAAATGTGGTGGAAGAAAATTGACTGTACAAATACTGAAAATCATTTTCATTGAACCTTTTCTGGAGGAGACCAAAAGCTCCGTGATTTATGATTGTAATCGAGCTGTCTGTGTGAAATGTGATCCAATTGAGCGCTGAATATTTGCCCCTCCCCGACAGGCCGCCGTCCCCACACTATTCGCCACTGGCTGACAGGATCGAACATCTACCCTGACGATTTATATTAAATTATCTTTGAGCGTTTATGAAAATATTTTGGGGACTTTCATCACGTTTCATATGAATTTCGGCAGATTCCATTGATGTCACATAAACATTTTCCCTCTTCCATGTTTGCCAGTTTCTCCCTTTCTCACAAATTTGTGTGTTTGCCTATTTTTCCGATGGTGTGGTATCAATTTTTAGCCATATTTCCCCCGCACAACATAAAGAGAATGGTGCCAGTGAAATAACACGAAAGCACATGCAAAATGTGTCCAATGGAATTGCTCCGGCAATTCTAAACTCAGGCTCATTTAACTTGTCATAGTTCTTCTTTTTTTTGGAAAAATACTCTTCAACTGGTTATTCTCACTCAATTCTGCACTCTCGCACTCATCACTGGGATTCTTCTTGCAGGATTCACACTTCACTCCTCCTAGTTTTTTTTGCCTCTACATAGGTTTTTTCTCTACTTATATTGTCTCATTAAATATTTAAATTTTTACAGTCACAAATCATTTTTAAAATGACCAAGTTCTCTCCACTCCTAATGGTTTTTATGCTCTTTCTCTCTCTCTCTCTCTCTCTCTCTCTCTCTTTGGGGCGTAATTACATTACACCTTGTCTCTATCACTGCGCTTTTTGCTAAAAATTCTCAACAACTTGTAATGACCCAACACTTCTGACCGTACCGTCTGCAGTAATTTACAAAATGCATAGACCTCTCGCATATTTAGAAGCTCTCATTCAGCACTCTCACTTTGGACTGGGAAATTAATAGTAAAAATGTTTTATGCATTGAATAATGTCAATAACTTTAATATAGTTTATCTCATTCCTTTTCTCTTTAGACTTGTGTGATTCACCGCGCCTCTTTATACACAGTAACATTGTAATCTCTTTGTTAATAATATAGTCACAATACTTTTTATGGTATTTTACTTTCATAAATTATCATGTCTAAATTTTCTCTCATTACTCCTAGAGCATGTTTTAGGTAACAAAACAAAAGGTCTGAATTTCATTCTCAGGTATAATATACATTAACAGTTTCCTTTTTGTTTTATATATATATATGTATGTATGTAGAATTTTGTAAAGTTGTTTTTTCATCTCCTTGTATTTCACCTATATATGAGATTGACCTAGAAAATGGGTATTTCTGCTGAGTTTCGCTACGCTTGAGAATTCCTTCGGAGGCGGAGGAGGAGGAGAGGGGGCGTTGCTGGGCGTGTGGGATTCGTTTCATCTCACTGCGGATTCCCGTCGCCACAGAAAAGGAAGATACGCAGCGGTGCTGAAGAAGGGGCTCCGCGCGCTCGTCTGGCCGCCCCATTGCCGCGCGAATGGGGCGGGAGTCTTAGTGACGCGGTCCCGCACGAGCGAGTGCAGGTGCAGGACCAGGGTGAGGAGGGTGGTCAGCATGTGGTGACACGACGCGAGGGGCAGCAGAACTATGTCGGCTCTGCTCCTTGATAGGGCAAGCGGCACAAGAGTAAGGAGGACAAGACTACAGATGTGTAAATTATGAGATAGTGACAGGGTGACATCGGACGATGAGCTTGACCCCCGCGCTGCATTGCTGCTGGGTATTCCCCTGGAAACAGAATGGGAAACACCTGTTAAATTTACCTCCATCTGTCCTTTAGGCCCAGCAGCACTCGCATCTACATCTAAAGTACATTGGGGACGTCTTGAAAATTGACCAGCACATGATGAGGACAAGATTGAAAATTTACCATTTAACACGTGAACTGTAACACTCTTGCTTTTGGCATTGGACGGATTGCACTGATATTGACCGGAATCCGATGGCCGAGCATTCTTGATTAACAGAAACGATGTTGTCGTCTCGCCCTTTTCTGTTATCACGGAGACACCGCCTCTCGGTGAATCGTAACTTATGATCTGTGTGAAGGGGAAAAGCGCCGTTTAGGAAAGACACCCTCAATTCACTATCTCGTAGATATGCAGTGGCGTAGTGGCGAATGTCGCCGAAATCGGCCCACAAATACACCAGCTCATTTTGGTCTGGGCAAGAACCTCACATTGGCACAAATATCACAATTTACGCTATCCACATTTTTCTGACATTACGATTCTTTCACCTCGCAAAACCTAAAGGTGCTGCGTAATATTTTATGCTTTCAATGCTAGTTCCAGTCATTCTTTTTTTCCGTTCATTTAGTCTGTTTTCTAAATATTACTTGCTGACTGAAGTCTATTCCCTTCCATTTTATATGAGAATAAATTATGAAGGATATCTCAGAATGAATCATATTCCAGAATTATTTTACCATAAATTATCAGTAATTTAATTTTTTATATTTCCTGAGAGGAAAAAAATGATTTTAATTATTCATAACCATCAATTGCTTTCAAGGCAAACGCTCGCGCCTTTAGGTGATTTTCCTGAGAAAAGGATTTAGCTCTTCACCGGCAGAAATGAGAGAGATATCTCTGGTTCACATTGAGCGCTTAGCTTTCAGTGGGAGATTACGAAAGCGATGTCATATTTCCATCTAATGCGATCCTCATGATATATAAAGATAAGTAGAGAATGTTTCAAGAATCAGAAAATCACATAAAAACTTCACAATTCACTGCAAAGTCTTTAAGAATCCTACGAAAACTCTTGTAAGGATTCAACGAAGACTTTCATGAAAGTGTCTTCTGGATTCTGGGAAAGCCATGAGCGTTTTATAATACTTGACGGTTGTTTGAAGTCAAAATGCCAATTTGTAGTGATTATTTATGTATGCAATTCATAAAATAATCAATAGAGTGGCGAGGAAATTTATCAGTCAATGTTGAAACATCACATAATAAATTATGCAAAATGTGTGTTAAATAAAATATTATAATAACGCACAATTTATTACTTTATGTTTAGAATTCATTATTATTAAAATGTTAAAATACAGACAGCGTTATAGCAGCTTGTGATATCAGTAATGTGGGCTACTTTATGAGCAAATCTACGCCACTGAAAATCCCACCTAAAAACCTGCGAATCATGCAAATCGCACTTCCGCCACAAATCATATTGTTTTTGGACTTTTTGTGGTAATTTGTGCATGAAAAAAAACTTACCGCATTATTGTGATTCCAGAAAATGTATGCAGGTGTTTCTGGTGAGTTCAGCACCAGGCATGAAATGTTTATAGTGGAGCCGCTTTCAATGTATAAATCCGGTGCCCCAATTATTTCCGTTGATGGCTCTGAAAAGCAACAGAGAAAGGCAATTGTAGATAAAAGGATTTTACTTTTCGGTCATTTCACCCATTTGATAGCCACGATTTGCCCTGAGTGAGAAATTGGAGACGTAATGAAGTCACATATTTTGCAGTGGTTCTGTGTGCTGTTGTGCCTTCTTGCCAAGTCTTATGAACGACAATAATAATTTTTGGATTCTCCCACATCGCACCAAGCCGCCCCCTTTCTCATTAATTAATTAATAAATCCCATGAGTGGAGCATCATCATAAATTGTGTGTGGTGTGAGTATGTTTAGTAGCAATATTATTTATCATTTCCATTAGATTTTCCTCAGTGATATTCCGTGCAGGGCCATATTTTTGATAAATCGAGTAATTATGAGTTGAGTGTTAAATTCCAGGCGTTGACTGTACACGAACGCTCTCGCAACGAGATTTGTAATATGAAATGACCGGCATTCATCACTATTATATGTTTTTGGGGAATTTGCGCTATTAATCCATGGAGACATTTCAGTGATGTTTTTGTATATACATTTATGCAAATTACCACTGTGGTATTTTCACGTGCGGGGATCACAATGGCCTGAGAAGGGGTATGCAGATGTTGCAGGGCGCGAGATGGGATTTCAGAAGAGAAATGAGGGTTTCATTCTCAGCGGAATGTCATCGCGAAGAGCCTTTTTACACAGTTGCAAGAAATTAACCTCAAGATTAAATATTGCAGATAAATATCACTTTACGTAAGATAAGGGAATGTAAACAGTGCGATGACGTGGCTCTACTTCGTAGTTAAGTATTGCGGTTATTTGTTTAGGAAGAAGTTCTGCGGCTTTTCTAAAAAAAAATCGCAGCTTGAACTGCTTCAACTATAATTTATTTCTCAGAAATATCTGAAGCGCATTAAATCCGTTTTAACTTCAATATTGTCTATTGGATATACATATGTACATATGCTAGCTTTAAACATGAAACATTCTTGTGCGCTACGCTACTGTGTGTACATAACAAGACATTCGAGCACTTTCACCGCCGCCACTCAAGATTCCTCATGAAGTCTGAGCTTTGTGGCAATTTAAAATCACTAAAAATTTACGTTCATTCCATTTCACAGCCAAAAGACAGGCAATGAGCCATCTTTTCCACGAACTTATTTCACACAATTTTGCGCTCTTGCCACCATTCAAAGCCTGGCTGCTATTTTGCCCGGGAAAATGGCACGCTTGATGTCTATTTTCACAATAAAACTCACATCAGAGGCGCTTTCAAAAGAGACAAGCCTCAATAATGGGATGAAATGAGAGATGTGTGCATAAATAAATGAATGTTCTCATATTGATTTTGCGTTGTATATTATTCATAAATTTATTGACACGATGTGTGATATGTGTTTCAGGCGCTTCGATGGGACGCTGAGGCGTCCAGGGCGCTTCCCTGGTCGCCCACCCTTCTCTGGGTTGCTTCTGAACCACATCAGGTAAACTATAAATCAGTTGGTGTTGACAAGAAAACACATCGGGGGACTCGGTATTTGTATTGTGAGTGTCACACTTTGGACGTGCGGAAAGAGGGACGCAGAAGTTGTCAAAGAAAAGTGCTGTATTGGGGTTGCGAACGTGCAGCATAACCAGAAGATTGCGTATTCAACTTACCAATAACATTGAGATGAATGTAATGACTTATATGTGGTGTTGATGACACTTGGCACTCATAAATGCCAGAGTCTCTGTGCTGGGGATACTTTATCTGCAGAATCCAATCCTCTGAGTGTGGATGATGAATAGCCCGGAACCTCTGATCAGACGTATACGTGTATCTAAGGATTTTGCATTTCCAGGGGTGTTCCGCACGAAAGGGGCGGCCGAAAAACAAGAGAAGAGGCAAATTTATCATCAGCCGAAAAATGTTCCTGTTTGAGAGGCAAAACAAAAGGACTGCGGCTTGAAGTTTACTGGCCATATCATCCTTGGTCCCGCATAAAATTGTCGGCGAGGATTTTTGTGTTCTTCCGCCACTTGCACAAATCATATTTATCTCACAACCTGGCACAGATTTCGCTGCAGAATTCAGCTCAGTGGGGCACAGAAAAAAAGGCATAAAATACGCCCCGAGAAGGTACTTTAACGTGCGATGCAGAGACTGGCTTGCAGCTGAATTGCAGCAGGAAACTTCAATTTCAGTCCTTTCATGCCTCAAAACACGAGCATTGTGTGCCTTATTCTCATTTCACTCTGGGAAACATGTGTATACAGTACCTCCCAACAGTCAATAAGTGTATGTCACGATGTCGAATCCATGATACTTGCAGCAGCATCTGCAACGGAATGGATGGTGGTATTTTTATTAAAACAAATTTATTTGATAAACACAGCGCGATAGGGTATTAAAATGGAATTTATTGTGCGCCATTATCCTCATTGAACATCATAAAAATTGACGTGTTCATTATATTGGAGTCACACAACAGACACTGTGGCTCTAAGTTCGTGTCGCAGCGCTTTTACATTGAGCCCATGCATTCAGATGAGCAATTAAAAATTTTAATACGCGCGCATTACAGTCATTTTTCGAGCTTATAGCGCGAGAAAGCTCCCATTACTGCTTTTACTAATTTATTACATTGTCTCCCAAACCAGCATTTCCAGTAAATTTAAGCCATGATGTAACGCAGAGGATATTCCAATTTCCGTGACAAATTTCACACCACTAGCTGTTGTTTTTAAACTCACATGTATAATAAATATGATGTATTTGATTGACTTCAAAATTCAATGTGTTTATTAAATCAGTCTGACTAAAAAAAAGCTTTAAAACCAAATTTCGGATTCTCTACATTAAGCTAACTAATCTTGCAAGTCTGTCAGCTGGAGAATTCCTTATTAAAACTTCAAAAACCACTGTTTTCTCAGATCAGAAGCGAGATTTTCTATTGGTTACTGCGGTTACATCATGGGCGGATAAGACTCAAAGGGAATCGAAACGTCTGTGAGCAAATAATTCATACACGTGTAGCACGTGAGTAAATCATCACTTGGAGATCCTCTTAAATGTTGAGCCATCGCCTTGACACTGAATTTATTTTGAAAACATCTCTCAAAGATACAATCATTATGGCTTCGCCTAGAGACAAGTAGGTACTTAAATTTCAACTCACCGTCTTATTGCCTAAATTTTTGACCCTGCAATTTAAATAAGCTGTTTTCCCTAAAAGTGCTGTAACATTCTTAGATGCCGCCTTGTCGACGTAAGGTCCTGATTTCTGCTCGTCCACCTCGATATTGTTCTGCTTGAGTGCTGTGCTATCCTTTGCCTTCGAAGACTCTCTCTGCGAGCCCATGACTGTTGGCCAAACGAGAGAAAATCATTAGAATAGTGTTTATCACTGAATTCCACGGACAGGAGACGATGAGGGAGTTTATAAGGTGCAAGTGGCGTATTGGAAAACTCTCATGATCAATGGGGAATCGAGAGTTTGTCAGTTAATTAAAATTTCAATATTGCCCCAAGCAGCGGAGCTCCGATAAATCATTCGCCCGAAAGTTGCCAAGTGGCTGAGATATTTTTCAAAATAAGTACGCCATATAATTTTCCGACGGTGATAAAGTCGGGCAATTCTAATGGGCGCGCGAGTGCTTAATTTTGCGCCTTGTGAGGTGTGCCGTGGCAATAATGAGATGCTGAAATTTGTCTAAACCAATATCGTGCACACATAAGTTATTGTGAATACACCTAAGGAGGTTAAATTTATGTTCACCATTTAAGTAGGTGTTGGAAACCAAGATGTGGTTTCTCTTAATGAGGGTGGAATTTTCCTCCATATAAAATTATATACGCCAATTTAATCATTCTTATGTACAACCATTTGAATTAAGGGAAGAAAACGACCAAATGGTAGTTATATGGTTTCTTTGGGATAGAAAATTTCAGCAGATGTGGTTGTAAATGGCACACCATACAACAAAGTAAATGATAATTTGAGTTTAGTTACTTGTTCCACCCAAGAATTACATATTTCCATGTTAGTCCCCGGCGAAATTGTGATTTGCCAGAGTCGTAATACAAAATAACGAGGGCACAAGATCGTGGCATATTGCAGATCTGCTAGTCAAATAATAATAAACGGAGGGAAATTTGCGCACCAGAGAATGCAACGCGTGATGGAACAATAATTCCTTTTTTACAATCCACATTTATAGCCGCTAATAAGATGACAATCTCAAGTGAAACAGATTTAGCCATTTCCGCCACTTCACTCCTTTTTGATTTCCTGCCTTCCGCCCGCCGCTTTTCCCGCTCCCCATTTTCCAGGAGCAACATTGAAAGTTAACAACTTTCTCGCCCTCCGCGCTTCGCCTAGAAAATTAGAGCACAGAGTCAAATTCAGGTTTCCAAATCTCCCACTTATACTTGTTCTACGCAATGAACTTTCCTGCTTGGAAAACTGATATGGAATCACGAACTTGGTGGGAAAATATCGATTGGAAAATCTTTCACGTAAGGCATGTTTTGCTTGTATGAAAACCCGTCTCGGGGTGCTTGACTTTGGTAAGAATGTGGAGAAATAATAAAAAAAGACGTGCTTACACTAGCAGATAGTTCTTGTGAGCACATTGGGAAAACCTTCGGTGTTTGGATAAACTTTTCCACATTAATATTCATGCCCAAATTGACTTGCTGAAATATTAAATGCTCGCCACTTGACTGACTTGAAAATTGATTAACAATCATGCCTGAGAGAGTTGGAAAAAGAGTTTGCAGATGATGGATACTTCAGCATGACCTGTAGCATTGGAATTTGATAGATGGGCTTGGGAAATCTTATGCACTTTGTATGGAGTCGATTTCACAGCCAGGCGCCGTTTATCTGACCGGAATCTCGGTCACGACATGTGAATATTCAAAGGATTCTTCACGAGAGATTTGAATTTTAAATGTTAATTTCTCACAACTTCTTTTCCCTGGATTTATGGCCTTTATTAACATGAATGATTTTGTGTTTCTACTGATGCTATAAAGTGATCATAAATTTGGAGAACATGTTGGTCCAGCGCCTTGAAGATAAACTATTTTAACTACTAAATAGAGCATATAACATGAACTTATCCCCAAGTCTATTAAAAAGACTTCATACTATTTCACCCTCAACGGATTTTCCCCTTCTCATGGTAACCTTATGTGGCAAAGTTAAATGTAAGATAACACCATTTATTTATCAAACTTATATAAAGTATTTAATTTGCGCTGTTCATATGAAATTTTATAAAAGACTCTTTTTATCAACAAACAAAGCTTTAATTCAACTCTTGATTACAGAGTGAATCAGAGCTTCAAAGTTTCATATGTAGAATGTCAACGCCGTCTAATTACTAAGTGTCGAGAAGCGATAAAATAATTTCTTGAACTCCCTGGAAAAAATATCATCAATCATTTGGCGTTAACATAAGACAGCATAATTCGAGAAAATGGAGAGACTTGATTATGAGAATTGTTAGTAAAGCTCCGAGAATATCCATTTTCTACATACATTTTCATATGAAAGAACTCCGGGAAACAAAGCGAAATGAAGTTATTCTTCAGTGGCAGAAGCACTTAGGCTTTAAACTACAACTTATTCATTTGAAATCCACACCATTTGACCTCGAAGCAATAATACTTTATTCATTTCATTCATTAAGCATGAAAATTGCAACCCTGATGCAATTCTGATGAATAAAATTTTAATGTTATGTATGTGGAGTCAAAAGGCTAATCCAATATTAGCTCACTCAGCTATTTGGCACAACAATAAGCTGCACAAAAGTTTTATGAAAACTGTCAGAATATGTAAAAATGTATTATATTTGGTGACAACCGAAAGGGTTGAAAAGTAAGCTCTCGAAATAGCGTTTTATTGCATAAATTCTGTTTTAATTATAGAAAGAGTTGGAGTTTACATGGTATAATTTCCAAGTATATTTGAAAACTTTCTAAATAACTCCCCTCAATCAATGCGTGGGCACATTAATGGCGGCCCAAAAATATCACTAATCTGTATTTTGGCTGCGGTTCTCTTTGTTGTGCTGAGGCCTCTCGACCTGATTTGATGGCCTCTTGAGACGTTTGCTCAAGGAAGGGGGAATTAATGAAAAAGTTCAATAGCGTAGGAATCAGTGGAGAGCAAGCAAAGACGCCCCGCACCTTTGGCATTTCAATGAGATTGCCTAAATGGCATATTCAATTACTAGTTGCATTAAAATTAATTGAGCTTGAAATAGGCACGGAGGCTCTTGATGAAACTTCACGATGGGGGATTTGGAGTTATACCAAAATCTCACTAAATGTATTTACATATCAACATTATGTATAGTTTTTCCCTCGCAATTCCCCGCACACTCATGCCGGGAAATTAGGTTACACGTAGCAAATTAGAGAAAATCTCTTTTAAGGTGATGGAGTGAAACCTAATTTCGATTCTTGGCAAGCGCAACTATCATCCGGTTCCAGCATTTTCTCACTCGCAATTTCCTAGAATATTTTTTCCTCTCCATTCTCTCTCTCTCTCGTCGCTTTCTCTCACTTCTAGTCTACTTTCATGGGTATCTTTCAAATAAAATCGTCTTATATAAAGTGAGGGAGGCGAGGGAGATGAGAAGAAAACACAATTCCGCATGTCGCACTGAATAAATTGTTCCTCATAAAGAAAGCCATACAATGAAAATGTAGATGTGTAACCATTCGGGGTGTGCTTGTGTTATGTCTTCATTTTCTAACACTCTAGTACACTATTGCACCCCCGGCTCAGCCCACTCCACATGCGAGCTCCCACTGTTGGTTACGGTGGGGCAATAAAATTACCACCATAGGAGGAATTTTCGATTCCGTCTGCTCTCCCCCCGTCCGCCCGCCCACGTCGAAAACTGTCAAGAGCCCCCAGATAAGGGCGCTCACGGAGGTGCAGGAATCGTGTGGGCATGTTCATTCTTGCACGACTGGGTATTTTTGTCACACAAGCTGACGTCTAAAAATAAATGGAATTTTTAAAATATTAATTCCCAACCTTCCAGTGACCGTCACAGCCTTGAACGGAATATAATGAGTGCCCAATTTAATCATCCCGCGCCAGATAGAGGGATTATGCTGGCCTCCTTTGAACACGAGTTGTGTGCGGTAATTTGCAGTCAATTTTCTGGAAAACACTCCAGTGCTCTAATGGGGCTCTTGTGCCACCGCCAAGTCGGTCCTATTGATTTTCCCTGATGACTTTCAAAACACACACCCGAGGAAGTAAAAAGTTCGCCGGGGTTTGTAAGGGAAAATTGAGGGAATGTTTTGACATTGTGCCGAAAGGCGAGCTCAGCATTGTTCCGTGCGCTGCCTTGCCTACGCCAATATTGTTATTGTCGGAGGAGCAATAAACAAACAGTCGCAATTAGCATACCTGAAGAATGTGTGATCAAAAGAGAAGTCATCCATAGGATCAAAAGAATTATATTTCTGTATGGCGCCATTCCTCGTGACGGACGATCCGGGGGTAGATTTCTGCTGCTGGTGAATCCAATCACGCGGCGCGCAAAGCACTCAAAAAACTTCGGAAGTGTACAAAATGATAAAATACGGGCTACAAGGTACACAATATCAACTCTTGTTCACTTTGCACAGTTTCCCTTATATGAAAAATAATGTATAATATTTACATATTAGCTCAGAAAACACTCGAGTTTTTATGCTCACTACAGCACTTTCTTCTCAGAGATATTAACTCTATGGTGAAATTATCTGAAATATTCAGATATCTTGAAGACATCTCTCAGTCTTAGCTGTACACACGTTTGCGGTGTCATTTGGAGAGATTGCTACATCTCCTTCGTGGGATCAATCTGAAACACGAGATAGAGTAGCGCTTGTTAGCAAATGGAATGTAATATTGGGGAATGGCAGGCAATGCAATAACAGATTAAGATAACACACACACATTCCAAGCATTCGCCAACATTGTAAAAATAAAGAACAAATGGGGTGACTTTTCTTTGTAAATTGCCTGTAGATGGAAATTGACAAAAGCTGTTTGGCCCAATTTTATTTATCAGCGCTGCTTTTGATCCATGTTTTTTGCATTTTTTTTTATCCCATCCGAGATCAGTTCGTACAATGTTTTTTTTTGATGAATTTTAATCAAATATCCCAAAATATATCCCTCATTTTCCCAAAATACCTCATCGCAGTAACTATTCCTGATATTCAATGAATCTCAACGGTAATTTAATTCTCGCTTAATTCCAACGGTTTCACCGAGCGAATATTCATGATATTTTCAGAGAAAAATTGCATTAGTAGCTTTTGTATCGATTTTAATCGTCAGTAGTTATGCAAATGAAGGGGAAAGATACATAGAATATGATTTTCCCACAAAAAAAACATCAGAAGATAGTTTGCTTCATTTATCTAATATTAATTGGTACATTGATTTCTTTTAAGTTCTTTGAGCACGTACAAATCGAGGAGATTTTATCATCAACACTTGCATTCAAAAGATGCACACAGTTTTTAAAAGGCGGAAAATATGGTATGATTGAAAAAGTCTGTTGTCCAGGATAAAAAGAGGAGTAAAAATATGCAAAACAGAACAAGTTTTGTGTCTTTCACAATAGTTATGAAGGATTGGATTGAAGTTATAATATTATGTAAATCTTTTTGCAAACTTCAGAAACACGATCTCTCCCAGGTTGTTACAGTTTAATTTGAAAAACGACACCCAAAATTCTCTTTAGGGACTTCATGCCAAAGTGACAAAGATGAAGAAACAATGAGTCTTGAAAACAGAAGCATGAAATGAGAAACTTTATAAGAAAAGCCAAAATGGTCAGAAAGTTTTGCAAAATTCATGGAAAATAACTATGAAAATCATTCGAAAAGTCTACCAAAGACGCAATATAATTATATTGTGGCTTTCGTCCATATTTTGTGAGGTAGGATTGAAATCTTCACACTAAAGAGTATCTCAAGATACTTTGAAGGCGCAAAATAAGAAGATGAAAAATGTCCAGTTATTCTAGGAAACGTAATCACAAGGGATTTTTTCTCTGAACAGAAGGCAACCGCGCAGTACATGAAAAGGAACATGTCATATAAAGAAAGATGTCAGCATCATTTCAAATATTCATCACATATACGATATTGCAACGTTTGTAAAATATTCTCGAAAGAACAATAAATATGTATTAAATTTTTGTAACCTAATATGAATAGGATTACGAATGAATATCTTTTCAATAAATTCAACAATTTTTAGAATTTCCTTATCTCAAGATTTCTGGGAAATTAAATGAATTTTTACACGAAAAGTAAGTATTTAATTTTTCAAGCCCTAAATCACTCAGCAGACATTATGTCGAGAGGGAACTTATGTACATAAACTATGCACACACAAGCTAATGTAATATTACTTCTGACAAAACGTGACGGAAAATTTTGGATTGATGATGAATAGTTAAAGTAGACACAATTTTCTAAACGCACAATTGATTCTATTGATTTGATGACTTTGAGTGAGGCTTAATTTCCGCCCATCTAATGAACACCTCAAATCTAATAAACTAACATTGACATAGAATCACATTTCAAATTTATTTAAAGCCCCGCTGAGTAGAATTTCGGTGGATGCTCTGGTGTTTTTATCGTCTTGTGGTATTTTCTTTATAAATACAGCAGGTACAAGTACATTATCTCCACTTCAATTTAGTAGAAATTGTTTGAACTTTCTATCTTGGCGGGATGTTAAATACTCATGTCTACACTCCGCTTCCAAGTATTACATCCAAACATCCTCGGGCGGAGTGTATTTATTTAGAGAAATGAAATATTTATTATTGTACTGCTGGGTGAATTTCCAGTTTCCCCAGTTTCTCAGCGGAGCGAAAATAGATAAGAAGACATCGAGAAACGGGTGATTTGAATTACAGCTTAATTGGTAAAATTCCAGCGAAGGGCGATTTGTACCTCTTCAAAAATTTACAGAAATGCCTCTCGCATGCCAAGTAGCTTTTCATCGTTGGTGGAAAGTAATTTTACTAGTTTTCCACTCCGTTACCTTTTGGGAAATTTATGGCAATCGCTATTCAGAGGAGCCACTTAGTTAAATTTACCATCAGAACACAAATCATTCGCGGATTTATTCAATTGTGATTGCAACCTAGTTTGTACACAGAAAGTTTAGCAGAATATTTTGTGAAATATTGCATTAATAAAACTTTCTCAACACAAATAACCAACAGCAAAGACGCACAGCCATTAAACGCCACGGATCTGGGGAATTAAAAGTTTCCCTAATGGACGAGAGAGTCACGCGGTGAACCTATTTCTGGCTGAGGGGAAGAGAAATCCGGATAGCACTTAATGTGTTTGGAGAATTTGGTTCCCGTCACTTTCTGGCAGATGATATGAGCCGTTGAGGGAGCAATAAAAGAAGGTGCGAAATCTATATTTAAATTCCCTCCCCAACCAAAATCCATTTAAAGACGATTAGGTGATGATGTGATTCATATGCTGCTCTACAGCAACTCTTTCGCCAGCTGGAATTCCTAATTCACATGCATATCACACACACACACATGCATACAGAGTTGCAGGAAAAGCCAATGGCATGCGGCCAGGATTTCCATTGGAAAATTGGGGGCGCTTTTGGGGCGAGAGTGTTTAATTGAAATGCTGGCGACATGCAAATCATGCCCGTCTCTCCTCACCTCTTGCTTCCGATATTGTATCCATTTAGCAGCAAATTCCTTTGTATTTGAATTTAGTGAACAATATATGTATAGCCATCCTTAATCCATGAGATTAGAGATCTCGGAACAGCGAGTCATTGTACAACTCTTATCACTTTCGATGCCACAACAATATTCATACTTGAGCTCGTCTTCTTCGCTTTGGAGCGGAAAATGTTTCTTATCTGAAAATTGCAGTTCCTTGTACTCTCTGGTTTTCCACGCGTGAATCACAATAAAGCATTAATATAACTTTTTTTTACTCCTATCCAGCACACATTGCTAGATATCACTGTTTCTCTCTCCTCCTCGTGTGCGATATCCTTGTGAGTGGTTCAAATATCCAATATGTACACTGTACAGGCGATCGAGTCAGAACATATAATTCGGACCTTTTTGCTGGTGCCCAACCACTTATTAGAATCACTAAATCAGAATTAAAGGGAACGGGGCCAAGAAACGAATTACATTAATGAATGAAGGCGAAAAGGAGCAGCCAATTGGCTCCGCCGCACATTCTCAAGAGCGTCGCAGAAGTCAAGGTGTACGACTTGCTCTAGTATAAAAGAATCTATGACTATTCCTTAACGTCACCACTGGCAAGTTCTCTGGGAATAATTAATGGGAAATTGATTTTCTCCGGTGGGCTAGCCTTTTCGACGGGTGCTCTCTCTTTCTCGCACACTGTGCAAACATAGGCCGGTCTCACTGCGAAAAGGAATGCGCGCTCGTGTCCTGATTTTGAGGTACCACACTTTCAATAATTCACATGCACACTGGGAGCCATTCACCTGCGGGGCTCCTGCAATTTCCACCGATAGCGCCTCGCCACGGGCAGTTGCATGTGAGCCCAGGTGGCACGATAATGGCGGGGTTCAGGCTAATTAGAGATTACACGCGGAACAGCATTCTCACTCTGACCCGATGCATCGAACCTCCAAGTTCTACTGATACAGCGGAATAATTCAACTGTCCTTCGCTCATCGTCCCCGTACCATTTGGCCTCACGATTGCGCACCACGACGCCAGGTTGCGGCGGGGAAGGCGCGCTGGGGAAGTGGCCGCACGAGAGGAGAGGCGGAAAATTAAGAAACATCTGTATAAATTCATACCCTCCTTCTGAGGTATAATAAAAAGTAGATAATTTCCTCTGTGCTGAATTAATATTTGGATAAACAGTGTCCTTTTTTCCGCGCGCACTTCCCTGAGCTAGATTGCCCACCCCCGCTGCGATGTGAAAAGCAGCAATTAGGATAATTTATTGAATATTTCGATCTCGCAAGATGTTTCTGCGGGGACATAATTTATGCGGAAAATATGCTATGATTTAGTACGGACAGTGCTCAACACTTAATGGGAGGGCAGGAATTTACGACCTGTTTATGAGCTCATAAGGGGAATACCTAACATTGACAGCATAATTGCCTGTTTATACCGTTGGAAGAATTGTCCGACCCCCAAAATTTATACACTCTCCACAGCAGCGACAAACAATTTCTCAAACTTCTTACTCACACATCACGCATAACAGCATCGTCGTCACTCAATGACTCATTAGAGCAAACATAGAGGAAAGTTGGATTCATCTATCATCATCTAAGCATGTGTAAATTGCAGTGGATTAGCACAATTTGTCGCGAATTGACGCGCACCCCAGCAAAATACCACGACATCAGTTTGTGGCATAAGATGCTAATATATTATTCACGTGGATAAAAAGGGGTCGCCACACAGAGAAATGCTGGCAAAATGTATTGTTTATTTATTTTAACGATCTTCTGTGTATAAATTTCATTATTATACCTGATTATATTCCCCGGCAGCTGTACGAATTAATCGATTTGTCCGTACTCTTGCGCAAATACCGAAATGCGCATGGGAGAGAGGGCAAAACTTAGGACGGAGAGCCACTCGGGTGTTTGGGAAGACCATCAGGAAATAATTCATAAACCACGCTGAGCATTGTGCATTATCTATATGTAATGGAATTGCATGGAAAATAATGAAATTGTGGAAGTAATGTCACCATTAAGCAATATGCACGTACAGCCTCGGCTCTCACGTTCACGCGGACGACCTCATAATTGCTGTGCCAACAGCGGAGGGCGAGTGTATTACATTTTCAGGTATTAGCTTAGTATATTAATTGCTATTGATGGATTTAGGTGGGGGATTATTGTTCAAAATTGATTTCAATTGAATTCACAAATTCATCTCGGATATGCAATCAATCGCACTTTAAGCGATTCCCAAATACGTTACAATTCATAATGCCGTTGAATGTTTAAAATCACAATTGGGACTCAGCTGACTGAAAATGCTTCATGCACTTGATTAAAATAAAACCGATTGATTGACATGCAAATTAAGCAATGAAACACATTTAAAACTATGCACAATATAATTAGTTGGCAATGCATAATCCGCTTTATCTAATTCAATTGTATGAAATTAAAACTCCACAAGAGACTTAAATCCCCTTTTCTAATTTGAAGAGTCCACATTTTTTTTTAATTAGCTCAGCAATTGGTGGTCGACTGATATCTCTATGGCTTATGATTTCTTTCCTTAAATTGATATTTAAATGTGTAATGCTTTTGTAAGAGACTCAAAATATGTGCACAAATTTGATCTACTTTTAGGCTTTCGCGATCTACTGGTGAACTGAAAAACTCATCAGATTCTAGAATTCGACGTTAAGAATAAGGTTCAATTCGAACACGATATCAGATTTCACAGGTATGCCTTCGTATGCGTTTTGCGAGTGGCGATGCCGTAACTGGGCGTTTGTTCATTACACGAACGCCCATGAATCCTGGCCAAGTGCTCATGGGGAAAACCATCAAAAATACCTAGTAAACACGTGAGGATTTCGACAGTGAAGCACTAATTTATTTCTGTTTAATTTCACCTGTTTATCACGGGTTATGGGAAAAGTGTTGAGGAAAGGAGAATCGTTAAGCACTACAGTTGCTCACACTCGACATTTCTGATTTATGATAAGGGCTAAAATTCTGCCTAATCCCCAAAGGGTTCTAATCACTCATTCAGGATTGTAATTTAAAATTAATTGATGTGAGGCACTTTGAGCGGAAGACATGAGGGCGGCGGGTACGGAGTGTATCGCTTTTCTATTTAAAACTAAACTGAGAAACGTGGAAATCCTCCCCATTTTATCGCGCCACGAGATCAATGGGATCCCATTCGAATTTATTATATAACTCCACATCAGAATCAATGTGAATAGAGCGAGAGCAAGCGACCAATTAAAGCAAATTACTAATGTAATTGCATTAACCTCTCTCACACTGAATCAATTGCAACATTTCACATTGGGGAGCTTTTCCTCTCTTTTCTGTCTTGCTGCGCATTTTTGAGGTGAAATTCGATGCGGAGGCATGAGAAAAATTCCGCTGAGACTCTGTGTTTTCCTTTCACCAGCGAAATGAGATTTCCTAATGTAATAATTCGTATAAGAGATGATTTTCCACTGTATAGAAATAGCAAAAGCCACTCATAGCGAACCACTCAATGTAATATTTATGCTAATAGTCTATGTTCATTTTCCACGCTATTTCTCAATTATATTAATTGAATTGGTGTGCACCTTTGTTTATATGATTTCATATACATTTCCACCTTCTTCAACGTCAATACGCCTCTGCGGGGTGGAAGGCATTCAGTGGCATTCGATTTTCTCATTTTTAGGGCTATCAGAAAAAATATACAACTACGTGTTTTCCGTTGGAAATACAGCCTGAATTAACATGAAAGACTCTTTTTTCTGCACAAGAGGTCAAATAAGGGTATATTTTGGTACACGAGCAATTTATTTATGCTTATTGTTGTTCTCAGAATTTTTCTTTTGCTTTCGCCCATTAACAATTTATTTGTTATCTACTACGCGAGCAGAGACTCGATTAGTCAAGAAGAGAGTCCGTAACTTTTTTTTTCCAATTACATTAACAATAATGCCTTATGTAGGTATATAATTTATATGCCCACATCGAACATTGAGGATGCGCGCCTAATTGTTTTCCGCTAATCTATGGTTTAATAAATTCTATCAATGATGCAAATAAGTTCTCACTCGGCGGACTGTTATGTACTCCGAATTGACGCATTGATTTTCTGCTCTTCGAAGGATCTGGCAGAGTGACACAGGCGCACAAATACACGGTCCACAGGCTATAACCACAGCTCGATGGTAAATCAAGTGGAGGGCTCAGTTTCCCCGCCGTGCGCACGCACGAGCCCTAAGGAAGGGGCAATGACACGATTCCCAGTTAATTTGCGAGCACATCTCTTATCATGATTTTGTCACAGGCCAACGCGTCGCACTTCCGCGATAAGCGAGCCTCAGGAAGCCACCTGCACAGTGTGCTCAAGTGCAAGTGGAAAAACTCTACAGGCACCCCAGAGAGAGTGAGAGCAGAGCGCAAGTGGGGGTGTCGCAAAAGGGGAATGATCCAGGGTCAGAGGTAAGATCTAATTTCGTATCCCTCGCGCTGTGTATGTATGCTTTGCAGCCAAATAATTTATAAGCTGATTTACGCTCCGAAGGCCTCAAAATAATATCAAATTTCCTATTAATTAGTAAACTACCGCTTCTTCCACATTATTAATTAACAACATAACATGAGACGCGACACTACAGAGAATGTTAAGCAGCCTGACCCTATAAAGTGATGCACGAAACAGAATCATGGTAAGTCAATGCAACTACTTGAATATAACGAATAAATTTCTTTCAATATGTCACACAATTTGAAGTTTTTCTGTTCTCGTGTAGCTTATTCTGGGGCATTTACTTCACTTTTCCCAAGCTATTTCTGATTTTTATACGAAACATGAGAAAATTCCAAGATTAAGTTGAAATGAATCATATTTCATTGAGTTCATTTTGGTCCTTATTGCTCAATTTAACACAATAATTATTAGAATTCGGTCCAGAGACTCCACAGATAACCATAACCAAGTCATAACGCCATCGTAATACCGACCTTGCTCGCCTAATTGGAAACTGCTCGGAATCGATGCTCTATTTGCCGATGCAGAAGTCCTTAAAGATGACATCTAGAATCTCATCCGTGGTCACGGCGCCGGTGATTTTGCCAATTGCCTGAATAACACGGCGAATTTCTTCTGCCACGATGGCAAAATCTAATTCAACGGATGAATTGCCAGCAAGAAGGCCTACATAGTCACGAAATGTGGCCAAATGAATTAGTGCTTCGCATAATAAATGACGATGTCGTGCTTGACTTAAGACAGGATGCTCGGCCGAGGGTTCTCCACAGCTGAAATAAAGGAACAGAGAGAAATAGAGTGGAATTAAAAGTTTCTGCCTCATCCCACTTACATTTTTTGCAAACTCCTCTGCAATTCATCAATTGCAGTGGCCAATCCTGCCGAGGTCTTGCAGGATATCCACGCGAGTCTGGGAAGCGTGCTATCGGGCACTTCGCTAATGAGGTCCGTTTTATTGATGAGATAGACGAATTCGCTCGAGTGTATCTCGATTTCCATCTCCCTCAAGTATTTGTCAATGAAATGCTGAAGAGAGTCTCCGGGATGCTGGCTGAGATGATGGACCACTTGCGTGGCATCGAGGAGGATGATGGTGAAATCGGCGTATTTGGCGCACTCCCTGGCTCTAGACATGCCCTCATCCTCAACAATGTCACTCCCACGTCGCCTGAGCCCAGCCGTGTCGGATATTACAACTGGGTAGCCACTCACGTTGCAGCCCACTTCAACAATGTCTCGAGTTGTCCCAGCAATATCTGTTACAATTGAAACTGGTCTCTGTGCTAAAATATTCATAAAACTGCTCTTGCCGACATTCGGAGCACCCACAATAGCGGCACGTACGCCTTGGCGCAGGATCTCCCCTTTCCGCCCGTCCTCAATGTGCTCCTTCATCTCCCTCTCGACCAATACGGCCACCCTCTCGACATCTCTCAGCACAGCATCGTCGAAATTCTCGTCCTCTGCGAAGTCTATGAATGCCTCGAAGTGGGCGAGAATGCCTTTCAGCTTCTCTCGCCACGAATTGTACTTCTTAGACAATAGCCCATTGGCCTGCATGAGTGCCTGTTTTCTCTGCATCTCCGTCTCGGCGTGAATGAGATCTGCAATGCCTTCAGCTTCAGTCAAATCCATCTTTCCGGAGTAGAAAGCCCTCTTTGTGAACTCTCCGGGCGCTGCTGGCCTCAATCCAGGCACACTGCCCAGAGCATCAAGGATGGCAGCCACCACAGCTCGTCCCCCGTGAACGTGGAACTCACACGAGTCCTCTCCAGTGAAGCTGGCCGGTCCCGGAAACCACAGAATCAATCCCCGATCAATGAACTCTCTAGAGGTGGGGTGGAAAATCTTCTTCACAAGAGCATTGCGAGGCATTGGGTCTGTTTTGAATGATGCTAAGCTCTTCAGGGCAGTCAACGAGGCTGATCCAGACACTCTTATCACAGCCACTCCACATCTTCCCTGGCCTGTAGAGGAACATAGAATGTAAACACACTAAATACGAGAGACAATTCTATAGAATTACCTGACGACAAGCTGTAAATTGTATTGGCAGTTGAGTAGTACCTGTTTCTGAACAATTTCACACCACATGAATAGAGGGTATTTAATTTTATCAGCATATTTTGTGAGAATTAGGAGCACTGAAAGAGCTGCCTAGAATGAATGTAAACAAATTGCCGTGTGTCATTTTGTGTTCAGTGGCGGTATGAAGAGGTCGCTGTGAGCGGAAACGATGAAAATTAAATTGTTCAAACGGTTTCAGCAGTCCGGGAAAAATTGTTCGCTTTTCACCCTTTACACTTCAAAATTTTTATCAATGTCTTCTCTTACCAAAAATCTCGTGTCTACCATCAATTCCGCTTCAAAATTCGTACGAATGATTCACAAAGGCAGAGCTCCGTGTGGAGCAGAAAAATCTCAAGTTTCTCGACAGTCTCGAAGGAAGTGCAAGGAGCAGCCCGAGGAATTTCTCAGATTTTCTTATCTGAGGTACAAGGCAGATCGTGGCAAAGAACAACTACCTGAGGAAGAGTTCATTGTCCCGCCGCTGCATCTAAAGAAGTCCATCAGAATGCCGAGATGCACGGAGGCTTTAGACAAGGTGAACAGGAAATCCGTGCACAAGCTGAAGGAATGCGGGGAGAAAAATCCACCGCCATTATCGGCGAGTGACATCCTGAAGGAAACGCGCAGGGATGCTTTTATTCCGGCCTCTCAGGCCATTAATTGCGAGTGTATTTGATGCATATGTACAGTGTTTGGCAATGAAAAATTAAACTAGTCGCTAATCTCCTCTAGTCGTGTTAATTTATCAATGGGGCTGCGATGGCAATTTGGATAGTGTTGGTCACAATCCCCATGGTGTCGTCCAATGGCCTCGGCTTCTTCGTAAGCCAGCCTCAAGCACTCCTCCTCGTCAACGAAGGATTGATGAACAGACGGTCTGAATAAAGTATTTTAATTGAAGCCAACAATTGTTTTTCGGATGTTTTTACTCACGTGAAAATAAAATGCAGAACTTCTTCAATGAGATCATCGTGTTCGTGAGCCAGTGGATATTTGGCCATTTGGCAGACAGCTTTCAGCAGGCACTCCTCCTCATTTTCCACACCTTGCCTGAAATTCACCATTCAAATCAACTTCCAGACAAAATTGCCAATGCAAATTGTGCACTCACACTTTCAGAATATCCCCCAGAATCCTGTAGAACTCCCCAGCCGTGAGATCTCTCTTCACATGGTTGTAGCTCGAGTGCTGTGAAGTCTCGTTGGCGGGCTCAGGGAGAGATCTGGATTGCCAGATAGGAGGGTTGTAGAACTCGGCCGGAGTCCAGGGAGTGTTGTAGTTCACTTGCACGCCCATGTTGAGGGCCACTTTCCTGTTGGGAATGTTGATGGGAAGCACCATGGCCATTGTACACTGCAGAACTGTGTATCGCGGAAAGAGCAGTGCGTCGGCGGTGAAGATGAGGGAGATGCTGATGAGCAAAGTCAACTCAATCATGACTGTTGCAGCGAAGAGGTGTCACTGAGCCTCTAACTTGGGATTAACTCCAGAAATGTCGTGTCTTTAGCGGGATGACAGTGCTAACGAGTTAAATAAATTACATCTCACGTCTTAATCTAGGAAGGTATCACGTGAATCAATAACAAATGACAATAAAAATAACAGTGAAAAATATCTTAACCCTCGCCAGTCACTGAATGAAAAGTGAGGAAGACACGATAAGAGTTGAGCTTAAGAGTACTGTTGTTCATTTAGGATAATTATATATATACCAATTAAAACAATACGCAAAAAGCATGCTAAAATGTAATAGAATATAAGGATGCAAAAATTCAATAAAGTTTACTTGATAATATGCATACAAACTCTCTTTATTTTTAAGCCATCTCAGAATCGTTAAAGGAAGTAACACAGGCGTTAAATTCACGTGATTCGCAAGATGAGTAATACTGAAATTGCGCTAAAAATTTTGTCTTTAGATATGCTTAACGAATTTTCCAGATCTCGTGATGGGAATATCCAATTAAATATGGTCCAGTAGCAATTTTGTGCGCTAAACAGGCTAAACAATTGGAATCGTATTTTGTCTGCTGGACGTTGACTTTTCCGTGTGGTCTTCATTACAATCCATTAAAGTGCTCATTAACATAATTAAGCTCGGCAAATATTCTTTGACATCGTGGAAGGGCTGCTCGAGCGTCAAATCTCGCAGCTTGGCATTGTCTTACCGAATATCGATAGTGTCTCATGATGATGATTAACTCGCTGGTGACGCTCGTGGTACTTTTCCTCCTGCTGAGCAGTGCAAAAACTGACGGTGAAAATGTGCAGGATAGTGAGACTCTGAGTCGTCGGAAGCGCTTCTTGCTCATCTTCAATAATGGTGGCTTGGCGAAAGCCGTCTTGGGAATTTCCGCTCCAGTGATTTTCAACGATAAGACGAAGAGGAGTCTCAATATGTCTTATAACTTCCAAGCACAGTATCAATTTCTCCCGAATGTGACATCGCCCTTGGCCGATCCATTCTTCACGGGTCTCCAGAGACGTCGCAAGCGCCAATCGCCGACCAGGAGTGCTCCAGATGAGTCGAGGAAGTACCTCTATGCCCTGCTCGAGGGGCTGATGAGGCATCGGGGCGTGGATGGAGAGCAGTGTCTCCTTCGGGCGATCTGCGAAGTCGCCGAGAGTCCATGCAAACACAACGGTCTCGTCGGTGAATTAATAGACCTCATTTTCACGTAAATCCTCTGCCAGCTCTTCATTGCTCACCCTTGACATCTCATTAATTTTTGCCCACATCAACAGACCGCACGAGCACGAGGCGCAGCCCGAGCACGTCCAGGCACGTTTCATCGGCCTCCGGGGAGGAAATTGTGCATCCACGTACAGCCTGTGCCCACGCGGTGAAGGTCTGCTCGACGCAATAAGTGTGATTATGTAGGAAGATGAGCAGAGTTTGCATTGCCGCTTAGCGCTCAATTTACAATTAAATTGATTACGAATGGGCGAAAACTGTAAAATGCTCTTTTAAGTATTTTCCGTATGTTCATATTGCCATGAGAGCAGTTTAAGTGCTGAGCTCGAAGTTTAATGTCGCACTATGAAAATGAAGTGGGTGCTTTTGCTCGTGCTAATGCCACTTTGCCGCTCGTTGATGAACATCTCAGAAGTTGGTGAAAGACAGAGGCGTTATCTCATCTATCCACCCAACGGTGGATTAGTTAAAATTATTCTGGGCATTAGTGCACCCATTGTGCTGTCTGGCAAGCGCAGCATGGGCTGTGCATACAACTTGCAAGGGCAGTTTCGAGTGCCGAGCGAAGTCATGTGGCGGCCGGTTACATTTGAGGGGCTCAGCCGGAAGGCGAGGCGAGAGCTTGAGGACATTCAGGCGAACTCAAGGGAGGATGAATCGAGAAAATTGCTGTACTTCATGCTGGAGCGATTCAAGAACTGGTGACGACTCAGAGATTGCGTTTCAAGTGGAAATCCTCTTACTTGCAATTGGAATGTTTTCAGGGCGGGGAAGAATGGCCGAGAGTGTCTGCTGAGGACCATCTGCGAGGTGACTCAATCACCCTTGACGGAGGACAATGGAATTTTCGGAGAATTGATAGACAGCATCTTCATTCCCGGCGACGCCAGGGTGGACCAGCACTTCCAAGATGCCCATCGAGCGGGGCGAGCGGGCATCAATTGCCTGAAAGTGTACAAGAACTGCCCCATGGGAGATGGTTTTCTCGACCAATTCGTATTCAGCTAAGATCCTTTATTGCTTCATATAACCTTCTCACTGTGAAGGATAAGACCCAGAATACTTATTGGGCACTTCTTCTCGTATAATTCACTGCAGTGCTTCTCCTCAGAAGACATGGCTCTGCTGTAGTCGTCGACATAAGAGTATTTCTCAGGTAAACTGCGAGAGAAAAGCATGAGTGTAGATAAATTGTAAATAGATTTTTGAATAAATGGAACGTCTTACGAGAAGAGAAGTCTGAATATATCGTCAAATAGAGAAGTTCCTTTCGGCATGAGCCAATGTTGAGCTTCACAGATTGTTCTCAGAATACAAGATCGACCATCCAATCCAATATCTTTAGTGTTTCTGAAAGTTGCACATATCAGGAATGTAAATTTGATAGTATTGAATCAAAAAACTTAAAAATTTAGCAAAATGACGCATGTGAAATCACCTTTCCATCTCATACTTTTGCCAATCGGATAAGAAGTTTCGTAGATATCGGCCTAAAAGTGACCTCAAACTATTTCATTCCTCCCTGTCCCCTATTATTCTTAACACCACTGTACATTTGCTTGATAAATATTCATCCTTACATGAAATTTTCAATACTCCTGTAGAAATCCCTTCGCTCCCTGTGACCTCTGTAGTGTTGCTTCTGCCAATGTTTTCCCTTCGACCCTTCGAATAAGTGATTCTTATCACTCTGGTACTTTTTATAAGAGAACGGATACCGAGTTTTCTGCAAAAACACATCCTTGTCGCTCTTCCTCCTCGTTGTGTCCATCCTGTCATGATAATCGATGAGATTGTAGAAGTCATCATGCGGAAAGGAATCGTGGTAGAGCACAGGAGGTGCAACAGTTGCTTTCTGCGTCGTGACCACAATTGGCGCGGGATTCTTCCTCTCGGGAAAAATTAGTTTGTCAGGCAGTGGATAGTAGAAATCCACTTCCATGACCATATTGTGCTGTGCCGGCGATTTAAACACGAAAGCCTTCACCACAGAAAGTGTGCACTTGGGAGGATGTTTAATTTTCAGCATTGCGATGTTAATTTGTCACAGATAATGTCCACTCACCAGAACAGTTGATCCTGGCGGAAATACCAAGTATCTCTTCCTTCTGGACAGCACTTCGGGGAATTTGTAGGGATTTTCACTCCAATCCATGCAGAAGACCAAACCGAGATGAATTAGACCGATTGCGGGAAGAATTAAAGATTTTAGGTGCATTTTTCTCAAGGGTCTTGTCTTTACTGAGTGTGATTCTGTGAAATGATGCTGTCTCTGTGCGGGTGTGAAAAATCACTGATTGCGACGATAGTTATAATTTGTTGAGTTAATTAGCACCTGCGACGTATGGACTTCTTTCATCTCCATTTCAGTCAATATGAAAGAATTTTCTCATTGAATAGAAACATTTCTAAAAGACTTATTGGACATTTCTCTCTATAAACTGCATCACATTCGTACTCTTCCAACGCCATTGCATTTCTCAGCTCGTGAGGTGTTTTTGGTGAAACGGGAACTCTGAAAAGTGATTTCAAGCATTTTCAGAAATATTCCACGAATGCATGGTTTAGAATTTGTGACTTACGTGAAAAGTATTCTAAATATGTCATGAAAGAGGGAATGTCCTTTGGGATGAAGAAAATGCCTAGCTTCGCACACAGCTTTCAGGGTGCAATATCGATTTATCGGCTTAAAGTCCACATAATCCCTGCACAAGAGATTCATCTCAACTTTAGTGAAAATCCCCTTCATATTTAATTACATCATGGCACTTACATCATTTTCTCCAGAGTTCTGAACAAGTCTCGGCGTTCCTTATAGGAACTGTGATGCCACAACTCATCATCATCATTGTCGCTGGAGTGAAAATTAATTTGCTGCGATGAGTTAATCAAGCTGTTTGTCTCCTGAAATCCAGCAGCAACATTTTCGCTTTCCGCAAATAGATTTCTCTGGAACCTCTTCACGGGTTTCCATGCATTCCACTGCCATTTGGGATGTTCCCAACTAATAACTTCCTTCGCGACGGGTGCTTTAGTAGTTTTGGTCTTTTTGGCGCGATATTCCTTCCACTTGTTCCACTTTTTCATATAAAACATGGTGTCTGGCATGGGGTAGGAGAAGTTCATTTCGGACACAGTATTGTATCCAGTCGGGGATGAAAATATTATTGCTTTCACCATTGAGAAAGTGGCCTGCATTAGGGAATTATGAATGTGACAATAAATTGCATAATTTTACCGCACTGTGTTGCTTTTCCTTACGGCAATTCCTGCCCCAGGTGGAAATAGTAAAAAGCGTCGTTTCCTCGATAAGAGCCTCTCAAGTCCTTTCGGGTAGTCAGATGAAGTCCCTTGAGTTGCCGCCCAGAGGCAGTTGTGGCACAAGAGTAGTTGGAGAACGAAAATAATCTTCATACTGAATTCTCTTGAATAAACTATATATTTATGTACTGAATTCCCTCAGTGTCACAACATTGAGTGATCCCTTGGAAATCTCTGTTCCGCCTTTTAAATTATATTTCGGGTGGTGTGAAAATGTTTTAAGTCAATATTGAATATAAATTTAGTTCAGTGCTCGGTAAGAGTTATGGACAACATTGTTATATATAAGTGGTTTATTTAACAAACTCCGAAGTCCAGAAGTTGCTCTTGCACATCGAGTACGTCTCTCTGCAGTCGTCAACCTCATGATGAGCTCTCATGTACTCGCTGATGTCGTTCTCACCCGCCAAGTCGAGCTTTGGGAGTCTGAAAGAAATTGCTCCATTTCACATCCATCATGGCAAAAGTGGTGTAAATTGGTCTGACCGAAAGATACTCTTCAGAATGGCGCCCATGAAGGTATTTGGCAAATCCTTGTTATTTCGCGTCTCACAGAGGGACTTGAGAACGCATTCTCTGCCAGATAATCCTTTGCTGCAATGTACAAAGAATATTGTGATAAACAACTGCTCACTTGAAATATGACAGACTCGATTTAAATGATAAACTCAAGCATTGAATCATTCAAAGATTTAGCAATCCAAGCAGATTTGTATCGTCTTTGACAAAAGTGAATTTATAATATCACCAAATTTTCAACCAATCACAGAGATGCAATATTCCCCGGTATGAAAATCATTATTCCCATCATGAAATGTTGCTATGAAGCTCACTCTTCGAGATATCGCTCAATATTGCCATACAGTCGATGGCGTGTTGAAATGTGGTACATTTTGTGCAGTTGCGCCTCCTCATCGTCGACATCCTCAGCGCTTCTCTTGCCAAAAACAGGCTGTATCATGTGTTTGCGGTGTAGCGCCTTCTTGAAACTCCTGAAAATCACGTTCACGCTGAGTACATTGTATATTTTGCCATATTGTCCTGCAGACTCTGCACTCACCTATTGATCGCACTGTCTTTCCTCTTTGGCACTTTCGGAGTATATTTACTGGCGAGCTTCTTCACATAACTGAACTTATTGTCCTCATTGCCCTTGAAGTAATGCTGGAATCTATCACTCTCAATCCACGGATTTGGCCTGTTGTTCTCATAGTAAATCTGGGGCGGATCTTTCTTCCTTTGGATTTTTTCATACTGCACTCGAGAGGCGATCTTCGGATCGTCATTGTAGTAGAGATCGTGCTTGTTGGCAAACTTGAAACGATTTTTCCAATCGGCAGATGAAATATAGGAAATATGATTTATATTATCCACTTTTGAAGTGTTATCAGCCTTCTTGTCACTCTTGAGAACGTCGAATTTATTAACAAAGTCCGCTTCTAATTCGCTCAAGGGTTTCGACGGCAATTCATAGGCAATGGCAACAGTTACTCCTACTGTGAAAACCAGAGGCAGAGCAACGATAGGAATCGTCTGATCGTAAATCACTTGCAAGGAACTTCCTTCCGGAAATGACAAATAGCGCTTCCTTCGCGACAATTTCCTGCCCTGCCCATCATCAGCACACGTCACAATCCCAATGATGAGGCAAAGAATGAACCACGACTGTTGCATCATGTCTTTCCCACTAAGACCCACAAGTCATCACTAATAACACTTCCATCATCAACTGATTCCAAATACAAGAGTCTGCACTTTAATTGCCCGGTCTTGATCCAACCATGATCTCAGAAACGCACACATTTCTGGGCACATAGCAAAAATACCACAGTTTATCTGTTCATCAACACTCTAAAACATAACACCACGAGTATTTATATTGTGTGCAGAGACAAAGTCTATATAGTACTCCAGTTTTTCATCTTTATCCCCACTTCGAATTGTAATACATTTTCTCAGAATTCTCAGATACTTATTAAGTGTGATAAATTAACTGTTCTTTGATAAATAGCAAGTTCTGTCTCACGCCAGATGAACTCGTGAAAATTTTATTTTCCGATATAACACCTCTTGGCTGAACGCACAGTGGCGGAAAAAGAAATAGCATACATGTAGTATTTTATTACTCTGCTGGGCATATATCCAATGGAATAGACAAATTTGATAAATCTAAATATTTGAAAAATCAACGTATATAAAATCTTTAAACTGAATACATGAATTGGGAACATTATTTATAATTATTGCTATGCAATTAATTAATTCTATAACATTTTGTATGAACCTATAAACATTCTCATTTATCATGTAAAAATAACTAACAAATAATTTTCAATTACCGATTAACCAACCGATAAATCCCGTCAGTGCCATTAGAGAATGAATATCATCAGGAGTCGACTAAATAAATAATTCATTTTATTGCAACATTAGAAAGCAGAAGTCAATACTGAATATGGAGTTTTATTGCCACACATTCAATGGTTAGTATAATTTAATGCCTTCACTACATGTTCATAAAGTGATTATCCCACAAATTGTATTCGCATTTATCATAAATAAGAGAGCAGTCTCCATTCGTGCCATGATGTGCATTGTGGTACCGGAGGAAGTCAGTATCGTCCAGCAAGTTGGTGTCCTTTGGCAAACTGGGAGAGAATGCAGAGCACTTAGCAAATTTTAATGCTTTTAGTGAGTGTTCTTACCTAAAAACCGCCTTCATTATTTCCGATATGAATGTGTTTGGCAATTCTGATGACATTCTCGACTGGCAGAGTGTTTTCAGGACACACTCACGTCCATTCACACCTTTGCTATTATAATACATAAAATCAGCTTAAGCAGTCACATATAATGAACTTTGGTAAACAGTGTGGTAATACCTGTCGAGGTAAGTTTCAATTCTCGAGTAGAGTTTATGGCGAGAGAGGCTTGGCTCTATTTGGAACTTCTCATTGAACTTTGTTGAGTTAAATTGGCTCTCTTCTGCACTTCGTTTAGCCAATATTGGAAGAAGTTTAATGTGATTATTTCTGTGGCCCAGACCATTTCTTCTCCATGGATGCGCTTGAAACTTGTGTTGGTATTTCGCAAAGGGATGCTGTTTGTATGAATAGTTGGGATGGCCATTGATGTTCTGCTTGAATCTGTGTGGAAAGTACATCTCTCGTATAATTTCATCGTGGCTTTTAATACAGCGTCCTTACTTCTCCTTTATGTTTGTCCATAAATTTTTCAGGTCAACGACTGCGGGTTGCTTGGAGAAGTGCTCCAAAAGACTTGTATTGAACAGTGGCTGGCGGTAGTTGTTCCATTTGGGGGGCGCTTTCACTCCGACCGCAGGAGTGTCCGTGTAGTAATAAGTGTGCTTCGTGTACTTGCTGGGTTTGTCAACATATTTCACTTTGGTGATGTCCTGGTCGTGTCGCAGGCCCAGAGTGCCGTTCTTGATGCGCTCTCCGAGCTCCTCGGCGATGTCACTCAGCGGATAGTAGGGCAGCTCGTAGCCAACGGAGCCAGAGATGCCCAGAATAAACACAATTGGCAATCCGTAGATTGGTATTCCCTGGAAGTGCACAACTTGCAGGGAAGATCCTTCGGGGAAGATGAGCCAGCGCTTTTTCCGCGACAAAATACGATGGCTATCATTGTGATGCACAGACTCGGCAATGTCGCCAAAGAGCACGAAAAGCAGCAAGAAATTCCACTTCATTTTCCGAAATGCTCTACTGAAATACTAAGTTAAGAAGATCTTTGGCCGAGGAGATCCCCAAAAATTTCCTACCACCACTCACAGCATGGAAAAGTAGTCTTCTGGGTTAGACAAGAATTTAATGCAATTAAAACACATTAGCGCTACAATGTTATTCGGGGAATTTCCCATTGCTCCAAGACGGAAGTACAATACTCTCCGTTAGACGCCTCACAAGTCCGTGTACGGTGACAAATTCAGAAAATTTATGGGGCACGACTGGCGCATTTCCTCGCAAGAAGTGGGAATCATGTAGGACTGCCTCCGAAAGTCAACAGCCCACGGAGAGGATGCACTATTTAAATAGCAAGTTAATTCAATTAGGGCGCGAATGTGAGCAATCAAACTTGCTTACCTAAAGACTTTCTTGAACAGCTTCCTGAAAATGCCACTCTCACCCTCGTGAATGTCCTTCGCCTCGCAAACAGACCTCCTCAAGCAAGCACGACCGTCGAAGCCGAGTCTACATATTGGGGATGTTTTCAAAGAAGTATCAATTGAATTGGAATGATGGAACACTCACCCCTCCATAAAAGTCTCGAGAGTGTCGTGAACATCTCGGCGACGGACTTTGTAGCTGGACGGAAATGGCCAGTTGATGTCATAATTCTGGCGAAAGCCATAAGCATGGGCCCAAAGTTGATTCAACTTTATGACATTGTCTTTTATATTCACACGAAACTACAATGGAGAGAAGAATGGTTGTTTAAAGTCGTACAAACACTGAGATTGATTTGAAGACTCACAAAAACCTTTCCACCCTTAATAAAGCCCAAGTATCTTCGGTATCGCTTCACTGTTGTGCCATTTGTGTGACCGGCCGCAAAGATGCCGCACAAGAGGGAGAAAATCACAACAAGATGGGGCAAATTGAACCTCATTTCTATCACTTGAATTCCACAGAGATCCACTAACCAATGATTGACTAGAAATGCTTCTGAAATTCCTCTTCTTGACTGACCAATCTTTCTAGGTCAGTAGCCTTTTGCATATACACTCACTCGTTCTCGCTAGAATGAACTGTTACCCACTAATTGGCACCTCTGATTAGCACTTTAGCTCATCATGGCATATCAGTTTGGGCAAATACATGGATTTTATATTACAATCTCGCTCTCTTCCAGTGACTTGAGAGAGCAATTCAGTCACGTACTTTAGTCTTGAATAACAGAAATATCCTCAAAGGCTATTCATCAAAATGGATAATTGGAAACTTTCAGGTATTTTACCCACCGCATTTAGAAAAGCTGAAGATAAAGAGATTTCCTTTCTTGGCCATTGGAGAGTTAGCACTCTGCAAAGCTCCTTTCGCTTATCTTTTGCGTCTTCTGCACATTCACTCCCGTTAATGTTCAGAATGTGGATTATGCTTTAGTTTACGAGAGTGCCAAATAATCTCAGTTCAGTTGTCACGGTGATATCATTCAGGTGATCTCTGTAGAAACAGTGTACATATTTGTGATATTTAACAATGGAAAATTCTCTGTTACTTCTCTGCATGTTAACACTGTTGACTTGCTGCACTTGTTTGTCCATTAACGAGACATCAATTGATAGACCACAAAAGATTCTATCGAGGACAAAACGGTACTTAGTCTTTCCCGAAGGATCGAGTTTCTCAGTGAGTTTGTGCCTTAAGATTTGCCATTCAAGTGGAAGGATTTATTGACTTGCTGTATTTGCTTTCTTCGCTTTATTAGGCTGCGACATGCATGACTATTGGCATTATTGGGAATCCCAGCGACCAGTTCATCAGTTGGGCTCTCAATTGGGGTGTCGCCTATGAATTGCCAACCAATCAATCTTACTACGTGGGCCTGAGTCCAGTCATTGCGCGACGCTTTCGCAGAGATTTGTATGGCAAACTGGAACTGGCAATGAATGAGTATGATTCGTGTCGAGAGAATGGTTTTGTGGTTATTGAAATCATGTCCTTTTCAGCATGGGATACAATGGAAAGAGCTGCATTTTGAAAGCACTGTGCCAGAGTTATCAGTACTTCAGGAGCAGAGGATCAAACATGGTTGAAGAAATGCTGAGAACAATTTTCAGCTTGCCGAAGCAGAAAGTCTTCTCTTTTGAGCACAAGGATTTGAATGAATACGACTTGGCCCATCGTCAAGGCAGATCACAGTCAGATTGCGAGAATCTATATCCAAATTGTGGCTTTTCACTGCTCGATCTTGCTCTTGGACGATACAGCAAACCACCTCAAGACGTGAACTTTATGTAGAGATTCAGAGAATAAAGTGGCACAACTTATTATTAACGCGTAACATTTATTTTCTATCATATTGTACAATCTAGTGTAAGTATCTATGTTTCATTCTATTTATATGTGTGTTATTTCTATTATGCTTTCCTTTACTCTTTTATTTCGTTTATGTTTAATTGCAATTTTCCTTTTCATGTATTTTTCATCTTTTAGAGTATTTATGAAATTTTCTTTACGTACAGTGGCTCTAAATATCATTTTTTTTGCGTGAAAATAGGAGAGAGAATAAAATCAACGGTAAATATAGTGAAAGTATGATTTATTTGAGAAATTCATCTTGCACATATACTTTTTAAAACCTTTACCAGTACACCTTAGAACGTATTGGCAATTAAGGAGCTAATTGTGATCTTTTTGTGCTTTCGTGATACTATCAATACAAATATTTATGCGTATAGTAAGACTGCTTGAAACACAGTGGTTAACCTTGTTAAATTGGTGTGTCAATACGCCCAATAGTGAGAATATTGTGTGATGTCTTAAGTGTTTCTTGTGTACAGTGTCTTTTGCATTTCTGCGTCTTGTCTTTACTCAGCTTTAATAACTTTTTCTAATATTTTCTCCAGAAATCAAGTGAAATCTTCAAAGCAGAAACTTCCGACAGAAATGCAAAAAGAGGTATTCTTTTCTCTTCAATTAATGTTTGACGTGAGAAAGCTCTGGAATATTATATTTTTTTATATTTGTTATCGGCTTTTTCATGTTACTCTTGATAGATTGTCTATATTTAAAATGAAATACTTTACTAGTCATTAATTCACCTATAATATTATCATTATACATATTATGTCAAAGTTTACACATTAGCCTAGGTTAATAACTTGTTAGTCTTCCTATTTCCGTTTCTTTTTTTCGTTATTAATCTTATATATTCAACCTAGAGGAAAAATACAATTTAAAGTATGGAGAATTAACAAATTTAATAAATACTTCTTTAGGAAATTTCCATATGCAGTGAAAGTGCTCATTTTTTTTTCTCTCGAGATCCGAATAGTGAACTTTTCATCACTAACTAATTTCAATATACTTTTTGCTTCTTCAAAAGAATATATATAATCTTATCAATCGTCACAACCACTAAATTTCACACACTTTTGCCTTTCAGCTTTCCGACTCATTGTCAAATAATTCAAGTCATACCTTCGCCTTTAAACAAGGTTGCACATTTCTTTTTCGGTAAAAGTTCTTTCAAACTCGAACCATACAAAAAGTGTATCGTTATTTCTTATGTGAAACCGTTTTTGTGTGAATTGAAGAATACAAGTTCACATTTCATACATCTATTTTGCTGTCTTCTTAAGCACATGGGACTGTTAAGACTAAATTTTGAATAATACCTTTATCACCACCGCAAGGAAAAGAAGACGTACGATTGAAAATATACGATAACACTCTCTTTCTCTACATCATAGCATCTATAATTAGTACAACTCTATATCTGTTAAATTAGAGACAATTAAACTATGGAAATTCATAACAATGGTAACCAGAGGTCGAAGTGTTTCAATTTTCACAACACAAATGATTGTTTTCATTACTCATGAGCAGCCTTTTGGGGTGAGTGGAATTCATTTCGTGTAAAATCAACTGTAGCAAAAACTAGAGAGTAAGGAATTTAGGAAGAAAGGCGTGGTTAGAGTTCTTTGACTGTGGAAGACACTTGATTTGAAAATCAGGATTCATCTGCAATATTTCATTTTTAATTCAAGTGTTTCTTACATTTGATATTTTTCAGCTTTATTTGCGATGAGAACAAATTTAAGAGTGGATTTCCTGCCTCAAAATCAAACCGCCTCTCTTATTTACAATGTTTCCTTCACTGAATTATTTTACCCTTCTGCACACTTCTATAACATTAGAGAATACTGACTTCTTAGAGTTTATTCATAATTCGTAAATCTATTTCTATTCGTCATGTTAACTGTGTTTTTTCATCTTATAATAGCTATTCTTTTATCTTGCTCTTAACTTAATACTCGTTCATATCTTTTACATGTTTTATCTCATATATTTACAATACATACTTAATATTTCATCTTAGGGGAACTTAAGAGAACAAAAAATTCCAACGGAGAACAATAAAATGCCATACAATTTGTCTTGATCCAAGACGTTCGAATATTTTCTCTGTTTTTGCGTCTTAAAAATTATATTCGGAATCTTATTCAATTCAATTTGAATAATTCCAATAAACTTTAGGCTTCTTTTTCGCCGACACACCAGATTTCTTTGTTAGCCAAATGACTGATAGAAGGGCACTTAAACAAGGACAAAATCAGTTCGATTGAATATATGTAGTTGTTAATGCAAATTGATTGAATACATACTCTTCCTTGGATCAGACTCGCGCTCTCTCTATTTAAAAGATACATAAAATTATCTGTTGCGAGTGGGAAGAATTGGATTAATTTTCTCATCAAAAGGAGATGGACTCGTAATTCAGTCACAGAGTTAATCTCATTGTCTGGTTTGCGCTTAAAATCCTTTCGAAATTGCACCCAATTGAATTGTACAACCCAAAAGCGAAAATTAGATTGGTAACTTAGCAAATAATGTATGGAATGAAGTTGCAATTCGACGAATTATTTCACCCAGAATAAATTTATTGATTGAAGAACCTGATTTTGGAGAAGGTGCAAAATCGAATTACCTCTATTTGGGTGGTGGAAAAAATACATATCCAAAAATATACACCTTCACAATACAATTTTCCGATTTTTTTTCATAAATAAATAACAAGACATGACTGAAACTCCACCTCCGAGTGATATTTAATTTCTTTCTGCCACTCTATAAATAAATTTTCACTGAATGAAAATCATGTATGGGGAAGACTATTCATGGATAAGGGATGCTTTTTGCGATGGTGCTCATCGCGAATGTGTGAGAAATCAATTGATTTCTATTTTGCACTTCGCACAGCGATTTATGCGCAATCGACCAACAAAATATTCAGAGCAATTGAATGGATTTTTCTGCTGATCATATTTTTATACAATGTCTTATATATTTTATCTCTTATGCGCTACAACTACAATCAGACACCCTAAAATCGATCATGTCGTATTCATTAAATACATTTTTTGTCTGGAATTTGCAACGGAAATGTCACAAATTTATATTCGAGTGTGGTTTTTGTATAGTTTCGGGCGGCTCATTTTGCCTGAAAGAAGTTAGAATTGCTTTACTTGAGTGCATTTCACATTATCTGAAAGTTGAGGATAAGAAATATGTCAAAACTTCATTAAAAACATCAGGAGTTTGGAATAAGACTGCAAGTCTTTGGGCGGGGCATTCGAATAGGCGTGGCTTCGAGTAAAAATCTCCCATTGAAGCCGTGTAATGTGGGTAATGTGAACAAAATGAGCCACCCTGTAGTGGAATTTTTGCAATAAGGAGAGCGACGTGGGGATTCTCGAGCTCATTTCACAATCCATTGACAATCCTCAAAACGTGACCGAAGTCACCAATCAATCTTTGGACAATTGTGGCAGACTTTTGCATTTTTCAGTTGTCGTCCGGCCATGATTGCTCTCAATTTGCATGCTGTGCCGTCTGCTGTCCTTTTGTGTTTGTCATGTGGTTATTCGATGGCAGTTTGATATTTCAGTGTGATGAACGATTAGTTTGGGAGAAAGAGGAAGATATGGTATCACAGTTGTCTGTCTCAAGCCTGTGCTTAGATGATTAGCAAAAATCCCCCATGAAGGGAAGAGTGATAGAGCCGGTCTCTGGAAGCCCAACAAGAGAGTCCACAGGCTGGGAAGCACTCAGAACTGACACTTTTCTCATCTATTCTCATGGCGAAATTGAATCCATACAAAATTGGTAAATTAATGCGGGGGATTTGCCATTTGAATTGCAAATCAACGACTGTCAAACACTTCTAATGCCCTTCATTCTATTCCTATTTTATACCTTTAGCATTTATCATTATATGATTATTAATATTAGTGTTATCAATACTTTATCGTTTTCCTTTCTCCTTTATATTGGGTGTTATTCATAGTTACTTTTTCTTATTCACTTAACTCTATTACAAACTGGGTGTGTGTGTGGTGGCTTTTGTGTGATAAGAAGATGTGAAATATTACCATTTCGCTATCTTTCTTCGTATCAGGACTTCACAATACTATTCTCTAGTGGGTGACACAACATTATGTGTCTCCTCATAGTCAACATTCCTCCTCCTCTCTCTCAATATCTCATTGAACGGAGGACTTTATTGCTTGATCGCGCCGATCTACTGTGCGGATGGAACAATATAGAAATCATTGGAAACTCCATTTCACCCTTGTCTCTCAACCTCTTGACCGCAAATCTATTTCTCAACTCTCCTTTCTCGTCTACTCATACAAAAGAAGCCCTGTATGTTGTATAGAAATTTCTTCTAGAGACATTTCGAGAGGTGAAAACTCCCATTTTCACGTGACTTCACATGGTATCACCTTTAAGACCATTTTAAAATATATCGTAGTATCAATTTCATCATGTTAGAAACCAAATATCATCTTTCTGCCCATTTCAGACACAATTTTCATCTTTCTATCGCATGTTAACATTTATACAAATTCTCATTTCGTAATATAAAAATGATTCTACTGTTTTTTCCTTCACCTTTTGGACTGAATGGGAAGATTTGGTAGTAAAATGAACGTTACAAAGTTGATGAAGTTAATTTATATAAGTTTTCGGCTTCAGAATCAAGGGCAATATTATAATGCAAATAAAATATGTTTCAATTCCACTTGTGCAGAAAATATCTCAATAGATATAATGCTATTTTTCGACAATTCTTTTTAGCTGTATATATAAAATTCATGAGGTTTTCTTCACACCTTAACTTCTGCATGATGTATTGTTGCATCTTTATCCTCCGTGAAATTCCACGTGCCTCCATTTTCATAGCATTGAAGTTGTTACTCATGTTTTTATCTTCACTACTAGTTAACAATTTCGATCTGGAAAATCATTCTTCATTTATTAAGTACGTACAAATGCCTATTTACACCTTTTCCATTATCCTATGTATTATGTTCTCGTTGAGTTGTTTTGTTTATGCTAAAATAAAACAATTTTTCTACTTTATATTCTCATCATCCTTTCCTTGTTTTTACCTAAAGAGTTAATATGATAATCTTATGAATATAAAAATAGCCACAAAATGTTAGTTATTGTTAAATGTTGTTTTAAATGTTTTTTACTATATTGTTAAGTTATCCATATGTTATTGACGTATTAAATTTGATTTATTCTTGCTATATATCACGGATAAACAAGTAATTATGAACTCTTCTGCTCCATCCTCTTCAATTTATGTCTCTTTCGTTCAGAACGAAGGCTCTTCGACAGTGCGGGGAAGCATTTTATTCTCTGTGTTTTTGCCATGTCTTTGGAAGAAATATTCATAACTAGGCAATTCAACGCGAGCGAATTTGTGATGAAAAGGAAACTTTTGGGTCACAATTTGTACTGTGGGCAATTTATGATTGGGAAGAATCGTTGGTTGCAACATTACTCTATTCATCTCTATAACTAATGTATATGGCGTTAACACTAACTTTCCTGTGCTCGTGTGACTGCATGGGAAAATAACAGTGACTTCGTGCTTCGAGAGGATCACGCCTCGAGGCGTCGGATCCTCAAAGTCTCTGGAGTTCTCACAACTAATTTGGTGTCATATATCTATTGTGTGGACCTTAACTTATGGAGCAGTACAATTAATTTGTGCTTCAATTTCTCTATCAAACGGAAGATTAGCAACAACACTCGCTTGTTTGCTGAACACTCGTGTAAGTCATGCCACCCCATGTCCAACTACCGCAGTGCTGAATGGAGAGTGTCTGAACGAAGGGGAAATAATCAATTTCTCTCACTTATATTTTGTATATACCTTAAAATACTATGTTCTTGGTAATTCTCTTTGTTGTCACTTCATCTCTTGTAATGATAACTGTGCGGCTCCACTTCAGGAATAATCCTTCTTACTATCTCTCTTTTGTCAGAGAAAAAATACCCTCAAGTTCACCTCCTCTTTGTCGTCCTCTAAACACTATAAAGTTCAATTCACGGCTTGTGAATGGGAGGTTCACTTTCTGGTATAATGTTTTGTGAACTGTTGCTGGTTTAATTCCGGGCAGCAGCAGCTTCTTCGACCAGGGCTCGCAGCCAACTGTGAAACATGTTCCAGTATCCGGCTGCGAACCCTAGTGGTCGCTATACTCCGTCGCTACCCATTTTCAGCAACTCCAGCTTCTTCTTGGCAATTTTCGAGTAGATAATATCAATTGGCTGTGTCGTGTCGTACAAACTAGGTGCTTGAAAAAGTATTAGACCCGTCCCGACGATACACGTGATCGTGAATATCCAGAGAAACAATCTATCCAGAACCATTGCAACGTATTTCCAGTCCTCTTCCACCTGTCCCGGGAGATGAAACACATGGGGAGAGAAAAACAATAATCATTTATGAATTTTTCAACACCATCATTCCATATTACACACAAACACTAGGCGGAATCTGTGAGGGGGGAAATAGATAGAATGGAGCACATCGTGAATTATGGGAACAATTTAATGGAGAAAGGACGACCCGCACATCTGAGCAAGATTCTTGCACCTCTATAACAGTGATATCTCTCGTCTTTTATGACTTGACCAGAGATAGAAATAGAAAACTGACCTCATACTATAGTAAAAGTGTAGTGTTTTCCGTGGTCATTCCATAAAATCATGAAATGAAGTAATCAAAAATGAATTATACTAATATGTAGAACTTTCAAATTTAATTTATCCCAAGTCTCGCTAATTCAGATTCCTTGAAAAATATGCTAACGTTTTGTACTCACTTTCAAATTCTCATCAATGTGTGAGTAAACTTTTATATTTTGCAAATATTGAGCAAAAAAATTTCAAAACATTAATATTTGTGCAGAAAGTTTGTTCATATTGGACCAGTGCAGAAGGTCTTGATGTGTTCTTCCGCTTATAGAGTAGAAATGCATTATAGATATACACAAAAAGATTCGAAATGAGTTTTATCGATTATTCATTTCTTTCTATCAATTTCAAATGAGTCAAGTGTTATGACAGTTATTGTAAGTCCTGAATTTTTTGGCCAAAATCTCTTTTAAATTCAGCTTAATCTATGAAATCCACATTAGGCACAACATCTGTGCCTTTCCCAAATGTTGAATCAAAAACCGCCCTGAAAATGCGCCGTCGTGAATAATTGTTTACATAAATTCAATCTTTTGTAATTCAATGGTTCAATATAAGAATTTATCAAGGTTCAAAGGATGGAAATTCACATATATTTCTGTCTATCATAAGTTCGCAAGAAAATTTGAAGTTATCAGATAAAAGTGAAAGTAGAACTGTAACTAATGCACTTAACTGATCATTACAACTACAATATCTGCCAATTTCATTGCCGTCATTGTTATTTCTAACTTCTAATCCCGAGTGCCCATAATTTCCGATAGGATCTTCGAGAGTAAGTGTTTTTTACTCCATTGCATATCATTTCTAGCACACAACATTCGACAGACTCTCGCCTTTTATGTGGAAAGTTTGGCAAATTTCACCCCCACCGCCGAGCACATTATTAATATACTACTCTCGGAGTTACTACTTTTGTGATTTTCCTGACGCCTGGCACTCGCACAGCACAGTCATTAATATTATATTGTATTTTCTTATCTTGCAAAATACTCCAAAAGTCCTTCTCCACTTCGGCCCAATTTGGATTTCACATCTCGGCATTTAGCATAATGAGGAGGCGAGCGTGATAAATGTTTTATATTGAATGACGTAAAAATGGTGAGTGTGTAGTGTGAGGCGAATGCAAGAAATCTCCTCTCGAGTAATCAAAATTTCGTGCCTGATAAGTGCCACATGCAAGGAGAGAAAAAAGAGGAGAGATTTCCATCTTAATAATAATCATTTCAGCAGAAAACTTTACGGCCTCCCAATTTCTTCGTCTAACATGGGTGTACTTCCGTCTGCCACTGCTATGTACACACATAGCACAGGGCGGGCAGATAGGCAAAGTCTACTCTCGTACGTCTATGGCAGTCTATGCTATGCGGGCGCTGTGCATGTACACAGCTTTGGGGATGGGGTAAGTGAGAGGGAGAGAAAGAGAGCGAGAGAAAGAAAGAGGAGAACGACGTGACCCGGTTACCGAAACATTGATGCCAAACGCATCAGCCACACCCAAATTTTCCTCTCGCTCTCGTGCTCTCGGGCCGTCGTGCGGAGCGGCTAGTGATTTCGGAATGCTTACACTTTCGAATTTGTCCTTATTCCGCATATGCTGCGCCACGAATCGCGATGCCTCCATAGCCTTCTCCATCTCACGCATTATTGGCTTCTCGAACGTAGGGCTGAGGTCGGGACAGCACGTGGGACTCAGGTCGTCCTGGCTGGCCGGGCTGAAGAGATCGTCATCCCCGCCGGGCAGTGGCAGTGCAGGCAACGGTGGCTCCCCGAAGCACGGCCCCATCCCACCGGAAGCGGCCACGTCGAACCGCGACGGCGGCAGGACTTTAAGTTTCAAGAGCAACAATCAGCACCAGCGGGCGCGCACTGCAGCGCACGTCACTCACCTGGAATGCCGTAGTCCCCGCTGAAGCGCTTGCTGTCGTAGTTAACGAATTTATCAATATCTGGCGGCACGTGGAAAACATCGGTTAACACGTCCTGCGGCGTGTTGTCCTCGGGCGGCGCCTCCTTGGGCGGCCGCTCTATGCACAGAACCTTCGGCAGGAGTCTAATGAACAGCCGTTGCACCCACGGTGCCATTCTGTGTGTCACCGGAGATCTAAATGCCACATATAAAGTATTATAAACCCTATCGACGTGCGGTGAAAAAGGCGGAAATGGCACCAAGTGAATATTTCCGTGTAAATTAGTGCAATGTTTTCCTGTGGGAATTCTCAAGGAAGAAAGGCCAAATTGGATTTTCTGCCTCTTCAATCCCAACACAGCCGCAATCTCTCCCACCCACAGAGCACGTATATAAATTTATTTATCTGCCGTCTTCCTTGGCGCACGGCAATTCTGGAGCCTTGCACGTGAAATTACACGTTACCAAACGTGGGAGGAAAATTCAAACTATCGTCTTTTTCTGCTTACAAAGCGTTCAAAGGATATTTTCTAATTCTTGTAAGGTCTCTGGATAATTCTCACCCTCTCTTGTGGGCTTTTGGCAAACTTTAAATTATTTTGGACTCTTTTCTGAATGAAAAACTCCACCGCAACAATTTTTTTCACATGTTTCGATTAAATAAACAATATCGCAATAATTTTGTGATACTTTCAAAAACATTTCTGGCTTAAAAAGTGCAGAATTGTGCTTCAAAGCACATTCAGAATGAAATTTGAAATTTATCTCCGAAATCTGACAGAAAATGCAATTTTCATGTGGAGAAATTTCTATTTTCGACACAATTCCCCTAAACTAGTGCCAAAATAGAAAAAAAGCTTTACACCATTATTTATCGGCATATAAAATCAGAAACATGTATGAAAAATATGGATTTCGAGTGTTTATCTGCATTTTCATCGTAATAGCGTCAATATTGGTCAATGAAAATTGTTGCAAATGGGTTTAATGAAAATTTTATACTTCATTCAATGAATAAATGAGAAGCCTTTTATACTGATTTAAATTGTTCATTATTTTTCCCACAATGTGCAACATAGTCACAATATTCTAACGGCTTGCAGTGCAGAAAGTGAGCACATGATTTGGTACTCACCTAAAATTTACATTTAACACGGCAATGGTCACCACGACGGAGCATGTGACGAGTATCATAGTGAAGAGTAGGTATTTTCCAAGTAGTGGCACTGTGAGTGAAGTCGGCGGAATGATTTCGGCCAACAACAGGAAGAACACTGTGAGCGATAGCAATATGCTAATACAAAGTGAGATTTTTTCACCGGAATCACTTGGCAAGTAGAAAACAAGCACGGACAGAAATGAGATGCCCACACACGGTATTATGAGATTCACTGTGTAAAATAATGTCTTTCGCCGCAATGTTATGTTAAATATGATATCAGGATATGGTTCTTCGCAGCAACTATAGAACTTCTCATTTCTCACTGCTGGCACTTTCATTATGTCCCACTCCACGGAAATATAGTAATCTTGGAGATCGATACCGATGTCGATATTGTCAGAATCAGGAGCCTGTTGCAGATGTCTCAAGTCGACCTGCAAAGAAGTGGTTTAGTGCGATGTGGTTGCTGTGCGAAGTGGACGAAGCTCACCATGTAGCCATCATACGTCCATGAGCCAAATTTCATGAAACATGTCTGCTCGTCGAATGGAAAATACTCTACGTCAATTTCGCAAAAGGACTTGTAGATAGCTGGAGGTTTCCACACTACTTTACCCGTATGATGCAAAATTGCTTTTGTCATTATTGTCACTTCATAATTTCCATCAGCACTGAAAGTGTGGAAGAAGGGAAAAAAGCCCAACGAGTTTACCATAAGTTGCCATTATAAACAGCTCGTAATTACATGAAAATATTCCTGACATGGAGATGCAATAAAAGTGCAATAAAGAGCCCATCTTACTTGTTATACAGCACTATGTCTGGTAGCCATATATGCTCAGACGGAACATGCAATGTATCCACTCCGCCGTAATCGTCTGGATTCCATTTTAATTTATAGTCATTCCATTCCTGCGGGCAATCAATCAATTGAATGGGTGAGTTTTTGAATTATTGGCGTAAGTAGAATCCTGGGAAATATTTACCTGCTCTACCCAAACATTTGTCGTCATGATTTGATTTTTCAAGTTCTGCAAAAAGCCAAAATTTAGCGATGTGTTTAAGGCACGCGATGGGGTGGAAAAGTCAAGTCGATACTCACAACATCAATTAATTGGGACAGTCTCAAGCCCATTTTCACAGTTAAACGATCAGAATTATTGCCAACAGGCCGAATTAGACGATTATAATTGCTCAATAGGTCGTCGTACAGTCGCTTTGAGTCAGGATTGGCCAGTCCAGTGGCAATTTGCAACGCTACGAACACAATTGTGAACAACACGCTCCCCATCTTAGGCCAGGTCCATCCCTATGGAGAGGAACAAGAGAGAAACAGTTTTTCTCCTACAGAGATTCATTATAAATTTTCTCAAGATAAACCGGCGAGGACACGAAAGTCAAGGGGGTCTCCCGAGGGGACATCTCGCTTCCCACTGCCTTTAATGTAATTTGAATGTGACACTCCACGTGAAGGAAAACGCCCACCTCGATGGATTTAATGGGCTTCGACAGGGTGTGAGAGAAAGACTTTAATCCCAGTGTGAGTGGGGATTTGCGGATTGTGCCTCATATTTTGCTGTAAAATTCCTCAATATTTAATAGTGGTAGCTCTGGGTCTAGTGTCACTAATGCTAGGATGAAAGGTATGTATCAGATTGCTTGAATTCCTCAGGATATACATCTGGGATATTTCTGCATGGATATTTAATGTGTGGAGGAATTCATTCCGCCTCGTGATCTCCCTAGCAATTACCGCACTTTGATATGCTCTTGTCACAATGCTTCTTTATCCTTGCAATTAAAAAGGGACTGTGCATGGGCGTAGCCATAGAAATAATAAAACATTGGGATACAATACTTTTTATCATTACATTTCCCAGAAGTATTAACTTCCTGCCAAAGCGCTTAAATATTAATTTGACACAAAAAATCATTAATTCATTTATTTCAATATTTTTAAACAAAGTCAGCATAATCAATTTTTGAGTGTATTATGAATTATAAAGCTTATTTATAAAATGGAGAATCGCGTGAAAAATCATTTCAAAATGAATTTCATACAAATATTCATTTAAATACACAGTCTATAGTTTATACCTATGAATTGTTTCTTATTGTAAAAGTAAGGTACATCCTCCAAACACACGATTCGCATCCTTTCAAGCTGTTCAGGCATAATCAACAGCCAAACTGATACTAATAAGTGAAGGATTTTGAGAATCGTAACTTTGATCCTGATAACATTGTAGGCTAAGGGTCTTTTTACGAAGCTTTCATAAGATATCCGATCTCAAAACTACAGTAAAAATTGATACTCAAGTACCAATTTCTTGAAAATCCGATTTCAGCTACATACATGAATATGTATATCTAAAAAGAAAATTTTTGGGAGGCACTGCAGCAAAAGATCCGTGGGAAACTGGCACCCGAGTAGGGAAAACTGGCCCCCGCGACCCTGCCTACGCCCATGAAAAGGGGTGTGTACTCACGGTCGATTTGCACGTCGGTTCATCGCCTGCGAGTGGCAGCCTAGCGCTCCTGAGAAGTCGTCTCCGTCGTCCAGATTATTGATACTGAAGACAAGCACATCCAGAGGAAGAACTCACCACACTACACGTAGTATGTTATTAATTTTTTCCGATAAGCCACAGCCAGTGTTAGCGATATTTTGTGTGTCGAGTTCATATTTGGGAGAATTGGCCAGAAAGCATCATTTCGGCTACACGACATAAAAGTTACTCACTTTCACAGTCATTTGTTAGCAGTGTGTTATCAAAACTAGATTAATTTGTTATATTATCTACATAGCACACAATCTCGTCTGTATGTTCATCGCGCACAAATGATGATGAAGTTAAAAACGCCTAGATTGAATCTGCAGAGAGAGGACGATGTGCAATGATAGAGCCCAACCCATTATTTTCTGCCTACTCGCTGAAGGTTCTGGGAAAAATCAACAATTAAAAACCAGCCATATTTCATTTTCCACTAAATGTAAATTCCAAAAACTAAATTGGCTGAAATTTTCAGTTCAACTCTCTCGACACACAGCAAAACAATTATATTTTATAGCACATTTCGCGTGAAAGAGGATGGAAGAAAAGGGACAATAAAACATTGTGTGCCATTGCTGGCGGAGTGGACAATGCGTCAGTGGAAATAATATATCCCTGGGTTTAACTATTTGTTTGCCCAGAATCACCAAAAAATACAACATTACATAGCTTCGTGGTTCGCGCGCGGCAACCATTGAAAACTTCCACAATGAGCACAAAATTGCACAATGTGTGGTTGATTTTGATGAATTTCCCAAAGTCATAAGGATTAAAATAATGCTGATACAGTTGGAAAAACCGCAAAGTTAGCAAGAAAATCGATAGGCAATGCAAATTCACCATGTGTAATTTACAGCATTGATTTATCACAGGCTCAAAAAAAGAACGAAGAAAAGAAAGAGGAGCTTTTTTCCACCAGCAACTGGACGGAGTGATCACTTCCTTTGTTTCTTTAATCCCTATACATGCTATGTACATATTTGTGTGTGTCTCCATCGAATTTAAGATGGTCTTGGGCGTGCTTTTTCACGCTCAAGTGGGGAACAAGGAGCCAGCGCCATGGAGGGCGGAAAAGGGCTCAAAAGCATCCTCTCACTCCGGGACAGTGTGAAAATACACTTCACACACTGTCTTATCACTGGCGGATATGGCAATTTATATGATTTTTTCCAGCCCAGCAAGTATCGCCCTATTACCACATTCATTTCAATTTCTCCCCACAAAGAGAAAACTCCTATACGTTTTTCCTTTCGTCCTCCGGGCCCTCCTATAAATCCTCTACTGAATGGAGAGTTGTGTGTTTGAGAAAGCCTTGCGAGCGAAGAAGTTATAAATCATGTAACTCTATCATCACTTTCACACCGCGTCATGATACATTGCAGCACAATAATTTGTTAATTACATAAGGTCGAATTTTTTCCACTTCTTTTGAGAACTCATTTAACACCCTTCAATTCTCCAACTATATTCCGCCGCCGTCATCCAACATACGCCTCTCTCTTCGTTGGGGTTTGTCTGTTAGGGTGGAGATGAACTCACAATTTCTCAATTGGGTGGCACCGAACAGCCCAACTCACAAGTGCATTTTAGGGCGTGCGACAAAATAAAGAGTCATTATTTATTAGTGGAAGTGATTTAGTCTTAAAAAATCTAATGGTAACAATTCGCGCTTTCAATAAACTTTCGAGCGATTTCTTCAATCTGCGGGTTCTGTGAAGCAACTGGAGTAGGTTGCAGAGGATTCGGGGGTGCGCAACTGCGCACAGGCTTCACGGCAAATTGCGCATCCATGGACCGTCTGTACGTCTGCTGGAAATTTATTCTTTTGTCCCCATCAACCATTGTCCGCCCCCAGAGCCCGTCCACAGCCCCGTCTCTCGCCCTGGACAAACGCGATCAGCCACATCTCCACACAACAATCCCCAACCCAAAGCCTCAGGGCATCGCCACCGCGGGCCATCCTTCAGTTTTCTGTGAATTCCATGGGGCGCTGCCTTTGCCATTAGGACTCGCGCGAGTGCGGCCGAGGAGCCGCCGAGGAGGGCTTTCAAGTCGATATTATGTTCAGTATATAGGGTAAATTGGGGCGCAGGGCGAATGAACCAACGGATTACTAGGTTTGGTCGCTCTCAGTGAACACGTATTGGGCACTGCAAAACCCAGCACTTGAGCAAACAACACACGAGAACACTGAGGCCGCAACATCAAAATTAGTAACCGCATTTCACTTCAATTTCAACCCTCGCACACAACACTGGTAAACAGTTCACGAACTTTAAACATTTGGCCTGCAATACATTCTGCTATTCTTTCTCGCCTCGTGGCACAAATAATTAGTCCAAATGAAATTTTATGAGCGATAAATTGTCACAGAGTCTCCAGAGTATCCACTCGGACGCTTCCATGTCGTTGGATTAGGTGGAGCTCACCAGAAGAGCGAAATCTCTTTGACGCAGACGGGATTAGAACGCTTGGCGAAACGCGATCTCCAAATCAACTTCCATGTAATGCAAATGATTCAGACATTAAGAAATTCTAGGTGTCTTGCGATAAAAAGCTTTTCTGAAACTTTTATATTTTGCAGAATACTATCATGGAACAGAAGTCAGATTGATAGACAAGACAGCTAAAAACTCTGGATAATCATGTTTATTAATACAAGTCTTTCCAAGAATTTCCCTACTAAATTCTCTAAATTCAGCGACGCCCAAACTGAGGAAGCTATACAATTTATATTAGACACAACATCAAATTATCCTAGTAGAACTTTTGCTTACATTCCTACTGTAAATGGGAAATCCTTGTGGCCAAAATTGCTCAACTTCCGCCCAATAATAGGAGTTATTTTGAAAACAGAAATTTTCATGTAAAATAATACTAAATAATATTAAAGTGGAGGATTCGAAAGCTCTCGCAATCACTGTGTTGTGTGTGACACGAAAAGTACTCGGCCAGAACTATACAATCATCATAGCCACGAGCTCCATGTGCTTATCTATGCATTTTGATTATTCTAAATGACCACTTTTCGCCCCAAATCTCCCCATTGGTCGTCACGAGTAGTTTTGAGCTGTGCATTACCATCAACAGCACACAGCTCAGCAATTGACGGTATACTATTCGACCAGAGTGTGCTGTGTAAAATTAATTAAATTGCCATTTTATAATTCAGCACTTTCAATCTGGCACTGCAACATGACTCCTTATCGCCAATCTGGGGCGTATTTTCCTGCCTTATCTGCAGTCATAATGCATCATTTCACCTTCACTGGTGCGAAGGAAATTCGATTCATTAAATAATAATTAAATTTCCTCTGTCATCTTCTCGTGTGACGAATGGCTGGGGTTTTACGGATATGGAAATCAAGGGGTGACAATATGGTGAGCCACACCATAAACGAGTCAATCTCAATCCTTAAACTGCCTCGGACCTTTTCTCATCGCACAATAAATATGATTGCATCGTGACGTGGGGAGGGTGTGTTTAAGGGCTCACTAAAATGGACTATTCGCCTTTTGAACCCTCGTGGGATTTGATTTTTATGAAAATCGCATTGTTGGCGGATAAATTAGAGATGAATATCGCCAGTAACACAAAGCCAGATATGAAATCCCTGTCGTCCGATTTCACAACCTGGGATTTGTATTATTCGAAAAATGATCAGACACAGCGATACGAAAACTGTGAGCCTTACCATTTCCCAATGTGAATCAATTGTCATGCGCTTTTCCCATCGATCGGCACAGGGCACAGTGGTAGTCTGAGCGGGACGACAGGCCATCCCGCCTTATGGCTTCAGCAGTGATGCTGAGTGAAAGGGCGGCAGCACTCCTGTAAAAATCCAGCTCACGGATGCGCTCTCCACTGTGAAAATAGTGTACGACGGACAGTCAGTAAAAGCTTTCACAGCCACGGCAAATAATCTATTTCTCAAGTTGTTTCCATTATTTTACACACGTGCCATCACGCTTTAATTTCATGTGTGTGTCCCCCAATCAACCCTTCGCTCATTCGCGCAATTGTGGTGACTGGCAACCTAAGAGGATGCTGCACATCTAGTTCAATAGCGAGAGTGCCCGAGAATTCGCCCAGCAGCAGCGCATAAATAATGATATAAACTACAATTTCCAGTCCATTTGATAGCAACATAGCAACATAATGCCACGACCTCTATCACAAATCATTGTCCTGTGCGTAATTTATCAATTACTCCACCCAACGAGTGCTAATCCCGACGCCAAAAGACTCTATGACGACTTACTGAGCAACTACAATAGATTAATAAGACCCGTGAGCAACAATAACGACACAGTGCTCGTGAAGCTGGGCCTCCGATTGTCACAACTCATTGATCTGGTGAGTAGAAAACGCACAACAGCAACTTTCCGGCGGAGCCTCAATGAACCCAGCCCCTCGCTCCGCACGCCCCGCAACATAAATGTATTTATGGGTGTTTTTTTGCCGTGGCGCAAATAGGGTCAACTTGCGAAGAACTTTGTCACATACTTGCCAATAAAATATTTACAACTCCTGTTATAAGAAACTGTGACGACTATGAAGGGGGACTAAATAGAGCGGAGATAAATTTCAAAATCACTTCCTTTTCTTCGTTGTCTTTGCGAACTGCCAACCGACAGGATCCACCCAAAAGTGAGAGAGACCGTGCGAGAGAGACCACGAGAGGCTCCTTTCATAAATTATCCCTTGAAAGAAGTGTGCCTTCAAGTTGTCGCCAAAATGCTTTTATGTAGCTTCTGATGGGTGGAGAAGGAATTTAGAGAAGATTTTTCAAGTTTCCACTTTTCCACTGCCATTCAATCTTCATGACTGTATAACTTTCTACGCCCCCAACTATTAAGATTTCATACACTCTGTCTTTGATTTCGCCCCTGTGAATAAAAGGCAGAGCGAGTCCTTAATTGAATTCACAACCGCAAACTTGTAGCCGAGGAGCCACCCTATCATCACCAATTTCTTCGCTCTCTCTTTCAGAATCTCAAGGATCAAATTCTCACAACAAACGTGTGGTTGGAGCATGTGAGTACCCTTATGACGGAGGCGAGGCGCAAGTTATTAATTTACATAATTCCCATTAATGTCTCTCGTCAGGAGTGGCAAGATTACAAATTTATATGGGATCCAGCTGAATACGGCGGCGTGACTGAGCTGTACGTCCCATCCGAGCACATATGGCTTCCCGATATTGTACTCTACAACAAGTGAGTCCGGAGTTCTCTGAGAAATTCCACCCAACCGCCTGACATGTGCTCTGATTTCAGTGCCGACGGCGAGTACGTCGTGACGACAATGACTAAGGCAATCCTGCACTACACCGGCAAGGTGGTCTGGACGCCGCCGGCTATTTTTAAATCCTCCTGCGAGATTGATGTGCGCTATTTCCCATTCGACCAGCAGACGTGCTTCATGAAGTTCGGCTCGTGGACGTACGACGGCTTTCAGGTGCGATGCTCAAATGAGATAATGATGACGGTCGAATGACCGAGGTTTTATTGCAGATTGACCTCAAGCACAAGGATCAGAAGAAGGACAAGGGCAATAAAGTGGAAATTGGGATTGAGCTAAGGGAGTTCTACCCCAGCGTCGAGTGGGACATTCTGGGAGTGCCCGCCGAGAGACACGAGGAGTACTATCCCTGCTGCTCCGAGCCATATCCCGGTAAGTCATCCTATTGTCTTCGTTAAAAGTGATTTTTCCAACACAATTTTATGAACAATTGAGACACCAATATGCGAAAACCTCTCGTAAGACCGCGCAATCTTGGAAGATAGTCTGAATTTTTCATCAGTCTCATGAACTGGACATTTTATGTAATCTCCTCAACGAGTCGTGATTTCCCTTCAATATTTGCAGACATCTTCTTTAACATAACTCTGCGTCGCAAGACCCTCTTCTACACCGTCAATCTGATCATTCCATGCGTGGGAATTTCCTACCTCAGCGTCCTGGTATTCTACCTTCCAGCTGACTCTGGCGAGAAGATCGCCCTCTGCATCAGCATCCTCCTGTCCCAGACCATGTTCTTCCTCCTGATATCAGAAATCATCCCAAGTACCTCCCTCGCGCTCCCCTTGCTCGGCAAATACCTACTCTTCACCATGCTTCTCGTCGGCCTCAGCGTCGTCATGACCATCCTCGTGCTCAATATTCACTACCGCAAGCCCAGCACGCACAAGATGGCGCCCTGGGTGCGGAGTTTCTTCATCAAGCGTCTTCCAAAGCTCCTCCTCATGCGCGTTCCCAAGGACCTCCTTAGGGACTTGGCCGCGCGCAAGATCAACTACGGCAAGAACCTGAAGAAGTCCAAGTTCGGCGCCGCACTTGTGGCTCAGGCCCAGATCCAGTGCAACTCCGGCGGCTCCAGTCCGGACTCCATTCGCCACATGCAGGGCAGAACGGGCGGCTGCAACGGACTGCACACCACCACGGCCACCAACAGGTGAGCCCAATTGCAAACTAAAACACTCATCGACCTAATCATTTAATCTCCCAGAACATTCGGGCGGAGCCATTTGTTCCCCACATTTAATTTGTTGGACAGTCGTGACGCAACAGCTTAAAATTAATTCGTGCAGCTTTATCTCAAGGGTTTTGAGGGCTTTCGGGAGTGTGAGAAGAGTTTAATCGATGGACTGCTTTTGCATGAGTTTTCAACCATTCCTTCCGGGTATTTAAATTCCCAATGCAAAAGGTCTTTACTGGCTAAACAATGGCTTGAATATTACTTTTTACCTCTTATTGACTATCTTGTCTGACATGGTTAGGCAATTAACTCTATTCGGAACATAGAGAACAAAGTTTCACAACAAAAGAGACATAAAACAGCTTTAATTGAAACTTCTCGGGGATTCCAAAAACACATAAAAATTCTGTTCAAATATTGTCGGTCAATAAATTTTCAAAGACTAGCTAAAATATAGCTCAGAATTTCTGCACACAAATCATTCATTGATTTTTTACGACGTCTAGGCGACCTTTCTTTGCTACTTCGGCAACGATTATCCTCCAGATTGACACATTCCGCGAGTGATTTAACAGTTTCGGTGTGATTTGCAGATTCAGCGGCCTGGTTGAGGCCTTGGGCGGCGGCTTGAGCAGCCTGGGCGGCTATAACGGCCTCCCATCAGTGATGTCTGGATTGGATGATTCCATGAGTGACGTAGAGAATCACAAAAAGTACCCATTCGAGTTGGAGAAGGCAATTCACAACGTAATGTTCATTCAGCATCACATGCAGCGTCAGGATGAATTCAATGCCGTGAGTGCACGATAAGAGACCATTAATCACGAGTCGAGAGATTGCGAACGCCCTCATTTCTTTCGCAGGAGGATCAAGACTGGGGATTCATTGCAATGGTGCTCGACCGTCTCTTCCTCTGGATCTTCACCACCGCCTCAATTTGGGGCACTGTCATGATCCTGGGCGAGGCTCCGGCTTTGTATGACACCACGGAGCCAATTGACAAGAAGTACTCGATAATCGCACAGAAGCTCTTCAATCTCACCATAAAGGATAAATAAATCCCGAAGCTTGTTTCTAACGTAGTTTAACACACACGACAAATACTTAAAAACTTAACATACTCGAGTTACAATACAAAATAATCAAAGTAATTTAAAGACTTGTATTGAACACACCCTCGGAAAGTAGCGTGTAATCGATATGCAATCATAAAATGAGAGATGTGATTTTCATGTTTCAACACTCCAACACAGACACTGTGTGATGCCCCCAATTGTCAATGTAATGATTAACAAACAGTGCCAATTTTAATCCCACTTTTAGAGACTATATCAGTATTCTTCCCTCCCGCGCCGGAGAATCGCAACATCTCTGTATTGATTTGAATGAATTTTATGCATTTACATGTGCTCAATTTTTATTATCTCCCTCGAGACACCCTCACAATTCCTCCACACACTCGCGCAGGCCATTCTCCCCTTTGTCATGCCCTCGAACTGCCTCAAGCCGCCCCCAACTCCGAAATAGTACGTCTTTGCGGCGAGCAGAACTTTCCCGCCACGTCTCAGCTTCCCCACAAATAAATCAATTACCTTCTGATTATTTTCCGGGTTGTAAATCGTCTCCGACGTGAGAATAACATCAAACTTTCTGTCCCCCGTCGCTTCCGTGAAACTCCCCCAGTCGCCGCTGTAGAATTGGCACTTGCCAATGGAAACTTCCCCATCCGCCTCGGCATTCAGCAGGATGTTGGGAATTGTGAACTTCTGCAGGACGTCTTTGTTCTATGAAACATACAACAGAGGATACACAAATTGCCGTCCCTCGAGCCTCAACACAACAGGTAAACTCACGTAGTCCTGAAAGTGGCACTTTGCCGCGCCCAACTTGAGAGCAACAATTCCCAGAAGTCCAGCGCCGCAACCCAGGTCCAGTACTTCTTTCCCACTCAGCTCACCCTTCAGATTTTCCACCAGGTAATCTGCGAGATCCTGTGTGCATTCCCACACTTTGAAGCCACCCTCGTAAACCCCCGGAATGAGATCTGAGTGCGTCTCTTCAGCTGACTCATTCCTTACTTTGACAGGATCTAGAATGGGAATCTCCAAGTCGCCAGAGATGAAGAGTGTACACGCCGAAGTATCCTCCTCCGCAGAGAAACCTTCCGGAAAGACTTCTTCGCACGCAACAACCTGAGCGGCTTCTTTGGCACTTTCCTTTTTCACCTCATCCTCTGAAAGTAAATGAAATCCTCGAATGACTTCTACTGCGTCACCACAAGTAGAGATTCAGACTGTGATTTACCGTCTTTGTGATCCTCCTTGGCCTGTTCTTCCACTTTAAAATTGAATTGAAACATTATCGTCTTCGAGGTAGAATGTAAACAAAAAACACGTGTTTTTGATGATCTTCCAACTGCTTTCTGAGACATCTGCAGTTCAACACACGAAGTTTGGGTAAACCCGCTCATACAGGAATTACAGATTCTTCAGTGCACCAAAGTGAAATAAAATTGTAATAATTTTCTGATTCGCTTCTGCTAATAAAAAATTTTGCCGGTAAATACACACAATGCTATTTGCGATAGCAGCACGTTATTTGCAGCAAAACAGTTCATTTATAAGTTTGTGCAGATCTTATTTTACACCTGCACTGTAGATTTCGCCTTTATAACTTTCTTATCAATTTTCTTATTAATTTTCTCATATACCATGGAGAATAGGTAAATAAAATGAAATTTTCCTTTGAAATAACACTTTGTTAGCAGCTTCGCGCATGATTGCCATAGCTGTGATTTGGCAGCACCAAAGATTTCTTCCGCGAGATCGGATGTTCTTGACGGAATTTTCCGAAAAGACCACAAAACAATTTCTCGAGTGAAGGGGTGAAAAGGTGAAAAATAGTGAAAGTGTGGCATTGTTTGCTGGCGCCTTATTGATTGCCCAAGTGCTATCTTCTCAATTTGAAATGATATCGAGGTAATTAACGCGCTTGACCGGCCGAACACGCAAGCATTCCCTCTGCCCAAATCGATACTCTGTCCTCAGCCCGAGTCGCTCTCCTTATCTCCTGGGACGTGTTGGGAGTCACAAATCGGGGGCGGGAGGCAATATCAATCACAATTAAGGAGTCCTCCACGCTTTGATAATGCGGCAGGTGGAAAATCTGCTGAATAATCTCAAGTTTCCACTCGAGAGAGTGACTGACCTTGTGGCGCGCAGACGGAAGATTGGGCAGGAGGAGTGACGCAAGGCGCGCTGATGGTCGAGTCGCCATCAGCCCAACTGGTCAGTCACTCTCGCGCTGTGCACGGGTCCGGACCCAAAACCACTGCTCTCACTGCCGGCCAGAAGCCGCTGGCGATGCTCTGTCGGTGCTAAAAAGTGTGTCGGATCGCTAACCATTCGCACTCGCCCTGTCCAGGTGCCACCTGAGGAGTCTCCGCCGACAGCTCGCGTCGCTCGTGTCAGCGCGGACGGAAGTTGCCATCGGACGCGGCAGGTGGGCATCGCCGGACGCTCGCCCCGTGACTCGCCTTCTAATCCTTCTCTGTCCGCACTTCCAGATCCGCCAGTTGGCTCACGATGGGCTCCATCAATTGCAAAAACTTCTCCTCCACGAAAACAGCTGACGAAGATATTGGTAATTCCCATTCAGTCTCACCGCGTAACTCTTGCCATGATTCATAGAATGGGGAAACCTTGAGCGCCTCCCCACCAGAGCCCCAAACTCGCTTTTTACAATAATTGCCATGCCCGCTCGTCGCTGGCCAGTATCTGTCTGTTCGCCAGGCTGGAAATCCGTTGATTTCGCGTAAGTGATTCTCCCCCAAATTGCCTCGTTAGTGCGGCGCCCAGAAGTGGGAGAGGACCATTTCCCACCCAGAGATTAGGTGCAAAATCACTGTAATTCACTCCTTCGCGTGGAGTTAAAGAGCGTCCTTAGAGATAAAGTGGAAAAAATGTTGGAGTGATTTTACAAGCGGTCCCTCGAGATTGTCGCTTCACGCGATGATGAGATCATTGAAAATACCCAAGAAATTGTTGTCCAGTAAAATTCCCAACGAGCCACTGATTGAATTTGAGATTTGGCATCTCAGGGGAATTTTAATAACTGTCCTTGGTTTGTTCATAAAGAGAAAAGAATGATTTGTCATAAAAGACAATGCGCAAATTGAGAGTGAATGCGAGACTCACGTTTTTAAATCACAGGGTTAACAATAAATGAACGGCATCGAATCGCTACGTTTCCCACATTTGATGTGTTTCGATGCCAATCTTACCTGATCTGGTCAATTTAGAGTATTTTGAGATATTCATTCAGAAGCTAGTAATAAAAACTCTCATTTTATTTTATAGTGTGTAGTATTTGTCAGAAGCATATTGCGTATTAAACTTGTCATTTCTTTGATACCAAGTTTGATACTGATTGATATATTTCATTCCTTCTTCGTCTATTGCCAAGAATTTTGCTTTAGAAGTCTTACGAAACTCTTATTGGCACTCAATTTTAGAAATCTATCTATAGATTCCTATTTAACTCAAAAAGATCTCTAAGAATATAAAAATATTTCCTCAATCCTGTCATATTTTTTGAAGAGTCCCTTCTGTCACTCAACTGTGCAATATCTTCTGACCACTTCGAGTACTTTTGCAGTGCTTGCGTTGGGAGCTGACGATGGGTGGTCATCGGATAAAAAAGTAGCGCGGAGAAAGAGAGTGATTAGCTTATTCCAGAACCGCGTGTGTGACCTTTTCACTCTTCCGCTCGACTCTGTGGCACACCGACAAAAGGGGAGAGACTGCTTAAGGAAAGCCTGAGAAGAGAAGCGATTCAAGACACGAAAGTGAGGCACAGAGATTAGATTGACCTCATTATGCCGAGCGTCCGACTATTCCTCCAATGCCAAGCAATTCACGGACAATATTACATTGGTCATGTTATCTTGGGGCCCCCGTGCAAATTCTGACACACACTCGCGCTCCTTTCCATAATGCATGATGGATTTCCCCCCTTTTGCATGCCATCGCACTTTAAGTATCAGCTTCGCCTCTGCAAGTTGTGCAATTTTTCCTCCACACCGCAACTTTGCCTCAATTTTATATTTGGATTTCCCTCCCAAATTGCCACTAATCTCGAATTTCACGAGATAAAAAAGAGAAGTAATGAGATCAAGCGAGACATTATGTTGTAAGCGCAAAAAACTAACAAACTGAGAGAGAGAGTCAATGTCACATCGCGAGGGCAATTAGGAGAGTGACGATCGTCAAAAGAATTTCTTCATTGCTGCCTTGAAAGTGGACCTTTTCAATCCAGCAATGATCTGCAAAAGTGTTGAATGAGTTCAGGGCAATAAATTAAATAACAGTCATAACAGCATAAGATCAGAAAGTTTGGCAAAGCCAATAAAGCTGAGAGGGAAACAATTGTCACATTACTTCTTATCAATTTCATGAATAGAATTCGAAAGCGATCGATAAATCCAGCAGATCAATCAATGAGCGCGTGAGAATTGAAGGTGTTCTTTTTTTAATTAATAGCACACGTTTCACATGAAGAGCATAGAACATAGTGCAATGCTAATGACAGGGTTGTGAAAAGCATCGGCAAGAAAAAGTGCGCGTCTATTTCCATACTTTTGTGGCTCAATCTAAATGGTAATTGCCATTGTTTTTAGACATGATGCAAGAAGTCATGTGCATTTCTATCACTCAACGACAAAACACGGAGAAACAGTCTTCTAAATGGCAATTTGGGAAACAAGTTGCCTAAGAATAGGTTAAATTGCAAACTCTTTGTTTCATTTCTAATTCAGTTGTATTTATAGGGCAAATCTGGTAGAAAATCATCTAATCACTTGTTAGATTACCTTTTTTTTATCACACTGTCTAGACTGAAAATGTTCGATTAATAGGCTTCAATTTATGATCCTCACATTCCATCTTCTTGCAGATTCTCCAGCGGAGCCTAAATCCAATCCCGCGAGTGTGTCATCCAGCATGGATCGCGATTTGGGTGTGGATTACGTGGAGGGCGTTGTGTGCTCCGAGGAGGACATCAAGGAGAATGAGATGAAGCAGTTTGACCTCACGGACGCTGGAAAAGTCCTCCTCGTGCGTCAGAACGGAAAGCTGTCAGCCTTGGGCACAAAGTGCACTCACTACGGTGCTCCTCTGGCCAGCGGAGCGCTCAGCAATGGGCGCTTGCGATGCCAGTGGCATGGAGCGTGCTTCAATCTCACCACCGGAGACATTGAGGACTTCCCCGGCCTAGATTCTCTGCCCTGCTATCAAGTCTCTGTGGAGGCGGGACAGGTAAAAGTGCGCGCCAAGCGCACCGAACTGGAGACTAACAAGAGAGTGAAGGAGATGGCAAAGAGGGATCCCAACAATGTCAAGACCTTCGTCATTGTCGGTGCTGGTCCATCGGGAGTCACGTGCGCGCAGACACTGCGCGAGGAGGGCTTCACGGGCAGGATTGTGGTGATCAGCAAGGAAACAGTCTTGCCGTACGATCGCATTAAAGTCAACAAGGCAATGGATTCAGAGCTTGAGAAGATCCTACTGAGGAAGCAGGAGTTCTACGATGACAACGACATCGAAGTGATGCTTGATGTTGAGGCCACAAAGCTGGACACCAAGGATCAGGCTGTCTCCTGCAGCAACGGTTACATCATCAAGTACGACAAAATCTACGTCGCCACCGGCTCCAAGGCCAGGAAGCACAACTGTCCGGGAGCAGATCTGCCCAATGTCGTCACAATTCGTGATTATGTAGACGCGCAGTACATCGTTGGCAACATTTCCAAGCAGAGCCACATAGTCGTGCTGGGCGTGAGTTTCATCGGCCTCGAGGCGGCTGCCTGGTGCGCCGGGAAGGTGGCCAGGGTGACTGTGGTGGGCAGAGGATCTGTGCCGCTGGAGCCAGTGTTTGGCCGTGAGGTTGGCGCACGAATAATGCAGATGTTCAGGGAAAAAGGTGTGCAATTTGCCATGAACAGTGGCATTGAGAGATGCCTGGAGGAGAATGGAAAGCTCTGCTCAGTTCAACTCACCGATGGCCAGATAATCCGGGCTGATCTGTGCATCATGGGCGTGGGGTCGACGCTCTACACGGACTTCATGAAGGGCTCAGGCGTGGAACTCAATCCTGATGGATCTGTGGACACGGATCTCTTCCTGGAGGCGAATGTCCAAAATGTCTATGTCGGCGGCGACATCGCCAATGCCCCAGTGTACTCAATCGGCCTGGATCGCGCCACAATTGGCCACTTTGGCCTGGCTCAGTATCACGGCAGGATTGCCGCGCTGAACATGTCCGGGAAGAGGACTCAGCTCAAGGCTGTTCCCTACTTCTGGACCGTTCTCTTCGGCAAATCCTTCCGCTACGCCGGACACGGCAGAGCTCATGAAATTCGCATCATCGGCAGCCTGCCTGACCTCAAATTCATCGCTTATCACTTCGACGAGTCCGGCAAAGTGATTGGCGTGTGCTCGTGCCAGCGAGATCCCGTGGTGTCTCAGTTCGCGGAACTCCAAGCGCAGGGTAAGACGTTGCGAAAGGAGGACCTGGAGGAGGATCCGCTCGCTTGGACAGCCACCGTCACGTGTCAGAAGAAGTAATCACTCATTCCTTTGTAAATACATTCACGTGGAATTTAAGAGCATCTACCAGGAATTGTTAATAAATTATTGCCAGTTTGTTCGTGAGTCACATTTCTTTCATTTCCTCTTATTTATTAACCAATAAAAAAGAAAAGAACATCTGCGGAGACAGTGAGCAATTTATGTTCTCTCCCCTCAATTCTCCAATTTCCTAATTCTAATGATCATTTCATCTCTTTATCGTCTAAGTTCATCTTTTTTTTTCTTTATAAAACTTCTCTTGATTAGTCTTGTCAAAAATTCTCGAACATTTGTGTGTAAATTCACCCATCCATGAATTTTGTTTTATCGTGAAAAAGAAATTAATTAGCAAAATCCCGTGTCTTCAAATTAAATGAATAATTATGATCCTAGCCTAGCGCCTACAACTAACTGGCCTTGCCTTTGCCTAGAACTTCAGTGACTTGGCAAACAGAGCCGCAACAGCCTGTCTTTTGTCACCCTTGAATTGTCGCAACTCCGCAATTATTTTGTCACGCGCGAATCCCATCTTCGACACTTCCTCTACGTCTTTCTCCGTGAACTGGTCAGTCGGCAGGACACTTGTGGCAGGATCTGAGCTAGTCGCCGGCGCCGCTGAAGTCGAAGATGTCGACGTAGACGCTAAAGAGTGCAAAACGGTTATTAGAAGCTGTTACAATATGATGTTTTGATTAGTTTTTGGTACGGATTACTCACGCAAATTCTGTCTACTCTTCTCGAGAGCCTCTTGGATGGCTCGATCTTCAGCTAACTTCGCCGACTCGGCCATGACTTTTGACTCATCCTCGTGCGCCCCAGAAAGTCTGGCGCAGTCCGGTAGATCGCTCTCTGACAGGAAGGCCGTCTCCGTGCCTGTGGTGCCGATCTTCAGCACGCCTCTCTGCAAGTCGATGTTGCACTGGTGCCTCTTCAGCATATCCAGGCCCAGCAGCATGTCCATGGGCTGCTCCTCCAGCACCGAGAAGCTAGTGATGAGGAAGTCCTTCTCGATCTGCAGCTGTACCATGTGAATGCGGCCGATGATCTTCTGCACGCCCACGCCCTTGGCGATTCCCGACCATCGCGTGTCCACGAGTCGCATGATATTGCACCGCTCGGCACAACCAGCACTCATGATGGTGGTCTGTGCGCCGGAGTCTATGAACGCCTTCACGGGCACGCCGTTCACGCGGCAATTGATGTACAGCATCACGACTGTACCGAAGGTCTCCGGATTGTACTCCATCGCCGCCTCCATGTTCGCCTCGATGTTTTTCTGGCGGATCTCCTCGGCGATAAGGCGCTGCGCCTCAGTGTCGAACGGATCCGCCTGAAGCATCTTATAGCGTTGCTGCACACGCTCAGCGCGAGCCTGCATTTGCTCCTGTAACACCTTTGCGAAGGCTTCCAGGCTTCCCGACGTCAGGGCGTCCGCGAGCCGAGGATTGTTCTGCTTCAGTAGCGCCAGCGTGTCGGGATTGTTCAGGAACATATCCCTGACCATCTTGGGGTCATCCTCAGGCGCCACCGTGAGCGGCCCACGCGCTGCTGACGTCGCTGCACCGCCCAAGGCACCAGTCAACGCACCGCTCAGAGCACCGCCGCCTGGCACTTGGATGGAGCTGAAGTCCAACTGCGGCGTGCCTGCGTGGGTGAAATGTCTGGTCAGTGGCCGAGATTAAAAATAGGTGGCCAATGCAGCGCGCAATTGGCACACAAAGGCATTTCGCCGCATCATCTCTCGCCCTAACCTCACAACTCTGACTCACCTCCGGAACCGCCGCCAGTCGCCAACTCATCCTGGCCAGCGCTCAGCAAATGCTGCAGCACCACTGCGTCGCCGTCCGCCACGCCATGGTCCTTCATTGACTTCTTATCGTCCAGCAGAGGACGACCATTGAAGGCTATAACGATCTCAGATGCTGGGAAGCCTGATTCCACCTCACAAAACGCTTTGAAGTTCTCCAGCTCCAGATCCTCGGAGACATCGAGGACGAAGATGTAATCCGTCAGTGTGGTCACTGTGATTTTCATCCTGGCGATGCACAGTACCCTCCTGGGTCTATTCTAGGGGAAACTGAGGGAAATCGAACGGAAATTCTGGGAAATAAATGCACCACTTTTGACAGCCGCACACTGAATTGCGGATACCAGTCGCGAGAGGCGCCGCGGTCGGAAAATATTCATCGACTCTTCATCGGAATAACGGGTCTGATTTGAAACCGCGTGCGCTGCGTGTTTTGCTGTGAAAATGGGTATTTTCGTGGAAATTCAGCGTGTTCCCGGGTGAGTTTTACAATTCTTTCTCGATTATTCACTAAAGTGTTTTGTATTTTCCAGCAGAGAAGCAAGGACAGATGAAGACAAGTTGAAGATTCGTACTCACAAATATGTCAAGAAGATTCTTTCCGAAGTTTGCGCTTTCGATATGACAAATTTTACAAAAATTATTCACCAAGATGCCTTGGGACCAGATCTGAAGAACGTCGTGCAGACTCTGGCCATCTCTGGAGACATCTCATCAGTCCAGGCTGATTCAGATATAAATATAATTATTTATACAGCCAATCGACACGGTCCGGAAGCTGAACAGCTTCAGATGAACGGCGACTCCGAGGCAGTCACAGCATCTAATCACTGGATCCTGCCCAGTGAGGATTTTATTGGGCTCTGGGAGAATCTCATCTTCGAGGAGGGCGTGAAGGAGAGCATAATGGACTACGCGCAGGCAGCGATGCTCTTCGCAAGAAGCCAGATCAGCATGAATGTGATTTCATGCAACCGCATCGTTCTGCTGCATGGACCGCCGGGAACTGGCAAGACCAGCCTCTGCCGCGCTGTGGCCCAGAAGATGTCCATCAGATTCCAGGAGCACTACAAATTCTTCCACTTGGTGGAGATCAACAGTCACAGTCTCTTCTCCAAGTGGTTCTCAGAGAGCGGGAAGCTGGTCCAGAAACTCTTCAGTCAGCTGCAGGATCTCGTTGAGTGCCCCAACTCGATGGTGTGCATCCTGATCGATGAAATCGAGTCTGTCGCTTTCTCTCGCAATGCCATTTCCAGTGAGTATTCGTGAAATCTCCCGTTGACTGCATATAATGCTATTATTTGCCGCCTTTTCTTTCGCAGGCAACGAACCAACGGACTCCATTCGAGCGGTGAATGCTATTCTAACACAATTGGATCAGATACGGAAGTACAGCAATGTGATAATATTGGCTACGTCCAATCTCACCACCAGCATCGATGTGGCTTTTCTTGATCGTGCGGACATCAAGCAGTTCATTGGGCCTCCTAGCAGTGCTGCCATCCTGCAGATCTACATCACAATGCTCCAGGAACTGCTCCGCGTCGGCCTCGTCCGGTTCCCCGCACATCATCCGGATCAGCAAGCTTACAATGTGCTCCTGACTAGTCCAACAACCTCTGTTTCTTGTTTCTATAACGTCCCTGTTGATCTCGCGTCGCTGTGCATTGAGAGCCGCGGCGCCAGCGGAAGGACTTTGCGGAAAATTCCCATGCTGGCCTATGCGAATTTCATTAAAGAGCGTGCAAACACCGATCTGATTGACTGCATCAAGGGCATGAGTCGCGCGATGCAGAAGCACATTTCCGACACCGCGAATGTTAATCACGCTAATCAGTGAAATGTTCAGTAATGTTATACACGATTAGCTAATGCATTCCTTCCCACCTCTAAACCAACGATGAATTAGTCAAAAAGCGAGACTTTCCGGTTGCATTCCTGTGAATTACAATAAAAGGTTTGCGTGAATGAAGAGCGACAGCTATTATCTTTCCCTTCAAGCATTGCCAATCGGCAAAAACGCCACTTGACGCGCGGTAATGGTGTAACTTGCGTAATATTTACCATCTCTAGAAAGGATTGACGAGAGTGTGGCATCTTTGGTAAAAATTTTCGCCTCTCACACCCAAAAAAGTGATCATTCTCACTTTTTCCGCTCTACTGAATCACATTTTTCCATCGTTAACGGAATCTTCACCTTCGTTTGTCTCTTTTTTTTGTATGTAATCTCTTCATCACCTCTTTAATGGAGAGTGTCTGCTTTTTAGGAAGTGCCTCTGCATTTTTCACACACGTGAGACTTATGGTAGGGCGGGGGGAATTTTGGAGCCAAAGTTTGATGATAATGAAGTGTAAAGCTCTATTGTTTGGATGGTGGTCAACGCATTGCAATTTTATAATAATAATAATATGCAGAGAAAATGGTCAAGGAAACATACAGTTTGTTATTCGCGGTCTCCGCAATTGCCCGGCCCTCCCCTATATGAAATACGAACGATTAAAACCTGATGGATAATCCCTCTCGATAAATCCTCTGCAGCTGATCGAATGCAGTGCATTTTCTTGTGGTCAAGAGGCGATTTTCAGGGCAATGCCAACTGGTGATGAATTACCATAAATTAGCGTTGATCTCTCACTTTTCTCATGCCCGTGGTGATCGATCTCACCTGGCGAGCGGAGACTCTTTCTCGTGCCTTGTTAAGATGATCTATTGGCATTGTATGGAAATGCGCCGCTTCATCGCGACAGAGATCCTCAATAAACTGTCACCCAGGAGTTGATCTTAATTGCAAAAGCCGCGGTGCTCTTTCTCTTCGCCACGATCGCGAATTGATGGCGACAGGAAATTTCACATTGTTATGGCGTGATTTCGTGAAATTGAAATATATAAATGTGCGCGACCCGGGAAAGGGGCCTCAAATTTATGAGTGGCCTGGCATTTTGGCGCACTAAAGACTCTCTGGAAAAATGCAATCTAGTGAAATACATTGTATTGCGGAACGTGATCCACATTGGCTATTTTGGCTGGTGTGTGACTGTTTATTTCCACCATCGCCGCGCCATCACCCACGATCGCCCGTGATCGCTCAATTTGAAAAATTGAATGGGACGGCGAGGGCACGGCGTGTCCAAGAGCGTTATGCAATCCATTTCTCAAAACACCATTTGCGCCCTCCTGAGATCACGATCACTTCGAGAGTGTCTGCAGAACGATTGTGAGGCGATATTTTCGATTGTAAGCCTTACGAGATGCTGAAAAGTATGATCATGAATCGGCCAATTGATTGGCTGCGAGAGTGTTGGAAAAGTTACGCTCATGGGGAAAAACTGGTGCAACGAGCCGCAAAGACTCTCACACATTTGTTTGCCCATAAAGAGTGAAAGCAGGCTCAACATTGAGCCTCCGTCTATCGTTACAAGGTGAACAGAAAGCCCGCGGTTTTGGTCTCTTTGCCTGCGCATTGATCCCCTCTTGGAGGCCGAAGAAATGGCCCAGCGCGAGAGAGAGGCTGTAAATTAGCCAATTGATGGATGCATTTGGCGGCCGTGGCGATTAGAGGATGTTCAGATTTCCGAGCAGAGTGTCGCCGCGGTTTCTCCGCAGAAAAAAGCGGTCGTAAAGTCCAAAAGGAGGGAAACAGGCTGTTGCACATAATCACTATCGCGTAGCCTAAATCAGAGTCAACAAATACTAAGTCGTATCGTAATGCTAGTGTGGAGTTTCGGTGCGTGCAGAAGTAATGATCGACTTTTATGATTCCCCAGCAGATCTCATATATTCCCATGAACTATGCGATTGCAAGACTTTTTGAGAACTAAAATTCAAATTTTATAGGAAATTTCAATTAACCAGATAATTTGTTAGGTCCTTTATAATAACTTTCTGGCGTTACCCAAATTCGGGAAGTTAAGGAATTTGCATACCCTAGATATTAATCATGATTTTCATCTACTTTCAATATAAATCCAATAATTAGATTTTCCGCAACTGTGGCTTCTGCACGATAGAGAGATTTTATCGATTTTCTCAACCGCAATTTGGCGATTTTCCATATCAAAGATCCGCTATGATTATGCAACACTCCAAATTCCGACTGAGATTTGCAATTTCAGCTCTTCCTGCCCACACATTCACTGAGACATTAAGTTCCAGTTGCTGGCTGCTGACTTATGCATCAACCAAAGGAGTGGCTATTAAGAGACCCCACAAAGTATGACCAGACACGCGATACACATTATTAATTTGATCCCACCATAGCCAATCGAGTTTATTGGTTTTGTCCGAAGTACCCAACATTTTGTCCATGCCTTTAGTTTCTTAAAAACGGCCACAACCACGCCGCCGTGGCAGTCCGAGTGGTGAGCCCCAGTCGTGAGCTTTTCAGACTCGAGCGTCTTGTGCAAACTGTGTATATTGTGCCTTTGTGTGTCCCCTGAGCGCCCTGTGAAGATGCATAGTGTGACCGTTGGATTTGTGGCACTTGCCGCCCTCCTGACCATCGCGCACTGCCTCCGGATCCATGTGGACGAAGTAAGTGGAGAGTGAGAGTGCGCGCGAGATGGAAAAAAGTGAAATGGAATCTGCATGCCATTAATTATGCATTATTTGCCAATGTTGCGCAACACGCTCTAATCCGTACAGCCGCAGTACTATGGCGACGTCTACCACGAGAGATCTGTGTACCACCAGCACAGCCTGGGCCTGAAGAAGAAGGAGAAGCAGGAGCAGGACTTCAGCAAGATCCCCGGAGTGCCCGGAGTGGACTATCCCGTGTACCACGAAGTGCCCGACACCAGTTTCCACTGCGGCCATGTTCCCGCCGTGCCTGGAATGTACGCTAACCCAGAGACGGGCTGCCAGGCGTATCACGTGTGCCACGACGGCCGGGAAGGACACCAGGGCGCGTCGTTCCTCTGCACCAACGGCACGCTGTTCAATCAGAAGCTCTTCGGCTGCGACTGGTGGTACAATGTGGACTGCCATCAGGCCCAGAACCTCTGGAGGTGAACTTCGACCTTTCCGCCCATTGAGTCGCACATTGAATGGCAATGATTTCTCTCTTGCAGATTGAACGCCGATCCCGAACTCAATCCATTTACGCCAAAAAAGAAATTGGAGGAAGTGCCAAAATACCAGCATCACTACGAACACTATTAATTTCACCTTCTTCTGCGTGTGGCCAAACACGATTTTCTGCAACTTTTCCCCTAATCACAGTCTGAAATGAGATTTTTCTTGCCTCCGCGCTCAAGCCATTCATTTCCATCAATTCCTCACAACCCAAAAATCCGCAACGCCTTTTTGCCCATTCCCTCGAGCCAATTCTACCTTCATCATCTAATTTAATGACGAAAAACAAATATTAAGTTAATTTAAAGACTCGAGCATTGTATAGCCGCATGAAAAACGAGAGTGTAATATATTTTAGAGTAATTTTTTCGGCACATTAAACGTGAATGAGAGAAATGCCCCAAGATTGTTGCTGCTTTTCTTTTTCATCAGCCAAACGACCTTCTCTGCGCCAGCTGGTGAATTATAATCCCATTTTCTCGGCCACACACATTCCCAACAATGATGGACTCTTTTTGTCCTGGAGGCACTTGAAAAATCGAATCACACACGAGAGTGACCTTTTGCCTGGGTGTCTTCGAGAGCTCCTCAGCAGCCCAGAATGGATTAGAAGCAGCACAGCAACGGACAAAGAGAGCTTCGCACACAAAGTCTGGAGGCTGAACCGCGGCTATTGATTGCGATCATCAATTACAAGCCCGTGGAATGAGAAATAATTTGATAATCGCACATCTTTGTTTGATATTTGACCTTTAGCCAGAGATCGCGGAAAGAATCCGCGCGCATCGCGAATAAAAGAGCCGTTCTCATGGGCGCAATTGTTGAACATCCCCACCGACGAAGTCAATGGCGTCAATGGTATGAAATGAAAGAAACACAGCTCGAAATAGCACTCAAGAGTTTCATTTAATTGGTCTTTTTGTCTTGTGTGTGGAAAAAGTTTTCATTTTGCCAAAGTGAAAATGAAATTTTTCCCTCGACAGGCAAACGTCATATAATAATAAAAAATATTAAAAAACTATTCTAGTAACAGTGAAAACGTCTCTTTCAATTGTGAGTGTGTGACCCAGATTCACGCTTGTTATTCATAATGTGCATAATACGATGGCTGCAGGAGAGAATTCCTTCCCATATAAATAATTAATTGTCTAAGCTAATTAATCCGACACATGAAAACATCTCTGTGTGCGCATCTTCGGTCTCATTACCCCCATGTGGTGAATTTCCTCTCCATCGCCGCCAGCCGCAGCCCAACAGATCATCAATCGGAGTTTCTTTTTCCCTCGGCGCTTCTGCACATCGAGTGGAAAGATTCTTGATAAGAAGAAGTGCTGAGCAAGCTGAATTTCTTTCCTCCTCCTCCCATATATCAGTTTCCGAACTTTTCCCAATTACTCTGCTGCATGCGAAAGAAGTTGAGTTACTTAAGGTCGCCTCTCGCAGCAGAGTTTATCAGAAGGAATGCATTTCGTCACACTGCACAGTTTTGAGTGGAAAATCACGATGCAATTGCATTCAGTCAGCGATTAAGTGTAGAAAATGAAATTTGCTCGTTGTTTTTCTTACAATTCTGACTACTTTCGTAATCACAGAAATATTCTCTCCTTTCATTCTCCAAATCTCGTTTCGTATATTCTTCCAGCCATAAAATCGTGACTTAAAGTTCTCTTTTTTTAGAAGAATTATCCATAATTAACTCTTCATCATGAAATCATTTTGCTTTGTTGATGAAGAAATTTGTACTCTAGCCTAATTATTCTAACGAGCTTTAGAATCTACTGCTTAACGAGTTTTCTAATGCCTTTAAACTAACACTAATTTCAACGATCATTACAAGAAATCGCTCAATCGGATAGAAGCTTATCAAAGATTGCCCTGAAATTTTTCCTCCTAATGTAAATACATTTTAGCTTAATTATATTATTATGACCTATGATAATATGCAATAAAATTGAGAAAATCTAGCAAATTGTACGGTTATTTTCGACACGAGCCTGTGAAAAGCCACGCGGAGTGAAAGAAATTTCTACTCTTGGGAAAAGTGACTTATAAAAAAAACGGTTTTGTCGTATAAAATTTAATTGATCTCCGCGAAGGTCGATTTGGGCAGTCTGGAGAATCATGTCATGTGAAGATGGGCGAATTTGATCGATCACACACGTGTGAAAAGCGCGGATGTTAAACGACGCGCGGAGGCTTTTATACGCCGTCAAGTGTACTAAAATTACGGTTGAATTTGAGTGCGTGTGACTGACCATTCAAATGAGCATTTCAGTGTCTGTCGCTGGAGCAACGCGGTGGAGCAACTTCTTGTCTGCACTAAAGTAAAATTAACAAATATGTCTATAATATGTGTTGCTGAAATTGGGACTTAATGAGTTGTACATTTTCTTTCTCATGTGCAAAAATGTGCCAAATGAATTCTTTTGTTGCTATTTCCCAGCATCCAACAATAAAGTGCACTGGTTTTTCTTCCAGCTTCTGAATTTTTTTGCGGATTTGCACGATATATCGAAACGCAATGATCATTACAAGATCAGATTGAGTTTTCATGTCATTGTTTGTGGCGCTTTTCACTGCATGGAAAATTATATCTGCGAGCGTTATGCACGTGGAGAAGGAAGTTTCGATGAGTAACCCTGTAATATGGCTTCTCTGGCCGTCCTCTTGCGGCGGCTGAAGAGAGTGAGAAACATGAGAAATCCCGCATGAAAATTAGAAAACTCCGGCGTGTAATTACATCCAATTGAATGAAATCGAAATTTTGCACTGACAACGCTGGAATCTTCCACACGGAGATCTCTGGTCACATCGCGATGGACGGTAAGTGCGCAAATTTTCCGCTATTTCCTTGGCTATTTCCCAACGGCGGGCGGAAAATCACAGCTGGAGACTGAGAGATGTGCTGCGAGCGATGGTGGTGGCATAGAAATTCTCCTTCATCGATTTACCACGGTGATTTGATGGTGAGTGGACTGGAGGGAAGACGCTCAAGTGGAGGGAGCCTTTCTCTTCTTCTTTCGCGCCAGCAGCGTCTCCCCTTTGGGCTGATTTTATAAATAGTCGACGGTTTGTGGATTTCTCACTAGACCGCCGCGGATTATGAACTAGACGAGACCACAGCAATCGCGGCTCTCAGAGTGATCTTTGGTGGTGATTTTGATCAGTGATCGTGAGTGTCTTTTTGTGCGCACCAGACAGAAAACGGAAGAGTGGAAATTGCTGCATAATGTGGATTTCTACCATTTTTATCGGTACGTACTCATCATTGTATCATTATGATATAACGACCGAGTGCTCTATGGCAAGATCTTCCGGATTGGATGACAAAGTGCAATTAATAGCCAATGATTGGGTGAGAGCCGCGTAGTAGCAATTTGATGTGCGCAGATTAAGTGAGATGCAGCGGAGTGTAGAAATTGCTCTTGTTGATTGATTAATGATGGCAACTCGATAATTGCCGTGCACGGCTGTGACATGTTCTTTTTTGGACTCCTCTGCTTTCTTTCCACAGTGACTCTGGCTCTGGGTTCATTGAATCCAGCAGCAGCAGCAGCCGAGGAAAAAATCAGCAGCGAGAAAAGCGCGGAGAAAGTGCAGGAGAAGCGGCAGATCTCGGGCCAGACCAAGGTTCCCACGCACCCAAAGCTCACGCAGGACTTCACGCCCTTGATCTATGGCAGCGCCGTGACCCCCGGACTCGGTCAGTATGCCATCCCTGAGGATCCTGCGCAGTACGCCGCTCGAAAGGTGAGATTCCGATCGCGCGGGTTCGTCGCCCGCGGGGCATTCAGGTCTTTTGTATTTCTGGAGTCGTGATTCATGGCACGACTTGGCGATGATTGCAATTGTGCAACCATTGAAGAAGTCACTCGCGGGGCTTCAATTTACCATTTTCCCAAGGCATCCCAGGTGCATCCGCGCAGTGTGAATGCGCGCGCCTCCCACCCTCATTTGTCCGATTATGTGATGAAGACACCTGTGCCGAGGAAGATCTCATGCATTATGCATCTCTCTGCGGTTCTTTGCAGTTGCCCAACACCGCCAACACCAATTACCTGAAGCTGGCGCAGACGCAAGGACAGCTCTCGCCGTCTCAGGCCCCGCAGCACTACCAGCAGCCCGTCTTCGTGCCCCAGGCGCCCCGCGTCAACACCATCTCGGACGCTGAGTACCTCCAGCTGATCCAGAACGCCCAAAAGTTCCAGGCAGCCGCACCGCCTCAAGCGCAGCACTTCGTCCCGTTCGTGCCCCAACACCAGGCTGCTTTGCTGGTCAACCCCGCTCAGCGCCAGTACGCCCAGCTGTACCCCAAACAGACCAGCCACCCTCTGGCCGATTCCTCCCTGGAGCGCGAGATTGAGAAGCTCGTGGCCGCGAACTCTCCTCAGCAAACCGCCTCCAGCCAGCGCCAATCTACCAAAGTGCCGAAGCAGCGCCAGTTCCTGCCCAAGAACCAGCACAACTTCGTCTTCATCCCCTACCAGGCACATGCTCTCCAGCAATTCGTCCCCGCCGTGCCACAAGCCACCCTGAAGCAGCAGCAAGCTGTGCAGCCCCTGCAGTTCCACCAGTTCCTGCCCCAGGCGCACTTCGTGCCGCTCGTGCCCCACCAAGCCCACCACCAGCAGGAGATCCCGCTGGCAAGTCCCCTTGTCCAATACCACAAGGCACCCCAAACTCCACAGGCACACAATACACAGTTCCCCACCACCAAGCCCGCCGAACTGAAGCAAGTCCCGCAGCAGCAGTCCAGCAAGGCTGAGGCGTCGCAGAAGGCACCGGCTCACTCCACAATCTATGTCTCACACTCTACCAGCACCCCACCTTTCGCTAGTCCCACCAAGCAGTCTCACTACACCGCTAAGCCCGCATCCCATTCGCAGGAGTCCTCCTCCCAGGCGCAGCACACCACTCAGTCCGCCGGACACATGTCCGTCAACGCCCTGGCCGCCTCGATCTTCAAGACCCCGCCGTCGCAGCAGCGCCCGCTCACGCAGGAGGAGTTCCAGTCGCTCGTGGACGCCGGCTATCCCGTCACGCCCATTCACGTGCCCGTGCCCGTGCCGATCTCCGCCAAGGACTACGACCAGTCGCACCAGCAGCACCAGCAACACCAGCAGCAGCCGCAGCAGCTGCAGCCGCAACAGCAGTTCAAGTACTCCCCGCAGACCGCAGGAAGCCAATACCAGCCCGCCATCCTCTCGCCCGCCACCTACTACGCGCCCCAGCCGCAGGGCTACTACCACCGCGAGCAGAGGGACACAGCGAAGGAGACGCAGCCCTAGGTCACCCCCACCCCATCTTTGAGAGTACATTCTCGTAGTATTACTTCTTTTTCGATGTAATTTGTATAATTTTACGATAATTTGTACTGCCCTGTTGTATATTTATTAATGATGTAAAAATACAGAAAGATTTCCATAAAAAATCCATCGTCTCGCCACGACGTCTGAGAAAGATCTCGCGGAAAGAAAAAGTGAAATTGATGGGCACTGATAAGGAGGGAAAAAACCAGACGCTGCTTTTTGCTCCGGCTCTGACGCTCGCCGAGCAGAGTGATAGTGCAAGCGATCGGCCTTTTGGAAAGGTGACCGGCTTGAAGAGGATCGGATTATCATGGACATATGCATAATTGAGAAATTAGAAATGCGAGCAAGATTTTATTTTAAATTTGGTGAATGCTAAAGATTTCCCGGGTTTTTGCATAATCAATTTTAATCATGGCTCTCGGGCTTCACGGAATATTAGCAGAGATCAGTCGAGCAGATAATCTTTTGAGAGATGTTTGCTGTTGGGAAAGATTTTCCGGACTTGTTTAGAAAGTCTCATCTAGAAGGCCGCTTTTTTTCAAAATTTGCAATCAAAAGGATCAAAAATTCACACTTTTTAATGTCTTGACATTTTCGTGAAATTTAGAAAATGTCACTGCATGAGAAAGATGTGACTATTAGCAAATGTTTTGGGTGATTTCTTATTTCTGTTTCTCATTGAAATTTTTATGGATCGAAATTTATTTTCTACCGTTCCACGAACTTTCATATTCCCAATAAAAATGGGTTTTTAAATACTTATTCTGCTCTTATTACTGCCAGTAAAGTGTATCAAGTGTAGCGAATTTGTAAGGTTTTAAGTTCATAGGTAAAACTGTACAATTTTCAACAAGATTTCTCGATAGGAAACTTTTGAAAAACGTCCAAAGATTTGGCAAAACTCCCAAAAAGTCTTAAAACATAGTGTCATTGTGTGAAATAGCTTTGAAATAATAATAAATTCAATATAATTATCGATTGATAAAAAGTGAAGGCAATTAATTCTACAATTCATCGTATTTTGCTAATATATTCACGCGGTATGTCAAGGTCTAAATGTCTTCTTCTCTCCACGCTAAGCTTCTTATTGTTTACCACTGTGCAAGATTTATTTTTGCCAAACTCTTGAGCAGACTTCCCGACTTTTTGTGCAGCCATTCAATCGACCCTGCGACCCTGAAGAATTTCGAAATGTTTACACCTCTTACTATCAAATATTTTCCAACCTCTTCTGCTGATGATCATAAGGTGCCCAAGAGAGAACCCGCAAAAACTCACGCAGTTCATCAAACTCCAAAAGTGAGTGGCATCCAATTAATAACAGACAATAAAAATAAATCCAAAGCGACAGCACTCAGCGAATCGTCACGACTCTGCATCTTGGCGGAGAGAGAAATTGTCTCATCGCGATAAAGGTGAACAAAAAAATGCACACACATCCAAAATTGACCTTCCGGGATTCCTCAGCTCGCTGATTTGCAACTGTAATGACCACGATCATCGCGAGAGAGATCTCCGGAAAGTGAAATTGAATCAATTTGCGAGCTGTGCTGCCTGAGCACTATTTACTCTCTCGCCAGGCCAATTTGCAGCCGCCATAGGTGATGCAATTGGCGCACGTGACAAGGTTGACACACACTTCCGGATCGATTACAATTCAATTGCCGCCTACGTGAAAGTTTGAAATAGATCACCTGATGAGATCTCGCAGACAATGCGAGTCCTCCAACTCGGCCGTTGAATTCGCGCACGCCGGAGTGTCCCTGACAGTGTGAGATCTCGCGGTCAACGAGATCTCCAACTGTTCCTTCCGCTAAGCGAGACACTTTTTTTTGCTCTACTCGCGGATAAACTGGCTTTTCCTCCACTTCCACATTCTGCCGATCATCCCAGGCACTGCATTCGCGCGCTGAGGCAATCGCGAGAACTCTCGGCGGCATAAAAGAACAATTCGCAGCATCGCGGAGCAACAGTTGTTTCTGCTAATCCCACGAAGTGACAGTGCAGTGATGAAAATGAACGCAATCATCGCCGTGTTGCTCCTGGTCGCCTCCACGAGCGGCCAGTTCCTCAATCAGGAGCCCATTCCACTGGCCTATTACCGCGACTCTGTGCCCGTTCACGAGGAGCCACCACTCGCGCACCCCGCGGTGGTGGAAAACTCCCTCAGGGAGCAGCAATACCCGCCGGAGCTCACCAACAACTTCTACAAGAACCCGCGCATCGCCGACGCTCTGGCCAAGGAATCCTGGTTCACGGACAAGGAGATGCCAGTGTACGAGCGAGAGGCCGACAAAATCCCGCGCGGCCAAATCGTGAAGATCCTGAAGAACGCCGGCCTGGCCAGAAGGCGACGATAAATTACAAAAGTGTGTGTTATTTATTGAAAAATGTTTATTTATACTTCTATATAGATTTTTACGTATGTACAAAATATTTAAAGAAAGCTCTGTATTTATACTTGTTTTTTTTACGTAGGAAAATAATACTAGAAATTATTAGTAGTTTTTTTTCTTTACTGTATTTCTCATCATCGAAACTTTAGCCCGAAACCGTTAGTTTTTTTTCTTTATGTATATTCTCTCACATTACAATACTTTCGATATATTTATGTATAGTATTTATAAACTGTATATAGAACTATGTAAACCGCAATGATATTTATAAAGAGAATTATTTATATATACGTATATCTCATTTAACAAAAGGTATTGATAGTAGGACAAATCTCCGTCGCTTACGATTTCCTCTTCTTGGAGAAGATCCTAAACATGCCCGTCTTCTTCTCCTTCCCATTTCCGCTCACACTCGACCGCCCGGACTGTACGGATTCACTCTCGCTGGAGCTCTCATTGGTGGACGCCCGGAAGCGGTTGGGATCTTGTGGCATTGACATCGGCCGCACGGTGACTGAAGTTGTGTCGTGCCTCGCATTCCCCCAGCCTTGAGTTGCACACAAGAGAAAAAGCTCCCGTCAGAGGCGCTCCAACATTCCTCCCACTTTCGCAAGTTCAAAGCAAAACACACCAAACATCGCCAAAAAACACCACCAAAAGCCAACGCACCACCTTATCTAGCCCAACCAATCTACTGAGGAGATCAGACGTGTGATCATGCGTGTCATTTCGACGGTTAAATGCTTGAAATTCAATTAAACCGCCCAGGAAATTAATCAAACAACCATTTTTCAATGATCCATCGTGAGAGATGGTTGTTCAACCCAAAGTTATATTGTTAAAACCACATGGGAAGCCAATTTCCAAGATTAGTTTACCGTGCAAATAGAGCTAGGCGCAAAAAATAAGGTAACAGCACACAAAACACACACACAAACCGCTGAAAAAAACTCCCTTCTTAGTAAAAGTGATTAATTTAGCAAATTACAGTTTTCACGTAAGAAAACACTTTCATGCCTATCGCCAGAAAAGGAACAGGCCAAGAAAACCCATGTTAATGAAAAGTTCCATCAGGAAAAGGTTATTAAAATGGCAAATTGAAGGCATTCAGAAGATAAATAATAAACCACAAGGTTTTCCGTACAATTTGCAACCAACAATTAGTTCATGCATACAATTTGACTACTGATCTGTAACGTGTCACTGTTTCACTTCTTAATTAAATTCTTATTAAAATCTCACAAGTGATGATTCGCAATTTCCCCATATTTAATTCCATCAATTTGAGGGAAAAGCACATAAATATGAATTTCAAAAGTATTACTGCATTAAGAATCCCTTTAAAAGTTAATAGATCATAAATGGCGAAGCGTGAAAATACAGATTAGTCGTTTCACTCGAATGAATCATCTGATTTAGAAATCAACTGCAATGCTTAATCTCTTTACACTCTTCCTGCAATAAAGTCTAAATCTCATCCATAAAAAACACTTTCACAATAAGTGTTCGGTTGCAAATTTTACGATCAGCCCAGTGTTCAAGTGCAAAGTGTTTCAGCATGCAAAAGAGGAGCAGCAGAAGAAGGAATTAGTCTTAGAATTGCCAATCAGTTCTGTTTTGGAGAGTGTGGCGCCAATTACTTGTTCTTGCATCTGCTGCTGAGTAACTCAAATCCGCCGGATGTCTCATCGGCACCTGTGGTGTCGGATGGATGCGGTGCAAATTGTGATGCAAACTTTCCGGGTGATAATTTGCCGGATGGTGGGGCATTGGTCTGTACTGGCCACCAGCCATCGGTGGCAGACTAGCCGGCAAAGGTGGTGGTTTGTCTGACACGTGAGACGAACAATTAATCCAATAATCTCAACTTCCGCTCTCACAATCGCTCTCTCTCTATCTCTCGCCCACACACTCTGCCGATGGCAGAGTTAATGGGGTGTAGTATTCACACAACACAACAACAACAAGTTCACATCACTGGATGGACAATGACAATGGGGAGAAATTGCAAGGAATAAGCTAAAGACAATTACCTGACTGTCTAAACTCACTTTGGCGCATCCATGCCTCATCTCCATTGTTTGTGCTGCTCTGCAAGGTAGGTAACATGGAATGTGGTCTCTGCATTTGATTCTCATAATTGCTATTGTCATCATAGCCATCCGGAGGCACTCCTGCAATCGCCAAACATCAGCCATTAGTCATTTGTAGACGCTCAAAAGGCAAATCTAACTACCATTGGAATGACTGCGACTCCTCAGCTGCACTTCCTGAACGCTACTCTGACGCTGAGGTGCCGGTGGTGGAGCTCCTCGTGGCGGAATCGGAGGCTTCTCCATCTGCCCGGTGTGCGGAGGCTGATTTCCCATCTCCTTCAGCTCCTTCTGGCGCTGCAGGAAGTTTATCTGTGGTGTACTCGGTGACTTCTCACTCGAGCCACGCACTTGAGAGTCCGGCGAGGAAGTCCTCGAACTCAGCGATGATGCATCTGTTCCTTCAGTTCCCGTCAGACTCTTCACGTCAGGACTTCCCTCTCCCATTTGCTGCAAATCACCACAAAACCAATTATAAATCTATACTCATAGATGAGGAAGAAGAAAAATTACCTTGAGAGTGTCGTCATAACTCATGAGTTGAAGATTCGGCGGCAATTTCGCGTGGAATGAGATCTTATTGATCCAATCCGTCATCTCATGAACTGTAGCAGCGAGGAAGAGGAACTCAGAACCATCCATCAACACCAGACGGAACACATTCTTCCTCTTCGTGTAGTCGTCAGCCTTCTCGCATTTGGCATTCAAGATGTTGATTGGCGCTGTGGCAGCGCGCTTCTGGTAGCAATCCTCCTCATCCTTGAAGAAGCATAGCAGTTGTCCACAGAGAATGGTGTAGAAGTTCTTCCAGGATCTCACAGGCGCCCTCTTGCCGGCCGATTGCAACTGATGCTTTCTCTCCAAGAAACCCTGCACTTCAATCGGCGGCAAGAGACTGCTATCTTTGTCTTTTCGGAAGCTGTGCGCACGCCGTCTCGTCGTGAAAGATGGCGTTCTCTTGGGCTGCTTGGGACCCACTTTCATGCTCTCCGCGCGCTTGATATTGCCCTCAGATCCACGCCTGAGACGCTCCCCGAAGAATGTTGTCACTGAGTTGGACTTTTGTACTGTTGCTTGCGGAATGGAGTTGGGAGATGCAGCATTCTCCTGGCCAGAAATGCTCACAAGGCTCTTCGATGTTGTTACCATTGTGGGCTCTGTTGGGCCATTCTTGTCCACTTGCTTCTCATTCTTCCTCCTCTCTTCTGTAATCCTCTGCACTTCCTTCTGCTTCAGACTCTCCAACCTCTCCTTGGCCAGACGCTCCTTCTCCGCTCTCTGCGCCGCCAATTCCTCTTCCTTCTGCTTCCTCATGAGCTGCTCCAGCATCGTGATCCTCTTCACAGCATTGAACTTCTCTTCCTGTGCCGACACCGTCTTTTCAAAGTCATCATGACGCTTAATCAGATCCTCAATCTGCGGAATTGAATCTCCCAACTCCACATCCTTAACCAATGCCTGTCGTCCATTGATCCAATTCTCCAGGATCTCTGCCTCTCGCATAAACACCCTTGTATCGTGATTTAACTCATAAATCTTCTTTCTCTCAGCCAATGTGTGCTGCAAGAAGTTGTATCTCTGCTCCAGAACACCAACTTTCTGCTTCACTTCATGCGCCAGGAAGTGCTTGTTATCGATCAGCGTCTTTCCAGCAGTGTAGAACTTCTCAAAGGCATCCTTCCGCGAGTCCACTTCTTGCTTATTCTCCTCCAGTTGTTTGATCTGCGCCTCTGCCGAGGGAACATCCATAGCCAAGTCAGGAGCTGTGATATTTGCCAGCTGTTCATTGATCCATGCCATCAAGTCTCTGTAGTTATCGAAGTATTCCTGCAGCTGTTCAGCCTGTTGCAATTTCTCCTTCCTCGCCTGTGTCTTCATGATCAAATCCGACCACGCTTCGACTGTTTCATCCCTCTTTACTTCGATGTGCTCCTTGGCATCTGGGAAAGTGTCAGCCAGCTTCGTGGCCTCCTTCATCACCACATCCATTTGCAACTTGACAGCCTTCAATTCCGTCTCAAACACCTCATGCTTACGGATGAGAGACTGAATTGTTTCCAAGTCCTGACCGTAGTCTTCCGACATGAGGGCGGTTTCCTTTTCGTTAATCCACGCGATTGTCTCATCAGCTGTCCTGTCGTACACGTGCACTTGCTTCGCTCCAGCCAGAGCTTCTTGCCTCGCCTGTACCAACTCCTTCAGCTCATCCCACAATTGCTTCGTCTCGGCCACTTTCACCGAAATCTGCGAGTCATAGGAGTTCTTCTCCTCTAGCAACTGATTCCCCTTGGCCACCACAGCTGCCACGCGTCCCTCGTTAGCACTCAGATTCGAGATGAAAGAATCGAATTTCGCGATCAGCTGTTCCACATGCTCCACATCTGTTCCATACTCATCAGACGCCGTTACAGTGATCTGGTCATGAATGAATTCATGCAACTCATCCACCTCGCGAATGAATTCAAAGTACTTCTTGCTCTCATTCAGCTTCTTCTCACGCTCCATGGACAGCGTGCACAGTTTATCATACAGCTTCTTTATGTTCTCATTCTTCGCTGAAATGTTCTCCGTGTCAAAGTGCCCACGATCAATGAGTCCCTGAGCCAAGTTGTCGATCTTCTCCACATTGGCGCGGAAAGCTGTGAGTTCACGCTGCAGACTCTCCAGCTTCTTCTGCAAACTCTGCACAGAGCCATTATCCTTCCCATAATCATGAGACGCTAGAATAGGCAATTTATCCTTCATCCACGTCTCAGCCTCGATCACTTCTGTGTAGAGAATCTGACTCTCCACAGCGTCCAGGAGTCGTAATCGCCGCACACTAGCCAGATCTCGCAGAGTCACCAGCTTCTTCTGCAGCACACCCGATCGCGATTCAATTACATTCTTCGCGTAGTGGTCATCCTTGACCATCTGATGCCCACGTTGGATGACGGACGAAATGATGGGATCTTCGGAGAGGATCTCCGTCTCCAGCGCTTGATGCTTCTTCTGCAAGCTCTGCACCGCTGATAAGCTGTTGCCCAGATCCGTCGAAGCCGCCAATGGGAGTTTCTCATCAATAAACTGCAATTCATCATCGACATCCCTCAAGAATTGATGCAGCAACTGCGAATCCTCAATATTCTCCCGACGAATTGTGATTGGCTCCTCCAGAGAATAATAGCGCTTGACAGCAGCCATGACTTTCTCGTGAATCTCCTCCTGCATGAAGTGATTGATCTTCAAGAACTCCTCATTCGTCTTCCTCATGCTGTAGCAAGTGTCCAAATGATGCGCCACATCAGCTTCCAGCATCTCATGCTTCTTCAGCAGATTATTCACCGAAGCCAAATCTTTCCCATAATCCTCAGACGAGAGATGAGACTCCACTTCATCCATCCACTTGTTGAACTCCGTAATACTGCGATCAAAGATCAGAGCATCGTAAGCCTGGGACAATCTCTCCTTCTTCTCTCGCGACAACTCCTGCAGCTTCGCCCACTCCGTCTCCAGAAACTCCAGATGCGAAAGGATCTCTTCACTGGCATAGTGCTTCTCATCGATCAGCTTCTCGCCCTCCTTCATTACTGCGTTTATTCTGTGCACATTGGCATTCAACTCGGAGTCAAAGGCCGATTGCTTCTGGATTTTGCTCTGAAGATTGCTCACCTCGCGATAATTCTCATCCAGAGCCACTTGCATCTTCTGGTGCAGCCACTTTTCCACCTCGTACAGCTTTCTCAGGAACTCCTGATACTGCAGAGATTGTTGCAAACGGAACTTCCTCTCAGTCGACGATGCTAGAAGTTTAGAATATCTAGCCTCAATCTCTTCCAGTTGCTGCTCCACAACACGCTGATCTATTCCCTTGGAAGACTTCACAGCATTGGCAAAATCCTTGAGATCATCAATTTGATTGGTATTCAAGAGCTTCTCAAATGCCTCATGCTTCTTTATCAGCACCTCAACGGACGTGAAGGAATCTCCCAAATCATCATTGTTGAGAAAAGCTTCCTTATTCCTCAACCACCGATCAATTTGATCCGCCTGTGCCTTAAACAGCAACATCTGATGTGTCGCCTTCAATTGATCTGCCCTATTTTGCCATGCTTTGTGCAATTTCTCATGAAGACTCTCCAGCGTCTCCAGATTCTTTGATATGTCAATCATTTTGATGTTCTTGGCTTCCTCCAGACTCACCAACTCCTTCCCGTGCTTCTGCAGCACCGAGAATGCCTCATCTCGCCCATCAATTTCCGCCTTTCTCTCCTGATGCAGCTCCAACTGCACCTCGGCCTCATCAATAGACACTGGTGTTGGCCGCGAGCCCATCTTCTTCATGATATCATTCACCCAGTTCTCATACTCCCTCACATCGTTGGCGTACTTGTGCAAAATATACCCATTCTGCAGTAAATCCCTCTTTCTCTCCGTGGCAGCTTGGAGATTCTCCCAATTCTCGTGCACCTCATCGAGCTTCGTCTGGATGTCCTCCTTGCGCTGCGGATAAGTGTGATTCAGCAGCGTCGCCTCCTTTCCATGGTCACTCAACTTCTGCTCAATCGCCGTCATATCGCGCTCCAGAGCTTCCTGCTTCCTCTGCAGTCCCTCAACAGCATTCAAATCCCGTCCAACATCCGTCAAATTCATGGCCAAGGCCTTTTCCGTGATTCTCTCAGACGTGTCATTGACATCGCGATTGAAGACGTGTATCTCATAAGCGCCTTCCAGCAATTTTCTGCCAATACACAAAAGACATTGAGACACCAATAAATTTTAATCATCATATTAGTGTTAAGGTGTTAAGAGAGCTATTAAACACTCAAGGTTTAGTGATATCATAAAGATTATATTAATTTACCAAAGTAGAAAAACATTGTGACGCGATCTTTTCGTGCTACTTGATTATTGTTATTATATCAAAGTATATACATATAACACTCACCTGTATGCATTCAAGGCGCCCTGAAGAGCTTTCCACTTGCTGTTGAGATTGTCTCGACGCTGCTCCACATTCTTCACCTCCTTCGGTCCCTGACTCAGTAGTTTATCTGTCAACACGTTGATGTTCTTGATGCGCTGATCATCCACTCGCATATCCGAGTCAACATCGTCCAGCTTCCTCCTCAAAGCCATGCAGTGCTCCAAGTCTCTTCCTGTATCACCAGCATTCACCATGAGTTCCTTGTCACGAATCCACGCCTCCAGTTTGTCCAGATGATTGTTGAACTCCAGAATGTCCTGCGCCTCTTCCAAACCACGGCCACGCTTCGACAGTTCATCCACCAGTTGATTCCAGAACTTCAGGACATTCCTCACAGCTTGTTTAATCTCTTCTGAAGATTCATGCTTCTTCTTGATCAGACGATCACCCTTGTCCTGAATCTCTTTAATTCTCTGCTCATTTGCCGCCACTTCGGCCTGGAACGACTGATGCTTCTGCAGCTTCTTAATCTTGTCCTCCAAACTTGTCACATCCGTGTAACTATCATCAACTTCGAGTTTCTTCAACTTCTCACTGATCCACGCTTCAGCTTCGGCGCAATCACTCACAAACTGCGCATACAAGAGAGCATCAATCAATTTCTGTTTCCTCACCGCGCACAGATTCACAACTTTCCTCCTGTGCTCCACAACATCCTTCAGCACCTTCTGGATATTGGCTGAATCATAGTGATTCTGCTCCACAAGTTTCCTCCCGTGACTCTGCAGCAGTGCCACTTTTTCATCCTGCGTCTGGATCAGCTTCTCAAATGCCTCATGCTTCTTGATCTGATTTTCCACCTCCTCAATTGTATTGCCAAAGTCCGATGTGGACAGCGTGGCTTCCTGAGAGCAGCAAATATTATCAATCTGCTTCGCATCGCGCAAGAAGCAGAACAGATCGATTTTCTGCTCAAGCAGGATCTTCTTCTTGTTCCACGCTGTGTGCAGCTTCTGCCTTTCGTCCAGAAGAATCAGACACTTGTCCTCAACCTCGGCTGCCGCATAGTGTCCAGTCTGCACCATAGAATCACTGAGTTCATTGAGTTCCCTGAACTTCTCCTCTCTTGCTTCGATCTCTCCATAAATGGCATCGTGTTGAATCTTGAGGGCAGTCGCTCCAGCCGCATCACTGACGTGCTCTTCAGCTTGCAGAGCGGCTCTCAGATTTGACGCCCACAAGAGCAAATCTCGTGCCTGAGCCAGGAAACTCTGCAGATCATAACTGGCAGCCAGTTGATCATTCCTCAGCGTGGACTTCTCCTTCAAAATGTTCCACGATTCAATGACATTCTGCTGTTGTTGCGCAATAGCTTCTGCGTTTGATGGATACTTTGTCTGGAGGCGCACAGAATCTTCCACCAGCACTTGAAGCTGTGCCTCGAGAGCCACCAAGTCATTCTCAAAGCCTTCATGGCGACGAATCAAAGACAATGCGGAATTTAGATCTTTTCCCAACTCATTAGAAAGACTGGCATTCTTGTCCTGAATTCTGAACAGAGCCTCAGCCACATCTCTGTGGAAACGATGAATCTCTCCGGCGCCATTCAGCTTCTGCTCGCGCTCCAGCACAGAGTTGAGCAGCTTCTTCCAAGCATGATCTAACTCTTCCTGGCGCTTCTCAATAGCAGCTGAATAGGGGGACTCATTGTTCAGCAGTTTCCTTCCAGACTCAATGCACTGCTTGTAGCGATCTGTTCCCGATTCAATGTGATGCTTCAGATCATCAAACTTGTTCTGCAACTCCTGCAAGTGCTCATAATCCTGGCCGTAGTCATCAGAAGACACCGCTTGTTCCTGCTCATTGATCCACTGCTCCAACTCATTCGCCTCCATGAAGTATTCATAGCGATAGAGACTCTCCATGAACTTAACTTGTCTCTGACCAGCCAACTTCTGCAGTGACTTCAGCATCGACTCGATCATCTGCTGTTTCGACGCGATCACTTTACTGTCCGGATACTTGGCAGCCACCATCGCAGCCGCAGTGTGACTCATTTCCGACACAATTCCCGAATATGTGTCCAATTCCAACTCCAATGCTTTGTGTTTTGTCAACAATTTCGTAGCGGATTCACGGTCTCTTCCATAGTCATCAGACCGCAGTATATTGTTCCTCTCGCCCAACCACGTCTCAATGTCACTCGCCTCGAAGAGATACTGCTGCGTCTTCAGCGAAATCTCCAGTCTCTTCGTCCTATTCGCCGCCTCAGCGAGCAGTGTTTCCCAAGATGTCTCCAGATTCTCACACAATTCCTCGACTTTCTTCTTCTCTGGGTGATTCTGCTCAATCAGCGTCTGACCGAAAGTCAGCGCCTTCGTAATCATCGGTTGGTGTCCTTCGATCTCAGACTCCAGCTTCTTGTGTTTCTTATACATGCTCTGAGCCTGATGAAGATTCTGACCCAGAGACTCAGACTTCGCAATCGGCAGTCGCTCGTTGATCCACTGCAATTCAGTGTCCAATTCAAAGCCAAACTTGTGATACTTCAGACTCTCCTCAAGTGCCTGCTTCCTCTTATCCATCGGCACCTTGAGATCCTTGATGTTCTTCTGGATATTCTTCGTCTCTTTCTGGATGTTGCGAGCATCAAAATGTCCCTCGTGAGCCATCTCTTCACTCGTGCTCACCAATTCATAGATCTTCTGCTCCCACATGATGATGTCCGTCTCGATTATCTCATGGCGCTTCAGAAGATCCCTGCAACTCCTCAAATCATGCCCAACATCGTCACTCTGCAAGCCATTGTCCAAATCTTTTAGCTTGTCCTTGGCATCCTGAATACTGCGATTGTGGTCCCTCTGAGCGGCTGCTTGCTCCAGGCGACGTCCTTTATCTCCTGACAAGGCGATCAAGTCCTTCCACTTCTTGTTCAAGCCATTTGCCATCTCCTCAACGCGCTCAACGTTGTTCTTTGTCGCGATCAATGCTTCAGCGTCCTGAAAATTACAAATAAATCATTAATACTCAAATGGAAATTCAATTACATCCTCTGACTTACCTTGTTGATATTCCGCAATTGTCCCTCATTGGCTCGCAACTCCCTCTCGAACGCTGTGTGCTTCTGAATCTTCCTCGGCAAGTTGGACAGATCCTTGTAGTTCTGATCACTGGCAATCTTGATCTTCTCATTCAGCCACCCATCGAGGTCCTCCACCTCCGCCGCAAACTGCTGGAAGGCCTTCGAAGCCTGCAACTCATACTTCCTCTCCTGGGCCGCCTCTCTAACCGCCTGTCTTCGCTCCAGCACCTGATTTCGACGTTCGTCAATGTACTCCGCTGCATAATGCTCATTGGCAATCAAGCGGTTCGCCTTGTCGTTGAATCCCCTCAGGATCTTGTTCTGCGCCTCCAATGTGTTCTCGAAGTCCGCATGTCGCTTGAGAATTGCATCAACATCATCGAGTGACGTGCCCAGTTCTTTCTGCTCAATGAACGCCTCGTGACTCTTCGTGGTTGCATCAATCTTGTCCGCTTCCCTGTTGAACACTTGCAACTCGAGACAGTGCTCGAGGAATTTCTGCTTCTCCGGCCACATCACGTGAATATTAGCCTGCGCTTGCTTCAGTGTCTCAATCATCTCGCCCACATCTTTCAGCTTGGGATTCCGCTGATGCAGCTGACTGCCCAGTCCAATGACCTCCTGGAACTCGTCGTCTTTCGTGCGAATCTCATCGCCCAAATCCATGTGGCTCTTCTGCAGGTTCTTCGCCGTCTCCACATCCTTGGCAATGACATCCGCCACCAGTACGGCGTTTGTCTCCTCCACCCAGGACAGCAGATTCTTGCTGCTATTCTCAAAGATCTGCTGCCCCACGGCATTCTCAAGTCTCGCCCGACGCTCATTCGCCTTGTTCTGGACATTCTTCCATGTCTCTTGGATCTCATTCTGGCGCTGAGTCACGTTGGCACGCTCAGATGGATAGGAACTCTTGACAGAGTTGGCCAGCAGGTTGACACGATTGACTTTCTCCTGAATAGGCGCCAATTCACGCTCCAAGTTTTGATGGCGACGCTGCAGAGCTTGAACAGTCTTCAAGTCACGACCCCATTCAGCGGCATCGAGTTGCATCATCTTCTCATTCATCCAATCTTTCGCCTCATCGCACGTTCGATTGAAGAGTTCAACACTCGAGGCACCTGCTAGGTTCTTCTCCTTCTGCGCCTTCAAGTAATTCAGGTGATCCCACAGTTGGTGAATTTGCTTCTGTCTCGCCTTGATTTTGTCCAGCTGCGAGTGTCCTTGCTGAATAAAGTCCTCAACTGCCGCATCTAAAGCGTCAATCCTCTTCGACGAGGCTGACAAGTCCGTGAGGAATTTCTCAAACTTTCTCTTGGCAATCTCAACATTCTCATTGGAATCACTGCTGTTCAGCATCTTCTCCCTATCCTTGATCCACTTCTCGAAGTCATCGCACTCGCGGAAGAAGCCAAACAGGCAAATGGAGTCCTCCAGCAGATGATGACGACGCTGTGCCAGATCTTGCAGAGTGTCATACGTCGTGCAAATCTTCTTCAGTCGCTTCTCCACACTCTCGCTGCCATCCACAATATCACTCACGAGGCGACGCTTCGTGAGTGGCTTGATTTGGGACACATTTGTCGGTCGGACTCGCTTCACTGGCACCACCTGATTGACTAGCACAGTTTTCTTCACCTTCTGGACAGTCTTCACCTTCTCTAGCTTCGGCACGATGCACGGGACATTGCGCGATTCAATTTCACGCACATAAGTCGCCGGCACGAAGCCCTCATTCCCGTCCATCTTTCTCACAGACCACCAGTCATTGTTGGTCTTGTTCAGCAGTATCATCACCTCACCCTTGGTCATCTTCATGCCTTGTCCGTCGAACACGTACAGCGCCTTCACGTGCGGGAACATCTTGTTCTCCGTCACCATGCGTCGCTCCACCTTCTCCACCTCCTCGTCCTCCCACACCTCCTTCGGCACCAGGCGCTTCTCATTCACCCACTCCTCCTGCTCGACTTCCGGCACGGGTTCCGGTTCAGCGGACAACTCCAAATTATTGATCCCTGCCTTGATCAGCTTGTCCGCCTGCTGCTTCAGATTCAGCACATCACCCGAATAGGCATTCAACTCTCCCTGAAGATCTCTGTGACGCTGCAGCAGCGCCTGAGCTGATGGTTCATCGACACCATAGTCAGTGGACGCCATGAGAGCCATTTTCTCATTCAACCACGACTCCGCCTCATTAGCATCCGTGTAAAATTGATACGCTTCGATCTCATCCTCAAGCTGACGCTTCCGGAACTCCACCAGACTCTCGAGCGCCTTCCAGTGCTGCTCTAGTGCGTCAATACGCGGCTGCAGCTCTGCTGATCTCGTGTGCTTCAATTCAATCAGCTTCCGCCCCGAGTCTGTGATCTGCGTCAACTTAGGCTTGCGCACCTTAATCTCATCCTCCAGCGCCTTGTGCTTCTGTTGCAGCGACATAACAGCCCTCAAATCTTTTGCCGAGATCACCGCCTTGCAAATGCGCTGCTTATCAATCACCCAACTCTCCTCATTGTCGTAATCCTCGATGAATTGATAAAAGTTTCGCGCATCATCCAACTTTCGGCGTCTCTCCGCCGACTGCTTCTGCAGATCCTCGTACGTCTGATTCAATTCCTCCATCTTCTGCATCAGCAACGGAATATCCTTCATGTCAGACTGCTTCAGCGCCGCACATTGTCTCACATAACGCCTCAAATTCTCTCCCAGGGCAGTTACTTGAAGCTCCTGCAGAGCGTGTGTCTGCAGCAATTCCTCCACCCCCAGAAGATGAGGTCCAACATCTTCAGAAGCAAACTGCACTTGGAGCTCTTTCATTGTCGACATCGTGGCATCAATTTCTCTCAACATATTCAGCAGATTGCTCATTTGCGTGAGGTTGTTCTTGTGATTTTCAAGCAAATCCAAGAGTTTCTGCCATTTATTCAGCACTTCCTCTTCGCGCTTCTTCACTCTTTCCTTCCCATGATAGTTCTCCTTGCTCAGCTCATCCGCCATGGCGGTGAGATCATTAAAGCGCTCCACACGAGCCAGGATATCTGCCGAAATCGCCTCGTGTTTCTTCACCGTGGCGTCCACTTGCCTCAGATTTGCTCCATATCTCGGATCTGACAACACCTGAATCATCTCCTTCAAATATCCCTCGCGCAGAACTGACTTTTTCTCGAACTTGTAGTTGAGTTGCTCCAGTTTCTCCTGCCTCAGCAACTCCTCCCTCAAGTCCACCTCGCGACTGTGCTCGGCATACTCCAGCATCTGCCACGACTTCTCAATGTCATTCACCAGCTGACCCTCCTGTGGCATGTACTGCGGCTGATTAAGCGACTTAAGTAGTGTATTTATCGTGAAATACAGGGCTTCAATTTCACTCCGCTCCTTGTATCTGCAAAAAATCCGTAATTAAGATAAGACGCATTTTTCACTGGCAACACAGATGGTGGCTCAAAATGTTGGCACACCTTCTCAAACGGAGCTCCATCTCGAAGGTGTGTCATCATTCTTAGCCAGGATGTGCATAATTGCTAAACTGACTACAAAGTATACAAAAATCAGAGATAACAAGCTAAAGAGAACATTCTCAGACATGAGAGCCTCACAGTGGCGTAGTGTCTACGTGTATTTTTCGTCACATTCGTTACTTGATATCGAAATATTCAAGCCACGCCACTGAAGGTGGCTTTATAATTTACTTCTTGGAGTGACTTAAGCCAGGCACTCATGATAGCGCTAAATCCCAATTAAATATTTACCCTTTTCGAAGATAGAAACAAACAGATATTTTGCAACTCACTTCGGTGGCTTCTCAATTGTGATGTACTGCTTGAACACCACCAACTCTTTCTGGATGCCCTCCAAAGAGTTCGGGAAGTTCCTCTGCTTCAGCTCCTCCGTCTTCATGCGAATCCACTCCAGTAAATTTGTCGTTAGTCTCTCATAGTGCATTTTTCGTCGATCGGCATCCATTAATTTGCCGACAATCTGCAAAAGGAAGGCATGTCACTATCAGTGTTGAATATCATTTGGCGATGAAAAGCATTGTGACTCACATTGGCGATACGTTTTCCACTCTTCTGCTCATTCTTCATGCGTGCGAACGTGTGATAGTACGACGCCACGTACGTGAGAATTGACTTCTCGTCCGGCCTAGTTGTGTCCACATCTTCGGCATCCAGCAATTTCGGAATGCCGAGCTCCCGGTCGGCCACATCAAAAGCATGATTGAGGTTCTCAATGTGACGCCCCGGTGTTAACGAGCCGTAGTCAAATAGATCCGGCCTGTGGGAATGGATGAGGGCATTGAAGCCCATGCCGGAGCGCCAGGAGCCCGTGAAGTCCTGAATGTGAACACCCTGATAGCCGTGCGTCTTTCGCTGACACCACAGCAGCAGCGCATCTTTGGCCGATCTCTTCTCGCTCGACTCATTCTCCTCGTCCACATCAATTTCAATCTCCTGAATCTGGAAGCGCAGGATGATCGTCCAGATGAGACCGAGAATAAGCCTCGGATTCCCATCCACAATATCTTCAGCACCGATCGACTCGAGACGCACTTTTGTATGCAAAAACGCCAAACTCTTGTTCACATTCTCAATCTTGTGCACACGCATTCGGCCCGAGTTTGGCTTTCCCAATTTCTCCCCGGAGATTATTTCCAGCAACTTGAGCAACTTTATACCATCGGCCAGGTCCACAAACAGGTCGTCAACTTCCATTTTCACCTGATGAGAGAGACAGACAACAAGAAAGACAAACCGAAAACAACGGTCGGTGAGACAAAAAGTGAAAACACAACTTGAGACACATTCATTATTTTTCTGTGTCACTTTAAAGAGAAATGTTCTTTTTCTCTGATTTCAATCAAAGACTGTGACATTTCCGGAATAACTCACCTTTATCAGAAATGAATTCATCCATTTCGTGAAGGTCTTCTTCTGTATGTGAAGTCGCTCCTCTTGCAGCGTCTTAATCCGCTCATTCTCGAACTTGTGAATGCCCTCGCGCTGTGTCATGTTACTCCTCTGCTGCACCTGGGTCGAGTATCCTCCGGGCTCATATTGTCCCCCTGCGCACAAAGTGAGAAAGTACACACCATTAGCAATTTGCAGTCATTATAGCACGGAACACAGAAGGCAGAAATGTGCTGTGATACAAATTGCAATAAATTAGCAAATTATTGAGGCTCTTTTTGCCCCGGCAACGATCTCGTGCCAACCACCTCTTCACAAAGTCGCTCCACATTCAATTGGATCACATGTGAATCTTGCAATTTGCTTCTGAATTCACCTCTCACTCAAACTACTATCTAAGTTGGTGAGCGTCTCTTTTTTCTCACATCTCATAATCCATTCAAGTGTATTAATCGCTATTTGCTTTGTTCTCTTTTCACTCCCATTGCGCGGGAGGTTCAACGAAAAATACATACATACATACAGGCCAAACACTGAGGGAAATTCAATTGAGTACACAATTTAATTCGGTGTATTTTATGATAGAATAAGAGCAGTGAAAGAAGTGAATTAATCATCGGAATAGAACAACGGACTGATAAATGATATATTCTTTTCAGAATTCTTCATTCTCGTGCTTCCATTGTGCTTTTTTGCTAGATTTCTGACACATCACATCTTTGGATAACTGCAAGCATAAGTTTTTCTGCACTCTTCTCAGCTCTCTAACACCTCGTTGTTACTTCATTGCGTCACTTTCTGTGGACAGCAATTGAAGCTCATTTGAGTATCACCTATTGTAAAGTGATAAAAAGAAAAGCCACGTGATAAGAGGCTCTAAGAGAGTCAATTTGCTAGCAAAATCCACCCAAATTCTTGCAAATTCCATGCACTTAAGGCCTTACGTAAAAAATGAGTTCATCGACAAGTGAAAAATTGTCCATCAAAGGCAAATTGCCGACACGTTTTCAACGTGAAAGTGTCTTAAAGATTCACCTCACAAAATGCACTGCCATTTTTTCGTCGTTCCTCCAATCTTGTGATTTATTTAAATTACGCCTCAACCCATGGAAAGAGCGTGAAAGCTGAGAAAACATTGATTATTTGATTAATAAATCTCCACTAAAATCCCATTCAACGCGATGGGAAATCAATAAAGATGATGTCTTTTCAAGGTTGAGCGCAATTGCAAGGAATCCAAAACTCCTCCAACACAGTGTGTTTCTGAATTCCGTGGGATTTCAATACTAATTTTCACTCCATGTCGTGGGATTAATAAGAAACTAATAAAATCAATCAAATGGAACACTATTCCAAATACGAAAGCCTCTCACGTGTAACCTGAGAAACACAGCTGAATACAGCCAATTGGAGAGGGATCACTTGCAAATTTCCATGGCATCTGAATACTAATGAGAGCAAGCCCAGAAGAAGCATTCCAGAGCGAAGAGGTTCTGTGTGACACGATTCCACGAGGTGTTTAGGCAGGAAAGCAAGGTAACGACGAGCAAAGTGGAACTCTGTGTTATTGTCATTGAGCGTGAAAAATTGGTGATCGATTCAATCAATATTGAAGCCTCCCATTGCTTACCGTGTCCGTGAAGCCACAGAGAAATTCTTATCGTTATCGAAAGCATGATTTTTCACACTGTGACTAAAATAGATTTTGACAAATTCTCCACACGGATAGAAATCAATTTTAACATCAACTTTTGTCCTAATCCCAGCTTACCGCATTTTCTATCCATTTTCCCATGCAATTACTTTATTTTTACATGTGACATCATTCTCGGGCAGAATCACATGCCGCGAAGCCTCTTATCATAGACGCACGTAGCCTCTCTTCGGAAAATACAGCCTCGCACACACATTTTATTGTTGCGAAATACACGAGATAAATGGGGTGCTCGCGAGTGTGATCTTCTAACAAATATTTGCCTCTTTTCTTCAGCGCCAAGAGTGAGAAAGAATGAAAAATGATGGAGAGATAGTGGAACATGTAATGAAATTGTCTTCTCTAAATTGACACCATCAATTGGCGCATACAAAGCATCTGATATCTCCTCTCAATTGTTTTGTAGATTGATGCTAATTGTGTTTGGATGTCTTTGACGATGGGGCAGCACAATTGCCACTCTCGCGCATTGAGGAGAGTGAAAAGAAGAAACTCTCTATTATTGGCTTTGGAGATGATAAATTAATGTGAATATAACACATTCATCTTCATTCGGTATGTTTTTCCCTCTCAAATGTACCAATTCACACCATCATCATCGCTTCTTTGCATGCATGAAATTCATAGGAAAAATGCAAATTATCCACAATTCCACTATCAAGCGGAAAGAACAAGAATTTCAATCACTCATTCAGCAAATATTTGCGTAAAACGATAGTGAATTGATCGAGGGAGAAGTTTTGAGTGTAAATAACGAGAACTTCAGCGGAAAACTACACAGATAAAAGGCTTTTCGCCCTCTCTGAATGCAAATAAATGTGAAAATTTCATATTTCCTCATGTGTTTGCCAAACGAAATGTGAGAATATGTTCAGGAATGCCGTTTCGATTCCAATAACACTGATAAGGCCATTGATAGCGATAGCTCAGCTTACATAAGGTACTTTATATTGGAGCCGAGAAGGCGGAACAGGGAAAAAGCTCTAAAGTTTTTCGATATAAAACCATCACGACGACGAACAGCAATTAGGACAAGACAGTGAGACAAACAAATAAATCACACAGCAATTACCATATCGTCGTGAATACATTTCTCCGTCCGACTGTATATATTTTACTTCACTTTATCAATATTCATAGATTAATCTTCCCATTGATAAAACACACAGCAGTTCAGTGTCTTTAACACTGCATTTCACCACATTTCCATAGGCAGAATCGCTATTTCTCCAACTCTGCTATTGCAAATATCCGAAACGCACACGATCTCTTCACCACTTCATTCAACTTGATAATAAAATTTAATTGACACAAATGGCACAAAGCACGAAAAGTGGAAAGAGAGAAAAGTGAATAAATTCCACCCAAGTGTTTGATCTACAGACACTGACACGATAGTGGGCAAATTTCTTATTCCCCTCGCGAAGATCTTGCAATTTAGGTGAAAAAAATCCGAATGTGCACTTTTTCCCTTGTGAATTTCAATTGAAATCAATTTAGAAATTCCTCACACTCCACACAAAACCCATCAAACTCCAGTTGTGCTGCCAGTGCGATCACACATCGACTAATTTCCGTTCACGGCGCGAATTTTACCCAAGCGCCTGTGGGAAGGTGGAAAAGAGAGTGAGAGAGATACAAAAAGCAACTGATATCGGCCTCACATTACCAAGTAATCTATTATTGCACACGCACACACCAATCCCCAACACTTTGTGGCCTCTAATCTTGAGAGTCTAAGAAAACCACTGGCCGAAAGCAGCGAGGCAGGAAAATTAATGGCTTCTTCCACGATAAGATAACGAGGAATTTCCCTAACTTTAGCCTTCCCCAAAATGTGCTTGCAAAGTATCTTAAATACCGTGTGTAATTTGAGATTTGCACACTGATTGTGGCGTTTGTTCTTTCTCCACACTGTATTTTCGGTATCTGAAGATATTTGGCTACCGAATTCTTCATGATCACTGCGAGATAACAACTATCACGTTTGCCTAAGTGGACAAGCAACATTGGTCAGATCTGATACTCGAAAAAGTTAACCCTCGTGCGGGTTCAGATGAGAGATGTTAAAACATTCTCCAACTCTGTGGAACTTAAGAATTCTCCTTACTCCTGTGGTGTGCCGCAAAAGCTATCCAAGACACGAAAGAGGGTTGATATTGAGAACACTCTGTCATTCGATGCGGTTTCGGCCGTCCCTCTGGATCAAGAGCGCATTATGTGAGAGATATTGTGATAATCATGAGCGTGGCAAATGAAATACAATCCAATTTAAACTTGATTTGTGTTGATCACTCGAATGAGATCAGAAGACAACGATCGTCATTCTATTAGAGACGACTCTACACATTGTACGGAACCTCTCTCAATATTATTGAGAAGATATGCGCCTTTTTTCTCTCTTTGGCTTCACATCATCTCTCAATTGCCTTCCCTCTCCACACACACCTCAAATGTGCTCGCGGTCGAGACACACAGTCATTGCAGATCGCGATCTATTTTGCACTCCGTGGCCGCGATCGAGTGCACCGGCTTGTGAGCTTAATTAAGTATCCATTTACAACACTGTCATATTGCAGGTCTTTCTCTTCTAATTTGCCCGCTATGACGCTTTGTTTCCCAATGAAATTATACATGCCCCACAGAAGAATTTGCCCGTAATTTAATATCGAGAAACATCCAGTCTTCGGCATTAGTCAAGAGCGACAACACACAAGACAGCAACCGACATTCCGCCGTATGGAAGTATGGAGTGTGCGGAAGAAACGAGGCATTTTCAGAGGCAACGCTCAATTTATTTTAATTACCTATGAAAATATTTATTTCTCCACAATTCATACACCTTTTCCTCCTTCAGTGATTGTGATATCGCGCCCATAATTGCTTTTTATTCACCTCCCTCAACGAGGCATTTATCCATCCATTTAGCTTTTGTCACCGCGTTTTGTTCACGCATTCAGCCACGATAAGAAATTCATTTTGTTGAAACATTTACTTAATAAAGCGAATCATTGCGTTTCCAACCACTTTGTAGAGCAATGAATGTGATCACGCATCTTCAACGCAAGCTTGTGTTGAATTTGGTGAGTAATATTTGCTTAATTAAGCATCAGACAATTTTCCTCTTCACCATGATAAACACAATATTGCTGGCGACCGCGAGCAGAAAAAAGGCCATTCGTCACTATTGGAAAAATGCGGGATGAAGTAATCTTCAGAGTCATGTTTTATTTAATTGCAAAATCTTTATGTGTCGACTGCCTTCTTCTCAAGTATCTTGTCTTAATTAAATTCTTTTCCATCCTTTTTCCCCCTCTGACGCTCTGACAAACTCATTCGCTCTACGCCAAGTCTCGAGCACAAGTCAAATCATTAAGTTTCAGGCGTTTTAGGACAAAACGACGCCATTCCATCAGCAAATTCTACACACTTGTGAATATAAATTGTCTTGAGAATGTGTATAGTTAGCAGAGAAATCTCAACAATGACCCAACCTTATGATCTTGTCGCCATTCTCTGGTGCGACTCCCATAAAAACAACTCTCTTGAGAGTCTCTTGACTGATTTTTCTGCCACTTCTGCGCCATGCCAACTTTTATTCCACACACAAACCAAGGTCGAATGCAGAATTTTGCGATGCTGAATGTCTTCGCCCATTCTTCATGCTTCACTCTCCATCGGAGCCACACCGAAAAAGCCATCACATGGGCTCGGAAAAATGCCCCCATTGAGAATAGAGAAGAACAGTAGCAACAATGTACAACTTCCATCTCTCACACTTCTCTCGACTGTGTGTTAAAAGAAGCATGAAACTCATTGTGATCTTCAAACCATATTTATTCATGCAATTTAAATGGCGAGGGAAAAACGAGATGAGGAGGAATATAGAAAAAAAAATATGTGTGTGACTCTTAAAAAAGGGTCGCTCGTGTGTCTCTCATGTTGTGCCTCCTCATCGCGGTAAATTTTTACACTCTTCTCTACAACGAGTCCCGTTGCAAGAACGTAAACAATAAGATCTTGTTTCGCCTCTCAACACTGTGCCAAAGACTCGCACAGCGCAGCAGAAGGTTTGCAGTGAGAACATCGACAGATTCTTCCTCAGCCAAAAAATAATCCACACACAATTCTGGGTTAAACTCCTCAAAAAGAGGCGAAACAATTAGCGACCCAATGTTGAAATAATGTCACGGCTTCAGTGACTAATCGTTCAGGTTTTCACTGGTGGACAGGGAATCTCGCGCGACTTGTGAAGGAATGCATGAAAAAAGACGAAGCTCTTCAACTTCTGTATGGTTTCCATGAAATCCGCGCACACAAGCAACATTACACAACATTCAGCGAGAGGACAAAAAGACCACTGAAGAAATCAATGGATTGAGACTCAAATGTTATTTCAAAATCAATATAAAATTGAATTTATCCAGCAACTTTTGGCATTCGCTGTGAAGATGTCGAGAAAAGAAAAAAAAACGAAGAACTGAAGAACAACATTTTATCCACCCACACATTTCGTCCAACAATGCAAAAAAGAGAATTCTTCGCTTTTCTCTTTGCACACCTCGACATCTGATTAATAATGAAATATCCACACTTTGGGATTCCTGGCCAAATATTCCACTTTGAATGCCATTCACAGTCGAGCAAGAATGACCTCAGAGTGAAATTATGCGATGCCTTCTCGACTCACTGAAAAATCACCACAGGAATTCAATAATAATAGAAGCTATGATGTCACTTTTTGTCCATTATTGTACATTATGTCTGTTCTGAAATGACACATCTCAAGCTAAACATTCCGTCTCTTGCAACGCACGCTGTCATATCTAGAAATTTTAGATTTTTCATACTTAAAGCAGCTATCAACAATCCGACAAACTATATCACTCACTTTTGAAATAAGCCAGAAAATTACAACTGTGCGCTTAGAATTGCAGGTGAAGCAACTGACGATTCAGCAAACACACAAAGAGGCGCTTATTTGGAGAAGATCTACCAAAAATAGCTCTCCAAGCATGCAAGGATGTTAATTTATGGCCGCAGATGCAGAATATAAACACAGGACAAGAGAAAAGGAAAAATCTGTACGCCAGATGCGAAAACGAACCCGTCCATCATCCTTTTTGCCACTCCATCTCTATTTCTGTCACTCTTCTCTCAAATGAATTCTCTCCCCTCAAACGCCTCATTAAAGACACAAGCAATTTCGCACACTCCGCATTGGCTTTCCGGCGAGGTGAAAAAATAAATATATCTCTTCAACCACTCAAAAAGAATAAAATAAATTGTGATCTCAGCGCCAGGAGTGCGCGCACAGTGCGAGATAGTGAATAATTCCCCTGGAATTCCGTGGAAATCCATGTAATAAACGAAATAGATGAGATCTATTTATACTGGAGTTTATTCAAGTGTTTGTTTCCAATGAAAACCCCTGATGATGATTAAGGAGAATTAATGCGTTTGCTCAGAGCGCAAGAAGTGGAAAATATTTAATATTGACTAGCCAGAATTGAGCGAGAGGGAAACGTTAGGGCGGAAAATTGACTAGCACTGGTGATAATGGACTCATAAAAATCCATTTACTTCTCTTTCTCTGCTCTCTGAGCTTGTGTCTCTAAGCGCAAAGACATACATACATAATTCCACACATTCCTCAACTATTCGTTCCAATCTTGTGAAATTCTGTGCCTTAGAACAACTCCACAGTGTCGCAGAACTTGTTATTGATCTCAAGAGACCGAACCTCTCTCCAATTCAACAGGGTGTCTCCATGTAAACGACTGTGAGGTATGGAAATAGAATGCTGAAAGTATTCTTATTATTCAAAAATACAGAATAGCAACTGGAAATCTGTCCAAGAACTTGATTTCCAGGCAGCCAAGGGGACAAGAGCGATAGAAAAGTGGAGGAAATATTGGTAAAATATTCAGAGAGGTGTGCAGCAGAGATGGAGTCTCGCTCGACGATGGTATCTCCTCACCCATGTTGGTTAAATTGTACAAGACATCACCACACAGCCATACACATTCGGAAGAACGCGCGAGACTGTGCGTGGCGAGATACAGAACAGAAAAATCTTCAGCTCCACGAGATGAAAAAGAGAGGCGCACACAATTTCAATTTTATTATAATAAAAACATCCAGATAAAACAATGTCGAATGGCGTATTTGTACAGGTTCAACTGCGATGGCGAACACAGAATGGAAATCACACACAAGAGGAGTGCGGCGAATTGGATTTTCAGAGGATGGGAATAAAACACACATCATATCATGCCAAGGTAGAAAAAAGGTGGGGAAAGAATTACAATGATCGCGCGAGCCAAAAGCCCCCCAGAAGAGACTCTCTGTTGCCGCACTCGACCAGATGGAATTCCGCATAATGAAATGGCACAAGCTCTCGTCTCACACTCCACAGACTCGCTGGTATAATTCTGGACGGCCTATAGAGTGCAGGAGGGTCGCCATGGAGTGGAACTAATGATCCAAATTTAAATCCCACAATGCGGTGCTTTTCAACGCACAGCAGATCTCCGAAGAAGTTTAGTGACTGCTTCGAATCAAGCCCGCCGTTCTCTACACATAAGAACCTTCACACGTGAGACTACACAGATTGACCAGTCTTCTGCCAAGCATTTCATGGCGATATGGATGAAATGCTCCTCGAAATGGCAAGTTGTAATGTATGCGATCTTAATAGATGCTCAGCAGAGATCAGACAGCAACGAGGGAAGATCATCTAATTGAACTCTGGAACCTCTCTCGTTCTCTCGAGTCCATAGAACCGCCTAAATTGCAATTGTGGCCATTTGAAGCATGAACACCTCTAATTTACTCTCTTTCACACTCCTCACTCCAGTTCACCGCAACTAGCCATCTAACAGGTGGCTTCAAGCTCACCTGACTTCTTTGTCGTCTCGCACACACTCAGCTCTCATGGATCGTGGCAGCCGATTGAAGATCGATAAGGAGTTATTAGAAATTAATTGGGTGACTGTTGAGAAGTCTCAAGATCACTCTTCTTGAGCGATCTTCTGCTCTGCGTGCTGTGGCCTTCAACAAGGAAGCGAAACACCCTGAAAGCACCCATAAATCTCTGCAGAAAGCGTGAGACATTCCTCAAATTCCACCAATGACGACATTGCACAGCGAGAAACTCTTTTTTCGCCATCATTTCCCACTCTGGGTGAAAGACGGGAAATGGTGGAAAGAGAAAGAAGCCCTATTTTGGAGTGAAAATTAAACCTCATGCGGCCTGACAAGAAATTTCTTATTGATTTATGTAATTCTATATCTTCTGTCCTCTCACTCTGCGCTCTGTCTCGAAATAGATTAGTAAAAGACACCGACAAATTGAGAAAATGAGGAGGGAAGTTGAGAGTTGATGACGACGCGGAGAGGCAGACAGTGTCTTTCACCCGAGAAGAGAGGAAATCAAATTGAATTAGTGTTGGGATTCACATTTTTTCCTCGGCGACCCTAATTGCGCTTCGTGAGCTGGTCAATTGGAACTTTAAGATTCACCTACGATCGCAAGGAAACGACGCGAAAGTCATTAGTTTTACCACCTGAAAGAGGCATAATGAATCAGTCGTATTTTCCGGGAATTCCGGTACTTCACTTATGAAATTAATCTAGATAAAGAGCAAAGGGATAGGGAAAAGTCAATGGTTTTCAAGCCTCTTGCGCACAAGATGGGAAACGCGATGAAGGAAGGTGGATTCTCACTCAACCACACACTCAATCGCGAGATACACAAATAATGTAAAAATTCCTCAAGTGGAATGGGGAAAAAGACACGATGATGATGGCGGCCGAGGAGCAGCAGCCAAAACTAATTTATATTGAAATTCATAATATAAATTATTATGATTAAAATATCGAGATGGATTATTAACGAAGGCACAGAGAGAAAGAGAGAGAGAAAGAGCTGAGAGATGATCGAGGTGGAGACAACAATCTCACATGCGCGCTGCCTTCTCACTATTTCTTTCACAAAATACCCTACGATGACGATCACCTCTTCGGTTGATGTTTTGATCCAAACACCTCGAGAGATGATGAGAACTGCTGAATTACGGAACCGGTTGACGCGGCGATCCTCGGGCGGGCAGGCGAGTGAAAATCAAGCCAGCAATCCCAAAGAGAGTGTCATCAATAGAGAAGAACGCCAACTTCAAAAGGCCACAACAGCAAAAATATATATACGCCTTGTGCAACTTGCATCTCTCACATCTTGTTTCACTTTAATTCGCCTTCCACTCTCCGGAGGCCCTCCCCCTCGCCGCCCCGCTCGTCCATCTCGCACTCCCTCCTCTCGTGCAGTTTACTGGAATCTTATTTTCTTCTCTCATTGCGCTTTTTTCACCACATTCCTCGCCAGCCTCACACACTATTTTTCGTTTTCATATCTCCAACTCGCGCAGCATCAGCAACCACAAGACGCACACGAGATGACCTCAACCGAAATTGTAACACACACACGATCATCTCTTTCCTGCATCTCTGCATTTCCCATTGAGGAATTATCTCCGTGATTGCGTCTCTGCCACTTTCTTTTTCTGCTCTTTTGCCATACCCAGCGCGCTCTCGTCAATTGACTCTCTGTTCCCTTTTTCCGCCCAGACAAGAAGGGGAGAAACAAACTGCGCGAATCTAAACTGAGGTTATCGCGCGAAATGCCACAGATTAGAAAAATAAACAGAGGATCAAGTAGAAGACCTAGAAGACAAAGAATTTCGCAATGAATATGGGAGATATTCTTTGCAATCAGATGAATACCAAAGTCTCCAAAATATCTGTTATGACATGATGTGGTATCAACAATTTTTTGATGCGAGAACAGGGAAATTTTCTAACATTTAGTATAAAGTATTAAGTGAAGATAAAATTCATTTTACAGAGAAGAAAAACAGACAACATATAATTAAAACTTATCCAGTCTTTTGGAGACTTCTTGAGCAATTCCTCTTAAATCGATCACTGACCGTGAAAGAGGATTGCATCTTCAATTGGGTGAATCAATTCGTAAACAGAAATGACCCGCTTGCGAAAGCAGTTCAAGATCACAAGCGAGAATAGCCCCCAAAACCTGCGGATTACTCACACGATCTTCACGCACGATCAATCGATGGCTGAGCAAGCGGCAAAAAGAAGATCATGTCTCATCGAGTGTCTTGAGTCAGCCAAGGAAAGTCGAGAGTGTGACTTTTGGGGCTTTGGGGCATTTTCTCGGGTTGTCTCTTCGTAAATGGAATTTTATGGCGGTCCCACTGGTTTTGAAGGTTGCCTCCGGACTTTGTGATATTTCACAATGCGTAGTTTTTCGCTAAAATTTCTGCTTTTGACGACATATAGCAAACAGACTCCAGAATCACACTGACATCAATTGATGCCTTTTTCTCCGCGCGCGCACACACTCGCACTGTGCAAATAAGCATTTTTATTTGCTGACTCCGCTGGGATTTTGGACAGTGAATAGATGTGCTCTTCCGCCAAGTGTGTGACAAAATGCCAAATGGCCAAAAGAGGTGATTTTATGCAAATTCTTTTCGCACACACACCAATTAGTAACGTTTCGGGGCGTATTTCCTAAATTCTAACTACATTAAGCATCATATTCACAATAATAACTCACCGATTTGCGTTGTCCACACGTTGTTATCAAACTCGAACATGTTGCTTGACAATTTCACGCGGGAACGATCATCAGAGCCTCAAAAATCGCCCGAAATCCCGTCCCGGAAAGTCACTTCTGCACAGTTCACTGAATCTCGGGCGCTGGGGCGCCCCCACACCCTGATCACACCGTGAATCCCGGCTATTCTTCCGTGCTTCACTGCCAGAGACCACGTAGCATTTTATTTGAAACTCTGAGAATCCACAAACATAACGGAACCATGTAAAAAAAAACTATGCTGTGGCTGTGGTGGTACAATTGCCGTCTTCAGCCCCAATTTGGCGGATTCTGGGTCGTGTTTCCAGCTGGAAAATGCACACAACGCGTCTGCACAACAGTCATGAACACTTTTCACATGCAATTTTCACACATTTTCACCGGGAAAACACTGAAATTCCGCCAAGTCGCCGCGCGCATGTCAACTCGACGACGCGACTGGACTGAAAATGACTCCAACAGCCTCTTCTTCTTCCTCCTCGCGTGACTGTCCGCGCGATCCACCGTTGATGTCGCGGCGCTGCGGTCGGTGAGTGGTGGCTTTTCGACAGTCCAACACGCGCGCGATTCCGCCAAAAAAGCATAACCAACAAAATCCCAATCTCGCTACAAAACTCTGCATTTCCATGATTTTAAGAGATTTGGAAGATCATTACCGACTCTCCTTTAATGTATTTCAGTGGAAAACTCGGTGGAATATGTAGTTTTGTATCTCTTACATCTGAAAACACCTTGCTTGATTTTTATACAGATTCTCATTCTTCATGAACGGAAATGGCGTGAAGTGAAGCTGCTGAATCTGATATTACCACACAAATAAACCTCTTTTTGAACCACTTTATTGTCTTCTCTAAACACTACAAATTAGCTGTGTGAATACTTTACGCTCGGTCTGTGAAATTTCGTTACAAAAAAACCAGGAAAATCGTTCGCGTGGGTGGTAAAATCTTGGTGGATGACTGCAGAAATTTCAGGTAAATTTTTTTCATCTTTCCATATCTTCTCACACACATTTCTTTTTAAATATCTCTTTACACATAAACCCTTAAATAAATTAACATGGTATGATTCCTGATTTTGTTTATGTATATAACACAATATTTGCACAATTTCACATCGAATTTCCAAAAAAAAATTATAATAAATTTCAATATCATTCACTATATATATATCTTCTACCTTCTCAATGTTCTCAATCAATAAAACTGTATCATTATTTTCGATGTGGCGCACCTTTTGGCCCTACAGACAGGTCAAGAGGAAGGTTTTCATTTCTTTTGTAAAACGTTTATTTTAAAATTAAGTGATCTTTAAGTGATTTCAGTGGTTTTTCTAACATGAGAAATCCCTAAGTATTTTGAAATATCGAATAAAATCACTAGTAAAATGGAGAAAATGATTAGCAAAAGAAATACCTCAATGCCCAAAATATCTCTCCTGTGGAGCTCTTTCACTCCTGCTGGGTCGCGTGTTCTGTGTGATTCTGGCAATGGCGAGGAGAGAAGGCTTTACTTGCCGGCGCCCACGGCCTTCATCAGGGCGTCCGTGGAGAAGGACTTGGGGCGCTCGATGGGCAGTCCCAGGGCACGATCCCAGACCAGCGAAGCGAGCACGCCGAGAGCGCGCGAGACGCCGAAGAGCACGGTGTAGTAGTTCATCTCCTTCAGCCCATAGTATTGCAGCAGGACACCCGAGTGGGCGTCCACATTGGGCCATGGGTTCTTCACCTTGCCGAGCTCAGTGAGAATCGGCGGCACGGTGGTGAAGATGGTGGAGACGAGCTTGAACAGCGGATAGTCAGGCAAGTGCTTCTGGGCGAACTCCCTCTGCACCATGTAGCGAGGATCTGTCTTCCTCAGCACGGCGTGGCCATAGCCAGGCACAACCTGGCCAGACTTGAGTGTCTTCCAGATGAAGTCTTTGATGTTGTTCTCAGACAAGTCGCTGCCCAGCTCCTTCAGCATCTTCTGCAGCCACACGAGCACCTCCTGATTGGCCAGACCGTGCAGAGGTCCTGCCAGACCATTCATACCGGCGGCGAAGGATAAGTACGGATCACTGAGAGCAGAAGCCACGAGATGCACAGTGTGAGCGGACACGTTGCCACCTTCGTGGTCACTGTGAATGGTCAGGTACAGGCGCATGAGTTCGGTGAAGATCTCATTGTCGAAGCCCAGCATGCTGGTGAAGTTCGCCGACCAATCCTTCTTCGTATCAATGGCACCAATTCCCTTGCCATCCTTGTAGGTGTTCCTGTAGATTGTCGCCGCCACCACAGGAAGCTTGGCAATCAAGTCCATGCTGTCCTCATACGCATACTCCCAGTATTTGCTCTTGTGAACACCCTGGAAACACAAACAGCCCTCATAACCAGTCCACGCGCTAATCTCTCTCCAAACTTACCTCAGAGTACGCCTTGGCGAATTTGCTCTCGGAATTGAGCGCAGTCACGGCGCACGACAGCTGTGACATGGGATGGAGAGTTGTGGGGAAGTTGTTCAGCATCGTGACCACGTGCGAGGGCAGGGCGGCACGATTTGCCCACTCCCTGGATAGAGAGTCCACCTGCGCTTGCGTTGGCACGTCGCCAGTGATGAGCAGCCAGAAGAGGCCCTCCGGCAACGGTTCGCTGCCGCCCTTGGCCTTCGGCAACACCTTCTGACACTCCGGAATCGACAGGCCGCGGAAGCGAATGCCCTCATCCGGATCCAGCACTGACGTCTCGCACACCAGCCCCTTGATGCCACGCATGCCACCGTACATCTGCAAGACACTCACATGGGAGAGGTCAAAGATCACTCAGTGCAATTACATAAAACTGTCGGAAGTTTCTCGACGACACAACCGAATCTCTGGGCGCACGTCGAGGTTATCACACTCATAAGATAATCAAAAGCACTCCCATAAAGGCGCTGACCGGAAAAATGGCAAGCTCACACTGTCAATCACCCAATTCTAATCACACCGCGATCGTCTGATGATTTCTCTCCCTGGTGCAAGTGCAAGTTCACCATTTCCCGCCAAAACGCGCGCACGACCACGTGTTGATGTTGCGCAACACAGCATCACGCATCGCGTCAATGGGAATTTCACCGGGTATTTAATTGAAGCACACTCACGGTGTCAAATTATTCAATTTGGAATAGTACGGCATGAGATGACGCAGCCAAGGTCACAATTTGGGTCACTTGCCCACAAACACACCAGGATTGATTAGCTTCAGTCAATCGAGCTGTACCATAAATGATAGTACAAGAGTTGTTTTTATGCTGAGAGCAGATTAGGAGCAATAAAAGTTAGTATAGACGGTAAATTCAAATATGGGTGGGGCATAGAAAAGGGCGGAACTTATTTAACTCTTTATTTGTGTGTGATGTGTTTCTAGGTCACTATGATTGAATGCGATTTTTGTAGAAAACCAATGAAGTCCAGTGCAAAATTAAATAATTGACAGCTTTTTATCACATGCACGATTTTCTACTACTTTCAAGGCTGCTTCTTCACACAAAGCTGCGGGTTGTCTGATGTAAATAGAACATTTTCATAAAGTTTTCCTCAGTGTTATTCTAATCATGAAACTTGACTCTTCATTAACTCTTTAATCATCAAGCATAATAAGAAGTCTCCTGACATTATGCTACTCCCAAAAGATAATCAAGATATCAATCAAACAGCAGGATAACTTTCATTCCAATGCAGAAAGAAAATCCATCAAACCCTCGCTGTGACATGTGAAGTAGTACAAGTGTTTCCAGGCAATCTCTCCCCATAGATCATAAAAACAACTCAAAAACCCATTTGTTCAATTTAATCAGCGCTCGTCCATTCGGCAGCCAGAGTCTAAATAAATCGTCACTCAACACACCCACATTTCCCAAGAGGCCGACAATTTGCCCCTCTGCCAAGAGATCATCTCTCATTGTTCCGTATCTCTGCGACCGCTCAAGTGGCTTCAATTGAATTGCACGACGCTCAATCGAATTATTAAATTGAGGCGCCCAGAGAGTCGTGCAATTGCTCTCAATCAGACAAATCTAATAATGCAAATCACACATATTTTCTTACCATGTCCACAGTGACTTCGCCCATCTTCGTGGCGCCATACTGCTTCCTGAAGTTCTTCACGCGCTCCTGCTCGCGCGGGATCTTCTCAGCCAGGATCGCCCGCAAGTCCGTGTTATCAGCTGAGATATTCCTCACGCACGTCACGATCGCCGGCAGTCTCTGCAATTCAGAACAAGTCACACACACACACATTAGATAAGATCTCTCTCTCGGCATTGACCTCAAAAGATACTTCAACACAACTCCCCCAAAACTCTCGTCACATTTGCAGGCTTTGCGCCTGTGTGTTCACTCTCAAACATCGTGTTGTGAAAAAACTCTCAGAGACCTTCAGTGTTTCATTTTCAGCGTCAATCAGTGAAGGTGACCAGAGAATATGCTCAAATTTGTTTTTCACCTCATCACGCAGCGCGCCTACGTGAGAGATAGACGGAATGTAGCCAATTGATAAAATTATCACGAATTTCTGTGTGCCATCCTCATCTAATCTCCCCACAAAATCAATTCTGCACACTTTTGGCAAGATTATCGCGCGTCTCTCTTTGTCCATTTAACACCAGCAAATTGCGCAACCTTGGCTCAAATTTTTCACTGTCAATGCAACAGACAAAAAGCCATGAGCTTCAGCTGAAAACATGCAATGGAATAAAAATTCACACGATCTCTGTATAAATATATTTCGCATTTGTCCTTAATTCTAAAGATATTTCGCGCTCAAATGCAAATTTTTTGGGAGCAATTCTTCGCTCTCATTTCCAAGAATTTTCTGTGTCAGTTTTCGCCTCTCCTTGGGAATTTTATCTCGCACCACATTTACACAATTTCGCCCCGGCTCTGCGATAAGACAAGCCCGCAATCCCTTCAAGTACACTCCGAATGCCCTTTATTCCCTGTCGACACAAACCTCAAGGCACATCTATAAATAGAGCATATCAATGAACTTTGAATTGGTCGAAGAGTCATTTGAAAGTGAAATATGGAACTGAGGAATTGGATTTCCATAATTAAGAAAAATGTGTCTCATTCCGGCGTCAGGCAACTGGTTGTTCGTGCTGGAAATCTCTCATTTCTTCAGCATGTATTTCACAAAAGTGCAATCCACTCACGGTGTCAGTGATTTCAAAATAAACCCACTTCAGTAGCCGAGTTCAAGATCAGTGGAAATTCCAAATTGAAGTGGATAAAAACAAGGCAAAACCAGTTAATTTTAGTATCCAAGAATTGCGAAAACACACCTCAGATTGTGGAAAACAAGTTTTACGTACACTGTGTTTAAGTAAACTATTTACTAAAGTTTAGGGAAGACTTTAAATGTCAATTAACTTATTGATTAACTATTCAATGAATAAGAAATATTTATCTCCAAAACCACATTTATTGTGTAAATTCCAAGATTTCAATACACTTTTTATTTTATTTTGTGATTTGTTCCGCCTATAAGGGCTAAAATAGCTCAATTTCATAGGTTAAGTATTACGACAATGTGTTTTCTGTGAAACTATTAAAATGCAATAAACGCTTATCGTTTTTCTAGGGTAATTTTCTTCTTTTCAGTTAAAAAACAAGGCTTTTGATAATAACCGAAACTACGGAAACTACTAATCACCACAGAAAAATAATCCACTTAATCTAATAGCTTTGATAAAATAATTTCAATTCAGCCAGATTTTTTCGAATTATATGTCTTTGTGTTTTGGAAAGTTTTTCGCCCTTGAACCTTCGATATTTAAGAGAATTTGCAGATTTGTCCCAGCATATTTTTTCTCGCGTCCGAGCAGAGCCAGTTGGATTGCAATATCAGTGATCTGCGGTCATCCATCACGAGCGCCGAAAGTGTTTTACTTTCAACTTGAACTTGATCTTCCCACACGGCGAAAAAACCCGCAACTCGCTTGTGTTTGAGACACTTTTTTCCGCTGCTGCGATAGCGCGATCACATGATAACACGCCCAGCCGCAAAAAAATAGCGCTGTTCAGCGGGAAAAGCGGAGTGAAAATCCCTTGAGTTTCACCGTGGAAAATGCAGGGACGGCGGCAGAAAGCTCATGGGTCATGTGAATTTCTAATTGAATTTTTTCCCTGCCCACGGAAACCGCGCTAATCCAACGAAAATCGCCACTCGTGGCGCGGAGTTGATAAAGTCGCGCACAATTTCTTCGTACGCGATGATATAATCATTTTACATGAGGTTAAGTAAGTGCAATGCTAAAAATACAGCCCCGAACGGGATTGCACGGGAATTTTTTCTCCATTGATGACACTTTTCCTCTTTGATGACACCGCGTCGACATTCCCTGTCGCTTTTCTCACGGTGTAGTCAAAAGGAGAAAAAAAATGACAGGTTGGCAAATTATCTCGCGTGCTAAGTGGTCAAATTTTCCTCACTGCAAGGTCAAAAGGACTTCGCACACGCTCATGGACGTCCCCACGGGGAATCGTCCTTCCAGGAAGACGCTCGTGAGAGCCCCAAGGGCGCCGCCCCGCCGCGAAGGCGCCCCAAGCCCCAACTCGTCGGTCACTTCAAGTGGGTCTCTCGGTTATGTAATCCTTCGCACATCACCTCAATTGCTGCAGCGGAAAATCGAAGTGGGGGGCGTGGGGCGCGCGCCAAGCCGCCACGACGACTCCAACCACGCGTAAATGGGCATTTTCGGGGCTTTTATGGCCCAAATCACACGCAAATCAACTCATCGCTTTACGCAATTCTCCCCACCAGAAAATGCACAATTTGTCACTAACCTGCTGCGATGCAGATAACCGGAAACAAGACAGGCGTGATAGAGCCATAATTGAGCAGGAAATTAAAGAAATTCACACGAAAAATTCTCTCCAACTGAGGCAAAATTCCTCCTCCTTCGGCGGCGGTCTTGGGCAAACTGCCCGCGTTTCTTCTCCGCGGCGACTACGGCGGTGTGCAGCGGCAGCGACAGAAATCTCAAGAGCTTTCGTGCTTTCAGCGAGAATTGAACGATAGGCGGGAAACAGAAATCATACAACTTTATTAGGAAGGGAGAAAGTATCCTCAACAAAGGCCAAAAAGAACTCAATCTTCTTCATGTGCACTCCAATCCGGCTTTTCTCGAGTTCCTTGAATTCTCTGCCTTCAGGATCGATGAATCTCTTGCGAAAAACGCCTTGTGAAAGTTTTTCCTTCGGTTTATACATTTTGGCTTTAGACAAAGCAGTGTGAAGATCAGAAAGAGCAGCCAAAGTAAAGGGTTTTCTCTTTTTTATCATCTCGATGTCTTCCTTCATCATCCGGACATCTTCTTGGTCCACAGGAACTCCATGATTTCTCGCTTCGTGAGCCACAGATTCCACAGCAAGAGCGTCAGAGTCATAATTCGAGTTGCTCTTCATATTCCCACAAATTGTAAAAAGGAAACTGCAGAATTCGTTGGGAATACTCTGGAAATCACCATTGAAGTGTCTTACTGAGAAGGCATAAGCCGCCAGGATGTTGGTAAGATTATGGCGGACACAAGAAGCCGGCGGCTTAACAGAAATCTCCTTCAAGCTCTTAATTTTGCTCAGAATCTCAGGATGATAGATTTCTGGGCTGCTGGAAGAAGTTTCCTGGACAAGCTTCTTCTCTTCCTGACTCTCCGTCCACCAGGGAGTGTAAACTGGCACAAGATTCGTAATATCTCCTCCATGAACGATTGTCTCAAACTCTATTTGCTCACTGGAAGTTAGCTTGCTCCAAACAGCTTCCGGATCATTGAGATCCACTCCATCGAGTCTCGAAGCGAGGTCCAACTCTGCACAATCATCATCAGAGTCTAAGTCGCTTTCCCCACTGCCTCCGAACTCTTCAAAATCCTCTAAATCCTGTGTTCTCTGCAGAATCTCATACATTTTCCTACTGGATTCACTCATTCTCTTGCTATTCCCTGCCGTTGCCATTTCCTCCTCTATACACTCCTTGTAGAAGTTCTCCGAGCATTGGAGATGCGCCTGGCTTTGATAGCAAGGCACGGAGCAATAGAAAATATTGCATTTTGGACAAGAGTACTTTGCCTTTGCTTTCCAGCACCTGAAAAACACAAATATTTATGCTTATTACTAAACTTCCTCGACATGTATGGTACTCACAGTTGACATTGATCGTCAGAAGACATGATTCCAGTTAATAAAGATATTTGTTATCCTGTATTTTCAGAGAAATTTACACAAAAACTGTTTGGATTGTTTACTATTTGCTCACATTGAGCTTTTTCGAAGTCAATCGGGTTGCCAGATGATACGTCAGTTTGTTTTGGTATCGCTGTGTTTACTCTCCATAATTCCCCGTTTTCCCTGATAATAGGGAAATTCGTAAAAATTGTATATCTCAAAGTGTTCTGTAACACCTCATCTTCACAGAGAAGTCAAAGATCCTGAGTTCAATGGTAGTTTTCTAGCTTATTCTAGTGTTTTTCACTATTTGAGGTTATGTCATCATGAGCTCCTGTTTTTCTCCCAAGGAACCCAATCCTGTGAATGGAGGCAGCAATGTGGCGTCTCCCTATGGAGGGAGCAATCCTCCAAATGCCGCCACACCACCTCAAATCCAGCCGCTGGTTAGTGCAGCGCCTTCAGCTCCAGCTGCAGCTGGAGGCGTCGTGACGGGAATTCCACCGCCAGGAGCTGCGCTGGGATTCTCCCCGATGGTCTCACAGTTCAGTATTCCACCCCCTGGATTCACAAACTTCGCCCAAGATCCCGCTTTGGCCGCCGCGGCGGGAATTATACCGTGCGAATGGACAGCTCACAAGTCTCCGGACGGTCGGACTTACTATTACAACAGCGTGACGAAGCAGAGCTCGTGGGAGAAGCCAGACGAGCTGAAGACACCCACTGAGAAGCTTCTCTCCACTTGCCCGTGGAAAGAGTACCAATCAGACCAGGGAAAAGTGTATTATCACAATGTGAACACGAAAGAGTCTCGCTGGGAAGCGCCTCCTGAGTATTTGGAAGTTAAGAGCAAGATAGCGATTGAAGAGTAAGTTAGATACTTTCTTGGCGTTTGTATAGAATTGTTTTCAAGTGTGTTTCTTGATTAAAGGGCTGCAAATGCGGCGAAAGCCGTTGCTGCGATGACCTCTTCAGGAATGCCTAATTTGGTACTGCCCGTGGCTTCAGCAGCCATAATTCCGCCTCTCATGGCCACAGCGACAGTGACTCAAGCTTCGGCTGTCGCTTCTCCGGCGAATTCTCCGCTACCGGACTCAAACTCCAACGAGAACTCCTCTTCCGCTCTGGATCAGGCGATGGCAGCCACTCTGGCGGCGATTGAAGTGCCAGATATGCCACCCAAGGAAGGCGATGGAGACTCTGGAAAGACTTCAGACTCTGGTGAGCCGCCCAAGATGGAGTTCAAGGACAAGAAAGAGGCCATTGAGGCGTTTAAGGAGCTGCTAAAAGAGAAGAATGTTCCGTCGAACGCGTCCTGGGATCAATGCGTGAAGATCATCTCGAGAGATCCGCGCTACATGTCGTTCAAGGGTCTAAATGAGAAGAAGCAGGCTTTCAATGCGTACAAAACACAGAAGATGAAGGATGAGAGAGAAGAGAATCGCCTGAAGGCGAAGCAGGCGAAAGAGAATCTGGAGAAATTCCTCATGACTTCTGAGAAGATGTCGTCGTTAATGAAGTACTACAAGTGCGATGAGACTTTTGCCAATCTGGAGGTGTGGAAGTGTGTTCCTGAACAGGACAGGCGGGATATTTACGAGGATTGCGTATTTAACCTGGCCAAGAGGGAGAAGGAAGAGGCCAGAGTGATGAAAAAGCGGAATATGCGAGTTCTTGGCGATTTGCTGCAATCGATGACTTCCATAACATACCAGACAACGTGGTCAGAGGCTCAAGTGCTGCTGCTGGAGAACACAGGCTTCAAGACGGACGTTCATCTGCTGGGGATGGACAAAGAGGACGCTCTAATTGTCTTTGAGGATCACATCCGGAGTCTGGAGAAGGAATACGAGGAGGAGAAGGAGCTGGAGAAGAAGCGAATGCGTCGTTTGTCGCGAAAGAACAGAGACGCTTTCTTGGCTCTCTTGGACACGCTTCACGAGGAGGGAAAACTGACGTCAATGTCGTTGATGGTGGAACTGTATCCCATCATTTCGTCTGATCTCAGATTCTCAGCCATGCTGGGTCAGTCCGGATCCACACCGCTCGATCTCTTCAAGTTTTACGTGGAGGATTTGAAGGCGCGCTTCCATGATGAGAAGAAGATCATCAAGGAAATCCTGAAGGAGAAAGGCTTCCAAGTGCAGGCGGATTCGACATTCGAGGACTTTGCCACTGTAGTGTGCGAAGACAAGCGATCAGCCACGCTGGATGCAGGCAATGTGAAGCTGACGTACAATTCTCTGTTGGAGAAAGCTGAAGCTGCGGAGAAGGAGCGTCTGAAGGAGGAGAACAAGCGCATCAAGAAGATGGAGAATGAGCTGAAAAGCGTGTGGCTGGAAGCTGGACTCACTGGCCAAGACTCGTGGGACAGTGCCAAGCAACTTGTGGCCGATCTGGAAGTCTTTAATGCTTATGATTCCGAGGAGAAGGTGGAGAAAGTGTGGCAGGACTTCATAAAGGACTGCGAAGACAGTTGTACGCATCATCATTCGCGCTCCAGGAAGTCAAAGAAGAGCAAGAAGTACAAGAAGCGGTCAAGATCATCCACCAAGTCGGAGTCTGAGGAGTCGGAAGTGGAGTATGAGAAGGTGAAGAAGAAGAGACAGAAGTCTGTCTCTCAATCCACTTCATCGAGTAGCGAGAGTTCCGAGAGTGTGGAGAAGAAGAAGCGAAAGAAGAAAAAGCACAGAAAAGTCTCAGTTTCTGTGAGTTAACCGAAGATTTCCTGGGAGATTTTGAACTGATTCAATTATTTTTGTTTGCCTTAGCCTTACGTGTCACCCGAGAGACATCATCAGCCTTCGATTACGCCACCTTTGAGTCCTGTGGAAGTTGTGAAGAAGGTAAATAGAGATGTTCTGACTTCCGGACAGAAGATTAATCATTTCTTGGTATTTGCAGAAGAAGAAGGACAAGAAGAGGCGCCGAAAGTCGCCGTCAGAGAGTCCAGAAAGCGAAATTTCAGATCGAGGATCGGCTTCACCATCGAAGATTGACGATCCTGGCCTCAGTGAGTCGGAACTGGAGTCTCAGAGGGCGGCTTTGTTGGCGCAACTCAATGAATCGGTGGATGATTAAGCAATTGGCCAGCTTTGATACTTTTCTCCATATATTACAATTAAATTTCTGCCACTCAATGTTTCCGTCGTGACTTGGATGTGACCTTTGTCCATCCGGGCTCCATGTCTTCCTCCTGAATCGCCATGGAGGCACCGCTAGCACTTGGAGCGAAGCCCGCAGGAAGATCTGTGACTGTGAAACCGTTTTGCTGGCTTTGCTGTGGATTCTCCTCATCTTCTGACTCTGAAGAGGAGTTTTCCACGGCAACATAAGTGATCTTGTGGCTGGGATGCAGCCAGATTGATGCTACAGGAAGCTGTGCCAGTTCACTGGCAATCTCAGTCAATTGTCCGGACTTGAACATGTTGAGATATTTTATGAGAAAGTGACTTATTTCCTGAGACGAATTGTCATCGCAGATCGTCTGGAATTCCTGGTCCAAATAGTCATCCAAAGCGTCCTGCAAGTCCTCAGGTGACGGAGTATTTGGCTGAGTGCAGTAATCAAAGGTATGATTCATCAAATCAATGGCTTTCTGGAATAGGGAGGAAAACTTGAGTTGCTGCATGAGTTTTTCCTCGGCATTAGCGGAATCTTACTTGATGACCATTTCGACCACCCATTCCATGTTCAACAGCAAGCCTCAGTGCTGTCCACCTGTTGAATATATTCTCCACGATCTCTCGGAACTGTTCACTACTCATTGCACCAACTTTTTGTTGTAAATCCTAAAGAAAATGATATTCTTCTCTGAAGAAAACACGTGTTTATTAGCCTAGTCGTTTTGTTTACGATTTTGCTGTCATTACTTTCGAAGAGCTTTTTCGAACATCTTCATGCAGCCTCGCAATCATTCGGTGTCAATTCGTCAGACTGTTTTTTTTCCCTGATCAAAACAATGAGATTCTTTTTCCTCTATTTTTCTGTGATATCTCTTCTCCTGGCGAATGGAGAAGTGGAGAAAGTGTTTAAATATCAACCGAGACATGTTCACTTATCCTTTGGAGGTGAATTTCGCTGAAATGGGTGAGAAAAGGGGTGGATTTGTTTTATTTTTCTTTGTTCTCTTTGTCCTCTGCAGAATCAACATCCGATATTGTCGTCACTTGGTCAACAATTGACGATGCGGGAAAGTCTCTGGTGGAATACGGAATTGGTGATGAGTTAGACCAAAGAGCTGTGGGGAAGTCTGAGAAGTTCGTCGATGGCGGACCGCAGAAGAAATCCCAGTGGATTCACCGAGTGACCTTGTCAGGATTGAAACCTGAAACTCGCTACTCTTATCACTGTGGCGGGAATCTGGGCTGGTCTGCGGAGTTTTGGTTCGTCACGCCACCGGCTGGAGATCAGTGGTCGCCTCAGTTCGCCATCTTCGGCGACATGGGAAACGAAAACGCCCAATCTCTGGCCAGGCTTCAGAATGACACGCAGCGCAGAATGTACGACGCAATCGTGCACGTTGGCGACTTCGCCTATGACATGAACTCAGAGAACGGCGAAGTGGGCGATGAGTTCATGAATCAGATCGAGAGCATCGCTGCCTATGCGCCGTACATGGTTTGTCCGGGGAATCACGAGGAACGCTACAACTTCTCCAACTATCGCGCGCGCTTCTCGATGCCCGGCGGCACGGAGAATCTCATGTACAGCTTCAACCTCGGGCCGGTGCACTTCATCGGCTTCAGCACGGAGGTGTACTACTTCATGAATTACGGCATCAAGAGCCTCGTGATGCAGTACGAGTGGCTGGACAGGGATCTGGAGGAGGCCAACAAGCCGGAGAATCGCCAGAAGAGGCCGTGGATCATCACTTTTGGCCACAGGCCGATGTACTGCAGCAACCAGAATGACAATGACTGCACTCACAATGAGACTCTGGTGAGAGTTGGCCTGCCTTTCACGCATTTCTTCGGCCTGGAGAATCTCTTCTATCGGCATGGCGTGGACGTGGAATTGTGGGCTCACGAGCACTCCTACGAACGCTTGTGGCCGATCTACAATTATCAGGTGATGAATGGCTCCGCCGAGGCGCCGTACACGAATCCCAAGGCTCCTGTTCACCTAGTCACGGGTTCGGCGGGATGCAAGGAAGGGCGCGAGCCCTTCCCGGAAGTCGTTCCCGACTGGAGCGCCTTCCACAGCCGCGACTACGGCTACACGCGCCTCAAGGCGCACAACGCCACGCATTTGCACTTCGAACAAGTGTCTGATGATCAGGATGGCGCCATAATTGACTCCTTCTGGATCATCAAGGACTCTCACGGTGGATATCAATAGTCAATCTCTACTCAGTCAAGCGGATCTGAGGAATTTGTTGTGTAGTTAAAGGCCAGAACTGAGAATTTATCTGCAAATAAACGATCAAGATAAAAATTAAATTTTCTTTTGATTTCTGTTTCTAGGCATTTAAATTGCGCTTTAAGATTTAAAGGGAAATGTGGTCAATCACTCGTTTGCTCAGCTTCAGGACAAACTGGGATTCTTGAAGCCAACTCGAATTGTGATGAATCGGCAGAAGTTTATTATTTCATCCAGGCAAGGGAGAATTATTAGTATGTGAAACAACTTCAGCTTTTTCAAGCTACAAAACATGAAATTAGGCGATACGGAAGAAGGTTAATTATTACCTCTGCGAACGATTACAATAGCTGTGCGCTCTCTTGAACGCGAGAGTTCATTCCCCTCTTTTTCGCGGTGGTACAAAAAATACCCACGAGCGCTGATGTCGCGTTTATTGTGCTTCGATTGTCAAAATATTTTCAGACACGCACGTAATGAGGAAGATATAAAGTGGATTTTAGTGTAATTTCAGTGGAATATTGAGTGAAATTGTATCTGCAAGTGTTGCTTCAACAATGTCCGAGTCTTATGGTGAGTTGCACTTGCTGATGTGCGCTGGGATTTGGCCAGGAAAGTGGCGATGGAGGAATGAATGACGGCTCCTTGTTCTCTCTCTTGCCAGATTACCTGTTCAAGTTTCTCATAATTGGAAGTGCTGGGATTGGAAAATCTTGCCTGCTTCACCACTTCATCGAGAGCAAGTGTGAGTGGGGGTGCGCTGAGTGTGGGAAAATGCACTAATGGTTCGCTTTCTTGCAGTCAAAGATGACTCTTCGCACACAATTGGCGTGGAATTCGGAAGTCGCATCGTGAATGTGGGTGGAAAATCGGTGAAGCTTCAGATCTGGGACACTGCTGGTGGGTTTGATCTTGCTTTCCAGGCTGTGACAGCTTCGCTGACTGTGTTTTGCTTCGCAGGTCAGGAGAGATTCCGCTCTGTGACGCGCTCGTACTATCGCGGAGCCGCTGGGGCACTTCTGGTGTACGACACCACGTCCAGGGAATCCTTTAACGCTTTGGCCAACTGGCTGAACGACGCCCGTACTCTGGCCAGTCCCAACATTGTGATCCTGCTGGTGGGTAACAAGAAGGACCTCGAGGAGGAGCGCGAGGTGACTTTCCTGGAGGCGAGCACGTTCGCGCAGGAGAACGAGCTCATCTTCCTGGAGACGAGCGCCAAGACGGGCGAAAATGTCGAGGAGGCCTTCCTCAAGTGCTCCAAAACCATCCTGGCGAAAATTGAGACCGGCGAACTTGACCCGGAACGCATCGGAAGTGGCATTCAATACGGCGATTCCGCCCTGCGCAATCTCCAGACGCGACAGCGAATCTCCCGGACGCCGACGTGCGCCTGTCACACTTAAGTCAGCACTCAAAATCTCTTCATGGCACGTCGTAGCGACTTGTTAATTTATTTTTATATTGATTGCAATTGTGCGTTGTGAATCGGGCAGGAAACCTGTGGGAAAATCTCATTATTTTATCTCTCTCTCTTGCCTTCTGTGGATGAGAAGTTCATCATCTCTCTGTGAGTCATTCCACCACTTTATCGTGCTGCATTTACTGTCTGAAGAGGGACGGAAGAGCTGTAAATTAAGTGTGTGATCACATGATGAGAAAAGCCCAAAATTCCCCATCTTTATCTTGTACAATTGAGTATCAAATGTGGCAAAGAACTCCTCAAGTATTAGAGAGGCAAAATGTAGACAATAGGATTGAAATGTAGGTGTTTTCGTAGGCTAAAATCGATAAAAATGCTATTTTTGTAGGAAGTTGTCTACTAAACCTTCCGAATATTAACGTTTTAACTGTTTGTGTATGGGATTTTGGGCACTCCATTCCAAAAGCACAGCATTTCCGACCCTCACACACGATCAAAGTGCAAATAAATATTGCGAATCGCTCACAAAGAGGTCAAAACTGAAACTAACCATGTGAAAATTCTCTTGGATATGCAGAAGAGTGAACAAAAGGCATTGAAAGCACAGTGAATGCGATAAATTATTGGCAATTATAGTAGATTGTTTTTAAGACAACCAGTGAAGAAGAGAAATATTCCATTTGGTTCTTTTTTTTAATTATTGGATAACCAACCTTCAGTGTATTCTCAAATAAAAGTGTACATAAAGATCAGTCTTTCACTAAATTTGTCCAATTTGCATTGAACATGAGCATCAAATCTGCTTTTGATTTGTTTTTTGAGGCTTCATTCAATTTCTCCTGGAATTTCTGCCACTTTTTGTGAGAAACTAACTTCGTGAGTCTTCTGGAATCATTCAGTTTCCGGTATTTGCTCTCGTCCTGCAGGAATTTCATCAGAGACTTCTTATCAAAGATGTTATGTGGTGTGTGAGATGATAAAGTTTGTCTGTCTATCACTATTCCAGTCTCCTCTTCGTCCAACTCCATCGGAACGGGCTGCTGAGTCTCTTCAGGGGCACCAGCAGCGTCTTCCTCCTCATCGCTGAACTCCACAAATTGTGATTGAGGCTTAGACGGCGTGAAACTGCCCGTTACCTCTTCAAGAGTCTCTTTCCACTCTTTTCCAAGCCATTGATCGAGTCTCTGAGGCAAGGAAAATCCCTTCAAGAACACAGATTCCGTCCTAGCAAAATGCCTCTGCATAGAGAACAACCTGTTGTACATCAGCACAGTGTTTCTACACAGATCTTTGCTGTGTTTCCAAACTTCCGCCACTGTGGCCAAAATCATTGTTCCCAAGTCAATGAAATGTCCGCGATTGATCGTGCCGAGGAAGAATCTCGCCACTTCCTTAGACAAGAACACCACTCTACAGAGGATTCTTGTCAGTCCCATCATCCGCAACAGCATGTACTCAATGTACTGCCTCGAGGGTAAACGCGCGCCGCCTTGACTCTCAGCCGCATATGTAGGAAAGCAGCCTAAGACGTTTTCCACGCAGTCCACGATCTTCACCTCTTTTGCACGCAACAAAGCTATGTTCATTTTGCGCAGGGATTTGAAGCCCACCGTGGAGCGAAATTGCTGAGACATCCTGGCGATTGAACGTGAGATTCTAGCCGCTGGAGGCCCCAAAAGCGCCACTGAAAGACATTTCCGAGCCTCTTCCAGGCTCTTTCGCATTTCAGGCATTTCACGTGCCGGCAGCGTGGATTTGAGGGTCACCAGAGGTGGTGCATTCAAATTGCGCTGATTCCACATGATTTCTGGAAGAGAAAGCACCAAAATTAGTAAAAAGAAAACCACATGGCAACGCAGAAATCTCTTCATGGGTTTTTCAGTCCGCCCTAGACAATAATCATTAGCTTTCATACAAAGTTCTAACCATTATTTTATAGGGTCTCATCATAGAGTAGGTTTATGTGACAAAAAAAGCACCGAATTAGTGGGAAATTGAGAAAAATTTTTACCTTTTTGGTGAGGTCGAACACTTCGTGGCCATGGCGTTGCCGGAAATGGGAATTCATCACAAATCTTGCAGAGGGCGTAGCAGTCGAAATTCCCCGCTTGCATGCCAGTGTCACTCCGGCGAAATGTGAGGTTAGGGAGTTGCAGCTGGTGAAAAGGGTGAAAAGCTTGTGAAAAGCACTCTAATTTTACTTGCTTTGCAATGCCAGTTTACGAGTTATTTATGATCCTCCGGCAGATGTCCAGAGTAAGTGCACAAATTGAGTTTCTCCCTGGGAAATCGCATTATTCATATAATTCCTGAGCATTTTACAGCCGGACGTCGTGTCATGTATGAAGAGAGCCTCTGAGATGATCTTGGACAGAGGCGGTGTGATCCGTTCGATAAACAATATGGGCACGATGGAACTGCCGTACAAGATGAGCAGCCAAGGAATTGTGCATCGCACAGGAACTCATTTCTTGGTGGAGTTCAGTCTGCCGCCCAGTCAGATTGAGGATATCAATGAGGAGTTCAGCAGAGACGTGGACATCATCCGGAGAGGCTTCTACAAGACAGAGGACGACCTTAAGAAGACAAAAGTAAAAGCCTGCACTCTCCACGAGGAACTTCTGCCACCCGCCTATCGGAAGGAAGTCCAGGAGATGATCGCCATCGGCAAGCGGAAGCAGAAACCCAAGTTCAAGTACAACTCCGGCCTGGATTACTATCCGTTCGCCAAGTAGATTAATATTCTCTGTAGTCATTTTGTTGTAACTTTTATTGAGACACCTAAATTCACAGAACATGTTCAATTGCGGCTAATATCAGAATGTTTAGGCAGCCTCTTTGGCGAGGCGTTCCGCCTTGGCCACAACCTCCTCAATGGGACCCACCATGTAGAATGCCACTTCGGGCAGGTGGTCGTACTCTCCACCCAGAATCTTGCTGAAACCCTTGATGGTCTCCTCCAGAGGAACGAGCTTTCCGGCGTGTCCTGTGAACACTTCGGCGACTTGGAAGGGCTGTGAGAGGAATCTCTGGATTTTCCTGGCGCGTGCCACTGTGAGCTTGTCCTCCTCACTCAACTCATCCATACCCAGAATGGCGATAATGTCCTGCAGAGATTTGTAGTCCTGGAGAATCTTCTGCACGCCTCGAGCAATATTGTAGTGCTCCAAGCCAATGATGTTGGGATCCATGATGCGGCTGGTGCTGTCCAGAGGATCCACAGCGGGGTAAATGCCCAGCTCAGCGATTGCACGGGACAAGACAGTTGTGGCGTCCAAATGGGCGAATGTCGTGGCCGGCGCGGGATCAGTAAGATCGTCAGCGGGCACGTAAATGGCTTGCACGGATGTAATGGAGCCCTTCTTGGTGGTGGTAATGCGCTCCTGCATGCTACCCATGTCAGTGGCCAGCGTCGGCTGGTAGCCCACGGCTGATGGGATACGACCCAGCAAGGCGGACACTTCGGAACCGGCCTGCGTGAAGCGGAAAATGTTGTCAATGAAGAGCAACACGTCCTGGCCCTCCTGATCGCGGAAATACTCAGCCACAGTGAGTCCGGTCAGAGCGACACGAGCACGAGCGCCTGGAGGCTCATTCATCTGCCCGTACACCAGAGCGACCTGCAAGAACAGCATTAGAAGTTTTCCAGGAATATGAAGAGTCAGAATCTCACCTTGGAGGTCTTGTCCTTGAGGGAAATGACACCGGATTCGATCATCTCGTTGTAGAGATCGTTTCCCTCGCGTGTCCTCTCGCCCACACCCGCGAATACTGAGTAACCACCGTGAGCCTTGGCCACGTTATTGATCAGCTCCATGATCAACACCGTTTTGCCCACGCCGGCGCCGCCGAACAGGCCAATCTTCCCTCCCTTGGCATATGGCGCCAACAAATCCACCACTTTGATGCCCGTGACCAGGATCTCCTGCTCCACGCTCATCTCCACGAATTCCGGAGCCTCAGCGTGAATCGGGGCGAACTTTGTGGTGTCAATCGGACCGCGCTCATCGATGGGCTCGCCGATCACGTTGATGATCCTGCCCAGTGTCTCAGCGCCAACGGGGATCTTGATGGGAGAGCCAGTGTCCAGCACTTTGTGTCCGCGCACCAGACCTTCCGTTCCGTCCATGGCAATCGTGCGCACGGTGTTTTCGCCCAAATGCTGCGCCACTTCCAGCACCAGCCTGGGCTTGCGGCCCTCAACTTCCAGAGCATTCAGGATGGGTGGCAGGCTCTCATCGAACTGCACGTCCACCACGGCACCAATTACAGCCACCACACGACCATTCGTCGTGCCAGCCTTTGCCGCGGCCGCATATTGACGGTCTGCAAGGGAAAATCAATCGCCATTTTTTCCACTTCCACATTACGTAATTCCGGGCCTGAAAACAGCGCCAAATATGCCTAAATTTTGGAATACTCACTGAATTGCACAAGGCCGGAAACGAATCTTCCGGTTTCGCACCTGCTGACCACTCGGACAGCGCTATTTATCGCGGAAAACATCCTTTTCGCTGCACTTTTCACTTCACGGGACGAGCAATCGCCCTATAAAAAGCGTGCGGAAAATGTCACAAGATACCCCGGAAAGTCGTAGGACGACAAATTCTGATTATGGCAACACAGATATTTTAAATTTATAGGCGGAAGAAAAACGATCAAAATATTTTGTACGAATGTTTTTATGTACAATAAATGGGATCATTTCTGAAGAAATAATAAGTCTTCTGTCGCTATACCCAAGCTTGATCTTGGACGCATTACTAAAGACGATAGAAAATGTGGAAAAGAATTTGGATCACCGGGATGCTATCAAGCTTATTGGCTTGTCACTGAGATTCATTGCTTGCGAAAAACAATTTCTGTATTTCTTGGGTCGGCACAATAATCATCTCCGTTGGCTCTATGTATATGCTCAAGCTCGAAACCACAATCCGAGGAAATCGAGGTACTTTAGATATGCGATAGAAAAGCAGCCTTTGCTGGAATATATTGGCTTGCCCATAGACATTCATTCAACAAAAGATTTTGATGGACTAATATCTGCGCTCTCTAAGAATTGCAAAGTTTTGCGCTACATCATCGTGAATATGTACTACGATTGGTTTCACGATCATATTCTTCCAGTCGAGTGAGTTATTTCTCTCAAATTTCACTGAAATGCCGAAAATTATAAATATATTGTTTTTGCTCTTTTGCTTAAAGGACACTGGTGGAAGTTTGCAGAAAATTCGAAGCGGTTTTGATTTGGAGAGGCATGGAAGTGCTTGAAAGGGGAATTGAAATTTTTATCCCCTACGATTACTTGGAGCTGGTCAATCACAATATTAAGCTTGTGATAACTAGTGTGTTCAATGCGGACCACATTGATTTTTCGTTGGATGGCATTGTGGACCCCATCAACAAGAACTGGCTGAAGTTTTTTGACTTTAAATTCGAGTTTCGCTTTTGTTAAACTTTCCTATATATTCTTCTATATTGAGTTCGGATTAAAAATGATTTTTTTTAATCTTCATGGAGTCTGCAATAAATTGAAATATTCTATAATTGAATTAAAATTTTTGAAAAAATCTTTGTTGTTGAGTTCAAATCACAAGTTTAGGCGTTTTCGACGAGTGTCGCTGACAGCGCGCCGTTTGGGCGGGAAACTCAGTGAGAGGCTTTCGAGGAGGCTTTGTGTTGTTCGTGTGTGTTTTCCCATCTGGTTTTGAGAGTTTTTCACGCATTTTTACTGTAAATTCATTGGAGATATGTCGGTAAGTAGCTTCTTCATATTCCAATAAATAAGAATTCAATGTGGATTCATTATTTTTGCGGGTGTTTCGATGGTAAAAATGAGAGCGACTAAAACTAACCTAATTTCATTTTGGGATCTTCCAGGAAACTGATTCGCCAATTCCGCCGACGCCCAGTGATGTGGACACTGAGGATCACCGGCAGATCCGCGCAGCCATGGAGTCTCCAGTTGGGGAGTTTGAGAATGCTGAGGATCTCCTGGGAGACACGATTGTGCACGAGGATGAGGATGAAGACGGCGAAGAGTTGTTTGGAGACAACATGGAAAATGATTATCGCCACATTCCTGAGCTGGACCGATATGATCAGACCGCGTTGGATGATGAGGATGACTTCAGCGTCATGTCAGAGTCCGATCGTCGGGCTGCCGAAGCGGAGATGCGTCGTCGGGATCGCGCGCTGGGCATAATAAGGGATGATCGGGATTTGCTGTACGATCGCAGCGATGATGAGGATGATATCCCGAGGGCGAAGCGCCGGGCGGCAGAGAAGGCTGCCATGGGAGGTGAGCTGGAGGACGAGGAGATGGTGGAGTCAATTGAGAATCTGGAGGATACGAAAGGACACTCAACGAAGGAGTGGGTTTCAATGCTGGCGCCTCGCACTGAGATCACGAATCGCTTCAAGAATTTCCTGCGCACGTTTGTGGATGAGAATGGACATCAGAGATACCGCGATCGCATCAGGCGCATGTGTGAGCAGAATCAGTCTAGTTTTGTAGTGTCTTATCCGGATCTGGCCACCAAGGAGCACGTTTTGGCGTACTTTCTGCCCGAGGCGCCTTTCCAGATGTTCGAGATCTTCGACAAAGTGGCCAAAGACATGGTGCTGAGCAATTATCCCACTTATGAGCGCGTCACCAATGAAATCCACGTGAGAATCTCCGATTTGCCACTCGTGGAGGAATTGAGAACATTCAGGAAGCTCCACTTGAATCAACTGGTGAGGACTCTTGGCGTTGTCACTGCCACAACAGGCGTCATGCCTCAGCTCTCCGTGATCAAATATGATTGCGTGAAGTGCGGCTACATTCTCGGGCCTTTCGTGCAGACACAGAATGAAGAGGTGAAGCCAGGATCGTGCCCAGAGTGTCAGAGTTCTGGTCCATTCTCCATCAACATGGAGCAAACGCTGTACAGAAACTACCAGAAGATCACACTGCACGAGTCTCCGGGAAGGATTCCGGCGGGAAGAATTCCCAGGAGCAAAGACTGCATCCTCCTGGCCGATCTCTGCGACTCCTGCAAACCAGGAGATGAAATCGAAGTCACTGGCATTTACACAAACAACTACGATGGCTCTTTGAACACCGATCAGGGCTTTCCAGTGTTCGCCACAGTGATTCTGGTCAATCACATTGTTGTGAAGGACTCCAAACAAGTTGTTCAGTCGCTCACTGATGAGGACATTCACGAGATCCAGAAGCTGAGCAAGGATCCCAAGATCAGCGATCGCATTGTGGCCAGCATCGCTCCGTCGATTTATGGACATGACTTCATCAAGAGAAGCCTCGCTCTTGCCTTGTTCGGCGGCGAGGCCAAGAATGCTGGGGAGAAGCACAAGATCCGTGGTGACATCAACGTGTTGATCTGCGGTGATCCGGGAACGGCAAAGTCGCAGTTCTTGAAGTACATTGAGAAAATCGCGCCCAGAGCCGTCTTCACCACTGGCCAGGGCGCTTCGGCCGTCGGTCTCACGGCGTACGTGCGCAGAAATCCACAATCGCACGAGTGGACCCTCGAGGCGGGTGCTCTCGTGCTGGCCGACCAAGGAGTATGTCTGATTGATGAGTTCGACAAGATGAACGACCAAGATCGCACGTCCATCCACGAAGCGATGGAGCAGCAGTCGATTTCCATCTCCAAAGTCGGCATCGTGACATCTCTCCAGGCGCGCTGTGCAGTCATCGCGGCTGCCAATCCCATCGGGGGGCGTTACGATTCCAGCATGACTTTCACGGAGAACGTGAACCTGTCGGAGCCCATTCTCTCCCGTTTCGACGTGCTCTGCGTGGTTAAGGACGAATTTGATCCCATGCAGGACAAGCATTTGGCGCAATTCGTGGTGCAGTCGCACATCAAGCATCATCCCGCCATGGAGGATGGACTGCAGGAGAGTCAACCATCTCAGCAGACGGCGGTGAATGTGGATGAGATTCCCCAGGAGATGCTGAGGAAGTATTTGGTCTACGCCAAGGAGAACGTTCGCCCCAAACTTACCGTGAGTTTCCTCAATTTCTTTGCCCAAGAAACATATGTCACCAATGTCTTGTTTCTTTCTAAAATTGCAGAATATGGATCAGGATAAGATCGCCAAGATGTACGCTCAGCTTCGACAAGAATCTCTGGCGACGGGAAGTCTGCCGATCACGGTGAGGCACATTGAGAGCGTGATCAGAATGTCCGAGGCGCACGCGAGAATGCACTTGAGAGACTCTGTGCAGGAGAATGATGTCAACATGGCCATCAGGATGATGCTGGAGGGTTTCATTGAGGCGCAGAAGTTCAGTGTTATGAAGAAAATGCGATCTGTGAGTATCTTTGAACACGCAAATCCTCGCTTCTCTCTCACAAGCGGATTATTTCTTTCTTTGCAGACCTTCCAGAAGTACCTATCATTCCAAAAGGACAACGCCGAGCTGATCTTCTTCATCCTGCGTCAGTTGTCCCTGGACCAGCTGATGTACGTGCGCTGCAAAGAGGGCCCCAGCGCCACTCACATCGAGATCATGGAGCGCGACTTGATGGAACGCGCGAAGCAGATCAACATTCACAGCGTCAAGTCCTTCTACGACAGTCCCTTGTTCCGCAACAACGGCTACACGTTCGATCCCAAGCGAAAAGTCATCGTCCAGGTTGTTCCGGAAGCCGCGGTGGTTCAGTAAATGCCCTTTTCTGTTCACATACTTTTATTTTGATTAAAACTTGTGAGATTTCTTATGACTATATCTTTTTATACATCAATCAAATAAGCGTTAAATTAAACAAGGAGACAACATTTACTTGCCGCGGCTCGAGGATGAACCCGAAGATGAGCTGGAGTCCGTCGAGGAGTCGCTGGACGACGAGGAGTCACTCTCGCTGTCCGACGTGTCACTCGAGGACTCAGTGCTGCTGTCGCTGCTGCTGCTCGACGTGTCATCTGACGAGTCTGGCTCAGAGTCACTCGAGGATGACGAGGAGTCTCCGGAATTCCGCCTCGGCGCTTTGGTTTTGGGTTCACCGGAACCGCTGGCTTTTGCCTCAATTTCGGTGATCTTCTTCTTCAACTGCTGTGTCCGGGAGGATCGATGAGTATATTTGCGCTTTGACTTGCACTCATAGCTCCAGTGGCCGTACTCGAGACACTTCTGGCAGCGCGCCCCATTCGGAAAAGCCGCTGCCAACTTCTCCGCCCTGGAAGATGAGGGGAAGTCATGAGAAAAAGTTTGGGAAATGTGTTTTGATGACGGTTTACCTCTTCTTCTGGGCTAATTTGTGCGCGCTCACCCCGGCCAGGGTCATTTCGGGGTCTTCTGGGGCGTCGGAAGGTATTTTTCACCACGAAATTGGACTTTTTCCACACAAAAACACTCAAAGTGAGGTTACATTTGCGCAGTGACGCGGAAGGGGAAGTTGGTTCGGCGCTTTTCCGCAAGAGGAACAGTGGTCGCGGCTCGGCTCGTCAGTTGGCTGCTGATCGTGGTGTGGAGTGAAGGTGCGCTCGCCGATCTCGCGAAATTCCTGTGATCACCTTTCTTGTGTTGGTGGGACTTACCTGTGACAAAGTGGTGTGGTGGACGCAGAAGGAGCGCAGGAGCACCGCCAATGAGCCATTTGTGGTGCGATTAGGGGCCTTAAAGATGCGTTTCAGCGCCACAATTGGGGCGCTCGTCGTTTTCGGTGAGTCTCTTGTTGCGCTTCCCACCTTCGCGTGTGTGTGGCATTCTTTCGGCGGGAGTGACTCACTTTCTGGCATGTGTTGGGCGACACAGAGGTGGTCAGAGGCGTCGCTGTGTGAGTGGCCGGGAAAGGTGGCCCTCCCGGAAAAAGTGTGCGTAGAAGAGCACCTGAAAAGGCTGCACAGGTGATCATCAGTCCGGGCATTCATCTGGGCCCACAATGCCAGACATTTCTTCAATTATTCCAATTCACCGAGGGCACAATTGGCGACACACAATTGCATCGCGACTCACCTGTGGAGTGAGGAATAGTTGCTCACAAACACAGCCTCAGGGCTGTGGTCAGACAATAGAATTTCTCTGTGTGGCCCTCATTCCGGTGGCCAGAGATGAAATGCGCGGCTCAAATTCAGCTCTGGCATTTCTATCTGACGCCCCTCGCCAGAGACAAAGCGCCAAATCAACTGGATCGCTTCGGTTCACTTGGCTGCTGTTCTGGCCTCTTGAAGGTCTCCGGCTTTCTCCCAGCTTCTGCCCAATCTGTCGCCCATTCCCCGGGATTCACACCATCAAATCCGCGAGCAGACGATCTCCATGCGTATCACTGGCGAGATTAGTAAACATGAAATCACTCCTTTTTTGCGCAATGCCACTTGACGATCATTTTTGAGTGGGATTGTCATGTTATTCCGCCAGCAAAACGGGAAAATTCTGCTTGATAATTGAGCTGTATAGAAATCACACGTCGCACAACATATTTGCTAACATGAAAACAATGTTTTGCCGAGGCAATTTCACAAAACCCTCCTGCGGAAATGGTATCATTTGCAATAATACGAACAAGTTGTTGTCTATCATGTTCACTTCATGACGATGGAATTTTTCCAAGAGATGAAAAGCTTCATAAATTCGATAATTAAAATATTTCTTGACTGAGTGATCAGGAGAAAATGTAATGAAGAGTCGGATGATCTTTCTCTGCTTTGGCGAGTGCCGCGAACATTTTTTTTATGTTTGCCGTGAAGAGAAAATGTACGAAAATTCAGAGACGAATTTAAATGCTTTAAGAGGGGAAATTACACTGCTAAAGTGACAGAAAAAGTTTTAAAAAATGCTGAAGAATCGCCGTGGAATGTTTACGAAGGAGTTCTTGAAGGTGTTTTGCAGGAATGTGGAAGCTTTAATTCATGTAAGGCCGTGAATTCAGTTGAACCATGTCTCAGCCAAGAAGATCAGGAATTGTGGTGATAATTTTGACAACACTCAGACTAAACTGGACGCCACTGAGTTGCATAAACAGCTTGTTTTGTCCCACATTGCAAGAAAGAAGGTTCTATCGGAAGTTAATATTACGTTATTATGAAGAAAAATCTTTCGCAATTCTTGTTTTTCCTTCTGTATTTAGCATGTCGCGGTGAATTAACGTGTGGCGAACGAGGAAAAAAATAGCAAAAGAGTTTTGTTGCTGCGTCTGAACGAGTGGAAAAGTCAATGGTTTATAGCAGAGAATACTTTATGCAAAAGACATTGCTCTACAATGTCTTTTTTGAGCACCAATTCCTAATTGTATTTCCCGTTTAATGGCCTTTTTTGCCTCCTCAGCTCTTAAGAGAGGTTTGCTGTGTGACTCAAGAGAACCTGAAGCTATTTGCTGTGAAGAGGTTGAATTTCAATAGCAAATCTACATGTTTCACGCAACGTCTTCATCTCATGCGTCTCCCAGGCGGAGTGCTTGAAAATTTCTGAGAAGGAATTGTAAGGATTTTTCTGCTTTTCATCCCCTTTCACTTGAGCGACGAAAGAGTTTCTCAAGTGGTTTTGCTTTCTTTCTCTACTTCACGGTAATTCGTGTCTCTCACATAAAAATAATTCATTTTTCCTCTCCACTTGCCAACAAGACGTGACTATGACAGTTTTTTTCGGCGTGTCACCGATCAAAAATTGGGCAGGTATTTAATTAATGAAAAAGAAATGCCTTTTCCACCGCTAAATCACTTGTTATACTATTATTTCTCTCACTATGAAAATGGCCAAAAGAAAGTCATTTCTCTGGCGTTGAGGCAAAAAAACTGTGAGTTTCTTCAAGTGATTTCTAGATGGTATTTCATCAAGCAGTGACAGAACTTTAAGCCATCATTATGAACAATTTGGCTTTCATTGGAAGATCCTCTGAACGAGGTGAAGCTGTAAAGAGAAAGAGATTGCCAAACTGTAAAAGTAATTTTGGGTTCTTGAAAATTTCTTCAATTGCCTACGATTTGAAGGTAATCTCGCGTGTTGAGTCGCGTCTGTGTGTGAGTGAAAGAGCCATTTAACACGGCAGATCAAAAGGGTAACAACAAATAAATGGGGAGTGAAGATTGTTTGGGAAAATTGAGACACGTCGTTAAGTTACATGTAAGATTGCAGACACATTCACTTGCTCTCGAAGTTCATCGACTTTCGCGAGGCGTGTTGCATTTTGCAAATGAGTCTTTTGTCGTGAAAACCTCCTTAATTGATATTAACATGTTAGATATTTAATGTATGATTTCTCACAGTAAAAAGCGAGTGTTTTGGGATCTTCCATCCAATTTCTCTCTAGTCTCTTGTTCTTCTTGATCTCGACGAGAGATTCATGATAATGATGATGAAAGGAAATTAACAACAATGAAGACATTGCCTTAAAATCTCATGTGTTGGTCGCATTTTGACATGATTTGGCGGTGAAACATGCAGAAAAACACACCTTTTAAATCATATTGTATGCAATTTTATCTGAAAGATGTTGTAAATGCTTCATTCACTCAATTTATCATCTGAGTAATTCCCCAGAAGTAGCGATGATTTATGGACTTTTCCTTCCTCACGTTCGCGTGATCTCGGAGTGTCTCTTGAAGGAGATTTGACCGCCCAAGTGAACAGAAACCCAATTTAACATAGATCGTGAGTCACACCCAAGTTCAATCTCGCTGGCCAGAGAGAATAGGTGATTTCGCTGTGGCGCTTTTACAGAGAAATCCCATCCAGAGTGTGTTTTGTAATGTTTAATTGAGTGCCAGTCATTGTATAAGTGTTGGCAAGAGGCGCGCAAGAAGAGAAATGATTCGAATTGTAATGAAGAGCATGTAAAACAGTATTCTTGGATAACATTTCTCATTACAGCTCCCATGTGAATGGTCAAAATTCCTATTTTTGACCTAAAAATTTAGTCTTCCATTATTTATAATGTTTGTAATGTTTTGGAAATGTATTGAAAATGATTTTTTCATTGCCAAATTTTGCAGATGTTCTGTGGAGTGTTTCATGCGTTATTAAATGCAATTATTTTTACGCAAATACGGAAAAATAACTACATATTTTGTATTTCAAAATTCTGTCTTTGAACGACTTCTGGTTCTAGTTCGACTTAATTCGGCTATTGAAGACAGTGAATTTTGGATTAGCCACGGAAATTTGCGGTAGACTTTATCAATATCATTCCGCTATTTCGCAATAAATATTATGAAAGATGTGCACTCATCCAAGATTACAATACCTGGACAATGGTTGGACACTGTGCTGGACGTGGTTAGAGTTGAAAGAAATGTTATTATTCCACGAACGTCTCCGGAAGACTTTACCTTGTTTTGCGTCTCTTCTTTGTCCTCCTCATGAGTTTATTCTGCAATGATGTAAAAGAAGACGAGAAAAAAGTGGAGGGAGTTTAATATTTTTTCTTCTTAAGCTCTCTAAAACTCGTGAGAAAATTTACATGCTGGTAATATATCTTAGAAGCACGGAGTGTTATTAGAGAAGGTGTGTGTTTGTATTCTTCTAGTCGTTTTTTTATCGTTCGGTGATAAGAATTTTCTTGATTATTCCGTGTGGAATGTCTCAATAATATTTTTCTTTTCTATAACCCACTTGATTGTGCGATGTTTGCTCAGATAAACAGAAGGAATCCCTGATATAACTCACCATTTCTCATGTCTTCTGCACCTGCTTGTTTGAGAGGAATGGCGAGGGGAAAAAATTGAGAATATTTTATGACTTTTCTGCCATTGTTTAGAATTGGTGAAGCGAGACCGCGCTGAGAAGATGATGTGACTGGCTAAAGGGTCTCTTTGACTTTGTTGTTCACTTCCGCGAAGACGTTTTAGGTTGATTTCTTTTCGGGGAGAGAAAATAGCAGGTGTCTGACGGCCGTGCATTCTCTGTTGCACGCGCTTTCCTGCAATCTGCTGCAGCTTTCGTTGGAATTCCTGGTGTTTTGGCGGTGCTTAATGAGGGGCTTCCGCCAAATAGCCCTTCATCGATCGCCATGCGGCTGAATGCAAATGATTTCATGTCTATTTCTGTGCATATATCACTCTTAATGGTGGCGAGGAAGTGTGTTCGACTCCCACAAGCGAACGTACGGAAGGAACACGTCTTTCAGGGTCTCATCAGGGGAATGGGCGGCAAATGAGAGTGATGTTTATCGGAGAAACTGAGTCAGGTGTTTGGTGTGTGTGTGCAAAGAGTGGAGGAATAACACTTTTTCTCACTTCTTTTCAGTGTTGCTACCAACAGTCTCCATAGCAGCGCTTGTGGAACCACCGGAGGCATTCTTCAATGGGTCGGCTTACTTGAGACTGCTCACGCCGATGCCACTCTGGGGACATTCAGCAATTAACTTCCGAACATGTCGAGGTATGGTTACTTTTTCCTCCACCGCAAACATATGTATGCTTTCGAAGATGAGCCAACAATGTTGTAATTATATCGGCGGGGAAAACAACATAAATGAGCACGCAATTGGCCGGTCCAATTAGACAATTCTCTTCTGCCCATCGTGCGCCTTATATAATGCACACTGGATTCAGTGGCAGTTGTTATGAAGAGAGGTGAAAACGATTAAAGAATTGCAGGATTGAAATTTCAACCAAATTCTTCCAACTTACAGTCAATTGTTTATGTTTTTGCTGCTCTCGTGTCGTTTTTCTCTCTTTCTCACTCTCAATTGCAGAGGCATTGAAAAAGGAGTTTCAACAGCCACACAACACCTCTTAAGATGTTAATGGTGTTTTGTGTGAGGAGAGCATTAATTTCATTAAACAATTTCACATAGTTTTTGCTGGTCTTGCTCAATTTTTCGCAAGATATCTCAAAGGTGAAGTTTTCGAGTCTTTATCACGCCTCAAGAGGGAATGTAATTGATTAACAAATTGAATTTATGCTTGCAAAAAACCTAGACTATTGAGGATTTCTTGTTTCACGCTCTTTTTGTGCATATTAATGGAATCTCCGGAAGTTTAGTTGAGGTCTGCGCGATATCATTTTCCTGTAATCTGCAACATTTTCAAGGATTATTAGAGTTTCAAAATATCGACGTGATTTCACAACATTGAGTAGAATTCTATGAGTTAATCAACCTTTTAGCGGTGTCTCACACAATAAATTACATTTTCAACTAAAGGCACTTTTAATACAATGGCAGTTTAACTGCGTGACTTGTGCTGAAATGAACTTTATGATGGGGAGAAAGAGAAATTTGTAGAATAAATGATACACATATGGAAGAGAGAAGGTGGAGAAAAAGATGAATTAAATGTTGTGTGAGAATCGATCACAAAGAGGAGAGAGAAAGATGAGAGAAAAGTGTAAATATTGGCAAAGGTGTGCTTTTTAATATGGATTTTCCATTCATTTTTTTTTCTTCTGCTTCTATCTCTAAAACACACCAAAAAAGCGATTATATTTCTCCATGGAATAAATTACACGGTCTAGAAATGAAAAAGTATTTTTGCCCAAGATTCACGTTTGTATATTTTTGCCATTCTCTCTGCATTTCAGGCAGTGAAATCTTTTCACAGCGCTATGCGCAGCACACTCTGCGGCTGGCCGTGCATCCACACTCGGTCACTGTGTCCCTGGCCACGCCGGAGAAGAATAACACCATCGTGGAGTTCGACGGGCTGCCAGGACTCTTCGACAACCGCTGGCACACCATCGAATTTCTCTACCAGCTGGGCACTCTCAATTTGATCGTGGACCGGCAATCAATGGTCATTGGTGAGTGTTTCACAACAGATGCTGATCTCGTGGCAAAGGCGAGGAAGCGCACCTTTCGTGCAGCTTTCTTCTGTTGAGAAAATTGCTCATTTTACGATATTGCAAATTGAGCTTGAAGTGCATTCTTCAGGTGAACAGATGGAGTCATTGCCAGGCATGGTGAAAAGATAATGCGATAAGATTGACGAATTGAAATTGACTAGAAATTTCTGCTTGGATCTCAATCTCAGCATATAATCATTTTTAGCGTTTACATTAGTAATAATAGATTTAATGTTTAGACATCTTGTCAATTAAAGTTATGAATATAAAGCAAAATGTTTGCAATGACAGCGTTGAAAAATACAAAAAGCGCAATTCTCTAATTTGCATTATTATTGCATAATTGACCGTGGGGAGACACAATACAAGTTCTTCAAGTTAAAAATATTATTTGTTGATTCTTTTCTTTTGTCGTTGCAATACTTTGCTTCTGTATATAGAGTTTTCCATTGATTTATTTTGAGTTAAAACGGTAACATTTCCCTTCTAATTTGTTCCACTTGGGGCTTCTTTGTGGACACTCTGTGTAAGCAAATGAGTTGATTTGCTGTGTGAGAATTCTCGGAATATATCTGTGATGTATTTCACATGAACAATTAGCTTTTTAGTGCGAAAAATATGACTTATTGGTGTTTTATCTCCTCCAGCCAATTCAACGCATAACACTGAGTTTCTCACGGACAATGAGGTGAAGAATGAGGCAGCTGTTCTGATCCTGGGCAGTAATTATTCAGGATGTTTGCTGCATGGGCCTGGATTGGTGTTCAACATTTCCACCATTCACTCGGTGGGCGCTCTCTTGGGCGAATGTCCAATGCCCAGCGGTCCCTGCAGTGCTGTCTTGGATGACATCGTGCACAGTTCGGTGGTGAATCACTGCGAACACGATCCGTGCATGCAGCATGGAAACTGTATCAATCGTCCGGAGGATTACGAGTGCCACTGCACAGCGCGGTATATTGGAAAGAACTGCGAAGTGGACGCCGGTCCGCCGTGCCAGGGTGAACCGTGCATCAACGGCGGAACGTGCCTGGAAGATTCTCGTGGCGATTTCCAGTGCTTCTGCGCGGCCGGCTTCACAGGATCTCGCTGCGAGACAGAGCTGAGTGTGCATCCGCTGTGCGAGAACAATCCCTGTCACAATAATGGTACCTGCCGAGTGCTGGGCAATGGCAAGACGTTCGACTGTGAGTGTCTAGATGGGTTTTCAGGAACAGTGTGCGAATTCGATCGAGATGACTGCGAATCCGAGCCGTGCCAGAACTTGGGAACCTGCGTAGATGAAATCGGAGGCTTTACGTGCAAATGTGACGGCACTGGATACACAGGAAATGTTTGTGAGATCAACATCAATGAGTGCAAACAGAGAAATCCTTGCCTGAACGGTGGGAATTGCTTCGACACATTTGGTTCGTTTATTTGTGAATGTAAGCCTGGATTTGGAGGTCCCACTTGTGATGTCATCATAAATGAGTGCCAATCTCAGCCATGTCGCAATGGAGGCGCATGCATTTCCACCAAGAGTGGCTTTACGTGCTCCTGCTTGGCCGGCTACTCAGGGATTATGTGTGAGATCGCTCCGCCGTGTCCGCAGTGTCCCAGCGATTCGGATTGCATTGGCGGGAAGTGTGTTTGCAAGCAAGGAACAACTGGTAAGTCATGCTTGCGATTGCCAAGGCTTATGTGCACTTCTGCAAATGACGCTTTTATTTGCTTCTAGGCACTGTAGGCTATTGTAGCCCTAAGCCGAATCAAAAATCTGCTAAAAGTAATGCATGCACTTGCCTCAATGGGGCCACTTGTGTTGGGACAGCTTCGAATATTTCGTGTATCTGTGCTGCTGGCTTTACAGGTGGATTTAGCATGAGTGTCACCGAGAGAATCAGATTAATAATCTCTGTCTCTCCCACTTAGGTCCTCGCTGCGAGACTCCCATCGCTCTGGCGTTCTCGGATGAGTGTTCATGTCTCAATGGTGGAACTTGTGGCTTCAACTACACGGATTGCGTGTGTCCGCCAGGCTTCGAGGGCAGTCGATGTGAGAGATCGGTGGCTTGTAATGGGAGCAATTGTCCAGAAGTTACTCCATGCGCCTCTCAGCCGTGTCTCAACGGTGGCTCTTGTTATGGCTCAGGAAGCGATATCTACTGCAAGTGCTCTAGTGGATACAATGGTGAGAAAAGTCTGCGAAATTGGTCTGGCCATGGCGACACGCGATCATTTGACATTGTTCTGTTCCAGGAACTCGCTGTGAGAATGACGTGAATGAGTGTGAGAAGGCTGACATCTGTAGTCACGGGATCTGCGTTAATTTGCCTGGTTCCTTCAAGTGCTACTGCGAGCCTGGATACACGGGTGCGGTGTGCGATCTCGACGTCGATGAGTGTCTAAGTCATCCGTGCAAGAACAACGCTGTGTGTCTGAACCTCGTGAATGACTACAAGTGCGAATGTCCAGCTGGATACACAGACAAGGATTGCTCAACGAATATTGACGAGTGTGCAGACAATCCATGCTCAAAGGGATCCACATGTCTCGATGAGATTGCCAACTTTACGTGCGTCTGCATTCCGGGAATGACGGGACGATTGTGTGAGATTGACATCGATGATTGTGAATCGCAACCGTGTCTCCACGACGGGCGGTGCATTGATTTGCTGGGCGGTTATCACTGCGACTGCAAGGGAACTGGATACACAGGTGATCAATGTCAGATGAACATTGATGAGTGCGAGACGAATCCCTGCCAGAATGGAGCGAAGTGCAACGATGAGGTCAATGATTACACTTGTGAGTGTTATGCTGGCTACACAGGAAAGAACTGCGAAGTGGATATTGATGAGTGTGAGGTGAAACCTTGCCAATACAATGGCACTTGCTATGAGAGATCAGACAGATCACTGTACGAACTGTCGGAGAGTCAGAAATATCATCTTCCCAAGATCTTCTCCAATCCCTTCGCATATGAAAACGCTAGTGGATACGAGTGCGTTTGTGTGCAAGGGATTATTGGCAGAAACTGTGAAATAAACATCAATGAGTGCGAGAGCAATCCTTGCTCGAAGTACGGCAATTGCGTTGACGAAGTTGGGACGTATTCTTGTGAGTGTGAGCCAGGATTTGAGGGCAAGCACTGCGAGATCAACATCGACGAGTGCGAGAAGTACAAACCGTGCGTCCACGGAACTTGCATGGATGGCAGAGACAATTACATCTGTGACTGTGATCCTCAGTGGGGCGGAAAGAATTGCAGCGTTGGTCTCATTGGATGCATAACTCAACCGTGTTTGAATGATGGCATCTGCATTCCTTATTTGGAAAATGAGACTCTGCACAAGTTCAACTGCTCTTGCCGATCGGGTTTCCAAGGATCAACATGCGAGAAGATCACAACAATGTCTCTCGTCGCCAGTAGTTTGATCACCGTCAACACATCGAGAGATGAAGGGTATGAGATACAGCTGAGATTCCGCACGACCTTGCCAAATGGCATTCTGGCGTTTGGGAATGGGAACACGTACAGTTACATCCTGGAATTGGTGAATGGACGACTGAATCTCCACTCGTCACTGCTCAATAAGTGGGAAGGCGTCTTTATTGGATCCGGCTTGAATGATAGCAAGTGGCAGAAGGTCTTTGTGGCCATCAATTCTTCCCATTTGGTTCTGTCGGCCAATGAAGAGCAGACAATCTACCCGATAAATTCGTATGAGGGTACAAATGCCAGTCACACGAGCTTCCCAACGACAGATTTGGGTGGAACCATTCCTAATCTCAACTCCTATTTGCGGCACTTGACTCACACTCCCTCTAGTTTTGTGGGGTGCATGGAAGATGTGGTGATCAATGGACAGTGGGTATTTCCGTTCGATCCGGACAACAAGACCATGCGACTGGTGAATGTTGCCCAAGGATGCCCGAGAACTGAGCAATGCAAGCCGAATCCGTGCAATTCCAATGGTCTGTGCTCGGATTTGTGGCACACATTCTCATGCTCCTGCACGCGTCCTCATCTCGGACACACGTGCAAGTTTAACATCACCGCAGCGACTTTCGGTCATGAGAACACCACACAGTCAGCAGCGATTGTGGAAGTTGCTGAGCGACCGAGGAGATCAGTGAGAACCATTGTCGATATTTCCATGTTCATCAAGACTCGCCAGCCGACTGGACAGATCTTCTACTTGGGCAGTGATGATAGCAAGATCCCTTCGAACAGGGACATTGGGGACTCTTACGTGTCGGCTAAACTCCTGGGCGGAGAGCTTCACGTGCAGATTCTCTTCAATGGTACTCCCGAAGCCTACACAGTTGGCGGGAATAAGCTGGACAACGGCAATACGCACTTGATACAGGTCATTAGGAATTTAACTCTGGTACAGGTGAAGCTGAACGGCACAGAGTACTTCAGGAAGACTCTCTCTTCCACTGGGATTCTCGATGCTCAAGTGCTCTATCTCGGCGGACCGCCGCCATATGCGAATTTCTCAACGGAAAGCAACTACTTCAAAGGAATCATTCAAGATGTTCAAGTGACTAATGGATCACAAGTTATGATTGTGGAATTGTATCCTCTGAACGAGGTTAATCTGGATCTTCCGCCGCCTTTTGGAGAGGTCTTAATTGATCGCTCTTCGATCCTCAAAGGGGAGGTTTCTGATGATCTCTGCCGGATGTCGCCGTGTCACTTTGAAGCCTCTTGTCGCAACACATGGAATGACTTCGTGTGCATCTGTCCGCGAGGATACAAAGGAAAGTACTGCCAAGACATTGAGTTCTGCGAACTGCACAAGTGTCCAGGAAATGCCACGTGCCAGAATCTTGATGATGGATTTGAGTGCATCACAAATATGACATTCCAGGGTAACGAAGGTAGTCCAATGGCATTTGAATTCCTGCCCAAGGATCCCGATATGCCTGATGACTACCAGCAAACCAGTATTCAACTCTCGTACAGAAGTAAAACCGGCGGAACGTTGTTGTATGTCCAGGACAAGGATATGTATTTCGAAATTGCTGTGTTCAATGATCAAGTAACTGTCCAGTGGAGATTATCGTCAGATCTGCCGGAAACTAAGCGCTTCCACAAGGAAGTTGCGGACTATGATTGGAGCACAATCTTCATCAGAGTTCAGGATGGTAGTCTGGAGGGTGGTTGGAAGGGATGGGAAAACATGCCTGATCCCAATCCTCTTATTTTCGCCACTGTGGATCAGAACGCCTTGTTGCATCTCTTCAGTGGAAAATTCCTCATTCACTTGGGCGGTGTGCCGCCAAATGTGGACAACAGTATTCCCAGAGGACCAGCAAACAATGGAGCGAAGTTCAAGGGATGCTTGGGTGAAGTGAGAGTTAATGATCTCCTGCTGCCGTATTTCCCTGACATTGAAGTGTACAAGGGAAAGATGGAGCCTCGTTCGCACTACGCTCTGAACTCCACCAAACCGACGGAGGGCTGCATTTTGTGCTTCCAGCACGATTGTGACAACGGCGGAAAGTGCATGAATCCCTCTGATCAGTACGCTTGCGAATGTCCTTTGGGATACAGTGGAGATGATTGCTCACTCAATATCGATGAGTGTTTGACGGCTGAGTGCACGAACAATTCCACTTGCAGTGACGGAATTGCCAATTACACCTGCAATTGCATGCCAGGATTTGAGGGACGACACTGTGAGCTGGACATTGATGAGTGTCAGTCTGATCCTTGCCACAATGGCGGTACTTGCACAAATCTCCTCGCAAACTACAGTTGTTCCTGCACAGAAGACTACGCTGGGACGCAGTGTGACGTTCTGCGTCTTGTGACATGTGAGAATTATCCCTGCAGGAACGGATCGAGCTGCATAGATGGATACAGTGAGTGTTCTATTGTCTTTATGGTAGGAATCTTGTATAATTTGGCTTGATTTTACAGATGGCTTGACAGGCAATAACTTCACGTGCAACTGCTTGGAAGGATTTGAAGGGCCGCTTTGCGACACTGCTTTCTGCATGGTAGAACCCTGTAGGAACGAAGGATTCTGCTTCTCTGAGCCGCCGGTAAGAATCTCTGAAGTGCTTTCAATGCTGTAAAATTGATGTGATTTCTCTTCTGCAGTTGCCGCCAATTTGTCAGTGCAGCTTGGGATTCGGTGGAAGACTCTGTGAGATCAACATTGACGAGTGCGCCTCGCATCCGTGCCAGAACGGTGGCATTTGCACGGATGCCATTGGGGAGTACCGATGCAATTGCACAGGAACTGGATTCGATGGAGTGCATTGCGATCATGACATTGACGAGTGCGCGACTGAGAGAATCACTTGTGGCGGAAGAGGAATGTGTCTCAACACTCGAGGATCCTTCAAGTAAGGACTAGAACTGGCACGCAAGGAAGGCAATGTTGCATGCTCAGCAATCTCTGATTGATTTTCCAGATGCAACTGCCAAATGGGACTCTGCGGAAGATTCTGCGACTCACCCGATCCGTGTTTGGAGGAGGGAATCTGTCACAATGGTGGAGTTTGCATAGAGAACTGCGACGTGGAGCCTGGATACACTTGCAATTGCACTGAAGGCTTCACTGGGAGGAATTGTTCGGAAATCGTGAGTAGATTTGTCACTTTCTCACGCCTTACCTATCATCCTTTCCACGACATTTCACGCATGGCTGTAGGCTTTCTCTTTTGGCACATGTTTCTCTGGCTATCAGGAAATCTCTTCTCTTTTAGGACACTAATTCTTACACATCCTTCGTGTACTTGTACATGAAGCGCGCAGTCAGAAATTCACTATCATACTTTTACTAAGCACATCATCTTTGCGCTCTTCTCTTTGCCTTCATTCAAGTGTTTGTGGGGTTTTGGATTACTGATTGAGCTTTTTGGTACAGGCGACACCACTCGAGGGCGGCTACGCGCCTACGGACATCGCGATAATCGTGGTGCCGATCGTTGTGGGGCTGCTGGCGCTCGGCGGCGGCCTTCTGGCGGCTTTCCTGGTGATGGCGCGCAACAAGAGGGCCACGAGAGGCACCTACAGTCCCTCGGCGCAGGAGTACTGCAACCCGCGTCTCGAGATGGACAATGTGCTCAAGCCGCCGCCCGAAGAGAGGCTGATCTGAGTTATCATCACATTCCGCCTGCTCAGCGCATTCCACGCATGCAAGACGATTCACACATACACACGACTAAATGCGGGTTTTCCCTCTATATTTTTATACATAACGATTTACTAGAATGAGAACCTATTTATTCGAACGCGTAGTTGGAGAAAAAAAAAATGTGACGTGTTGCCTTGAATGAATTTATGTGATATAAATAACGATAAATTAAGACAATACAAGAGGAGGATTCTTTTAAATATAGACACAGAAGGCGGGAAACATTCTTAAATTCTCTCTAAGTAATTTTACAAATGCTAGAATTAATGAGATGAAGAGCTTAGGTGATAGAAGTGCGAGATGATGAGGAAGGAATTAGGCTAAATTGGTACTTAAATGAGAATATCAAGTGAAAAATGCAATTGTACAAAAGAATTTTGGTACTGATTGATATCTTTACGTCAGTATTTTTAATTATTTCACAAATTCGCACGGAGTTTCCACCTCAGAATCAGTTTTAATGGTTTTAATGGTGAGAGAAGCTCTTCTCGAATGAGAACTGCGAATTTTTACAAGTAATTTAAATAATTGTAATTAATCAGACAGCTTCACAATCAAACTTTTATTAGTTAATTGTCTTTGCGTTTGGATAGATTGAATATATAAGATTGCGAATGGTGCGGCATAACATTGAGAAGATTATATGAAGATATTGCAATGAAATTTGAGGAAATACTCGTGAAAAGCCTCAACCGTCCTTTTGATAACGACAAGAACTCACAAAGTAGTATGAAAAGTTGCCTTAAAAGTGCCGTCCTGAATGATAAAAACATCCTTTTTGTACTTAAATCGTTAATTAAGACGCTATACAAAGTGTAAATATTAAGGATTCGAGATTTCCGCACCGAGTTAGAACCAGTAATTGAGGAGAATCCATCAATTTGCAAAAAATACCACGAGAACCAAAGGGAAAATTTGACTTCGAGATGGTGTTCAATGACGACTGTTTAAACTTAAGCCTCACAATGTAATTTTCCCATGAAATAAAAGTGGATTTCTTCAACACAAAAGAAGTAATCACGTTCTTTATTAAAATATAACTCCTATCTACAATTTTATCTCAGTGATAATAACAATTACAGTTCTCTATAAATACGATTTGCAGATAAATTTTTGCTTCCGAAATAAATTACGACAAAATTTTCGCGTACAAAGCATAGATTTTTTTTTCTTCGGTAACACACAAATTCTATCATCTAAATAATTCGCAAAAGTATTAAAGACAAATAATAAATAATTTCTCTTTGGGAAGAAGCTAAATTATAGAATTAATCAGTTCTGAAAATATTCAAGATATTCCGTCTTTTTTTGGTATTTGAATCTTTAGTAAGCAAATTCGAAAAAAACACAAACTAATACATTTGTGAAGCCAATTGCGACTAGAAAATGATTTGAAAGTCTTCGAGAGAGCGCAAAACTCAGTTATATCCAATGATAGTGATGAATTTTGTACGAAAGTTGGACTCCAATCGACGATATTGCTGTGATTTCTCTCTTTAGAGTTGAAATATCAATTGTTTTTGGTCTGAATTGTCATCAGTTTGTTGGGGGATTCAGTGGAGTCTCTGCAGTGGAGAAATATTGTCGGGTTTTCCGCGCCTCGTCGCCACTGGTGGAAGATCAAGGTCCTGACTTCGTCCGGCCGCGGAAGAGCGATTGTTCAGAAACTCTCGAATGTGCTCCACAATCAGTTCAATGGCCACTGAAAGGCAGAAATGCAATTAATCAATATATCTGAGAACATAATCTTCGTTCTTGAACTGCGAGATAAGATTTCACTCAATTATTTTCATAATATTTATTCACACTCATCGAGTAAATATTTTTGTTGAGAAGAGTACAGAAAATGGAAAATATTGATTTCGTCAAGAAGAAGATATTCTGGCACAATAGATCTTTGTTGAATCTGTTAAGCTCAAGTTCGAGGAGGAAAAGCTTCATCGAGGTTGGAAAAGCCAAATAAACATTCATCAAACGAAATTAGGTAAATCAAAATCAAGACGGCGAATTAAGTAAGAAGTACTCAATCCTCTCGTCAACACAAGAGAACCCATAAATCATATCATGATTCAATGATATCTAGCCATATTATCTCCCCCTTGACTTTTATTGTTACCAGATTCAAAAGTTGAAAAACAAATGGAATGGGAATGATTTGAGAGTTATCAGGACGTTTTTCACCTTTGGTGCAAATTAAGACAAGACATAGAGAACCTGACATACATTTACCAATGCTATTTCTACAGAATACCATTTCATAAGTAGTACAGAGACGCTTTGATCGGAAATACAGTACACAAGAAGGAAAAAAGATAAGAAATCATTATACAATTTCCAAAACACTTCAGAATAAAAACACTTTTACAAATATTCCTTCGTCTAATAAGTAAACTAGATACTTTTTGGTGATTTTACATCAATTTGCTTGTGTGATTAACATATCTACACAAATTTGTTAAGTAGCTACTAAAACAGAGGGTGATTTCGAGTCTCTTTTACATGTTTTCTTTTTTAAGTTCAAATACATAACTTACTCAATAATTTTGAAAAAAAAAAACTATTTCAAAAAGCAGATCAAAATGACATGGTTTTCTATTTAAAAAAAATCACCCTTTAACGCAGAAGAGCCGCTGCACCATTGCAGAGTTTTCTTTCATGTTGTGCATCATGAAATGGTGCAGTTGGGCTCTTCTAGCGGCCTATAAAAGCACCTCTCTCGAGGTTAATACACTAAAATCTAGTCTTTATTAGTATTTTATCGCTATTAGTGCTCTCGATCACGTCGTTGCATGGGGAAAAGTGGCGGCAGATTGGCCGTGGAGCCTCCGGAACGAAGCAATTCGCCGATGTGTAGCACAATAAGGTCTATAGCCACTGTAAAACATAAGCAGAAGTCGATGCTAATTCTCTCTGCCCTCATAACTTATTCTAGGCATTATTAGCTCTTCTGGATGGAGGAATTTGCATCACCCATTCTCAGCCTGAGCGTAGCTGAGAAGGGGTGCTTATCTGCCGAGAAGCATAGTCACATTGGTAAATGTTTGCATTTCAAGTCCATAAACAGTAAACTGCGCTCAAAGTGCGCGCGCGCACAAGGCGAGAAAACAGAAGGAAGAGACAGAGATAAGAATCGTGTGAACTGATAACTCTCAAATGGCATTCTTGAAAGCAATTTGCCGTGTGGGGATTTGCGAGAGGTGTTTGGGAGATGAAGTAATGAGAGAGATTGAGACACACCTGTGTTGTCAGCTCCGCGTGGAATGATCACATCAGCGAATTTCTTGGTCTGCAAGAGAGGAAGGATCGTTAGTTCGCCGCCCATGAGTGTGAATGGCAAGGGGAAAAGTGGATTCACCGGTGAGCAAAACTCCTCGAAGGCTGGCTTCACGTAGTTGAGATAGTAGTTGAGCACCTGGTCGAGATCCCTGCCCCACTCATTGACATCACGCGGAACGCGGCGAGCCAGGCGAGTGTCCGAATCCGTGTCCACGAAGAGCTTCATGTGGAAGAGATCCCGAATCTCTGGGAAGTAGAACGTGAGGATGCCCTCGAACATCACCACGTCCATGGGGTAGATGGTGATAAGGCGCTCCGGATGGAGGGAGTTCGTGCGGTAATCGTAGGCTGGGATCTCCACCTTCTTCCCAGCCAAGATGTCCTGCAGCGTCTTCAGCATGAGTTTCTCGTTGAAGGCATCTGGGTGATCGAAATTGAACATTCCCCGTTCCGCCTTTGACTTCTCACTGGCTGTCAATTCGCGGTAGAAGCTGTCCTGGCTGATGCAAACGACCTATTCCGGGAGACAAGTCTCAGTCTTCGCCCATAACCTCACTTTCCTCTCTCCGGACCTTTTCGCTCGGCCAAATCCTACCTGTCTCTGCGTGTGATCCATGTCCGCCTGGCCCAGTTGCTCCATTATCCTCTTGCACACTGTCGACTGCACGGTAAAACATCAAATATTAGCCATTTTATCTGAGACAACTCCGGGCTGGGAAGAGTCCCAGAAAATCACCTTTCCCGATGCCGTTCCACCGGCCACACCAATCAAAAAGGGCTGCTTCACTTCACCATTGGTCATTGCACTGGATTTTGCACCATTCACACTGAGATAATCAGTTTTATCACCCATTTTTCTGTTTTTCCTCCGCCTGAACAACACGAACAATTTTTTGCGAAGAATGTCGACTAGAGTTCTGCGCCGAAGGATTTCATCTTCTCGGGTTGCCCGATGAGGGATTTTTATTTTTGCCCCCTTTTTAACCCTTTGCTGGCTTATGAAAATCTCTTTTGTACAGACTTGAGTATTTATTGATTAAACTTATTTTATAATCTCGGCTCACATGTAAGTGGACTCCTCTTCAAGACCATTTGACTTATACTCCTCAGGTTTCTCCTCTTCTGGTTTCTTCGGATTTCTCTTGTGTTGAATGTACAAGTAGACGAAGATCAGAAGAGTGGGAACGAAGAACACCTCGCCAAAGAGGTAAATTGCTCCTACGAAGGTCTCCAGCGTATTTATGTACACAGCACTGTACATGGCAGGGAAGATGAACTGCACTAGTGACTCCATGATGCCCAGAATTGAGTAAACTCGACCTATTTCATTGGGTTCCACAAATGTCGAAATTATGCTCTTCAGGGCTATCGGACGGCATCCCAGGAAGAGATCTACAACTGTTCCAACATAGTAGGCAACAGAAGAAGCGGCGAAGGCGAGGATTGGCTTTGAGACCACAGTTCCCACCGTTGAGATCACGCCAATCAATGCGTCTGAGCACTTGAGAAACTTGCTGACGAAACTAATCATAAATACTGTTCCCAGGAGTGCTATGAAAGTGCTGTAAGTGAGGAAGAGTGCGTATTCAACGGCTTGCCAATTGAACTTCTTCCTGGCGAATGGATAGATAAAGTCCGTCTCGCCTAAAGGAGGTCCCAAGAAGGTGAAATAGGCGCCGATAAGGAGGATGATCAAGATCTGTTTGTTGCCCTCGCGCTTCTGAGTCAGGACTTTGATGCAATCCTTGAGGAGAGTGGGATCAAAGAACTCCAGCAAGGCGTTCTTTTTCTTTTCAGGTGTTTTGGCTTCTTGGCCATTCTCCAGATTCACACCGTTTGTGCCATTTGTGTCACCTTTTTGCTCTTCCTGATCGCGAGGCGCTGGGACTTCTTTTATGAAGATCAGTGCATAAACGATGCCCACGATATAAATGATCAAGCATAGCAGAAACAGGTCTGAAAATGGAGAGAAAGAGATGATTTTATGCTCTATTCTTTAGATGTTATTAGCCTGACACACTTACAGACATATCCAAGCTTTTCAAAGAGATAACCACTCCAAGGAACTCCGGCAATCGGGATGAGAGAGATCGAGACGGCAAGAACTCCAAACCTACAACAATAAAAAAGTTGCTATATCGCCATAATTTGTGAACAAATCACCAGATAAGCGTAATATCTGACAAAAATACCGAGAATTGCAGATTTCTTCACCCCTTGACTTGCAATCAATTAGTGCGAGACATCTCCATACAATTACTTTTATGAGGCAAAAGAAAATATACGAGACTTTAATTAGGTATCAAAGCCAAAGCGAGAATCTATTCGAGAAATGCCATCACTGGCTTCAAAATATTTATGAGCTTTTTTGTTGTGACTTTTTTCCTAACTCGTGTGGTTCTCGAGATTCCGTCATTCTTGCTTGCACCTCCCAAAAAACGAGCTTTCGATTTCCATATCATATTCTCCGCGTTCTCCGCATAGTTTCTTTTGTGTGAGATTAAAGGTCTCTTGTTGCTTTTTGCTAAACTCACCTGAAGGTTCTATCCTCTTCAGCTGTAATGTCCGTGATGTAGCTGTAAACTCCCATTAACATGAGTGTGAATCCTCCAAACATTGCGGGTAGGAGTTTCTCAAGGATACCCGCGAATTCCAGTGGTAGCTGAAGCATGAAAATGGCGGAAATGAAGAGAGCTTGAAAAAGAATGAGATGAATTAAGATTGCGCTTAAGTAAGTGGTGGGAAATATTATCTACCGAGGCATCCAAGGAATTCTCCTATGATGGGTAGAAGAAGAAGAGGCTTTCTGATCCTCTTCTTGTCACTCCAGCCGCCAGCGAAGATGACAATAATCAGAGGGAAAATTGCAGAGATTGGAGCTCGGTATCCCTTGATCAGAGCCACAATCTTTTGACTCTCAGTCTCGGCTTGACACACCTTTTCCTTCAGCACATCGAGATTCACCTCTCCAGCTTCGTTCACCAGCACCACTTCCGCTCTGTTCTTCTCCGTATCGCCGGTCATGTTCATCACATTCACTTCCGGAGGCGTGACTTCAGTGCAATCGATGTTGTGGATTGTTCTGTTGATCATGTTGGTGCAGACGATGTCCTCCAAGTGCAGATTCACGCGACAAGTTTTCTCCAGCTCGAGATTCTCCATGGCGGCGATGAGGAAGCATGTTGGAAGAAGCCAGCAAACCAGAAGTGGCTCCACCGTAATATGCCTCCAAAATCCGAGGACTTTCTTGAATTTATCGTAAAAAGTCACTTCAACCATGTTCAACAGTTCAACTGGCACTGAAATGATCTCACAACGACACTAACAATTCACTTCTAACAAGTGCTAATGAAATTTTTCTACTCGAGTTGCATTTAGTTAGGCAAACGAGATCTCAAGAAACTTGTTGGAACAACTAAATCGTCATCCTTCCTCGTGACTTCCGAAATCTCAACTGATCTCGCGCGCTCCGTCCGAATGTCGCTGAGGATGTCCAAGCGACCGCCAGGTGAATGAAGAAGAAATAAATAGAGACGGAAAACCTGTTTATATGCGAAGGCTTCTCAGCACAATCTTCTGCCACAGTAATAATTGTATTGGAATTTCTGAGACTCGTTTTTTCTGGCAGCATCTTTCAGCCTCATCTTCACACAAAAAGACACGAGCGACACAAGAAGCACTGGACAACCTCAAAGCCGGATATGACCTCAAGTGGGGGAGCTAAGAATTATGTAAATTGTTTGTTGGTAAATAAAAACACACGCTCCAGCAATTTTGTCATGCAAAAAGCCAATTATAAAATCGCAACAGGTGATTTATTAAGAAGCGATTGGCAAATTCTTGTACTGCTCGAGGGCTTATTGTCAATTAATCGCCAAGTTCGCAATGAGATTGCACTTTTAACGAATTATTGACCATCTTGAGGGGTCAAAGAACAATCCAGGTGATGATTCCAGTGATTAAGAAAATCGCCTTGAGCTATGAGCAGGTGTCGCATGGTTGATTGAGTTTAGTGGCGAAAAGGGCGGCAAAGTATTGGGCGGGAAAAATGTCCCGCAATCTGGCAACCCTGCGAAATTTGCAGTCGCGCCGCGATGACGTCTTGGATTTTTCCACAGCTAACTTCGTGCCCTTCGTTCAGGTATTTTGTTTGTAAAAACACGCAATATTTCTCCGCGGAAAAAGTGCGTTTTGTCCTTTGCAAATGCACTAAAGTGTGCGAAAAACAGTCGTTGAAGTGCTGGAGAGTGTTGTTGTGAAGGATTTGTGGTGAAAGGGGCGCTATGGAGTCCGCCAGACAGCTTTTGGATGAGTTGATGGGACGCAATCGCAACTTGGACCCGACAGCCAAGTGCAAAAAACTGAATTGGGAGGATCCGGAGGTAATTTTCCGCCACTTTCGCTCCGCTTCTGGGCGCTCAGCTCATACTGGTGGGATTTTCTTTGCAGTTTTGCCAGTACTACCTCGTGAAGTTCTGTCCTCACGACCTCTTCGTGAACACGAAGGCCGACTTGGGACAATGCCCAAAGCTTCATGATGACGAAGCGAAGCGTCTGTACGACGAGGAGCCGCGCAACTCCAGCAAAAAGCGCCAGTATGAGGACGAATTCCTCAGGTTCTGCAATAACATGGTATGCGAGGTGGACAGGAAAATCCAGAAGGGGCGCATGAGGCTGTTGCTGATGAACAGATCGGACGCGCAGCCCAATAGCCAAGGAACGCACGTTTCGAAGCAGCAGGACCAGATGAATGTCCTCAACGATCGCATCAAGAAGCTGGTCGGTGAGGCCGAGGAAGCCGGCCACCGAGGCGATGTGGATCAGGCTCAGGTGAGAATCCCGCTTTCTGGCTCAATGATGTCTGGAGACACACTAATTGTCTTTCTCTCCGGAAACAGGGCCTGATGAAGCTGTGCGATCAGCTGAAGGAGGAAAAAGATGCTCTCATGCAGAACGTGGAAAGCGCTCACTGGTCCATGGAATTGGTGCAGGCGCAGGAGAAGCAGATGGAGGTTTGCGAAGTGTGCGGAGCCTTTCTCATTGTGGGTGACGCTCAGCAGAGGATTGAGGATCACTTGACTGGGAAGCAACATTTAGGGTGAGTTCATTCTGCTCATTTGTGATTTGCAAGCAACAGTTATCAGTATTTACGGGAGGTCAAGCACAATAATTGCTTAATAATCACTTTAAGGCCTTTAAGAAAGTAGAATAAATAGTTTGGCGAAAACATTTAATTTTACCAAAACTAATTCATTTTGTGGTTTAATTTGCCGTAAAACGCATTGTAAAGATAAATTCACATGCATTTAATATGTTTTGAGGTTGAGAAGAAGTTTTGGCATCTTTTCGAAAATGACATAGTAAAGCATTTCATTCGTTGTGTGCTTTTGCAGGTACTCCAAAGTGCGAAAAGTCATCGATGAGATGTACGAGGTGCGTCGCATTGAGCGCACAGAGTCGGAAAAGAAGCGCGCCGAGGACGAGAGGCGGATGAAGTACAACAACGGCGGCTCGAGTGATCGCAGAAGAGACGATCGATACAAGAGAACAAGGTTTGGAACACTGTTTACGCCAAATAGATGTGAAATTAATGTGTTTTTTAAAATCTCAATTAGCCGAGAGGATTATGACAGGCGACGAGATGAGCGTCCGAAGCATCGCAGTGCAGGTAACGAGCGTGACAGAGAGCGAGATCGCTACAGAAGCAGACGTGAGTGACCAGAGCTGAGCTAATGAAGTGTTGATAATGAGAGATTTGTGTGTTTGCAGACCATCGCGATCGCAGGAGAACGCGCAGCCGGAGTCAGCATTGATGTGATTCCTTCAGAACAATATTTTAGAGGTACCCAGAAACTATAAAAATCAATACCCACTGGATTCAGGTATGTGGAGTTTCTTCCTCTAGCAATTGCCATATTTCACAGTATTTCCCAATGTTTTATTATCTGTTTTTATTATCATTTCCTAAACATTCTCTTTATTTACCTTGATGTTCATACAATTGTTCTATATTTGATGGTGTAAACATTTTGAGAGATTTATTTTTCCCACAAATGTTTAGGATGGAATGAGGGGATATTCTTATATTTAGTTTGCTGTTCAATTGCCTTGTAAATTTGGCTACTTTTTTCCTCCTCTCATTCCGCGTGTGTTTCTTTTTATATTATTTCGTGATATGATTTCTGCAATGGAAAATCAATAAAGCGAGCTAATTTGATGCGTGATTGATCAAACATTGTGTGGGAAGAAGAATGTTTTGATATGATTTGTGCGTGTGTGAGTGGCTAAATAGAGAAGCGAAAGAAAAAAAGGTGTAGGGAAATTGTGAAGAGGTCTCACATGGATAAAGTCACACGGAGAAAATCAAGTAAATCCATTTAGATATTAATGAAGAAAGAAAGTTATTGAGTAGATAAAAAGAGAAAAGACCAGTCGAGAAGTTCCCTGAATTCTTCTCTCGTGTCAATTGATAAAAAAAACACGGCGTTTCTAATCAGGTTAGTAAATACAACAATTACAAAATTATTCCTTCCCTCTTTTTCATCACGAGGACCACCAAGAAACCATTAACAACTGTTAATCCAATATCTAAACGAATTTCTTTTTTCCACTGTATAAGAATATGTTGAACTGCCGATTAGATATTTTGCACAGCGATGAAAAGGTATATAATTTTTTTTTGTGTATGAAGAGTATTTACAAAATGAACAGAGACGGAAATTATAGGAAAATTTATGAGATGGAATTTTCACGAGAGACACACACAGAGAGAAAATGAAAAGAGATAGAGAAAATGCGCTTAAGAAAATTTGTACACAGCAATGCAACAGCGAGCATTTCCGAGGTATTTATGCAAACAAATATGAAATATGGAATATATCTAACAATTCTAATGAAATCTTACCTTTAGATGAGAGAGAGAGAGAGACAGAATGATAATCAGTCAATTTTTGTTGGAAAATTACACACTTTTCACACAGGAACTGTGATTCTTTCAATGTAAAAAGAAAGATTGCGAAAAGAAGTATTAGAGATTACAAATTTCTAGTGTGTGCTGTGATCTTCATTTTGATATCTTTTTTACAATTACCTTTTATTCTGAACAATGACGCATAAAATGGAGACTTATAGATGATGAAAAGATAAAAAAAATGAGAGCCCAAGAAGATAAACAATTTTGTGATATTCGTGCCGAATGTGCGTCGTGTGGGATTGTATGTTGTGTTAAAAAAGATCTTCTCTGCTGCTTTAGGAATATTTGCAGAAGATGGAACGGTGAACAAGTCAATCAACAGCTAAATCATCAGTGTGTATTGTAAAAAGAACAAGACAGTTGTGAAAAATGTTTGCCCAGGACTGTTTTGTTTGGGCAAAGAGACAAGAAGAGTATTTATGACACGACGCAAAGCTGCTCGACCATCAACCAATTTTCCGGAGCGCATGATCATCCGAACCAGCAGAAACACACACTTTTGGAGGTGCGTTCAAATGAAATTTCTCATTTTTATTAATAGTTTTTTTTGTAATGCGCTGCGCAAAGCAAGAAAAAATGGAAAATGCATTAATCTTGGCATTAATATTCTAAGGGGCAGAAAAGAACTAAACCAAAAGAGAGTGGGAAGAAGAATAGAGAGTATTTTTGTTTTCTCCAAATTTTATCTAATTTAGCAAGTGTACTTGAGAGATTTGGTTCTCAGAAAAAGAAACAACTATTTTACTGTAGACTAAAGGTATAATAATAATTTTATAAATCAATGATGAGATGATAAAGTGTTTCGAGACAAAGAAATCATTTTGATCCATAAGCAAAGGTCGTATGATGCATTTTAACTTATATTTTCACACTTGAATGCTGTTTAGGCTCTAAAAATTCTTTTACAAAATTTTTTTTGGAATACATAACATTTTTTTTTAACAAAATATGGCAATTGAACAGACTTCATTAAATATTTTCAAATGGTTCATGCTGAAATAACAAAATAGAGTAAATTCCACAAAAAAAAAAATACATAAATAAAACTTGTACGACCTTTGTTGATGAAACTGATAAAATATTACTGCTAAAAGTCCTGTCATATTAAAGTAATTATTGCAAGAAATAATAGATTAGATGTCTTTAAGGAGTCATGAAGAATAGCGTATAAATTTTGCACATTTAATTGACAGTTTGTTTCATTGTTGACTCAATTAGACTGTGAGTCGAGAATGAGACGCATTGCCAGTGATTTGAAATCCTTCCTTGAGATTTTTTTTCAGCATATCAGAGAAGAATATTCCTTCTCTCAGTTTAAATATATTATTTCAATGTGAGATGGACTGTATCGTGTTTCCTTCCCCAACGTAAATAGATAGAGTCACAGAGTTTCAATGTATGGAACATTTTAATTTAAAAATATATAGAGAATTCTCTACAAGCAATTAACTGGAGAACTTTCTTTTCCTCTTGAGTCTCTTCAGCAATTTGTCATTCGTGAAATCCTCGTCGACAATCAAATCTTCCTCATCGTCGCTGTCTTCAGTGTGTTTCTCGTTGCTTTCCTCCTCGTTTGCGGACTTCTCAGCAGTCTTCAGAAGCACTTGCGATGGTTTCGTCTTCACGTAGCATTGGTACAAGATTACATTGTTGATTGTCGAGTGAATCCTCACGTAACGCTCCAGCGAGGTTGAGCACAAGAACTTCCCAGTCTTGTCCAATGTCAAGTCAGTTATACTCCCAATTGAGCCTTTGTAAGTGTGCACAGGAAACTTAAGGCTTCTGCTGTCAAAGGCACGAATTCCGCCAGTCGTTAAGCCCACATAAATGAGATTTGCATGAATGTTCATGCAAGAGAAGCTCATGTGCTCCTCTTTCGGCACAAATTGCAGAACAGGGCGTCTTTGCTTCCGGATGTCGTATGTTCGGATGTATCCGTATCTTGACGAGGTCACCAGAGTATTGCTGTCCAGGAAATTGATGTCGGAATCCCAAACAGGCACTTCCAGCTGAAGACTGTCGTGGGGAACGTTTTTGGAGGTGAAAATCGGTGTTTCCTCCTCAATATTCCACACTTTCAGGCAATTTTTTCTCTCTTTTCCACCCGTTGCTAGAAGTTTGGGGTTCTCTCGACACTGTCGCATCCTCGTCATGTCTGTTCCAGTGGAAAGTGTCTGGATTTCATCCTCCTCATCGCCCAAAATATGAATTTTCCCGAGACTGGAAGCTCCGATGAATTTTCTGCAATTAGAAATAATGACTAAATGTGCCAGAAAAATGGTTGAAAAGGAAATCTCACTCTCCGACTCGACAAACACCAACGACAGCTCCTTCGGGAATTCTCCTGGCCACTGTAAAGGCATTCCTGTGCAAATCATAGATCTGAACAGCGCTATCATTCCTCCCTATGAGAATTTTAGACTCCTCATCATTTCCCCATCTCATGGTTGTTATTCCCTGTCCTTGTTCCAGATCGGACACCTTTTGTAGGTTTGTGGGCTTGTAGGGATGCTCGCAGACGAGATCATACGCTGAAAATCAAGAATTTTTACTGTTTTCATCGCATTTCAGCAAAAACAAAATGAGTAAGGTTAGGAAAAAGTACCTTTTAGTGCTCCAACTTGACTTCCCACGTAAACTCGATTCCTCTCCGTGTAACTCGCTTGCTTGGAGTTTCTGGAAATCATATTTCTTAATGCTTTCTTTTGGAAATGCAAGAGAAAATTCACAAAAACTGGGAGGAAAATGTAAACAAACACGGTAATCAAAACACGTGTTATGACGACTGTGTTGCCCGCGCAGAGGAACCTATTTTGCAACATGGCAACACTTTCGTCAAATTTGCCCCTTCTTCGTTGACTCCGCGCTTTGTTTGGGTGGGTGTTGGAGCGTGCAGAAATGAGAAAAGATAGCGAAATAGTGTGAAAATTCGTAACTTATCTCTCTATTTGTCGTGTGGTGACTCTCTCCATGTGATATCTCTTGCCCGCCGCGAAGAAGCTAGCCCTAGAAGTTGAGAAGTTGACCTGAGAAAGCAATATTGCAGATGGTAGGTGTGAATCATGCTTTGAGCATCTTTCAGGGGGTCTAAATTTGATAATCTCACTCTTTCAGGCTGATAAACTGTGTGACATTAGTCCGGAGGTGCGCGAGGAGCTCAAGAAGTTCAGATTCCGCAAAAGTACAACGAATTCTGCGCTTATTTGTGAGTGTTTCAATTTTCTTGTTCTCTGACTTCATTGACAATTTATATCTGGTTTTCAGTGAAAATCGACAGGGAGAAGCAACTTGTCATCTTAGATGAGTTCCTAGATGATGTCTCTGTGGAGGACTTGCAAGAGCAGCTGCCGGGACATCAGCCGCGCTACGTAATCTACAGTTACCGGATGGAGCACGATGATAAGAGGGTGTCTTTCCCGATGTGCTTCATCTTCTACACGCCTCGCGACAGCCAAATGGAACTCCAAATGCTCTATGCTGGCACGAAAGTCGCCCTGCAGCGCGAAGCTGATCTCACGCGCGTGTACGAAGTGCGAGAGTTGGATGATTTCACAGATGAGTGGCTCAGGGAGAAGCTGAAGTAATTGCCGAAGACCCCGAAGACAAAGAAACCATAACATTGCCAAATTCCCCCTGAACTGGGGGCCTTTTCGCCCCGCGCCCCGTTTTGTCAAAGCCAGAAAAGTATTCCCCAATACATTAAATGCGTCATTGAATGAGAAAATTGGTGTTTATTATGCATTTTTACATCACCGCGAGTGGGATCGTCAAAATTTTCCATGCTCTGCGAGATGCTCTGCACAGTAAGGAGTGGGGATGTTCTTCTGGGACAGCTGATTGAGGGGAAACGAGGGCAAAAACAATACCAAAAACGTACTTTCTATTGATATCAATTTTTTTGTCGTGTATTCTTGTAAATATTAATTTTCTTTCGCACATTTTCTGGAATTGCATTTGCTTGTAGGGAGAATTTTGTGATTTTGAATTCCGTCCCAAAGTTAATTTCTCCTCTCTGCGGCACCTAGATCGCTTCTCCAGCTGTTCGGCAGAGGCGCTGCGGGCGTTCCCAAGAAAAGCGGGTGTAGATTTCTAACCACATTTATTGTTGTGATTCCGTGTAAACTCGCCACGCGATGGATCTGGACATGAAGAATTGGTTCAGCGAAGTTAACGCGCTATGGCCGGGACAGTGCATGTCGCTGAAGGTGAAGAAGCTGCTGTGGGAGGAGAAGTCAAAATACCAGCAAATCTGCATCTTCGAATCGTAAGTCAGTGCGAATGCCAAATGTGCCTCTTGAGAGCTAATTTCCGTGTTACAGGGAATCCTACGGCCGTGTGCTGACGCTGGACGGTATTATTCAGTGCACGGAGAGGGATGAGTTTGCGTATCAGGAGATGATCTCCTTCCTGCCACTCTGTTGCCATCCGGAACCCAGGAAAGTACTGATTGTTGGCGGCGGTGACGGCGGAGTGGCCAGAGAAGTGGTGAAGCATCCTCTGGTGCAGGAAGTGTACCAGGTTGAGATTGACGACCGGGTAGTGGAGCTATCCAAGGAGTTCCTGCCCTTCATGGCGTGCGGCTTCCAGTCGCCGAAGCTCAATCTCACCATTGGCGATGGCTTTGACTTCATGAAGAACCACGTGGGCGAGTTCGATGTCATAATCACGGACAGCAGTGATCCCGTGGGGCCGGCGATCTGCCTCTTCCAGGAGTCCTACTTCAGCCTCATGAAGCGCGCCCTCCGGCCGGGTGGCATCGTGTGCTCCCAGGGCGGCACGTACTGGACGGAGATGAAGCAGGTGCAGGACACCCTGACGCACTGCCGCAGCCAATTCCCCGTCGCCGGATATGCAATCTCCACGGTGCCCACTTACCCATGCGGGCAGATTGGATATGTGATTGGCTCTCTCAACGAGGTGAGTCACAGTTCAAACAGCTCAAACAGCGATAAGCCGCGCGTCCTCTTCTGAGCGTTTATCGCTGAAACAGACAGAATTGTGATAATTGCCATCCCAAAATTGTGACCGGCTCCAGAGGTCAAGAAAGTGCATTCGACTGGCAAAAAGAGGCTGTAAAACGGGTTTTTCCATTGATCTTGATCTCGCTTCATGCCTTTTGGGGAATTTTTTGGGGGAATGAATGAAGACACACGAAACACAATAATTGCTATTCTCTTCGAAAAAAAACCATGCAAATATTCACAGAATTCCTCTCGTTCTTCCTCCTCTCGCAGGCCACAAATCTCCGGGAGCCCGTCGTGACGTTCACGGATGCGGAGCTGGAGAAGATGCAGATGCGCTACTACACCTCAGACGTCCATCGCGCGGCCTTCACTCTGCCCAGGTACGCTGCCAATGCGCTCAAGTGATCCGGCGCATGCATTCCCGGACACGTCCTTCAACACAATCCATGAGAGAGAATATTTTTACACAAGGCAAGCACACGTTTTATCTAAAGTGTATATTTTTGCGCTAATAAACTCTATTTTTTGTGGGTTACTAAGATGCGCGGGAATTTTGCTTTCCTTTTCGTCGCGATGGAAAATTATTATACCATGAATGGGGTTTCGCGGGACAAATGAGAGGAGTATACAAAAATAATTTAGCTCTAGTATCGAAGACTTGCAGTTAGTCAAAATATCTCTTGCAGTTATTTTGTAGAGAATGTACAAAATGAAATATATGGACAAGGCACATGATCGCACCAGAGAGAGCATCTTCTCAGCCACTCACAGCTCCTCGAAGAACGCCACGCGTGACTTCGTGGAGCCGGACTTGAGCTTCTTCAGCGTTGAGTACTTGGTTTCGCCCTGGCGCAGCTGTTCAGCATTTATGATGTCCAGCACGCACTGATTCTCTTGGATCTTCAGCAGCTCGATCTCCGTGCGCAACTCCCGCAGCTGATGCTGCACTTGCTTCGACTTCTCGAGGCACTCAACCCTGGAAGAACACACCACAAAACACCGATGCTTTCAGAAAAACCCCTCAAGCTGGGCCACCATTTCGATTGCTCACCTCTCCTTCTCAATCTCTCGGTCGATCTCCTCCATGTCGCCGCCCGCGATCACGTCATAGTGGCACAGCTCGACGTCCAGGATCTGCGACTCCGTCACGTCGCTGCCGCTAATCGAGGGCTCGACGGACGGCGAGCTCTGGCTGACTGAGCGACTGAGGAATGATAGAAGCTTCTGCGTCGCATCCCTTTCGGCTGCTCGCGCGTACATGAGTTCCTTCTTCAGCTTGTCCGCCTCTGCAGAGCGTTTCTCCTTCTCCTCCGTGAGTTTGGCCACAAAGAACTCCGTATCTCTGATTCTCTTCTCCAGATCGCCCTGAAGAGAAGCAACATTCAGTCAATTTCAACCAAAAACCACTGTAAGACAATCTCACCTTCTCCTTCTCAGTTTTGAGTGCCGTCTCTCTCAGACGGTTCATCTCCTGCTTGAAGGTGTGCGCCTTGTGCTCCGTGAGGATCATTTGCTCTTGATTCACTCGACTCTTCTCCGCATAAATCTCTGCCGCCTCTTCTGAGCGTCTCTGAAATCCACCAAACACATTAAGATTCGTCCACACATCGCCGCTCAAGTCACAACTTACGAGAGCTTCACTGGCATTCTGCATCTCATCCTGAAGCTGCATCAGGCGCTGCTCCAGATTCGCCTTCTCACGCTCTGCTTGTTCTCTCAATTGCTTCTCCCTGGACAGCTTATTGCGCTCAATCTGCCGCCGCTGCTTCTCCTCCTTGGCCTGCGCCTTCATCTGCTGAATCTCCATCGTGTCCGGCTTCCGACGCCTCATGAACAGATCGTGATTCCCCACGCACAAGTCCAGTATCAGCTTGTTTATGCGCAGCTTCTGCGAGATGAAGATGAAGTTCGGCGATTTATTGTCCACGGGCTTTATCGTGAATTTCTTGTCATCGAAGCCAATGTGACGAATCTCTGACCACTGAAATGTCGTCCGTGGCTGCAATTTGTTGTTCTTCTCGTAAATATTCAACCCCATCGCTGTGACGCCGAGCCAGAGTTCGGTGTTCTTCTTGTTCGTTATCGGGAAGTAATTCACGCCGTACATGTCGAGATCCTGGGCGATCTTCAGATACTCCATCTCCGCCTCATCCCTCGACATTCCCTTGTGGTCTGAGTACCAGATCTTGATGCGATCCTCCCACATTCGCGGTGTCATCTGATACTGATCGATAACGCGCTGCGGCAGGAGATTTTCACTGGCCAGCAGTCCTGGTTTGCAGTTCTCTTCATCGAAGTCGCCGTACTTCGCTTGAACGGCGTACGAGGCGAGCAGGACGGACGCTTCTGGTGGGCAGTAGATGTCCATAGAGAGAATACCCTGCTTCACTTGCAAAAAGAACAGGTGCTGCGTGATCTCCTGCACCAGCTCCTCGTTCACGTTCTCCGGGAAGAATTTGGCATAGAACATGAACACACATCCGCCGTCGCTGGACAAATTCACGCTCTGATCCAGCACCTTCTTGTCCATCTTCAGCCACGACAGATTCCCCTTGGAGTCCTCGTACTGCAGCCCAAAGTACCACGTCTCGCGCAGACCAATCGTCTGGCACACCAGCTCAAACAGGAACTGCCCCGTGGCGCGGTGCTCCAGGTGGAATTCCAGCTCGGAATCGAACGTGATCACCTTCACGGGGAGTTGCTTCTTCGACTTCTTTCGACGGAAGGGGCGCATCTTCAGAATATCGACCATATTCCAATCTGAAAGGAGAACCAGCGACAGAACATTAGAAGAAAACTCCCGGAATGCGCCAACTGTGTAAACAAACAGGTTGCTCGCGCTGGCTTTGAGGTATTTTTGGCAGAAAACGGAAGTCTCTCTCGGCTGCGGGGCGAGTTACGGCCAAGCGGGGGCCAGAAGGGGAGCAGGAGGTGGGATTAAAAATAGCCCAGAATCACTCAGGCACACAACACAACACTCACGAAAGTCTCTTGCCTACGGATTTACCTGATTTTCTCCACCCGAAAATTGTGCAATCGCGCTAAATGTACGCGAGATTGAGTGTGAAATGCTTCCACCACAATTTCAAGTGGCTACAAGTAAATTTTCTTGCATTATTCTACGGTTTCTGAGAGAAAGAAATTCATCACCCACCCTCGATCGCGTTCTCAAGTCCTCCGCCACACCGCAATCATGCTCTCTGCCTGGACTCCAGCGGCACTCCTTCACACCACACGTGTGCGCCACTCCCTCGGGACACTGCCTGCACTCCAATTAACACGGTATTAAGGCAATTTCCCGGATATTTCTTGATAAAAAGGCACCACAAAAAATAGGCACTTGAGTTTTTATTTCATGACGTTTGTCCCACGGAATTTCTGACAGCTCCTGTTGCCGTCCTGCTCACTCTGTCCCACATTCCTGAGCCTCTTCGTCAAGTTGGCGAGGGTGTGAGAAAAACATTGAACGCAGTGATTGTTTTTGTGCCGGAAAAAGTTAAATTTCAGTGGTTTTTCCACCGATAAAATCCAGATAGCGTGTGTAAAATGGAACATAAAGATCAGAAGGAAACGAAGACGGCAAAAGTCACCGTTGAGCCGTCGATTCTGCCAAATAATAGTGAAAAGATTGCCTCGCTCACCAAAGAAGCGGAATCCCTGAAGGCGAAATTGGAGGAAGAGCGCCAGAAACTCAATGATCTGTCCTGTAAGTATTTTGTAGGATTTTTCATATAGCTTTATGAAAATCTGTGGATTTTCTTCTGCAAATTCGCGAGAAAATATCGATTTTTATCGCCATCTTTATCCTAATGAAAAACTTAACGAAACTGGACGGGGAGGAAATTTATGGCGCCAAATTGAGTATTTTTTGTAAATGCAGTGTCTACGGTTGCTGATCGCCTGGAAATGATCACTTACTTGAACATCAAGCCCAGGCGGGTTCTGAAGGGTCATCAGGCGAAGGTTCTGTGCCTGGATTGGTCACCGGACAAGAGGAAGATCGTGTCCTCGTCGCAGGATGGGAAATTGATCGTCTGGGATGCTTTCACCACCAATAAAGAGCACGCTGTGACCATGCCGACGACTTGGGTGATGGCCTGCGCCTACGCGCCGTCCGGAAATCTCGTGGCGTGCGGCGGGCTGGACAATAAGGTCACTGTGTACCCGATCACGCTTGAGGAGGACATCTCAGGACGCAAGAAAACCGTGGGCACGCACACGAGCTACATGTCTTGCTGCATTTTCCCGAACTCCGACCAGCAGATCCTCACGGGCAGTGGCGACTCAACATGTGCTCTCTGGGATGTGGAATCGGGCCAGTTGCTGCAGAGCTTCCATGGACACACTGGAGATGTGATGTCAATTGACCTGGCGCCGAATGAAACGGGAAATACCTTCGTTTCCGGGGTGAGTTAGACGAATTTTCTTTCTGAGCCGCTCAAAGTTCAACACTTTGCCTTCCCAGAGTTGCGATAAGATGGCTTTCATCTGGGATATGAGATCTGGAAACGTTGTGCAGTCCTTTGAAGGACACCAATCTGATGTGAACAGCGTGAAATTCCATCCCAGCGGCGATGCAATCTCCACAGGATCTGATGATAGCACCTGCCGTCTCTTCGATATGCGGGCTGATAAGGAAGTGGCTGTTTACTCGAAGGAGAGCATCATCTTCGGCGTGAATTCCGTCGACTTCTCCGTGAGTGGGCGCCTTCTGTTCGCCGGATACAATGACTACACTGTGAACGTCTGGGACACGCTCAAGGCCCAGAGAGTCTGTCTGCTGTACGGACACGAGAACAAGGTGTCATGCCTGCAAGTGTCTCCTGACGGCACGGCTCTGGCCACGGGAAGCTGGGACTTCACACTGCGGGTCTGGGCTTAAATGCGCGCCAAGTTTTGCGCCTTGATGTCTCATTAGTCTAGTCTCGAGTGTTGCATGTTCAGAATAGGGGAGAATCTCTAGAAAAGCGACTGGAATATTTGGATTCTCATTTCATTCCAAAATTTGTTGAAATATTACAAGGAATTCCCATTGTCTAGCATACCAAAGTGTGTCCAATATTGGTCCAATAAGATTCATGTCGCATTCTAGTCAAAGGAATAAGCCAAATTGTGTTAAGAAGGAAATTTGATGGAAGACTAACTGTATTAAGTTTATTTATTTAATCTATACCAGAAATGTTGATTTTATTGAAATTACCACTAATAAAGACGGAAAGTCTGTAGCATAAATCACATTCATTTATAGTGGAATTCAACGAAATCTGGAAGAGCTACCGGAGCGCCCCCGCGGTGCTGGGCGGAGAGTCTCGCTGGAATACTGGACTTCCGGCTCAGCTGTGCTGTAGCGCGAGTGGCGTTGCGAGAGTGCGATCGGGACTAAATTTACGGGGAATGTCTGCGATGGAAATTGTTACTGAAGAAATTCTGTGTGAAGTGGATGTGTTTTCGTTAGTGTCGTGTGGTGAGTGAGCCAATTCCACGGGCGAATACCTTGTGCACGAAGATAATTGCAGCGGAGCTGGCGAATGAATGGCTGAGGCGATTTAGAGGAAGAAAAAGTGAAAATGTCAATTGACAAATGAATGTCGACGAAGTTGCCTTTTTCCACTCTCATTGTTTGGTTGTGAAGAAATCCAGTGAAATAAGCCAGTTTTGCGCCCAGGAGCTCAAGCAGGACACCAATCTCGGCAAGCAGAGTGGATTTCACGGTAATTTTGGGTGAGAATGTGGAGATTTGTGATGGAATTTCCCAGGTGAAAACGCAGTGCCATTTGCGGAGTGTGTCTTTTCATTCGTTCAAATGGAGTTGAAAAAGAGGCATTTTGTGTGAGATTTTTTGCCACTCCGCTTCTTTGCCCACACATTTGCCACCTCTTGCAGCTCCTGCCTCACCTGAGTCACATCACATTGACCAAAAGACCAATTTCTCATGGTAATTCAAAATTCGGTCGCCCACCCACTCGCTCTGGGGCCTCCGCAGCAGAGCCACGGCTTCGGAATTGCTGGCATTCCCAGTGCGAGGCACGCACTGGCCGTGCTCGCGGCTCGCGGAGGCTCTTTGCGGCGTCAGAGTGGTCAGGGTGGTCAGGGTGGCCAGATCGTGTAGCAGGGGGTCAATCGCACTCCCGGGTGTGCTCAGCCGCCTCGAGAAGGCCCCCTCGAGCGGCGCGATAGCAGTGGAAGACGAACGACTGGGCGGAAGGGCCGCTGAGGACGTGGGCACAAGAAAAAGCCGAAGAGGAGGAAGAAAAAACGGCAAACATTGAAGAATTCCGGAATGGCACAAAACTCACTCACTTTTGCCGTGTTGTGCCCTCTTCTATCATCAGAAAAGCCACCATGTGTAGAACACTTTTCTGCCTCTCAGGGCAGTTTTCGCCAGCCTTTCACTGATACTGTAATTGGCCTGAAAGGAGGTCACGCTGATCCTTGTCTGATTTGTAGATTAGATTGTGTCCCGAGTGTAAATTCGTTTTGCAAATGGGGGTAATTAGAGATGGGCAAATGCAACAGCTTCAAGAAAACACTCCTCAATTATTCCGTAATTTATTCAATGAATTGAGAAAATGCTTTTGCTTTTGGACTCGTAGAAAATGCTGCTATAATTTCTGTATGGCAAGAGTTCAAAGCTCAAGTTCACCCCACAATTGAGTCCTTTTCTCTTGGCTGAACAGAGTGAAATCACACTGGAGCATAAGTTAGCCGTCCTTGTCCTGTCGTTTATTTATTTACGAGGCAGCACAGCATTTTATTGAACAGAATTTTTCAGCTGAAAAACCTCCCATTTCACCGTGAATTGCCGGGCGGGAGGAAGTCGATGGCTTCTGTTGGGGGGCGCGAGTTTGTGAGGGGGCGACGAGAGGGCTTGTCGAGAAATCTGAAGCACGTATTTAACAGTGAGAATTTTAATGATGAAAATATTCATTTGGTGATTTATATGGGCATTCTTGAGGCGCACACACGCTGCCGGATTGGCAGCCACCCGGAATGTGAGGGGAATTTGGCAGAAGAAGGGAAGAGAATAAATAAAAGCCGGCGACCGATGGTTTCACCCTCGTGCCAACTTTCTTCCAAAAGATGAAATTTATTGGACGGCGCAGTCTGTAAATTCACATTTCTGGCCATTTTTCAGTTCACGCCAGAGGAATTTTAATGCAATTTGTTTGGACGCTTTGGAAGGAAGTGGAAGGAAAGCATGTCCTTGTCGTTGGATCAATATTGGGTTGACACTGTTTGCGAAGGCGAGAGCGCTCATGGTAACATCGCATAATTCTTTGCGTGGATGTTAATGGCAAATTGCACAACATATCGTCATTTGAATGCGCGATGATCTGTCTGGTTTCCGGCTGCTGGAGGCGGCAAAATTGTGCCACTGACTCCCATTCTCCTGCTAATGAATTTAATAATACCTGTGAAGTTTGGACTAAAGAGCGTTTTTAATTATTGCGCCAATCTTGCCGATTAATCTTGGCGCTATTGGACTGGAAGATATAATTTGCAACAAGAGCGCAGTTGCTCTTCTAGAGATAACATTTGTTAAACACCCTCGTCGGTGATGGTAAAAGGCTTAGAAATTGTATAGTTAAACCTGGGTAATCAAATCATATGTTTCTTCTTATGCTATGTGAAAATTTCATTGAGCCACAAAATGGTTGGTTTTATGGTGTTGTCTCTGTGGTGAGCGCATTAAATAGAATGTGAAAAATGCAGTAAAATTCTCACCCTTTGCCTCTAAAATCATTTTAGACATGAAAGTTATGATCTTGCTTTAGAATGCACACACTTTTGATCAATTTCGATCATCTGCTCTGATTGATGCGTGCCCTGTTTGGGCAGGGGAAGCACGAGTCCCGGAGGCGCACAAGGAGAGAGAGACATCTCATCAGGGTGGTTTGATCGGAGAAGCGCGCGTGGATTTTCCACTGTTGAAAGGTCTCTGTGTGTGGAGGAAAAAAAAGGACCCACCACACACATTTTTTGCCTTCTTCCACACACTCTCTCTCCCTCACTTCCTTCTTGTGACCCTCTTTTGCGCGCCGCTTTTTGTGTGAGACCCTCTCTCTTCTTTCTCCGCTTTCCTGTGGGGGTGCAACACTTGGGCGAGATGCAGGCGGAGTGACGGTGAGATTACAATGCATGCGATGAGGAGAGAGATGATGGAGGAATATGACCGAAAATCTCACATCTCGCTTGCGCCAGTGGCGAAGAGCTGTGGGTGCATCTCGCTTTCGTGGAGTTGTTTTGTGTACAAAATGTGTGTAAATATTCGTCTTATGCATGATCACGGATCAGAGAGTTTGTGATCCCGGTGTGTGGTGTTTTTGGTGTGTGCCTGACTGACTGACTCCGCGCGCTGGCTTCTTCAGCGTCTTCCATGGCTGTTGTGGCTCAATGGATTGTGTGTATTTGTGCAGAGGCTCTCTCTAGCTTAGGGAACAGATGTCTTCTTCGACGCTCACCATCTCGCTTCCATGGCATTCCTTCCCATTCACACCCGGACAGCCGCTCCAGGGAAACATGCAGCGAGTGCCAGTCTCTTCAGCCACCACACCGTGTGTCTCTCTGGCGTGTGTTTTTTTTCCCGGGCCTCCTCCTCAATTGCATCCATTGAATCCAATTTGGATGATGCCGAGATGTGTGTGCGTGGATGGCTGAGTCCCTCTTGCTCGCACTCGCGGCGCAGAGTAAATTCTCGGCGGCCTGGTGGAAAAGGAACACGCGGATTTTTTATCTGGCTCCTCGCATTCTCTTCCTCTCCAGCCGCTTCGTCGATTCATCAAAGTTCCTCTGTCTAATTCGACAACGCGCACGTCCCATGCTGCAGTTGCTTATCTCAAATTACAGGAGTGACGATCGCCGCAGGCGCCAAATTGTCACTGGGATGATGAGGAAATTGGGTCTGTCTTCTGGTCAGTTGAGTCGAAACGATGCTATAAGTTCATATATTGTGAGCTCGGATAAGTACCTTTAATCGCTCTATATTGTATGGGACAGATAGGATCCAGTTGGCGGCAAGAAGTGGTGAATTCTTGAGGCTTTATATGAACTACGAAGGATTCATAAGTCATTTGATATTTGTGACAAAGTAATCACTCTTTTCATTAGTCAAATGTGACCTAATCGTTGTCAAAGCGTTATCCATTCCGTCTTTTGTGTGGCATCACATTTTATGTTGAAGTTTTCAGGTCAAGTTTTGTTCAGGAGTTGTATTAACACTTATTTGGCAATGATTCGTTATTGAGTAATGGATTTTTGACAAGAAACTCTTTTTTTCTGAGGAAGTGATAAAAGCCCTGGTTGTTTATTTAATGATTGGCCGAATGTAAACATTTTGAATGGGTTTTTAAATGTACCGTGCAATACTGTCCTAATGACTCTCTGCAACCTGCCAAGGCGAGAGTCATTAAGACACCCTTTATGAATATTGCAAAGAGGGAAATTGTGTAGTTTAGACTGGGGGGCGCGCGCGCGAAGATGATGGAAAAATGCAGGAGGGAATTCAAAGAAGTTTAAAGTGCAATTTGCATTTCTTCTGGTTTTTCTGAGACTTGCTGGGCTTAATTTGGGCAAATGGGCAAAATGGGCCCACTTAAGGTCTCGTCGGGCGATGAGGTGGCTCGAATGCAATTGAGCGTGCTTGGCGCGCACGAGGGTGAAAGGAAAAGAAGGGCGAGAAATTCAAGAAGATCTTGAGTGCATCTCATTTCGTGAACAATGATGCCATATGCACCATATGTCTCGGCTGCTTTTTTGCCCTCTTGCTTTAACACACCGGCTCACCTTCTCTGTTGCCGATGGTGCGCTTCAGCTGGACTGCCTCTTCATCTCTTCTATTTTTATCCCAATTTTTAACTATCTTGTCACAGTGAGTATTTGTGCAAATTGCCACGCGGAAATGGGGATTAACAATGAATTGTTAACATAATATTTTTATACTGCCATTTGCGATCTCCTGGGATTCTCCCTCGGCTAACTGTGGTTTTATAGGACACACACAAAGTGAGAGAGAATGTGGGAGACAAAGAGACAGTCAGAATCTTGGGACATAACTTAACTTTCCGGCAGGAATTCATGAGGTGTGCGAATTGCGATAATATTCAGCTGAGCCGCAGTGAGTTCTGGAATGGATTTTAACCCCAATAATCTAATCTGCAATTGCAAGTTGGCGTATGAAATCTGGCGAATAACTGTGTGGCGTTTCTCAGAAGAGAGATGATAAGCCCTTCTCGCGCAGAAGGCTGTGAAGCATGGCGGGTGAAGTGCAAGAGAGTTTAAAAAATGCAAATGTTGTGTTTGAGGCGAATATAATTAAAATTAATGCAATTTTTTAATTTGGCCAATTTCTCATTTAATGTTATGTTTTTTTTCGTTGCCTTTCTTTGCAGTGTTGCACAGCATCGAGCGCGGAGGAACACATGAAAAGATACATGGATTTTTTAATTAAACAACAATCACATGAATTGTGTTGTGTGTGGAAATTAAAGAATTAGTGATCGCGGCTAATGAGTGAGGACAATGTCTGTGAAATTGCCTCTGTGGAAATCAATAAGGTGTCGATGTTGCATGTAATTTTCAACTGAATAATGAAGTCAATTGAACATCAGGCGAGTGTAACGTAAAACCAAAAAACGAGAGAGAGAGAGAGAGAGAGAGAGGAGAACGAGAAGAAAAAGGAATCAACGAAGGAGAAAAAAAGATCCAAAACGTAGAAAATTTAGTGTGAGTGTGTGTTGTTCTCTTCTGACGCGACTTGAAGAAGAGATCATCATTTTTTTAATACAAAAAGCGTCTCTCTTCACTCACTTTGGGGGAGAGAATCAATTGGAAATTGGAGGATATTAGAGGGCGTGGATTAGAGGGAAGACAGAGCGGAAAAGTGGCGAACATTGCAATTTGTGGAGTGACCCAAGAGCAGGAACTCGTGGGAAGTTATCGTCGACAAGGAGGCAACAGGACAGACACGATGGAAGTCCAATCGACTGAGCGATTGACAAGATATTCAACACCAATCACATCGAGTGTCTCGTCATTCATCACATCGGACTTTTACAAATTCCTGGCCCGATTCTCTGGTATGTATGCTTTAGAATAAGTTTCACTCCTTGTGTAATATCGTAAAATACCTGCCGAAAAATGTGTGCCTTCGAGTGACGGGAAGGAATGCATTCTCTCGTACAAATGACCACTGAGCACGTTCATTCATAAATTATTGACAATGTGGTGGAATTTAGCATACAAGAGATGCCTTTTCTACCTCACACACCGTCTTGTTCTCGGGTCATACAGTGATGGTCAAGCGAGGAGCGACAAAACCATAAGAATTCACAGACTTTCCACCTTCTTTGTGACACAATAATTCATGTCAAAATGTGGATAAGCATTCGCTGTAGCTTAGATTTTCTACTAAATTTGGTATCTTCCAATAAGAATTCCTCCTCACTTGATTTTCTGTCACAATTGAGGATTCAATTCCAACTGTAATTGCGCTGGAAAGATCAATTTTTCCAAAGAATCACTGAGTTTGTGTTCTTGCCGCCTAGTGTGGCCTTTCAACCACGAAAGGTGTGTTTTGTCTCCACTGGGAATTTCTTTTTTGGCAAAAGAGACCGTCTTTTGGTTGGCTGTGCGACGGTGGCCAAAGGAGCGACATCGAAAAAAATATCTCCATGAGATTTTGATGAGAAAATATTTTCTTCTTGTCGTCTCTGTGTGGAAAAAAGTGGATGGTTTCTTTTTTTATATTCTCAATTCTTCATTATATGTTCTGTCCGTCTCTCGTGTGCTTTTGCTGTGTGGCTCTCCGAGCAATCTTCATGTTTAATTTCTTGTGTGTTCACACAATTTCTTTTGTTGGGCTGAACTTCTCTCTCTCTCTCTCTCTCTCTCCCTCTCTCTCTCTGGCTGTGCTTGTTGGGTGTTTTGTTTTCCATCTTCAACATGATAATTTTCATGAGACGCTTCAGAAGGTGAAGTTTTGTTGTGTGTGCGGACATTTAACACTAAAAATTGATATTTTGTTGACGCTCCATTGGAGGCACCTGCTCTGCTGCTGTTGCACTCCAATATCTCTCGAATGCCGCGCGCTGTTTCGATGTTTAATCCGCAGCCAACAAGAGCGCAAAAAGAGAGAAGATACGCGAGAGAGCAAGAGGGAAAAATTATATAATTCATTCACTTTTACCTTATCCCACAAAAGACATGAGGTTGATGGTCTCCTTGTGTCTCATGTTTTCCCATGTTTGTTCTCATCTCTTTTTGTCTTGTGGGCTGTTTTCTTGTCTCTCGCGGAGACACACACGTTGATGATTGAGCGAGAAATGGAGTTTGAGAGCATGAATTAGAGAAAATGATGAAGGTGAAGTGGCAGAGGAGAAAAGCATCGGGCAATTTTGCGGATACTCTGTCGCACAATTGATGCCTTTCTTCACTCTCCTTGTGGTGGACATTATGTATTCATTGAAGGCCTGAGAACTGTGCTAAATGATAACTTGATAAGATCTCTCACCACACATTAATTAACACCTTCGGAGAGACAGACAACTGAAATTAATCACTCACGTATGGCTGATGAAAAATCTCAATGAATTGTTCACAGAGATTTTCCACAGATTTTTATTCAGGCGAAGCCACAAAATACACTTAATTTTTTCTCCTCTCCGGAGAGAAAAAAAATAAACACTGCATGTTACTTTATGGGAAAAAGACTTCCCACGCAGAATCCACTCAATTTTAATTATCACCTTCAATGCTAAAAGGCCCCTTAAACGCCATTGTGACTCCTTTAGAACTTTGTAGTGTCACAGTTTTGAATTTGGATGAATTTTGCATTAGCTTGAGTGGGTTTTTCACTATTGGAACATGCAATTGGTTCGATTTTCTCTCCTTCTTTGCCTTTTCAGGCATTCCATTTGAGTATTTTGACGGCATTCGTCACAAGAAATGACCTTTTTACTCAAGTAGAAAGTCACGAGAATTCTTCAAATTCCTGGATATTGTTTGTTGTTTGCTGAATAACTGAAATACAATTGAATTTTTATGGGGAAATATGTATTAAGAAAGGGAATCCTAAATGAGCTTTAGTAGCCTCAGAACGTGTTTCTTTCACACTCCTTTTTTCTCACACAATATTGATTTTATTTGAGAATTTGAATCCATTTGAGAAAGATTTTTGATATGGAGCAAGCAACGCTTTGAGAAAAGAGGAAAAGTTGTGTGTTTGGACGCTTGAAGCTCTTAGAATGTCTCAATTTTCATTCGATGGACGATTGCTCACGATTGCGTATCACCTTCTATGATGACATTTAATGGAATTGATGAGGGTTATATGAGATGATAATTGTGTTTGTTCCTCTGCCGGACAGTTCACAGTGTTTGCGAGGTTGATGGCAATTTTACTCAATGCAGAGAGTATTAGGTTCTTAGTCCAAGTCCAGCGAAAAGTGTCTTGAGAATGTTACGCGCGATCTGAGAGGCGGAAATGAACCATTTCCACATGACACATTTTGCTGAAATTGGTTCTCTTGTGTATCTCTGTGTATTTTTCACGATAATAAATAACATCCTAATTACGTGTACATAGTCCAATATCGCGATAATTCTATGTAAGCATCAAGTGTAAATTGTGTTCTCGCATTCTGTGCGCTCGCGCGCCCACTTTTTCTTAACACATGCCAATTGATTGCGGGCAGGAAGGCAGATTTTTCAGTTGTATCGCCGAAGATATTGCAAATGACACGCGAATAATCAATTTTCTCTCGAGTTTTGCCGGAATAATAATGCTGAGTTTAGCTGTGCGAAGAGGTTAACATATTGTGGAGAGATTGTGTTTTCTGTGATAATTTGATGTATTAATTGTGGGCATTTTTTCAGGTCGCAGACGACACAACCTGAAACAGTGGAAATATTCAATTGTACCAATTCTCCTCTTGTGTTTCTCAACATTCTTCAGTGGCTCAGGTGAGTAATGATGGCCCACGAGCAATGTTGGCTGCACACGCCAATTATTGAGTAATTTGGGTGAATTTCTGGGTGGAGGAAAAGGCAAATATGCGAAGCTTTGGGCGTCACATTCCATCACAAGGGTGGATCACCTCGTCTCTTTGGCTGGGTTTCTGTGGGAAAATCCGTCACCGTGTGCAACAATTGATGATGTAAATTGCTGATAAGTCACACGTGTGACTGTTCACCGAATTTTCCGACGCTGTGAGACATCGGAAATTGGCAAAGGAAGGGCAATATATCGATATATGAGTTCATTGGATGGTTATGACGCACGCGGGAACCGATACAGCCCACTATCAATAGATAAATAATGGTGAAGGCATGCTAAATGAAGTCAATAATTTTCCCATGTTTGCATAATCATCGTGATTTGTACGTAAGCGAGGAGTGACAATCACTGACTCGTTTCTTGTGTCTTTCCCAACAGATGCCTGCTCGAGTCGAACGACACCGAAGCCGAGACCTCCAACCCCAACATCTAGACCAAATATTACATTCCATACGTATAAATGTCCACCGGCCTATGCAGCTTGGTATTGTCTTAATGAAGCTACGTGCTTTACTGTAAAAATAGGAGATTCTTTACTATATAATTGCGAGTAAGTATTCACTTATGTACCTTCTTTCATTCATATCTCCGCGCTGTGTGCGTTGCGCTTCTCTATTTTCTTCTTCCTAAGCATCTCTTCCTCCTGCTGATTTATTGTGGGAAGATGGGTTTTCTTAGGCTCTTGGAATGTTACACTGCAAGAAATTACTTTGGATATTTTCATTTCATGAATTAGTGTCTATTGATTATCGCTTTTGCAGATGGGATTGTTTGTCGGAGAAATTCGTATCTCAATTCTGGAGCGATTTAGACTAACTCAATGACTTTTTTAAAGTAATTTGATGATTCACAAATTTGAGAGTCAAATACATAGTTATTTAAACATCCTTTCATTACTCAATTGCGAGTTAATTTGAAAAAATGAACAAAATGGTGCAAATTTCACAGATTCCGCACAAAGAAGAAGAACAAAACAAAAATACGTAATAGATCTTTATGTGCGGAAACGACGAATTATTGGAAATGATTATCAGAATACTTTATAGTTGAATTGGTGATAAATTAATAAAAATTCCAGCAACTTTATCACCAACTTCAAGTACATGATTGTGGGGAAAAGGGAAGCTCGTGAATTCCAGACTGATAATTCGATTTATCTGTGTGAAAATTTTGGTGATTTCCTTCCAATTATCACGAGTGTCGAGGGATTTTTGCTTATCATCACTTTTTCCACCTTGCTATCTCAAATAGTTGTGAAGCGTGTGTACAAATAGAGCATGTTTGGGCAGGGAGATAAGGCTGAGAGAGAGAGCGACTGATTAAAATGGAATTTTGTCGTTGAAGGTGTGCCGACGGTTACATGGGTCCCAGGTGCGAGTACAAGGACTTGGACGGATCCTACCTGCGTGAGTATTTGGCTGTCGATGCGTGTGGATTTGTGTTGTGCTAATCCGAGGATTCTCTTTCTCTGCACAGCTTCGCGACCGAGAGTGATGCTGGAGACGGCGAGTATAGCCAGTGGTGTGGCCGTAGCCTTCCTGCTCGTCGTTATCTTCTGCATCGTCTTCTATATGCGATGGACTCGTCGGCAGAAGGAGCGCATGGGTGCGGAGGAGAACGGCAACGGATGCGATGTAGTGGACGCCAGGAATCGCATGGCAGAGGCTGGTGGTGGGAATTCGGAGAGGAGGCCGTTCGGGCCACATCACTACCACAAAGTGTCACTCAGTGAAGCCCTCAAGAGATAGACTAGCGAATTTACAGACCCTCTCGCGAGTGGAAATGCGAAGAATATGAACGGATGAGACATGAATCGAAGGAGGAGAGGAGAAAGCTCCTCCGTTCTCTATTTGAAAGAAGAGGAAGAAAGAGAGAGAGAGAGAATATTTAACACAACACAAAAAGGAGAAAAAAGTCAACGATGTTCTGTATTTTAGGTCGTAGTATTATTATTTTTAGTTGATTGTTTTCATTAACGATAGTTTTTTTTATATATCATTTCTTCACGATAAGTAAGCAATTTAGCCTAGACGATAGAGTGAAAATATGAGACAAGAAGCCTATAAATTCTTCTCACAAAAAATGAACTACTTATAGAAACACGACAAAATTCACACTTTAACACTCTCTAATAATCAATTTAATAATTAATATTCTATTTATTCTGTATTAAATGACGATAGATTAGAGAGCGAATCAATTTCACACAACATATGCAAAAAATACACTCTGGAGGCGTGCAATGTGTGTTAAACAGTGAATAAAAAATGAGCATCTTTGACATTGCGAGCGCCTCCAGTATGAAGGCAAGACAAGAAAATATGCAAGTAAAAGGAAAAATATACTTTTAGTCAAAAAAAACAAGCATACTCTAAGCATTTTATGTAAATATTTACATATAAAACAGATTCATTCACAATTAATTTATTTGCTTATAATTCATTTAATATTATTATAAAAAACATTCTCTATACTAAATTGTAGGTGTTAATTTGGAGAGACAAGAGAGAAGGGAAGATGATGGAAAACACACGCAAAATGGCACGAGAATAGATGAAAAAAAAGAAACATATAAGAAGCATTTTTCTACAATGTAAATAGAGAAGAAGAAGAAGAGATAAACATTTTAGAGACTCCAAGAAGTGCATTAAAAAAAATATTACAACACATTTTCTAGGAATGTTTTTGCGAATAACAATATTAGAGATTATTCTAAACGTGGGGAGAAGAGAAAAAAAAATTTACACTAAATATTTAATCACTATTTGATTAAAATCTGTTTTCAGATCTCGACTTCTTTTTTTATAAATAAAATAATTATGAATAAAGTAAATTATTATAGAGATGTGAAGTTGTAAGATGAGAACGAAGGGGAAAGAAAAGTATTGAACGATTGGAAAACAATGACATTTTTATCACAATTTTATCACACACACACACTCAAGAATTCACAATAAGATTATATTAACTTTTATAGTGACTTTGTATATAATGTAAACATTGAAATACTTTAAAAGGAATGATTTAAAAGCCGAGTGGATAAAATTGATGATGGAAAATTGAGTAAAAAAAAAGAATCAAACATCAAGCTTTAAATTAATGAAAGTGAAGGAAATAATCAAATGTTTGAAGTCAAATTAATGATGAAATGCCGCGAAATATTCAATGCTTGTTTGTTATTTATATACATTATTACGTGTAATGGATAAAGTAACAAAAAAAAAGAGGAAATCACTATCCTTAGGAATTAAGTGCGCTTGAGTCGTGAAGACGACACACAATACAATTCTCGCAGCTCCTAACAATTTAATTGCAATAGTTGACAACTTATCTAATCAATTTTTAGTAAGGATGGATAACAAGAAAAATATATCAGTGCCGTACCAAAAAGAATACCTACACAAAGTACACATAACATTTCTAGAGACATATAGAATAGCCAAGCAAAATTCACAGTGAAGAAGAGAGGAAAAAATGTGTTCGCATTTTTGTTATAAATGTTAATTTAGCAGTGAAGGAAGGTGAAAAGAGTTGAGCACAAGTCAGTTGAATGCCCACGCGTTCCACGTGGCGGAATTTCCGCTCCAGTAGAAAGGAGACCCAATACAAGTATCCTGATGATTGAACAGCACGCGAGCCGCAAAGGAAATCGTTCGATTGACTTGAAATGAGTGTTTTTCTGCCACACACACACGAGTTGTGGAAGATGAAAATGCAGAATGTTAATTGAGAGGTGGGAAAAAGGAGTGGAGAAAGAGTTCCAAAAGAAGTGTTCATTCCGTAAAAACACGCAAATTGTATCTGAAACACACTCACACAGCTTGGAAACAGCTTGAGAGAAAATAAGGGGAAGGAAAATCACAGGAAAAAAAGAAAGAAAATATCCTATTTTATGTGTTGCTTCTTAGATGAACGTTTTTTTCTTCTCATTTAGTAATAGTAATCTATATATATTTTTGTGGAATTAATTAAAAAGTACCATTTTTGTAATATTTGTCCTCTCGGTCCCAGCAACTGCCCTTTGAGAAACTTCTTAATTATAGTGACTATTGAAATATGAGAAAATCCAGTTATTGCATAAGTATTTTGTACATTCAGTTCTCTAAAATATGATATCTTTTTTATCGAGACAATTGCACAATTGAGAGATAAGAAAAATTTAATAAGAATACAAAGTCTTTTTTCTTTGCCTGCTGATCACATTGTCCATGTGATTTGATTTCCAGGAAATCGCACAGAGGAATGCCAGCTAAATCTGCTCCACTTCTTCACGACTGTAGCAATGAGTTGCAGATTGTGGGTAGAATATCAATACAGAGAACCTCTTTCGCTGGAGTGATAAGATTATAGTTCTTCCACTAGCAACGGTGTTTCCTCTAATCCCAGATAAAAAGGCTTATGATGAAGTCTTATCTCTTTATTCAGCGAATCCTTCAGATGCCGATCACTTGGTGGATCCATCCCAGGTACGGGTAGACTCGCGTGTAGGCCGAGGGCCACTGGATGTGGCAGTTCTCGATGAGCATAGAGCTTATGCCTGCTAGCACTTCCTCGCGACGGTAGAACACTGTGAATCCTCCGCCAATGTCGCCGTTGCAAATGTTCACAGGGTGGCGATTGTCGCTGGCGCAGAAATGATTTGGCACGGTCATATGGAAGATGCTGGTGCAGAAGGTGTTCGACTGGACGCGCACGTAGCCATAGCGGAGATTGTCGGCGGGCTGGTTGACGGTGGCGCTCGTAAAACCGAAACCCACGATGGTGCCCTGCTCGTTCTCGAAGGGCAGCTCGAGCAGGGCCGGCGGCAGAGCGATCGGACGCACGCGGGCCGTGAAGACGATCGGGGTGGGAAGAGTGATGATGCCAATGTCGTTGTTCCTGGTTGCTGGGGCGTACTGGAAGTGGGCGAGGGCATTCGTGCTCTGGATCCAGATCAAGTCAGCACGACGATAACTTCCGTATCCTACGCGCCAGAGCGTGAATCTGCAAGGAAAGATGATTAGGAATGACATACAGCCTCTTCTGAGGCTCTGAGAAGCGCTCACCCTTGGATATTCTGGGCAGCAGTGAGGACATGAGTGCTGGTGATGATCGAACCGCCGCCGAAGAAGCCCAGATTGGCGGCATTTACGAACTCCACAATCACGTGATGAGGCGTGTGACTGGCATTGCCGCCGTTGATCACAAACGTCTCTGGACCTGTCTGGGTCTGCAAAGAGTAATCTATGCTAAAAACTCTTTTCAATTGCACACACGATCATCCAATATTCACCACAGCCACAGTCACTGCCAGAAGAGCGGCCAAGAACACGAGGAACTTCATCTTTTCTTGCGAATTTTCCACAAAAAAATGGCTCTGCAATTGATTCACTCCTGCTTTTATACTGAACTAAATCTGTCGATTTCAGATAAAGATAATCAGTGTCGAAATGAGGTAGCCAAAATCACATCAGAGGATTTTCTCTGGCTCCTCTGGCCAGTGACTAACTGCTCTTATCATGATTATCGTCAGCAGCCAATTTCCCAATAAATTGGGAATTAGAAATTCACCGAATGCGTACAGAGTCCATTATTCTTCATAAGACACACTTCATAATTGGGTGAAGAAGAGACTGGGAACATTATCCTGGTCAATCCTGAAGCAGTAGCAGAAGGGACTCATCTTTTAGTCAAATGAACACTAAAAAAAAAAGGATTTCTGGTTCTTTTCACTGGTGAAATGTGTACAACAACACATTCATCTCATTAACCGGAAAATGTACGGAAAATCTTAGAAATTATAGTCAAAAATACGAGAACCGCAATGAAAATCCAATACAGCAGCGAAGCTTTGGGATTTTCAAATCAAAAGCTCTCGCAAACTCTTCAACAGCAATTCTCATGGCGACTTTTGACACGCTTTGAGGGGAAGTGCTTCCCCGCCGCAATGTGGCGCGAATCTAGTACGAATCCCGAAAGCATTTGCCAGCTCCAAGCGGCGGCTCCACAGCTGTCCCACCGACAGTGTCGAGCGGTTCTCCGGCGAGAGTGGAAGTGTTTCTGGACAAGTCTTGCAAGCGTGTGTCATTTTGACCAGAACTTTGTGTGTCAAGAGCAGAGTCTTCTCGTGATTTCCCAACCCCATGAGCCCAGAGTGATAAGACTTCGCGCATATCGAAGGCTCAAAGTGCAGGACAAGAGAAAGGTGCCGCTGGAACAGAAACCGCTTCAGGCTTTTCCTCCTCCGTCAAAAGCTCTCATCATCCCGGAGACTGGTAAGTGGCGCCCGTCCTGGATGCCTCCCGGCGACCCGCGGAGTTCAGCGAATGTCATTGAATACGCGGCGCATTACGTAATTATTGGAATCACTGGGAGGTTATTGGAAATATGAAGCGTCAATCGACATGAATTGCACTGGTGGCTGAGCGTGCGAGTGTTGGGGAAGGGCGCAAAGCTCGCCGGAGAAGCTGCAGAAGCTTGAGGAAGGGCGAGAGAGAGCCGGAATGGCGTGGGAGAGAGTGAGAAGACACTCGCTCTCTCTCCCAGTGCAGCTCTGCCTTCCCCTACTTTCTCCCACTCCCGGCGCCGCCGAAAGCTCGATGCACTTGCACTCTCCCCACCCGCGCCACATGGGCAGCCGGAGCTCGACCTCGCGCTTGTCGCAGAAAAGTGTGTTGCAATTGTTTACACACTCTTTGGCCACTCAAAACGGGAGGCAGAGATAGAAACTAGTCTACGAAATTCAAGTTGCAAAAGCTGGAATTTTCAGCTGGTGAGCCAAATCAATGGAAAACTGTTTCGAATTCACTATTTCAACAAATAATCACCGATGACATTGACCCCGAAACATTTTTTTGGGCACTGTGCAGCAGAAAAATACCAAATACAGTTCAAAGCACATTCATGCTGATGCCGAGGGGCCAGCAAAATTCTATTTGCTCTCGATGTTGCTGAAAATGGAGTCAATTCGGTTAATTCTAATGGTCAAGACTCATTTCAAGCATAGCTTGACGACAACTTGAGTGTTTGAGACGATTGGAATTCCAATTAGTGCACTTGTGAAGTTAATGCGGGAATTAAATATATGAAAAATTTTTGCAAATGACCTACATAATTCTCAATTTGTACTACACCTTTAATCTATAATTAAATTTATAATCAACGGCTTCACGACTTCCTTTCTGTGAGAACGTTTCTGGTGATTTCATGTCTGAAAGTGATCGTTTAACAGCACCTTTGCAATTATCTTCCAGACTTTGCAACTCAGAATGATTACAGTCTTTAATCTGGAACATGCAATTGAACATTTTGATGATTGTGAAGAAATATGAGCAATATCGATAGGCAATTGAGAGAGCCCCCCAATGTTTATTGCCTGAAGTCAAGTTCTTCTGTATGCTTCGAGATTATCTCACCAGTTAAAAGGCAATATTATTACATTTTTTGATTGATTGCTAATCAATGAGCTGATAAACATATCGCGCGGGAACAACATTAGCACTCTTCGTTTCCACATATTATTCGCGGAATGGTCAAGTGGTCAAAATGTCAGCATTGCACGTGTTCTGCGCCCCTCGACATTCTTCGGTGCAACTGGTAAAACTGGGTAGAACTCGTTGGGAGGCTCGGCGTTGGAAATCTGGAGAATTTCGTCTATTTATAGCAACACAGCGATGGAGAGAGGAAACAAAACTGCCCACAGTCAAAATACAATCTCTCTCTCGCGACAGAAAGCGTGGATCACTCACGAGATACGCGAGTCGTCAAGGTGAAGCCGCGCACGGGCCTAAAGTCCGGCCAAGCCTTTGCCTGAGAAGCTCTTGAGGTCTTTGGCGGGCTTCTGGCGATAGCGCGCGGGCGATAAGATGCGCCGGACTGGAGCAATCACCTCCTCCGGAGGAGAGGCTTCGCTTCCTCGCCGCCGCCACGCACTGGCCGTTACGTAATGTTATCAGTTTGACCTCTGGGACCTCACGTAGCTTCGCATTTTTTCCACTCTCCATTGTGCCTTGATGAGTAAATTGGAAGAGAGTCAAAAACGACTTGGTCAGTGTGTTCCCTCATCGTTATTATTATGCAATAATTCAGTTATGCTTCGCGCGTTCTGACCTCAAGTGTTCTATTGCGTTTCTCCCGAAAAACCGACGAAATCTCTCACGAAAATTGCAAGTCTCTTTGTTATATCCAATAAGAGAAGGATGATGAATGTGAAAATCATCATAAATTTGCACATTTTATTGTTGAACTTTTGCCCAATTTTTTGCACTCACATTTTGCTTGAGAGAAGAAGAGACAAAAACTCAGTGATAATTTGAAGTGGATTCTTGAGGAATTTGACTTCTAATTTGGGAGTAAACAAGTGCGATAAAAGATAAACTTTGAGTGTGTGGTTTTTGTGGAGTCTCAGCTGATTTATTTGAATATTTAATTAGGAGGCAAAGCTCACAATTGGCCTCTTCATTGGAGCGTTTTGTCTCTTATCATTTTTTGCCCCTGCATTAAAGAGAAATGGCGATTAACGGAGACAAAATTTTCATTATCGCCGTCGTCTGAGTTTGTTATAAAAGTCGTATTGCTGTTTGCGGACGTTTCCACAGCAATAATAATGAGAATTGAACGGAACCGAAGTGCTTGTTTTGTAAACATTTAATGGACATTTTTAGTTCATTCTCCCGAAAAATATGATTCTTTGTTGTTTTGCCATTATTATCTATTGCTTAAGGCGGTTTGATTGTAAAGAACTGGCAAATTGGAGTGATCTAACATCGATTTGAGCGCCAAGCTATGATGAAATCTCTGGCTTTTATTTCCTTGATCTCAATTTGTAGTCGTTACACCTGAAAATCGGCTTTCTTACTTACGCTAAATCTCAAAATAAGGCATTTTTGTCGTATTGTTTCTAAAATCCGATTCATTGCGACATGCAACAGTTTAGATTGAAGCGTGCGACTCATGAAATTCTCTATTTGAATCGTAGGTACTTTGGGCAGCAGGAAAGGTCTAATTTGTTCGGTGGAAAAATTTTGAGCAGCCAGCAAAGATGTCGATGTGCGGCATTCAGAGGGCTCTCGACCGCATGAGTCGGGCATCGAAAGTGAAGATTTGGTCAATTGCCAGGAATGGATATTCTACAAAGGTGAGTGCGACATTCTTGCGCCCAGTGATTGGATCAATGAAGATTCCTATCTGTAGGTCGAGTACAAGCCCATCCGGTCGGTGTTGGTGGCGAATCGAGGAGAGATCGCGATCAGAGTCTTCCGCGCATGCACAGAGCTGGGCATCAAGAGCGTGGCCATCTACTCGGAGCAGGACAAGATGCACATGCACAGGCAGAAGGCGGATGAGTCGTACCTGGTGGGCAAGAACCTGCCGCCCGTGGAGGCGTACCTCAACATTCCGGAGATTATTCGTGTGTGCAAGGAGAACGACGTGGACGCCGTGCATCCTGGCTATGGCTTCCTCTCGGAGCGCAGCGACTTCGCCCAGGCTGTGATTGATGCGGGCCTGAGGTTCATCGGGCCGTCGCCAAAGGTCGTGCAGCAGATGGGAGACAAGGTAGCCGCCAGGAAGGCGGCCATTGACGCCGGAGTGCCGATCGTGCCGGGCACTGACGGTCCGGTGACCACGAAAGAGGAGGCGATGGACTTCTGCAAGCGCTACGGGCTGCCGGTGATCTTCAAGGCGGCGTACGGAGGCGGAGGCAGGGGCATGAGGGTGGTGAAGAAGATGGACGAAGTGGAGGAGATGTTTATGCGTGCCAGCTCAGAGGCTAAGGCCGCCTTCGGCAACGGAGCGATGTTCATTGAGAAGTTCATCGAGCGTCCGCGTCACATTGAAGTGCAACTGCTGGGCGACAAGGCGGGAAATGTGGTGCATCTCTATGAGAGGGATTGCTCTGTGCAGAGGCGACATCAGAAGGTGGTGGAGATTGCACCGGCGCCGCGGTTGCCCATTGAGGTGCGTGACAAGATGACTGAACACGCAGTTCGCCTGGCCAAGCATGTGGGCTACGAGAATGCCGGCACTGTTGAGTACTTGGCGGACGACAAAGGCAACTTTTACTTCATCGAAGTCAACGCTCGGTGAGTTGGGGGTGGTTTTTTCCACTGATTTGATTAGTCATGCAATTCTCCCATTGGCTTCTCTATAAATACCCTTCGATATCGATTCTTGCAGACTCCAAGTGGAGCACACAGTGACTGAGGAGATTACAGGAATCGATCTGGTGCAGTCGCAGATCCGCGTGGCGGAGGGAATGACTCTGCCTGAGCTGGGATATACGCAGGAGAACATCCACCCTCAAGGATATGCCATTCAGTGCCGAGTGACCACTGAAGATCCCGCCAATGACTTCCAGCCAAGCACTGGTCGCCTGGAGGTGTTCAGATCGGGCGAGGGCATGGGAATCCGACTGGACAGTGCCTCAGCTTACGCGGGTGGAATCATCTCGCCGTACTACGATTCTCTGCTCGTGAAGGTTATTTCGCACGCTTCTGATCTCCAGGGATCAGCCGCCAAGATGAACAGAGCCTTGCGAGAGTTCAGAATTCGCGGAGTGAAGACGAATATTCCCTTCCTGCTGAATGTGCTTGAGAACCAGAAATTCCTCAACGGTGTCCTGGACACGTACTTCATTGACGAACATCCGCAACTCTTCAAATTCCAGCCGTCGCAGAATCGCGCCCAAAAACTCCTCAACTACCTCGGAACGGTGAGTTTTGGCTTGAGTCTGCTAATTTGGACGGTTTCTTATGAATTGCATCTCGCAGGTTCTCGTTAATGGACCTCAAACACCTTTGGCGACTAAACTTAAACCCGCGGACGTTCATCCGCATGTTCCCGATGTAGATTTAGGTGAGTTTTTATAGTTTTTTTAGTGGTTAAATGCCCAGTCTTTCATCCTGTCGCGTGTGTGCGTGTGTAAAGTGCTTATATTCTGATAGTCTATACATTTTGTACAGATTTGATGAGATAACCAATGAAAAAGTTCAGCTTAGCTTCGCGATAGTTGATCACAAAGTGTGTCAATGGAAATGGGATCATTATATGCACAAGCGAGAGAGATATATATTATAATGAAAATGCAATTTCGCGAGATGTTGCTGCAAATAACGCTGAAAATAACAAGAATATTCTCTTGTCTCATTTAAATGACACGCTCAAATGCGCGATTCAGAAGATGATGGCATTTGTGTGGACGGAGGTAAAATTGCAAATTGATCAGCGACAGATTTTGCGCACTTTGCTTCTCTTTATGACTGTGTTTCTTCCATCTAATTTCTGCTTCCTTTTTCTAGGCCCTCAAGCTCCTCTTGATCTCTATCAAGTACTTAATCCAAAGCCACGTAAAAGCTTCATTCACTTTTCTTTATCTTCTTATAGTAGATGCTTTGAGCTTTCTTGTTGCATGTGCTTAATCGCTCATGGATGCACAACTGATATGTTTTACTCTTGTCTCTGTTCTTTAGCCACGAAACCCAAACCGGGACTCAGGGATGTGCTGAAGAGTCAGGGTCCCGAGGCATTCGCCAAGGAAGTGCGGGCGAGGAAGGAATTGCTGCTGATGGACACGACTTTCCGCGATGCTCATCAATCTTTGCTGGCCACACGAGTGCGAACCCACGATTTACTGAAGATTTCGCCATTTGTTGCCCATAAATTCCACAATCTCTACGCCCTGGAGAACTGGGGAGGAGCTACATTTGATGTGGCGCTCAGGTGAGAAGTCTAGAGTGACTCTGTCTTGAGTGTTTATTCCAATTCTCGTGCAATTCTGCTTCAGGTTCTTGCACGAGTGTCCGTGGGAACGGCTGGAGGAGATGCGCAAGATGATCCCCAATGTTCCCTTCCAAATGCTGCTGCGCGGCGCAAATGCCGTTGGCTACACGAATTACCCAGACAATGTGGTGTACAAGTTCTGTGAACTGGCCGTGCAGACGGGAATGGACATCTTCCGTGTCTTCGATTCGCTCAATTACCTGCCCAACTTGATTCTGGGAATGGAGGCTGCCGGCAAGGCGGGAGGAGTCGTTGAGGCTGCCATTTCCTACACTGGGGACGTGAGTGATCGCTCAAAGACGAAGTACGACCTGAAGTACTACGTCAATCTGGCGGACGAGCTCGTGCGTGCTGGCACTCATGTGCTCGCCATCAAGGACATGGCGGGATTGCTGAAGCCCAATGCTGCTCGCCTGTTGATCTGTGCCATCAGGGATAAGCATCCCGACATTCCCATTCATATTCACACGCACGACACTTCGGGAGCCGGCGTGGCGGCAATGCTGGCTTGCGCTGAGGCTGGAGCTGATGTTGTGGATGTGGCAGTGGACTCCATGTCTGGAATGACCTCGCAGCCGAGCATGGGAGCAGTCGTTGCGTCTCTGCAAGGTACAACTGCCGACACACTCTTCAATCTGTCCGACATATCGGAGTACTCGGCGTATTGGGAGCAGACGCGCACCTTATACGCGCCATTCGAGTGCACCACGACCATGAAATCGGGCAACGCGGATGTGTACATGAACGAGATTCCCGGTGGCCAGTACACCAATCTCCAATTCCAGGCCTATTCGCTGGGTCTGGGAGATTTCTTTGAGGACGTGAAGAAGGCGTACCGCGAGGCAAATCTCCTGCTCGGCGACATCATCAAAGTCACACCATCGTCGAAAGTTGTGGGTGATCTTGCGCAGTTCATGGTGCAGAACAAGCTGACGGCGCAGCAGATCGCAGAGAAGGCGGAAGAGCTCTCGTTCCCCAAGTCCGTGGTGGAGTTCTTGCAAGGCGCCATCGGAACGCCCCATGGCGGCTTTCCCGAGCCGCTGCGATCGCGCGTGCTGAAGGACATGCCACGCGTCGAGGGACGCCCGGGAGCATCTCTAGCTGAGCTCGATTTCGCCCAGCTGAAGGGTGACCTCAAGGAATCTCACGCCCAAGTCACGGATCGCGATGTCATGTCAGCCGCTCTGTATCCCCAGGTCACCAATGATTTCCTCACCTTCCGCGATTCCTTCGGGCCTGTGGACAAACTGGACACTCGCATCTTCCTAACGGGACCCAAAGTGGGTGAGGAGTTTGAGGTGACGCTGGAGAAGGGCAAGACGGTGCACATCAAGACTCTGGCCATGGCTGAGGATCTCACGCCGAATGGTGAGCGAGAGGTGTTCTTTGAGTTCAACGGGCAGCTGCGTTCTGTGCTCATCCGCGACAAGGAGGCCGTCAAGGAGCTTCACATTCATCCCAAGGCGAACAAGGGCAACAAAAGCGAAGTGGGCGCTCCGATGCCGGGAACAGTGATTGGTGAGTGTGTCAGCTTCACTCCTGAAGGCGTCTTTCGCTGACTCGTCGCGTGTTCTCTCTTGCAGACATTCGAGTGAAGGAGGGTGACCACGTGGAGAAGGGCCAGCCCCTGATCGTGCTCTCGGCCATGAAGATGGAAATGGTGGTGCAGTCGCCCAAGGCCGGCACCGTGAAGAAGCTGGAGATTAGCAACGGCATGAAACTCGAGGGCGACGACCTGATCCTCGTGCTGGACTGAACTGGCGTCAATTAGCACTGAGATTTGAGATTGCGACCTGATCTTCCGCGTGAGAGACTTGCGCTTAGGCTTTTAGGTGATGATATTTTTATACTTGTTACCCCTCAAAATTGTTTTGTTTGTCTCTTTTGCTAAATTGTAAAAAATGTATATGAAACATGTTTCAAAACGTTTATCTGTGTGTGTGTTTCTCTCTCTATTGGAAAATGGTCAAGAAAATACTCATGAGTTTTCTCAATACAAAGAAAATATATTTCGTTAATTTTTTTGGGGTTTCTTCTTTTCTCCTTTTCACTTTCTCGGGTCTTTTTCTGTGTGCTTTCTTGCACAGCGACACGAAGAGTGCAAAAGTGTTTCTCTTCCTCTTCTACCATTAATCTTTTTTCAGTTTTTTTTTGTTTTTGAGGAAAACAAGCTAAGTTCCTTGCATGAATTTTGATGGGAAACTTTTTTTTTTCTCTTAAATTTACGCATTATCTCTGCCTTAATTTTACTTGCCAATTTAAACGCCTAAAAAGGGTTTCCACTCCCTCACTTTTTTTTCTCTTTCTCAATATTACAATTTTAGATAAAAACGCTGCGGCCCAGGAAGTGGCAAATTCACCAACTGACACCCAATTCCCAACCCTTGTTTTCCCCCACAAACTACACGATATACAATTAAACCATTACAGTAAACTCAAGAATAATTTGAGGGATAAATGTACAATTCAATGGCTATTGGTTTGCTCATTCAAGGCCCTTTTATCATCTTCTGTGTCTCAAAAGAGATGAAAATTCAACAATGCTGGGCGTTTACGCCCTCGTGAATCACATCTGTGTGGTATCAAGTGATGAATTTCCTCCCACTCTCTGGCCTGCCCTGGGCGCCCTCGCAAATCCTCTCTCTCTCTCTCTCTCTCTCCACTCTCCGGCTCAACTACTGTTGCTGTTTTGTTGCTGTTGTTGAAATTGTGTTACCTTATCTGCAAGTCTGGCCCATCCTTCGCCCACGAGGGTAACTCTCACAGGTGCTCTACATTCGGCCCACGAGAAAGCGCTCAAATCTCGTCCGTCTCCTGAGTTCTCTCGGCATTCACTGCATCGACGTGAGGCTGGCTGAGCTGCTGATGTGAGAAGAAGTGCCCAGCGTCGATGCCATGTCTTGATACGTGAACTGAGAGAGACACAGGATGTTGAAAAGCGCTCACGAGAGCGGCAAGATAGAGAGTGACAGTCTCACCTGTGGAAAAGGCTCCTCGGGAATGGAACCAAGTGGCGCTGCCCCATCCGGAGGCGTCAGCTCGACACTCTCGCCGGTGAACTCCGAGTCAAAGTATCGGGTGTCCGTGTCATTTGTCACTTGAGGTTTGAATGGTGGAGGAATCTGCGAAACAGGAGGAAAATCCCTATAAGGCGCATTCACACACTCAATCAATTCATCAAAAAAAAGGCGATGAGACCGCGTAAATTAATCACTGCCATCGCAAGCAACAGTTAATAAATCTTCTAGAAAGAGAGAAATATTTCTGCCCTCTGAGAAAACAATACACCGGGAAAACCATGCGCGATTGTGATTGATTAGATTGTGAAAGAGAAGAAATGTGCATTCTTCCTATATTTACCTTCTTCTGCTCTAAATCAGTCCAATTGATGCTGGCAAAGAAGGGATGAGCCTGGATCTCCTTCACATCATCAGGACCACCGCCCAGCCTTTGCGATGGGATCTTGGCGAGGAAGCCAGTGAGGAGACTTCTGGCCTCTTGTGATATATTCCGCGGGAATCTCACTTCCTCCATGAGAATGAGCGCAAACAGCACATCGTGATCGCGATTGTAGAACGGCAGTCGACCACAGATCATCTCGTACATTACCACACCTGTGCCCCACCAGTCCACAGCCCGTCCGTAGTCATTGTCCTCCAGCACTTCGGGCGCCAGATACTCTGGCGTGCCGCAGAAAGTCTTTGTCGTCCGCCCATACGTGATGTCCTCCTTGCAGAGGCCAAAGTCGGCAATCTTGATGTGACCATCCTTGTCCAAGAGCAAATTCTCCAGCTTTAAGTCCCGATAGATGATACCCTGAGAATGCAAGTACCTGAAAACACAAGCAAAAAACACCATGAGTCACCTCTTTGCCACTGCGCGCTTGCTTTTGGTCACAAGAACAACCAGCTGACATTGTTCTTCGTGACTCACCCGAGAGCTGAAATGATTTCAGCACCATAGAATCGCGTTCGATCCTCGGAGAAGACACGTTCTCTGCTCAAGTGAAAGAACAGCTCGCCACCATTCACGTACTGCATCACAAAGCAGAGTCTGTCGGCAGTTTGAAATGAATATTTGAGGGACTGCAAAGGAAATCCAAAATATTAGACACAAGCACAATTTGTCGAGCCGAATTCCTGCGCTCCACTCACAATTAGGAAGGGATGGTTTGTCGTTCTAAGAACTCTGTTCTCTGTCAATGTGTGCGCCACTTCGTCCTTCTGTATGATGACTTCCTTCTTCAGAATCTTTATCGCATACAGCTTGGATGTTGCCTTCTCACGACACAGAATCACCTTTCCGAATGTTCCCTTGCCCAGCACTTTGAGGAACTCGAAGTTTTCCAGTGTCTGAAACGATTGAAGCTCATCTATGCGCCCTTGCAGCTAATTCATACTGCGATACTCACGACTTTCTTCTTGCCGCTGGCCTTCACGGACGAAGTTCCCTGCACTGAGAACTTCTCCGACAGCTCATCCTCGGCTATCGAAGCCATGTCCACGTCAATCATGTCTGTGCTGGCAGACGCGGAGTCGCCCAGCTCGCGCAGCCTGTTCGCCACGTAGCGAATAGCGTCCACCCACTCCTGCCGCTCGTGATCCGTCTCCACGTGAAACATCCTCTCGATGATAGTGGTGAGCTGGAGGCCGCGGATGATGAATGTGTAGGGCTTTGGTCGATCGAACGACATTATTTGGCAATCTTTCACTGTGAAATTGTTGAGACGCTCCGCGGGTGCCGAAGTGTCGGGCCGCGTTTTGTAGCCCATCAGCGTGCCATCGTCGCGCAGTACAAAGTATCGCGATCGCCAATTCTTGATGTGCTCCCCGCGCTTGTACAGCCAGCCCTCCTTCACCACATTCGCCTGCGGGGCGCCACTGAACGTGGCCGAAGACATCCTTCACGTGGTTCTTGCACACTCTCACTCACTGGAAACACCTCACACGGCGCCAATGTGCATCATCCAGTCACGAGGCTAGAAAAGGGGAAACGTGTCAATGCACCATTTGCATGTCAATGTGTGTGGAAAACGGGAAAAGTCGGTTTGGCAAAAATTAAACACACAGAGCATTAATTTTGAAACCATTGCGGAGAATTTTGACACAGAAATAGCTCATGCCCTACTTTTTTCATGCCTCCTCGCTCGCTCTTCACGTTGGACACTCTAAGCCGCACTGGCCAGGCAATACTGGCACGCCGTGCAAATTACACTTCTCTCCCTCTCTCTCTCTCTCTCGCTCTCGCTCTATCGATGGCACTTTTACTGAGACTTCAGCAGAAATTCCATCAAAGGCAAACAAGTCGGGGAATCCCAATGAATTCCCCATTTCTCTCCATTGCATTGATGGAGGAATTTAATGACACAAGACAAGAGAAGCAAATATTTTCAAGTGTTTTTCATGCATGTGAAGAATTTACATCCGATTTGACGACAAGCGGTGCTTCATATCAGTTTACAATAATCTGATTTTTAACTCAACAATCTTGCATTTACAAGCAATTAATGGATAAACAACAAATAATCGAAAAGATGGGGAAAAATGTGCTTATTTGGGAATGCAATGCCCTCGAAAACGATGTGGAATGCACATTTTTTTCTCTAGTTGTTTACTTCTGGCACTGCGCAGTTCATTGAGTCCTAATTAGTTTTAAGCACAAGCTAGAACAAGTCTCGATGGTTCGTCAAATTTTTTTTGCACCCCATTTTGACCCATTTTAGCGCAGGCTTAGTGTAAGATATGACTGGGCGGGGCTTTGGTAGGGGCGTGGCTTCAAACCATCTCTTTGCTGCGTAAAGAGTAATTGAGAAAAAAAATTGCGGAATAATCGCGATTTCCTTCAGTATAACGCTATCTGGCGCCCTTTGGCTTCGGGGTTAGCCCCCAACGGAGGCTGATGCAGACACACGGGCAAACGGATAACCGGACAAACATGCACAGTGTTTACGTCAAAAATTGTCCCCACATCCGCAAAAGCTGTTGAACTTGCGAGAGCAAAACATGTATCACGAAAACTGATGAAATCATTTGCAATTTTACAAAGCAACAAACACACGGAATTTATTTTTACGCGATAAATGGATTTGTTGGGTAAATATTGAATGAAAAGACCCCATTATTCATCCCACTGACGCGCGTGTGGAGTCAAAATTTGCTCTCTTGCACGCTTGTGCCGCTGGCGAGAACACTGAGCGGGTGTTTATGTTTTTTCCGCGGCGGATTCTGGGCGGGAATCCGCCCCCGGCAGATGCGCCCCGACTTCCGGGCCACGCTGGAGTCTGGCGTGGTTGTGCAACAGAACTGGGCGGTGCGCGTGTGTGAGTGAAAAACAACCCCGAGTGTGGGAAAAGCGGATCGATTGGGAAAGTCCGTCATGTTATTTTGCCACTCTCGCGCCATGCACAAGCCACGTGATTGATAGAGAGGCGCGACGGGGCCGTGGCCGCGAGTCCTGCACCAGCCGGATGCCCGTGGGCGGAAGCTCGGGTGTCTATTTTTCACACTCTGTGGCCCCATTCTGTGCGCCAGACACAACACGCGAGTCTGGCGATGGCGCTTGGAAAAAGTGCGACGGAGAGGAGAGTCAACTGGGTCGTTTCATTCACAAAAACGCCAGAGCATCAGCCACAGCGACGAGGTGTCAACATGGGGGCATCGCGTCCGTCTGGCGGCGCTTTCTGCGCCACCGTGACTCCCCGGGGACTCCCTGGCCCCTCCCGCGTGCGCCACAACTCACCTCCTGGCCGACAGTCGAGCCTTCCGGGGGGTTTTGTGGTGAGAAGTGGGCAAAATTGGAGGCACTGCGACACACAACTCGAGCAAATTCACACAGAGGTCAACTTTCACTCCGCTTCTCCGGCAATCACGTCGACATTGTCCACCTGTGTCACACTGCAGGGCACTCACTGCAATTCACAGAGCACAATTGATAAACATTTAGCACGCACGACACTATTTTTCTTCTGCTGCATCGAGTTTTTCACGGCACGATTTTGGCAGCTATACAACCCCAAACTGTTCTACAAAAGTGACATACGCTGGCAGCGCCTCTGGCGACTGGGAGCGCAAAATTTTGTCAGAAATTCGGAAATTTCGGCGCATGGAGCGAGTCTCTTAGAGAACTCTTAGCCACATTGGATGGTTGAGAGGCCGTGTGGCTCTTACGATGAGCACACTTTTGCACTTTGAGTAATCTCTTAACTCAAGAGGTTCGCTCAGCAGCAGAAGGATGCAAAATGCAAAGAAATCGCATGAAAATTGATGAAATTAAAATATTCTCGGGAAACCCCAGATAAAACACTCTCAATTCGTCTATTAAAAAAAAATTCTTTAAGGTTTTATTGTTGTAAAAATGAGTCGAAATATCTTAATATCCCTTTCGGTTTTGGAAAATAATACACAGGTAAAATGGGTTTGTGTTGAGAGGAAAATTGATTACAGAATACTTTAGAAATACATCCAAGTCTATTAGAAAATCGTGCTTCTTATCCAGTCAACATAGGCGGAAACCCTGATGTACACTGTTGGGGCGCCTACTTGACCGCAGGGACGGAAAGCTCGGACAGCGATGCCCACTTGAACAAAGTAACTACCGGATCTCTGCACGAGAGGACCGCCCAGATCGCCGTTACATGCCTGAAAAATAACTCAACTGAGTCTTCTCATATCTCATTTCCCAAATAAAATATCAATTTCTGAGAATTGAGATATTGGGGAAAACCGAGGCTGTCTTGAGCCGCACAGTGAAAGGAGTGAGTAAGGTGATAAGAAATCAAGCAATTTGAGAGGAAATGCTGGCTTCGATCACATGATGATGACATGTACTCACGGAAACTCCCCCGGTCAGGGGTCCAGTGCAGATATGCGTGAAAGTGTCCAGCTCATTCGGATCCGCGCCGATGTTGACAAAGGCTCCGTAGCACTGCGACAGGGTTATAAGGGGCACCTGAATTCGCTGCAGGATGTCGGGAAAGACGAATGGTGGCTCGTCCACAGTCCATCCCCAGCCAGAGAATTGAGTTACCCCAAAGGGATAGGAATTGACGATGGGAAGGGAAACAGGATAGACGTAGGAGTTTAACTGGATCTCCCGATCGACGCGAAGCACAGCGATGTTGTGAGGCACTCCGACTCCGCCTGGATAGTGAGGGTGGTTAATGAAGAGATCTATGCTGAATTCCTGCTGGTATTTTGTGGTGGTGCGGAAATCCAAGGCGCCAACAATGACTTGCATGATCTGGTGTTCCAGTGTTATCATGTTGCAGTGAGCTGCCGTGAGAACCCAACGCTTGTTCAGGATCGATCCGCCGCAGAGATGGTGCATAAATCCATGAGGAGCCCACTGGATCGATACCATGTGCGGGAATTCACCGAAATAAGCATTGGATCCGCCAATTATACGACTACCTGAAGATGGAGGAAGTTATTTTCATCGACACTCAACTCTGATGTAGAAAGCATCACTCACTGGGAGACGCATTGGATGTGGAAAAAGTCACTATAAGCGCGAGAAGAACAAACAGACACATCTTGGTGTAAAATCAAACCGAGACTGTGGGTTTTCTGGATTCCCCAGGGGCTCTTATCTGTTTCCGAAGCCAGAGATTGCCTCTATCGAGTCCCCAATTGAGCCACTGTCGTCGATATAAACATCAAAAGGTGTCAATGAAATGATTAATTCAGACCCTTATCTTAAGAATCCAAATCTCTGACTACAAAGTGGAATGACTGAAAAAGGTGTACAATGACGTATTATATACCAGATTTTGAGTCAGTCTACGATGGAATGCCAGTACGGAGATAAGGAATAAGGATTTTTGCAACATGGCGATTTTTTCCCTTATTTTTTGTTCTGGGAAATGCTTATTAATTATATTAATATATTCTCAGACGTATTTTTACTTTAAAATGTTTTAATTATTTGACTTGAATCAATACTGAAATTCTTAATTTCAAGGAATAAATATGAAAATTAATGTTTGCAAATTGTAGTATTCACCCTGTGTTGCTTTTCCCGCCAAAAACTTCTCCTCGTCGGAATCCATACAAATTCACACATTGAGATATACAACATTTTTTATTCAATACCACGAAGAGAGATATCATTAGGGTTTTATTCGCCGGTTATCTTGTGCTGCCGCTTCACATGGAATAGGAGCTTAGCCTTCCTGGCGAAACTCCTCTCGCAGAAAGAGCAGGCGAAGGGCTTTTCTCCTGTGTGAATCCTCACGTGCTCCGTCAATCTGTTCCTATCCATGATGAACTTCCCACAAATATCGCACTTGTAGCGCTTTCTGCGATACGGATTCCCCTCCGTGGAGTGCTGAGTTCTCCGGTGACTGTACAGAGCCATCCGTCCATGAAAAGTTCTGCCGCAGACATCGCATTGCGCGGGCTTTTCGCCTGTGTGCATTCGCATGTGCTCAGTGAGTCTCTCCTGGCCCGACATGTTCCTACCGCAGAACTCGCACGTGAACTGGGGCCCCTTGGCGCTCCTCTCGTGGATCTCGCGGTGCTTTACGCAGTGGTTCTTCAGCGTGAAGCTCTTGCCGCACACATCGCATCTGAAGGGCTTCTCGCCAGTGTGGATGCGCATATGCTCCATGAGCCCCGTTTTCCGGGCGCGCGTCTTCCCGCAAATTTCACATTTGTACTCCACTTTGGGCCCGACGCCTTGCTTCAGATGCTGCAGTCTTCGGTGGCTGTACAGGGCCATCTCGCCGTGGAACCTCTTGCCGCACACATCGCACTGGGCGGGCTTGTCACCTGTGTGCATCCTCATGTGCTCCACCAGGCGTTCCTTCCCGGACAAGCTCTTGCCACAGAAGTCACATTTGTTGATGCTCGGCTCTCCGGAAGCGTGCTTCAGCCGATGGCGACAAATCTGGCTGCTGAAGCGGAAGGATTTCCCACATGTCGTGCACTTGAAGGGCTTTTCGCCGGTGTGAATGCGACTGTGCTCAGTCAATCCCTTTCTCTGGTACAAGATCTTCCCGCACACCTTGCACTTATACTCCCTGCGTTCGCCTGTCTTCCTGGACAATGGCTTGAGTGTACGGATGTGGCTTTGACAGTGCTGCAGGAGAGCTTCCTTTGTCGTGAAAGCACTTCCACATTGGGCGCATTCCAGTATTAGTTCTCCAGAAGTGATTCTGTCCTCAGTGTGAGTGAAATCCAAGACCACAGCCTTCGGAAGGATTGCCAAATCCTCCCTTTTGATGCCCATTTCGTATTCTCCATCCGACACGGAATTTTCTACTCGATCTGAGCCACTTTCTGAGACAGCTTCCTCCTTCGCTTTGGCCGTGATGCGAGGAAAAACACTCAATATTGCCACAAGTTGAGTCCTCACGGAGGAAATCTCGTCCTGGTAGTCACTGCAGATCCCGCATGATCCCGTTGAGTCACTGTGACTGGAGAAAAGCTCCTGAATTGAGCTCATTCGCCGAAACACTTTCTCAATTACTGGACAGGGAATTAGAGGACTTGCTGTGGATGCCATGGATTCTATCACAAAGTTAAGTAGGATACTTAGAAACCTGAACTAACTTATTTCCAGGAAAACATGAGAAAACTCGAGGAATCAAAATATTTTCCAGACAACAAAAGTGACAGCGGCAACCCTTCAAAATGAATTTGAAGTGTTTCTTTTCCCGCGCCTTTTCAATTAACAAATCTGCTTTTTTGATAGCATTATTTATAATTTATTCGAAGAGATAAAAATGTACATTTAACATGAGTTTTCGTGAGGAATAGAGATAACTTTGTCTTTTCGTCTCCTACCTATCAACAATAATTTAAAAGGCACTCAATTAAACTAGATGTCACGATAAAAAATATACAAATTGGGTGATTTGTGTAAAAATCGCTCCTAAATTGTGCACAAAAGCACTGAATCTCGCCACATGGCGAAAGCTAATACTCATCAATTCACATTGAATCCTTTTTCTTCACTAGTTGATAAAATCTCACGGAGAGGCGGAATTACTGGACAGAGTGGAGATTTTAGGAGTTGTTTCTCACGCGTTTCACGCACACATAGCATCCGCCACAGCACAGCAGCAGAAGAGGCACTCCGAGGCCAATTGTGGCCACGACCACGACGAACAGGGACAACTTGTCCGGCAGCGGAGCTCCATAGCCCACGACAAAGGTCCTAAAATTAGCACAGCATCACACAGAAGCACAGAAAGAGACATGCTAAGTGCTTATCTCACCAAGTTGTGTAGTTGTATTTGGTGTAGAATCCATCGCCGCTGGCGCCGAAGGAAACATTGAGCGCTTGCACCAGCATCGTCTCCACCGAGTCACCGAAAATTGAGCGGAAGAGGGTGTTGTTGAGCTTCTTGATAGCATTGCTGGGAGTCGCCGGTGAGCTTTGGTAGGTCTGAGTTGATGTGCTCACGTCTCGCTCCTCGTGAGTGTAAGACACAGGACGGTATTGCAGATAGCCGCCTGCGAAGAGAGATTCCAGTCAAAACAGAGAGATACTGAACCCGGAAAGTAACGCCAAATATCGACATGTTTTGCAAATATTCTCCAGAGTCGAACCGGAAATTATTATACAGTTTAGAAGAGACGATAATGAATCACTACATTTTGTCGCTCTCTTATCTATACTGATAATCAACTCTGATGGCGACTTTTGTTCAATCAGCAGTTATGAAGGAGATACAGCTTTGCCATTTCCTTTGTGTTGATCTGCTAATTCTACTTATTCACACTCTCTTTCTGGCCAAGTGCCCTCGGATTTCCCTAAACGGGCGAATTCCACTGAGCAAAACCCTTCAACGGACCCCGGACAAGTTACTCACCGGAACTGGCGTTCACGGAGGCAGGCGAAGCCACGTTGACGATCTTGAAGATGCCTGGCGTGAACTCATCGTCGAGGCTCTTCCTCACCACCACCGTGTAGTTGTCCTTCCGGGACTCCATGGCCACAAGGACGACCTCGATGGCGAAGCGGGGCTGCGGAAAGGTCTCGTTGGTGAGGATGGAGTCGAGAATGAGATCGATCTGCGTGGAGTTCTCCGTGTGCATAAGATGGGGCGTCATGGGGCCGTGATCGGGGGTGGCGAATGTGGCGAGGGACAGCTCAAAGTTGCCCGGCAAGCCCTTGGCTCCGTGAGACTTGACAGAGAGCTCCACGGAGTCATCGTTGGTGCGAAAGAGCTGACGCTCCCAGGCGAATCCGTGCAGACTGAAAGCATTGACTTGCGAAGCGTTGGTCACTGTGAAGGTGCCCACATCGTCCTCGTCGTTGTACTCCCACAGGCGACTAAGTACCACTCCAAAGATGTAACGCGGCGTCTCGGAGAAGCTCACGCTGCCAATCTTGCCGTCCAGAAAGTCCTCCCAATTGATGGACAGCTTGGCATCCGGGCTACACAGGGCCACCAGGGCGGAGGGCTTCCCCGTAAGATCCCACACATAGTGGATAGTGTCTCTAGCGCCAAGGGACCTCACGTGGACGACACTGGTGATGTTGCCCAACTCGTCGCAGATGCTCTCGGGGCAGCCCGGATTGAGTTCAGCCGTGAGCTGCAAGCACACAGATCAGTTTATCGACAGCCTCGCAAACAGATGGTCAGCTATTTATAGGCCGATCGCTCAAGATGCTGAAACTGCGACCAAATGTCTCGCCACACAATTACCTTCCTTCGAACATCCCTCCTGCCATCGGCTGCTGCGCAGAAGAGGCCTAAATTGAGCAACCACAGATACCACTTCATGTTCACGGACGCGTGACACGCCTAAGATCACATTTACTGAGCAATATTGAGCAGAAATTGCAAGGATAGACGATTTTTTCTACTTTTTCGGAGGGCCCTTGAGAACAAACACTGAGTCTTCCAACAATGGGGGACGATATGAATTTGACAGGCTACGTGTGCGCGCTGGCAACCCCAACATGCATGTTTAATTACGCCGAATGTGAGTGAAAACTTAATTCGGTCTTTTCTCTTATAATCACTCTCTGAATTCAGGATCGCCAAATTCATTCAAAACAGTAATTTACTATCTTCTCTGCTTGCCAATCATTATATTTTGCAAGTTGCCAATTTGTTGTATAAAAGATTTTATTTTACATTCACCACGGTGACGGGGTAATTTAAAAGCATCGCGAGAACGCTTAAACTGTCACAGGGTTTCGCAAAGATTTGGAAAACATTTGACGCCGCCGAGTTTTCCTGACCAGCGTCCCGTGAGAGGTTTAGGGAAACGCGGAAAATGGAAGAGTGTCGCATTTGCATGTCCCAGAAGAGGAAGACAAACTTCGTGGATATATTTGAGTACACAATAATAATAGGAAATACAGAGCTGTACCTTTATGACGCCCTCCAGGAGTTGACGGATGTGAAGGTAAGCATTTGCGCCAATTTGCAGCTTTCCTGGTTCTCCTTCTAATGCCCTTCTTCGACCAGGTGTGCAAGGGTGATGGGAAGCCGGAGGTCATCTGTCCGGAGTGTGAGACACGGCTTCACAATGCGTACGAGCTGAAAGTGCTGGCTGAAGAGTCAGACAAGAAGTTCTCCAAGCAGACAGACAAGCGAGACGCAGAGCCCCAAAAGAGGACAATTATTGAGCGTTATGAGTACAGCATCACAAGCAAGGAGGACGAAGAGGAGCAGCCGGTGAAGGAGGACAGCAACGAAGAGATCGACGCAGTGTCGTTCGTGCTGAGATACATCCCGGAAACATTGGCGGAACTGCACAAGACATCGGATGCCAATCGAAGCGGCCGGAAAGCAGTGGACTACAAGGATAGGAAGCATGAGTGCCACGTGTGCTCCAAGAGATTCCTCCGCCGGTCAAATCTCATTGACCACCTGAGACTTCACGCCAATCAGCGCCCGTACGAGTGCGAATACTGCAACAAGACCTTCGTGCAGTCCGGGAATTACAAGTCCCACTTGCGCATTCACACGAAGGAGCGCCCATACGAGTGTAAAATCTGCCGGAAAAGCTACAACCAACCCAGCGCCCTCAAGGTGCACATCCGGACGCACACGATGGAGAAGAACTACGTGTGTCCGGTGTGCGAAAAGCGCTTCACCAACTCATCGGATTTGTCCAAGCACAAGAGGATCCACGACGTGGTGAAGAAGTACACCTGCAACTACTGCTCCAAGGACTTTGCACAGAATGTGAACCTGAAGAAGCACATAAGGAACAACCACAAGGACGTGCTGGAAGTCACACAGTCATCTAACATTCTGCCCAAGTCGGAAGTGGTTGAAGTAATAATCTAAGAATCTATTATGTCTCAACTTATTTGCTCTGTGCGCATCAAAGGAAATAGAAGAGCATTTGAATTAGAACACTTCCTCCTCCACTGAAGTTGCCGATTCTGGTGGCACTGGAGACTCTATTTCTGGTGTCTTTTCCGTGAAGGCATTGAGATATCTCTTCATCACAGTGAAGTCATGGATGCTCTTCTTCGGCGGAGGGTCTTCCAAGACGTCCTCAGTTAGTGGCATACTCAAACCCAGTCTCGTGCCTTCATCTTCATCCTCCTCCTCCTCTTCACTTTCATCCATGATTTCCTCCTCCTCTGACTCCTCTTCAGGCTGTCCCGCTTCCTTGGGCTGCTCCTCCACATTCACTTTCACAATTCCATCTTTGGTGACGATGGGATCACACACGGAGTACTTAACTTTCCCCCGGCGATTGTTTGCCGTCTTCTTCGTTGCCATGATCTGCTCAGTCACCTCCAGACTCTCGATCCGCATCGTCTGTACGTGGTAGAAGCCATCGTCTCCTTCCCTGAAAGTGAAAATGAGCTTGAAAAGTAATTTCCCTGCCACGGAATTGAACGGTTTCTCGTTTCAGAGTCGCATTGCTCACCGGTAAAAGAATCGCGAACTTCCGGGAGGCAATTTGTATCCGTGTACCTTCTTCAGGTGGCTGGAAATGAGATCCCCGCGGGAATACTTCCGGCCACAGCAGTCGCAGAGGTACACCTTGGGATGGGGCCCCAGATGCTTCAGCGCCTCGTGGCGCTTGAGGCTCTTCAGGGAGCAGCTCTGGAAGTTGCAGTCATACTGCGTACACTCGAAAGTCTGCCGAGGCCCGTGGATGGTCTTGTGGCTCTCCAGGTCGCGCTGGCGGACACTGGTGTAGGAGCACTGCGTGCATTTGAAGGGTCTCTCGTCCAAGTGCCTGTGGCGAATGTGAAGCGTGAGGTGAGCCAGTGACGGACAGGTCATGTCGCACAAGTGGCACTTGTGGCAGTTCACATGGAGGCGAATGTGGGTCTTCAGCAGCCTGGGCGTCGCGAAGGAGCGGAAGCAGTGCAAGCAGGAGTACTCCATGGTGTTGTGGATCAACTGGCGCTTACAGTGATCGAAGAAGCTGGAGTTGTGGATGAACATGGACCCACAATTGTCGCATGCCACCTTCTTCTCACTCGTGTGGCTCCGGATGTGCTTCAGAAGTGTGTCTTGTCTCGAAAAAGTCTTCTCGCAGCCAATCCAGTGACACTGAATCTTCTCATCTTTGCTGCCCTTTGAGAACACCCACTCCATGTGTCCGTGCGTGTTCACGTGATCGAAGTAGTCCAAAATGCTGTTGGTCTTCCAGGAGCACTCGTTCCACTCGCACAGGAAGTCATACGGTGTGTCCGGGATGATATTCCTCTGCTCGGAATCGAGAGTGCAGCGCGGGAAGTTGATCTGATGCCTGATACTGTCTCCCACCGTCATGAGCTGCGAATGGTAAGTGTGATAGCGCACATGGCGTGTCCATGCACTCCTGTCCTCCGTTGTGAACTTGCACAGATCCCAGAGACATCGAAACTCCGGACTCTTCTTCTCGCCTATGCTCAAAAGATGCAGCTCCACGTGATCCTTGTACATAGACGCGTCCTCGAATAAAGCCGTACACTTTGCCCACTCACAGTTGTACAGTACATTGACAATAGTCTTGTTTCTCTCCCTGGACAACTTGGCCAGATTCATCTACAAAATAAGCCCAAAAGCTAAGCGAATTCCTCCGGAAAATTGATAAATTCTTTCCAACCTACATCGGATTCTGCTTCCTCGTCATCTTCAGACTCTGTGTCACTGTCCACGTTAACATCGATCTTCGGGTATTTCACCTTGAGTCGCTTCTGCTCCTTAATCCACTCCAGGCACTTTAGATTCTCCGGAGTGGGCTCAGTGTTGTATTGAGGCTTCTTGGGCCGCGAAGGTTCCTCTTTCTTCTTCTTTTTGCGTGCTGTGCGCGGCTTCTTCACTTTCTCTGTCTTTCTATCTTCATTCAGCTTCCTTTTGCTCCCCTTTTTTCGCTTTTCCACCTCTTTTTTCTCACTTTTATCACTTTTCCGTGGCATTTTACAATTCCCTCCTTTTCTGTTTGCAAACAATGAACAGCTGATCGCTTAGTTCGAGTGCTGCACGCTAGAGCTCTTGTTTCCCCAAATTTCCACTGGAAAGCTTCAAATTTAGCGGGTAAAAGTGCATCGCGCTGAGAAAGACAGTTTCTTTATGGATTTTCCACTGAATATTGTATTATGAAAATCCTCAGTTAAAAATTCAACGTCGTTTTACTAAACAATTCAACATTATGGCCATTAAGAGGAGAAAATATTGAGTTGAATATACACTCAAAGATATTTAGAATACACCGAAAATTCACATTATTCAGTTTGTCCGCTTGTGATCTCTGGGAAAATGTAAATTCCACCTTCTCTGAAGCGAGCGAGGATGTGGAAAAGCGTGGGAATCCAATTGTGTGTCACAAAACATGTGAATAGAAATTTTGATAATAATCTTCATGTTTTGAGGGACGTTGGCACACACCAAAGTATCCGCATAGAAAGCGAAATACTTTCGCTTCGTTGAAGTCAGTTAGCTAACACAGTTATTGTAATCGATAGCAAGAAGACGAGGTGGAGAGCATTTGACAATTTGAGATTCTGAAGTTGTATTTCATGAAGCTTTTCTTTAAAAAAAGTTATGTTTGGAGATAGACAGAACCTTGCAAGAATCTTAATAGGCGAATTCAAGATTTCAACAAGATTGCACGCAATGTTATTATGGAACTTTGGAATTTGAGATTTGAAGTCACGAGACACTGCTCGGTTCTGATTGCTTTTAATTCAATTAATGAAATCACTCTTCTATTGGCTTAAGCTTTGGCGTGTCCAATGCACGAATCCTTACAGTTCAACGCTCGGTGGTCCTTTACCATTAAACTTTCCGTGTCTCTGCTGCTTTCCACTTTCTTCGACGACGCTTTCGGGGCGAAGGCACGCCGAGAAGAAAGTGCAAAGGATGGAAGAGTGGGAGGAAGCGAAGGAATTCAAAGGGTAGCAGATTGATGGTCAGGATATGTCGGAAGGGATTTTTAAACTCACTATATCCACTTTTTTCCTGGGCAAGCGGCAGGGAAAGGGTGGCTAATGTAGATGAGATGCGAATTGGGTTTTGTTGTCGCCTTATCGCACAAGTATCCATGTGAAAGCACACACAAGGACATGCTCGACACAATTGCCACCCGCCCAGAATGGCCCCGCAGAACGGTGTGAGGCGAATCCAGTGCAAAATCCAACGAAATGTTTATCCTTCCGCATTTTGAGTGTCATTCCCCAGATTAGATTTTAAGGTGTCGGGCGGATTTACTTTTTCCATTATTTTCACTTCCCCATTCCCAAATTCGCAGTCACTGTAAAATATTCCCTCATCCGGGTGTCCATATTCTGCTTCCCAGGACTCCCAGTGGCCATTCTGGGCTTCGTGACGGAGCTGAGTTTGTCGGCAAATACAGACAAAAACTATGCCAAATGGCTAATTCTTCCGTTACAAGGGACACAAATATTCCCTCAGGAAGGGATAAAGCATCTCAGGAGAGCGACGCATATTTCATTTTACCCAGATGAATTTGTCAAAGGGAAATAAATTATTCAGGCTTTAATTTTGTCTTCTCTGCGACGCAAGCATGTGTAAATAGCCGAATGAATCTTTCAACTTCGCTTATGCTGAACTTTCTGCAGTTCTCATTTCGGCGAAAACCTTTAAAAGATATATGACGCTCTGGTATAAGCTGGAAAGTTTACTCAAACTGGCTTATTTACTGTGGAATGGAATCAACATAAATGGATATGTTTATCTGTTTTCAATAGAAGTCGATGATTGCCATGAGAGAGAAAATATTGAATCTTATAACATAACATTGAGTGACTTTTATAGCCAAATAACTTTTCTGCCAAATCTCTCTCAGAGAATTTGACTGACTTTGCAAGGAAATGTACCGTGGAATCACTCTCTGGATGTATTTATCTGTTTCCTCTGCACATTTGAGAGATAAATTCTGTTATATCGCTCCTCGTTCGCGGGAAGCAACATTGCAAATGGGACAGAATAAATCAATGCTCATGCATATCAATCAATCAGGCAACACAGACGGCAATTATGTGGGAACTTTGTGTTAATAAAGATTCATTCTTTGGACAGTTCGCGCTGCAAATTCGCAAAGTAATTAATTACTTCAATGCCTCAAGGGACGATACCACCATAATTTTTAATCAACTCTTCTTAAGCCAACTTTCCGCCTACATGTTCTGCGAATCTGTGCTGGAAAACCGTCAGAAAGTTGCACACTGTTAATGTTGTGGAAATACGAGCTATTTGATTTAATATTCACTCGAGGTGCATTTATAAACATCACGAAAATGCACTATTTAATAAAGATATACTTGACCATATGGTGAAAATGGTTTTTCACAATTAAATTTAAAATATTTCGACCAACGAAGCATTAAAATTAATTTACACACCTCAAAAGTATGACAGCCATAAATGAAAATCCTAATTAGAAATGGTACTTGAAAGCAAAGTTTCTGTTTAAGTCCGAATGCAGGAAAGTTTTCCCTTGGGACGAAACCCAATTACAGGCCCAGGGAAGAATAAGAAGGTTGTCACTTGTTCCTAAATTCGGGAGAAAATGAAATAAAAAGTTTAATCGAATCTTTTTGAACACAAAGTTATGAAGTATAGTTGAAGAGTAATTGGAAAGTATACATAGAATTTCAAGTAAAATTCTTGCACCTTTTCCATTGAAAGCAACATGGAATACATTTTGTAACTCTGTAGAACACTTCTTTTCAAGAGATTCGCCTTTGAATTTTTCTGTTTAATTATCCTCCATCTGGGCGAACGGTTTTCAGTGTAGTCAGGGTGATGTGCAGCATTGGTAATGACTCTTGCACGGTATTTATGGAATTTTTTATTGTGCTATAGCGAAGGAGTGAAAAGTTTGGCGTGGAAGATGAGTTCAGTGTGAAACCTGTCGCCGGGTGACCTGAGGAGGAATTAAGGTTGTCAAAGTGTATCCCGAGGCGAGTTTCCTGATGCACATTGCGCAGGCATCTCAAGGGAAAATGCGGGGCTGTGGGGTGAAAAAAGAGCAAAATCATGCTCGACAGTATTCATGAATATTATCCCATTTCTATCCACCCTTTATCTCGTGTGCGGAGGTAAAAGTGCCGTGAAATTTATCCTCGTGCGGTTTCAAGTGTGAAATATCTTCGGCAGATGATGAGTTCGATGTTCAATGCTGTGAGACAATGGGGCCACGGTGATGAGAGATTGAGATCAAAATGGGAAAAGAATGATCGGATAAAGTATCTCGAGAGTGCCATCGTAAATTTTGTCGATGAGGGTTCTCCGAGAGGGTTGACTGCGGGTCCCTCCCTCGTCTTTTCCGCCACCTTGGGCGTGAGTTTGAAATCTACATAAACGATAGCCTCAAAACGTGGTCTCCGCCTTTATCTGTGGCTGCAGAAATACACGAGACTCAATGATACTCCTTCGTCATATCGAGTGGGATCAACTTCATACATAACACATGCGGAATCCGTCCCGCACTCTCCCGGCATTTCACCACTGAATTATTTTCATTGATATGCTGAGGGAGTTGATGGGATGTCTAATGGAATTTATTGCACAGGTGGTTAGGAAGATTTTCCCGTGCGCCCCAGCCCTTTCGTCAAGCCAATGTCTTTTTTCTCCCTGCGATACATCTTTTCCGTCCCAGGCTTTATGGCTCGCGTGCAATTCAAATACGAATCCGCCTCTTCTCTGTCCGGAGGAATTCAATTTCAAATGAAATTTTTCTCATTGCGCCAATTTACTTCAATTGAATCCCCGACGATACTCACATTGGGGTGAAATTTAATTACTGAGGGAGAGATTTTGTCCCTAGATGGGATGGAAGCGGACTTCTTAGTTGCCATGAGCAAAATATCGAAAGACAGACGTGTGAGACTCGCATGTTTTGGGCAACATGTTGGAGCGCTCTTCTCATTACTCTGATGTGGAATTTGTCGGCGCATTCCATCAGGGATTTCCTCTCTCGTCTTGGCGTGGTGAAATACGAAGGGAAATTACTGGTGGGAACGTCTCCGTGGAGGAAAATTTATTATTGATGACCTTATCAGGCGATTAGTCACGTTCTTAACTTGATCATTTCGCATACCACTCGCCTCTCGATGCTCCCAAGGATGCTTCTCCCCGATGACATGCCTGAGTTGGGGGCGCACTGGGAAGTTCACGTGATGAAGGCAGCCGAAATGAGCCCCATCAATGTCCAGTAAAACCCTCCATCCATCCTCTGTTTTTCTCAATTCTCCGCCTTGCGTGGGCTAACAAGTGGACTGAAGGCTGTCCCAAATTTAATTGCTTATTTCATCGCCATCCTCGTGCTCTTTGCACGATTTCCTCCTTGGCTTGACTTCCGTGCGACTGGAGCAGAAAGGTGCGAGCTTTTATGGTCACATCTGACTTACAAAGAATAGCGATTGTTTTTAAAGGACTTTTATTAGACTATGAATTCTATTCTTTCCTTTCTTCTCTATATTGACGGAAAAATCTCTAGCGGATTGATAATTTTTCATCATGGTTAGAGAATATAAAGTAAAACATATGACAGTGAAATACAATGTTTGCCCAGGATCTGTCGTTGGTATCATTGAATTCCTGGGGTGGAATTACTGAAAGCTTCATTGAACATTACAGGATTATCATCTGAGGGTGGACTGTAAATTGATTTGAAATGTGGAATTTCAGTGATAAGCTTCAATGCTGCAGCAAAATCCAGGTGAAATTTTCATTGAGCGTTCGTAGTGAATTGTTGAGGGGAAAGCGGAGATTTTTCAATCACGCACAATTTAAATAATGACCCTTTCGTCACGTTTTTCCTCTCTATCTGCTCCATTAGTGAATCACCGGGAAAAAGTGCTGCTGAAGATGTACTCCCGGCGGGTGCGAAAAATCCCGGGTTGAAGCACTCTTCACATGCTTGCATGATGTTTTGCGCCATCCTCGAGGGTGGATAGAGTAGAGAGTGTTCAATATTTAAGCAGGACACCTTCGCAG